AAAAAAAAAAAGAACAACGCCGCCACCGCCGCCGCCATCCCAGCCATCCATTCACCAACCAAACCCCCACAAAACACAAAACACCCTCCCCTTTAACCCCAACCCCCCGCCACACACAAACCACCTAACTCCCCACACTAACCCCACTGCCGCCCAAATCCCAATAGCAGCGCGAACTGCCGCCCGCACTGCGCTTACTCTTCTTGGTGCTCTGGCTCGCGCAGCTGCTGTGGCTGTGGCCATGGCGAGCACGCTGCTGCTGCTGCGCGCGGTCACGACGCGTCACGTTCACCGTCGTGAGCGTCGCTACCGGCGCGGCGGTTTGCGCTTGCGCTGTTGGCGTGGTAGTTGGTGTGGTGGCAGCGGGCGCGCGCGAGGCGGCGAGGTTGCGGCCGACGAGGGGGTGGTGCTGGCGGATGAGGGCGGCGCGGGTGGCGGCGGGGTGGTGGTGATGGTGGGGCGTGGATGTTTGGTCCGCCACTGCTGCAGCAGCGGAGGCGGGTGGCGTTGGCGAGGTGGTGCTGGCGTGCGTGCTTGATGCCGCCGTTGTTGTTGTGGAGGACGCGTTTGTGGGCGAGGGCGGGCGCGACGAGAACCGCCCTTTTAGGAAGTTGAATACCATGCGCACGTCCAGGTCTTGCTCCCAGTACTCGCGGTCGCGGCGGGCGGGGTCGGGTTGCGCCGTTGTGGTGGGCTGGGCTGGGGTTGTGGCTGCTGCTGCTGCTGCTGGGGGCGGTTCGGGCTCTTCTTCGATGCCCCAGAGGGCTGCTTCGGAGTAGGATGTTGTGGGGAGGGCGGCGGAGTCGACGGTGTATGCCGTGTTGCTTCTGCTGCTGCCTTGGTCTTGTGTGTTTTCGGACTTGGAGGTCGTGGTCGCGTTCGCGATGCCCGCGTATGGCGGCGGCTCCTGCGCGCGCAGGTACGTCGTGAATGCGCCGGGGTGCTCAGAGAGCTGGTGGACGAGGATGCCGAGCTCGCGGGCAATGCGCTCGAGGAGGCGGTGCTCCCACGTGTCGCCGGGGTAGAGTGCGACTTCAGAACCCGTGGTCTGCGGCTGTGTCGCGGACCTGTTTGGGATACTTCTCGATAAGGACAAGGCTTCCGCTGCCGCCGCCTCTGTCGGTAACGACTCCCCGAGGATAACAGAGAGCAGGTTCTCGTCGATGCCCATCAGGTCGCGGATGACGCGGCGCGTGAAGCGCTGCCAAAACGACTCGTTCTCCGGGGCACCCTCCTCTTGCGCGGCGCTGCTGCTATTCCCTTCCTCGGCCGCATCGACGTTGGTGGCGCTGACAGAAGGGCCGGCCTCCATCTCCGCGGTCGTTGTGGACTTTGCCAGACTGGCGCGGCTCATGCGGCGTCTTCTCCGCGTCTCGCGCTCAATCTCGTCCAGCAGAGCCCGGCTCTGCTCTAACCGCCATTTCTCGATCCGGCGGACCCTCTCATTCTGCTCGCTATTCTCCTCCTGTTCTTGCAGCGCGTCCAGCTTGCGCTGCACGCTGGATCTGCGCCGCTGGTGCTTGCTGTAGCGGGAGCTGGCATTATACCTCTCAAACTGCCATAGCTGCTCCTGCATGGCCGAGTTGCTGGCGGGGAACGTCCCGAGGCCATCGTGCGTCGGGAAGACGGTCTGCGTGCTCTCGTCCGGGCGCAGGCTATGTTCCGAGGGCTCGTGGAAAGCGCGCAGGCCGTCGTCCAAGCTGTCGAGCTCCTCCGTCTCGCCGTCCTCGGTGCCCTGGCATGTGATGTCATCATTATCATCGTCGTCATCTTCTTCATCCTCGTCCTCGTCCTCGTCCTCGTCGTCCTCCTCATAGCGATCTGACCGTGCAGCCGTGTCTATCGAAGCGAAATCGCTGAAGCGCGAGATGCCCGCCGTGCGCGGCGATCGGCGCGTCGACGCAGTGTGCGAGCGCGTGGTCGAGCTCGCGGCCGACGGCGAGAACAGGACCCACTCCTCTGATTCGTCGAGCGGCCGCTTGCGCTGCTGCGGCGAGGATAGCGGCTGCGCGTCGATGGACTGCTGGGGCGCAGGATAGGAGAAGGAGGGCGGGCGTGCGACCCGCGGCCGTTGGGGCTGCTGGAATGCCATGACGGCACGGCGCGGGCGGCGGAGCTAGGGTAGGTATGCGCGGGTCAGATGGGGAAAGTGGATAGTTGGCAGCGGGAACAGTTAAAACAGAGACAGTGGCGAGCAGTGGGCTTGTCTGGCGTGATAGGTACTCCTAGTGATAGGTAGTCACGGTGTAATCGGACCGGGATGGGCAGGGCGATGGATGAGGCTGGAGCGTGGCGCCAATGCGAGGGAGCATGGGAGCAAGGAGGGGAGTTGATGTACTAGTATCCAGATGACCGCGTCGGCGCTAGCTCGCTGGATGTGCGGGAGGTGTCGATCAGTGGGACAGTGGAGGGGCACGGCGTTGGGGCCAGGTTTTGCAAAGGATTTGGGGGGCTTTTTGCTGCTTTGCTTGGCTGCTTGCGACCGCGAGCTATGATTGATGCCATGGCTCTCGCTCCGTACGCCAGCTGGCAATCTCTATACCTATGACCTCTGCCGTACCATTGTATCCGTTATCCGTTATCGGCGGTAGGGCTGACACGCTGTCCGCGTCTCAGTCTCAGTCTCAGCTCAGGCCGGCCTGCATTCCATCGGGCATTGCGCACAAAAAGCAACGCTTGGGGGTCGCGCCGCATCCAATTCGGAAAACAACAACCACCTCGTCCTCCACGTAACTCACTTTTGTGGGCTCTGCTACTCCGTACCTCCCACCAACCTCACGTCAGACAATAGGTATATAAACTACGGCTCAACTCTGGCATCATTTTAATGTCAACCGTCACAACCGACCCCATCGCAACACCATCTGGTGACGGCAACCTAAACACGACGCTCGTGCGTAGGTTATTCCCGCCGGCGTCCAAGCTCAGGCACAGGGGAGCACCGTCTTGCCATCACGACACCACGCACGCCAACGAGCAGCGCTCACAACCACAGCCCTACAATACTCCTAGCCCCGCCACTAACAACACCATCTCACAAACCAAACCAACGCCCACGCCAACCCCAACCCCAACCCCAACCCCACCGCCGCCGCAACCTGCGGCTTCTTCTCTAGGTACTTGCCCTTCTGCCCGATCGAATCCCGACCCGATCCCTTCATCCGTCCGTCGTGTGCACGGTGTCAAGTGTGCGTTACAATACTATCTAGGTAACTATCTGGCCCCACGTACGGATTACGGGTCCCACTCTCCTGTGGCTCGTTTATCGGGTTATAAATAGCGCGTGGGGCTGCGTTTGCGTGTGCTTGGCAATGGCGGCGTTGGGGGTGGTATTGCCTTCCTGAGCACTTGCCGCGGACGAAAGCTCCTCCTCTACAGGATACGATGCCTATGCCGTCAAAAAGAATCCTTCCGAGGAGATGTTCTACGTAGGCCTGCGAAGACACGAATTCTGCCTGCCCGTTAGACCATCGCCACGTCGTCTGTCTTGCAATCAACCACCCACACACACACTCGTTGCCATGGTGGTCTGGTCGGCAAAAGAAAAAGCAAAAACATACGGCAGCTGGGATTCGCTAGTGGTCACCCACCTAACTACTAATCAGCCGGTTCGAGGCTTGTGTATGGCAGAGCGGACGGGATGCCCAATTCTCCTCGACCTATGGTCGTATGTATTTGTTAGAAGTGTTATAACAGATTATATACGGGTAAAGATGGCTGTGCTGATGCATCTACAGACTTTGGAATACTCTAACATGTCAAGTCTATAAGGTTCTAAAGGCCGCCTGAGATAACTCCTCTGAATCTTTTCATCGAATATCCAGTATCTCCTGCTGAATATCACCTTTAGAACATTCTTGAATCGCCTCACCATTCATAATCCCATGGACATACGATTCACCCACGAAAAGCCAACCAGTTTCCTGCTTCCTTAACACATACGGAACACCACCACCAGGTATCACTGCAACGGTATCACCCACTTGAGCATCCGACGGGCCAATCCCCATCCGTCCAGCAGAAGTAACCAGGAAAGATCTGTTGAAGCAAAAGTTCCGGGCCAACGCAGCATATTGCTCGGAGTCTCCTCCCTCTGAAAGACGCCGCAACTGGTCCACGGACTCGTCCTTGTTGGGCAAGAGCAGAGATATTGGGTCCGTGTTGTCCGACAGAATCTCGCACAGGAATGCTAACCCGTCTCGGAAACACTGCTCCCAATCACGTCCACCAAGGAGGTGTTGCTCAGCAGTGGTCGCCTTGACGAAGCGGCTTGCCCACGCCGAGATGTCGTTTTCAGCCAACAGCGGCAGAGCTGCTTCGCACGCACACAGCATCGTCGGCTTGAATGTCTGGCTGAACTCCGCGTCCGAGACGTCCTCTTTGTTCATTGGGATTATCTGGACAACTTTATCCACTCTCATGCCATCCACGCGGAGAACAAGGTTGTCTGGGCTGCGGTGCAGCTTCAGTTGCAAGCCCGCAGAAGCATTGAAGTGCTCTGGAAAGCCCAGACAAGGGGGTTTAGAGACATCAGAATAGTCGATCCAAGAGAGGCTTCGTCGGATGTCCCTGTTATACACAGTGAAGTCGCTCCAGTCGGGCAGCCAGGACGGAAAGTCGTTAAAATCGTGCCGGCGCCGTCGCCTGGTCAAGCTGCCACTTGTGCCGCGCGTGCGGGTTAAGATGGCGAGCGAGCGGTTGTACTCGAGTAGGTACCGGGCGACTCTCAGGTACGTCTGCTTCGTGCTGATGCTGTAATCAGGGATCAAAGCAGCAGGCAGGCTCGACGGATCACGGGACTCGACCGCCAGACCCAGCAGGCCGTATATTTTGTCTCGCTGGTCGGTGGCGTGGAACTTGATCTGCGTTATAGACATCAAAGCATCGAGCGGCCACCTTGTTTGCGATCGTCTAAGCAGGCCCATGGTATCCACGTTTAGAATCTCTTCGGGAATCTGGGCCAGTCGAGCGTACCCGTTTCGGCGCAGCCATGAGGCCGCCCATTCGAGACGGTGCCAGGGGAACAGCTGCTGTCCGTGGAGGATTACCGGATCCTGCGCCGACAGAATCACTTCCTGCACGACCCAAGTCCGCGAGAACCAGCCGAGCTTGAACAGCTGCTTCAGGTATAGCCAGTGCGCGCTGGTCCAGTCGGGGAGGCCGGACTCTGCGTGTGCTGAGGCCGAATACAGCTTGACGGGGATATCGTCCAGGGCCGTCGCCGTCGGATGCTGGCTCCTGAACACGCTGTAGATCGTGTCCACCAAATCCCAGGCCAGAGGCGACGAGTCGAATCCAGGCCCAAGCCAGACCAGCGTCCTGACTGCCCGCGTGTAGATGTCTTCCATATGGCGGACTTGCGACGATCGCTCGGGGATGTCTCCTTGGTTGATGCAGATGGTGTCGATCCATACGTGCTCGACGGGAGAGTCTAACGCCGAGTTCTTGCTCGCAAGCTCCTGCAGTCGTCGGATGCCGGCTGCGAGGTCGGCACAGACGAAGAATTTTCGTCGCCCAATCTGAATGGATATGTTATGGTCTTGGTTGCCCCAACAGTGGCTAAAGGCGTAGTATGGAGGCGCTTCATCGAGTCTCACTTCTTGTAGGCTTCCAGCCTCGGGGCCTGACGTGTCTGGGTTTATACGCAACAGTCGTATCATTTTAGGCAACAGTTGCCTATACGGTTCGTCTTGGTTGGTCTCCATTTTTCAGTTTCTGAAATTGCTAACTATTGAATCAGGTTAAGAAACCAAAGGAAGCTAGTGTTTTGCTAGACGAACAAGCAACTAGCATCCCGTCGAAGCGCGCCTTATTTATAAATGCTGCCTTCCAAGGGTTGATGCAGAGCACCCGAAGGAGTCGTCCGATCAACGAATGGAGCTGACCGGCCAAACCGGACCTGTATCCTTTTAAGTGTGGCTATAACTAATGTAGGCGTATCGCTGTGGCGGAGTAAGAAATGGCACTGCCGCAAAAGCCTCACGTAGCCATGCCTGCAGAGGCAGCGAATTACGCCGCAGAAGCCTAGGAATCACTACCACGTAGGCGCCGGAGCCCACTTCGATCCGCCTATACCCTGTACAGTGGATTCGTGATTGACGCTCACGAGCCAATGAGGAGGTAGTAATTCTCAAGCCTTAAGCGAGCGGCACAGCTCGATCACATCAACTGACAGGTCGTGATCTAGGCAGCAGGCCAGTCTGAGGCTGCTACTTAGTTTCGACTTTCTCTGACTTTGTTGTCGTTGTTGTACATACTAAACTCAATCATGAGAAGCCAGCAGCAGCAACGGTCCCAGCCGCCGCAATGGATCAAAGCTAAAAAAGCACACCCGGGACTTGTCCAACATTATCCGGATGCAGAAAACACCAAAGCAACATCCGAAGCTGCGGTAGAGTATGTCAACCAACCATTGAATATAAGATCGGCATAGTAATTGACACGGGCAGCATAATCGCCATGCATGGGCTAAATGCTCGCTCGCCAGACACGTGGATAGCCTGGAAGAAAGATGGAGATCGAACATCTGGGAATGTTTTCTGGTTGAAGGACGACGACATGTTGCCTTCAATCATCCCTAATGCTCGTATACTGACTTATGACTGGAACGCATACTACGTTGGGAATCCTTCCAGAGCCACATTTCTTGGGCATGCCGATACCCTGCTCGATCGATTGGTCCAGAACCGGATGGAGACGGTACCTATGTAAACGATCTTCAGAAACCATGCAGATCTAATCCTTGAACAGAATCGCTTGGATCGTCCCATAATATTCATCGCTTCTTGTTTCAGCGGTCTGCTACTTGCTAAGGTACTACTGAACAGTTCTCTCTCAGCCTTCCTAAAATCACTCATTATTATGCTAACACTAAAGAATCAAAGGCGCTTTTGCGGGCAAATGACGATTTTCATGCAGAATCAGATGAATACAGTCGAATTCTTGGCTTGACCGTCGGTGTCGCATTCCTTGGCACACCTTTCGGAGGCAGCTGGGAGACTGGGCATAAAAATGCCCGGCTTTGGATTAAAGTTGCGATGCAGGAGAACACTGATTACTCCGAGGAGCTTGTTCAATATCTGCGAAGCGACAGTCGGAGCGACGATGAAGGCCGTCCGAGTCCACTCGATGAAGTCGTTCAAAGGTTCACTGAGATGGTACACCATGATGCTTTCAGTTTCCCAATTGTATGCTTTTATGAGACCCTCCCCACATCGTTTTCCGCGTTGCTGGCAAGGCTACCTCCGGATATCAAACAGGATGTTATTGATGAAAATGGCTCTGATGTGGTATGTCAGACTCTTGCCCAAGTCGTGAAATTTCACATACTGACACATACAGACTGTCCCAGAAACTTCTGCTTGTATCGATGGTGTTGAACGGATCAGGTTAAATGTCAGGCATAACATGCTACACAAACATAATTCGCCTGATGGCGAATGCTTCCGTCTGATATCAAAGAGCCTGAAGGATTTTGCTGATAATGCCGAAAAGGTTCTGACAAAGAGAGGTGAGTGAATGCCACTTAAATTAGTATACTACCTACTTGGTCCTACTCCAAATGGGCCTCTTAATAGTAGAAAAAGGTCAGTTCTGATTTTCCTTCAGAGACATACAAGCAGCATCTCATAATCACGCCGTCGCCGAAGATTGCGGCTTGGCTCACACAAACCGTCTACTCCTCCGATCAGTACCACAACTTTATGTTGTGGCATGACAGAACGGGCACTTGGTTCTTAGAGTCCGAACAATTCTTACAGTGGAAGGAAAGTTCAGGGCAGACCTTGTTTTGTCCAGGAGTTCCCGGAGCGGGAAAGACCATCATGACCTCTATGGTGATTGTCCATCTTGCCACATCAAACTCTCACGCCAACAGTCACAAAACTGCCCTGGCTTATGCATACTGCAGTTACCGACAGCATCATATCCAAACCGCAGAGTACCTCTTATCAAGCCTGCTAAAACAACTGATCCGGACATGCCATTCTCTCCCAGAAACTGTAGATCTGATGTTCAACAAACTACAGGAACAATGCAGGAGGCAACCAAGCTTGGATGAAGCCTCAGATGCGATCATTGAAGTAGTGAGGTCATATTCGAAGGCCTTCATCGTCGTTGATGCCCTCGATGAGTGCCAACAAAGCCAACGCAGAAAGTTTTTGAACGAATTGTTCAAACTTCAAAAACGTTGCAGTATTAATCTCTTCGTAACGTCAAGATTCCTTGATGACATTCAGGAAAGATTTCAAAGCGCTATGTATCTCCCAGTTTTCGCTAGCAGAGACGACATTTCTCTCTACGTCAGAGAATACATCAACGATGTTTCCGAATTCATTGAAGGCCAAAGCAAACAATTGAAAGAAGACATCGTCAAATCTATTTCCAATGCCTCAGACGGGATGTTAGTACTTATTCATCCCCCTGTTTAGTAATTCATGACTCACTGTTTTTAGATTTCTTCTCGCACGTCTTCATCTTCTCTCTCTTGGAGACAAGCTGAAGGTGGAAGATATCGAACGTGCACTGAAGGAATTTCAAGAAACCAGGGATAACTTCATTGAAGCGGAACCAATATTAGCTCATGTCTACTCGAAAACGGTGGAAAGGATCAACAGCCAGCCACAAGACTACCGAAGGCTTGCGAAAGAAGTGTTAACTTGGTTAACATTCGCCCAAAGACCGCTTCAGATGATTGATCTCAGACATGCCCTTGCCATCCAGGTGGACGCACCTTCGCTGGCTGATAACGAGGAAAATTCGTATTCAGTTCAGCAGATTGTCTCAGCGTGTGCCGGACTTATCAGAATCGACGAAATGAGCGGAACCATTTCACTGGTTCATTATACGGCCAGTCAATTCCTCGAAACCAACATCTGTTATATCGATCCTGAGCCAGGATTTAAAAACACTCAGGAGCTTCAGGAGCTCTGGACAGTTGAACGCTGTGCGATCGAGGCTCATAGGCGATTGGCTGTTGCATGCGTCACTTATTTGTCCCTCGAAAGATTCCAGACTGAACCGGTTCGCTGCATCGAAGACTTAATAGATCGGTTCGAAGCTAACCCTATTTACCTCTATGCTGCTAGACACTGGGGGGCGCATGCCCGACATGTTCCGCTTGCTCAAGAGAACGAAGCGCCATGTTTGGATTTGATACTTGGATTCTTAAGGAGCCTTCCAAAGACCGCTGTTGCTATGTTTACAAAAGATCGTGCTCACTTTTTCACGGAGTCACCCATGGAAACGCCCACGGAAGTATCCACGGAGACAGAAGACATTTCTCTTCAATTCCGGACATTCCAACCCACATACTCGTCTTTGCATATTGCTGCAAAATTTCAGATCCTAGACCTCGTCAAAATATTACTAGAGAGGAGGGAGGAGGATCCAAACCTCCTCGACAGGAACGGAATGTCCACACTGTCTTACGCTGCGGCGTCAGGGGCCTATGACATTTCCGAATTCCTCCTCGACAACTTCTCTGTCAACCCTACCCAGTTGAGCTATGACACTATGTCATACAGATACACCCCGCTCATTCTGGCCGCGAGTTCCGGACATAAGGATGTAGTCGAACTACTTATGAGCCGCGAAGTTGGTGACAGCCAAATGGGGAATTTCAACCACCGAGAAAAAGCGCTGGCTTTGGCAGCAGCTAATGGGCACGTAGAGGTAGTCCAGCTTCTCCTCGATAGCGGCGTCGACCCTTCGGCCCCGTCCTTTCGCCTTGAATTTAAATACACGCCACTGGGACTTGCGTTGCGATATGGCCATGCTCATGTGGCTAACATTCTACGCGAACTTGGAGCTACCCGGCAGCATTACTTGTTTTTCTGGTAGCGCATATCCTGCCGATACCATATTAATATCACAGTGGTGTTACCGCTGGTAGAGGCATTTTCTCATGCCACCCATAGGCAGGAAATTGGTAGGATATCGCTTTTCGTCGCAAAGAGCATCCCCACCAACTTACACTACACGATCATGGACTTCAAAATCGAGCTGCTGTATCAAGAGTTTGCATAGTGTTTTCATTTTTGGGGGCCAAAGGTTCCAGCTTTCATATACACTGCTATTTCTGCGGACGATCTTTTCAGTCTTCTATTCAACCAATCTATTCTATCTGTTAATCCAGTAGCCAATCCGGTGAAGATGTTAGTCATGTTTATCTCTAGAAACTACCCATACCTCGAGTATATACATCTATATGTCCACCCTCCTCAAACTACCAATCATAAAAATGTCTGCTAATAGCATAGTGCATTTAATTAGGCAATACTAATTAGCAATCCTCAATATCAGGGGCTTAAGTCATACGGACTATCAACGTAGAGGGGCCTTATACAGGCTATCAACTTTACTTGAAATCGTACAACTAAATAAAAACTGCACGAAGTATTTACAAGCCCTCTTCTACTCTAAACTTATTAGATGAGCTTCTTAGTGCTTCTGGTGATGAGTAACGAGAGCTATAATAGGGAGTGCTGGATTTGTAGGCAAGAAACGTCGATGTCTAAGATGTACGAAGGTCACGAATGGAAATGAGGAAGTGAGAATAAAAAAACAAGAGTGATCAATTACTCTGGCAAAGTATGTTCTTGTCTATCAACACTCTAGTATAGGGTTTAGGTTTTGTGTGCTCCGTTACGGCTTGACTCGTCCCACTTGTAGGTTCTACCTAGAATATATTGCCGGATGTAATGTTGAATCACCGCGAGCTGCAGGGTGTTGACGAAGCAGCTAAGATGACTTGGAGATCTCGCGATTCGGCTTCCCAGTTGGCGCCTCGTTGACATTGTCAACATCGAAGACAGAAATCTTCGTAACGGCGGTATTTTTCTTCAAAGCGGGCAACTCGTAGCGCTCCCAAATCGATGTCTTGAGCTCAGCCGCGTTGATTTTCTTAGGCAGGATAACAATGACCTCGCCCTCAGCATTCTCGGCATACGCTTGACTGATATGGCCTTTAGCTTGTACCATTTCGTCGTCAGTCCAGGTGGGCTTGTCATCGCAAAAGTTGTTGACGTATTCCTCGAAGGGGCCGCCCTCGAAGTTCGCCCATCCGGAACCGTCATCGCATTCGCCCAGCATGACGTGCTTGTTTTTGGCGGCGTAGTCTGAAGCCGCTCCGATTGCGCCAGCGCTCCAAAAGATTGACTTTCCAGGGCCGGGTTTCTTCAGGTGCGTGCGAGCTAGCTTGACGTCGGGAAGCGGAGGGTCGAGAGTGCGTTTCTCTAGCTCGTTGGAGACCCCAGATGTTGGGTGCCCGTGGCTTTGGGCAAGGAGGAAGGAAAAGAGAAAGAGAAGGAGGAGACCGAGCCCCTTGGAGAAGGATTTGCCTGCCATGGCGTGTTTGGGATTGGAAAGAGTGTTTGGTGGTAGAAAGATGTTCTGTGTGGTTGAAAGAAGGATGTACAATCAAAAGCGAACTGGACTGAATGCTGCGCTGAGGCAGTCTTGAATAGGATGGAGTATACATTTATATATTTACTCGCACAGGTTGACCTAACACCCTTCCATCCTCATCAATCTGCCCCCATCAACCAAGCCCGTCAGCTTACCCCATCAATCCACCACCATCAGCTTACCCGTCAGTTCACCATATCCTTCTGCCCCCACCAGCATAAGCCAATTACCACAAGCCAGCATTCAATTCCTCAGGTTGATCGTTTCCAATCACCTTATCCACGCTGCTCAGCCTCCACTAGCATAGCCTCTTCTAACAGACTTGCATCCAATTCCTTCAGGCGGTCCTTCACGCTCACCCCCTCCACATCTTGGAGATCCAGGTTAGGACGTTGAGCGAGCAGGAACTTAATCGCATCAACGTTCTTGCTTGCACCGAGCCGGTAACTAGCTGTCATAGAGACTTCCTCGCCAGCAGAATGGCAGTGTCCACCCAGAACAGCGCAGTGAAGGGGCGTACTCAGCACCTTGCCCCTGAACGGCGGGATGAAAGCTGCAACAGGAGATCCCAGCACCTCGTCCACATCGGCGCCATGCTCAACAAGCCATTGCATTTTCGGCAAGTTCCCCGTCAGCGAAGCAACGTGCAACGCTCCAGAGCCGGGGATTTCGGCCCCCGCCTCGAGCAGCATCTCCAGCATTTCAGTGTCATAGCGAGTAGCGGGCGTGCTGACGCGGACGGCCACGGTAAGTGGCTTCATGTGATTATGCGCCAGGCTGGTGTTGGGGTCGGCGCCCTGGGCGAGCAGGTACCGGACCGTGTGCTTGCGGCCACGGAAAACGCAGCGCCGCAGCGGCGTCTCCGTACCGTGGAGCTGGCGCTCGTTGATCTCCCAGCTGAAGCCGTTTTCGCTGAGGAACTTCCGCACCGATTCCGCTTTGTCGCTCGCCTCGGCGGCGTCGTAGTGCGTGCTAGTGGCCCAGAATCCACGCTCGTAGCACTGCCTCAACAGCTCGATGTTGCCTGCCTTTGCAGCTGTTTCCGCAAGGTTACATAACTCGAATGCGTCAGCCTCTGCGGCCTGGAAGGAGCCGTTGGTAATTTGGTTGATCATGGTCCGTTCGAAGGTGACGATTTTTACTAGGATAGTAGAATGAGAAGAGTGAAGGAGTTGAGAATAAGCTGTTATTTGATAGGAGTGGCTTTAAGGTTTTTGCAAGCACAGGTTTTCCCCGATTTTGGCCCCGCCTGAGGTCATGGCCGCAAGATCTGGGGGCCAAGCTTCGCCCCTGCATATCTGACGTGTGAATAGGATCTGTTGGGTGTACGTTCAAAACGAGGCTCAGTCAATTCCATCGGAGATGTCAGACCAGGGCTTCTTTGCATAGAGGATGGAAAAAACAAGGCTGAACAGAGCTAATTTGCCCAGTGATATAAAAAAGCGAGCCTCCCGAATTTTCTGAGATCAGTCCTCCAGAACAAGCCAAACAACCAGCTTTCACCAACGCTCATTAAACCGTTTCCAAAATGCTCTTCCATCACTCAGCCCTATTACTCGTCGCTGCAGCCACCATCAACTCAGTGCTTGGTCAAGGAACCGACCACCACGACTCCATCGACAATACCGATTACCGCCACGGCTATAACGCTCGTTTCACGACACATATAGTCCGTGAAGGGCCCGCTGCCACACCTGCTGCCATTTCCCAAGACGAAGCCGACCTACTTGCAAACCCCGCCTTCCGCAACCCCACCATAGGCGTCAACTACCCTGCCACCAACGATGCCTTGCACATCCGCACGACTCCCAAGAACGGCAAGGGTGGAAACAAGAAGGACAAGAAGACTTGCAAGGCCAATGCCTTGAAGAAGTTTCAACAGATCTAGGGACTTCACAAGGAGTCACTGAAGGAGCTAGAGAGAGACTGGGGAAACGGATAATGTAATTTTAGATCTATACTCCGGCTACCTGCAATATATAAAACTGCTAGCTGTTAGTTTAGTCGCCTTATTCGTGAGACGGCAATAAGGTTAGGTCGTGCTTCCACCTATTTTATATAAGGGACTCACCTACTTTCTCGCCATGTCAATACAACACGCCCTCGACTTCACGACTAAAGAAAACTCGCCAATCACGCAGCAAAAACAAACCCTCTATCCTCCCCTCCTCCATCTCTACCATATTCCTCGGCCTACTAAGACCGCAAAAACCAAAAAAAAAATAAGAACATACATCAGCTGGGATTCGCTAGTGGTCACCCACCTAACTACTAATCAGCCGGTTCACAGCTTAAATTTGGCAGAGCGGACGGGATGCCTTGTATTCTGTGACCTATGGTCGTATGTGCTTGTTTACGGAGGCAATGTTGTTTATATACCGCGCGCTTGCGTAGCAAACGGAGTTGTTGTGCTAACGCGCGAAGCTGTTGCATTTGCGCGATTCGGGCCTTCGGCCGTGACAGCTACCTTGGTACCTACTTGACATAAACGCAGCGCTGCCTATCTGCTTGCTTGCTTGCTCGTATACTTACTTACTGCTCTGCTGCCATCATCATTATCATCATCAGCTCGTCGCGTCGTTATCATCAGTAAGCGCTGCCGTCCAGCAAACCCGCGCTCATACTCACTCACTCACTCATTCACTCCGCACTCCGCCCTCCCCCCGGCAGCGACCTCTCCCCACCCGGGACGCTCAGCCGTCCAGTCTCGAGTCCCAACCCGACGCCCAAACCCAACGCCTCCCTTGCAGCCCTCACGACCTCCCTCGCCTGCGCCTGCTCCCTCACACTCTCCCTGCGCACCAGTCGTGCGCCCTCAGCACCAGAATCAGCACCACCACCACCACCACCACTAGCACCATTCCCAGCAGCAGCAGCGGCATCCTCATCCTTCTCCTCGACCATGACCTCGCTGCCCAGGCTCGGGCTCCCCCGCCCAGGGCTACTGCTGCGCCCGCTCCCCCCCGAGTGCTCCCGCCGCATCTGCACGAACCGCCGCGCCGCGGCGGGGTCCGCGTCCGCGAGCGCGACCGGCGTCGCCTGCGACAGGAGTTCGGCGATGGCGCTCTCGCGCACCGACGCCTCGCTGTGTCTGGACTCCCGCCCGGGCCCGAGCCCAAGCCCAGCTTCCAGGTCTACGTCGTCTGGACGAGCGTCGTACGCGCCAGGCGAGGAGCGGTGGTGGTGGTGGTGAGTGCCGTCGGTGCCGGCGCTACCGCCAGCCCTGCCGCTGCCGCTGATGCTGCCGCTGACGCGAGCAGCGCGTTCATCTTTCGACAGCGCGATTTCCGAGAGCCAGCGCCGCGCGAGGTTGCGCTTGACTTGGCCCCAGAAGCTGAGGTCTTCGTGGGGGTCGTAGCCGCGCACGCGGATCGTCTTTTCCGGCTTGAACCAGTGCGCGATCAGCTTCCATTTTAGCCTGTTGATGAGGCCGGGCCGGATGCCCTTGTCGGCGGCCGTTGCGCGCGGCCCGGTTCGTGACCATAAGCTTGAGTACTCTTCGTTCCATTCGTGGAAGAGGTGTTCGTACACGCCGCGCTGCATCGGAGCGTTATTGTCGTAGCCGCGGCCGGGTAAACGGGCGGAAATTCCATGCTTGAAGAAGTACCAGAAGAGGAAGACGAAGACCATGAGCGGGACTGCGCTGATGAAGTACCACTTTATGCTGGGTAAATTTTCACCTTCACCCGCGAAGGTGTCGACGTTCATGCCAAAGAAGCCAACGATGAAGGTGAGTGGCAGGAAGATGAAGGTTATCCACGATAGTCGCCACATGCTTGTACCAAGCTGGAGGGATTGTCGAGAATCGCGGATTTCGACAGATTTGTACATCTGGCATCGGTGTCAGCTGGTGTTTTGACAAGTATACAACTACAGGAAGAACTCCTACCATGTCGCTCAGATTACTGGTAGGCTTGACCAGATCCTCCTGTATGGCGTTTGCCAGTTTTTCAAACTCCTCAGGCGCGCCGACAAGCCACTCTTCCCGCTCGTCGTCTTCCATGATTTCTTTGATCAAGAGTCGAAGCTCCTTGGCAATGTCCAGATGCACGTATAAGAGCTTTTCGACCTTCAGCCATAATGAAGAGTTCGTCCATAGCTCAGGAGCGCGGGATTCGTCGGCCGGGTTGTCATAGATTTTGTCTTCCTGAAGTGCTGTTAGCGTTGCCGTTAAACTTTCACAAAGTTACTTCCACATACCAGTATGCTGACATGCGTCTCGCACGCGCGGAGGTACTTCTCCCACGAGAAGACAAGGGCCTTGAAAATATCCTTCAATATTAGATCCATGCACTCCAGCGACAACCGCTCGTCTGTCAGAATATCTTCCCTCTTAAGATAAAACATTAGGCGCCGCCATCTCGACTCAATCTCCTCGCGTGCTCCAATAAGTGTATCAGTCACTCCGCCAGAATGCGAATGCTCGAAGATGATTATCGTGTTGCCATTGTCCAGAGTTGGGAGGTTCGGAACATAATGATCCTTCCCGCTGTGATGTTCGTCATTGTCATTGTAACCATTTGGCTGCTGGCCATTCTGGTGTCCCAATTTCTCTGCCTCCGCGGCCTCCTTGTAGGGATTGTCAACCTCGGCGTCTTCAGGAGAAAAGGCCAGGGGGTCCTTCTTCTGCACGTACACCGACATCCGCTGCACGAAGACGTCGTAGCCGTACACCGGATTGTCGGACATATCATACTTGTTCAGCTCCATCATCTTGACATTGGTCTCGTCCTGGCCCCTGCCATACATGCGCGCATCGTAGTGTCGTAGATAATCCAGGCCGAAGCCCGCGCGCACCACCTTGCGCCAGGGATCGCGCCGTTGCGGGAACGTCTTGCCGTTCAAGACGGGCTTGCCAGCGCGCTGCTGCGGCCTCTCAAACCGGATCCAGCGCGCGAAAGCCGTCCCAATCAAATCATCTTGTGATGTGATGTTGAATTTCTTTAACAGGAATGCCGTCGCCCAGGATGCATTCTGTACGTGGATTACGCGCATTGCCGACTGCGTGGCAAAGTCCTTGTTCGAGTAGAATTTGCGGAGGCCTTCGACATCATGGAATTCTTGCGCGACAATCTTGCGCCGCCCGTCGGGGGTGTGTTCTGTATATGCGTGAGCTAGTCGCAACGCGACGCGCGGGGCCGACGCGACGTACCTCGACTGACATAGTCGACAAGCAAGACCCTGCCATGCTTCCAGCGATCTTTTGTCCATTTATCATGCCATTCTACTCCAGGGCTCGTCTTGCGGTGCAGCCATGAGGGGCGCCGGCTGCGTTGCTCGTTGTCAAAGCTGTCGTTGTTGCCTGACAATTGCTCGTCTGTAGGCGCGTGTTAGTCTGGTGTAGTGCAATGCTGTGATACGGGTACATGCCTGTGCGCTCTTCCTGTAGCGGCTCATGGACGCTGGTGTCTTCGACGGAAATGGAGGGTGCGGTCGACTGGGTTCGGCGGTGTTGAGGCGGCATGACGACGGGCGCCATCGGCGTTTGCGATCGGCGAGCAGCGGATCATCAGTTCAAGAGCAGGCAAAAATTAATTATTCGAAGAACCCGGCGGCGCTTTTCAAGGCTGTAGCTACAGGTATAAACCACGCGCCGGTGAGCAGTTTGTTGCAGAGCCCCATAGCTATGCGTCTTCTCCACCGCTCGTGACGCGCCCAGCGCGGCTGAGTCTTCTCCGCTGACCAAAGCACCTGCCATGTCGGTCAAGGATGCGGGTAAGCCACTCCTCTTTTCTGGGCCCCGTTTGGGGCCACGGTCTCACGGACATGCTGCTGCACGTGGGGGCCAAGCTCGAGCCTGCCATTAAAGTCTCGTAAAGACTCCTAGGGTATACTGACTATCCATCGTTCCTGATGCGTACCCCTTCCTGCCACCCATGTCCTTGTGTGCCATGTTCATAGCGCCGTGGCTTGCTTGCATCTTCCAAGTCTTGCAGCCTACGGTAGGCTCACTCAAGAAACAACAATCAAACCATGAAACTGGAGTCCGTCTAGTCCGTCTTGCCACCCATTACCTTCGCCGCTTGAACCGCGTTCATCTTCTGCGTCCAGCCCGGCGCAGGTTGGAACTTGCGCACTGTCCGGATCTCGTCGGAGGCGTAGCCGGGAATGCGGATGTTGTAGTTGCGCTCAAGAATGCATTGGATGTCGCGGATTTCTAGCGTCGACGACTCGCGAAGCTTGGCGAGCTTGCATGCGGAGGTGATGACGTTGTCTAGGAAATCATCTGCGAGCTGCAGCATAGCCTAGCGTGCAGGGTTAGCGTGGGCTTCGTCGTATGGCGACGCGCTGACTCACCTCTTCAACTTCAGGCGTCAAGTTCTCGCCACTTGGGCCTTCACCTCCGCCAGTAACTTGTCTCACCAGTTCGTCCAGCTTCTTCTTGCTGAGAACACGCTCACCGTCGCCTTCAAGGTGATATTGGGGATGTGCGGCAATCACAGGCTGGCCCATCATGCCAGGCGCGCCGTTGCTTGGCCCGCCGAGGGTGGGCCTCGCCGGACCCATGTTGACCGGGTGAGGTGACGGGACGCTGAGCGTCTTGGGGATGGGCATCTTGGGGTTTGAGATTTGGTCTCTGTTGCCCATTTGGTAGCCCTGGGCGGCGGGGATCTGGGGAGTGGTGCGCTGATCGGAATATGTGCGCGCAGCTGCCGTCATGGCCTGGCCATGGGTGAGGGGCACGGGAGGCCCAGCGTGTGGCGAGTTCTGGTGCATTGGGTTCATTTGGGCGGCAGTTTGCTGCGGGTTGAGCTGCGGACGCTGCTGCACGGGGGTTTGTTGTTGTTGGGCAGGGGCGCCCTGCTGGAAGGGCGATTGGTTCTGGTTCTGCGCGGGTTGCTGCTGCTGCTGCTGCGGTTGGGTTGCCGTCACGGGGCTCATAGAACCACGGTTGAGCTGCTGTCGCGCTGCTTCGACGGCGGGATTGTTCATGACGGGCGGTTGTGGCGGCTGCGCCTGCGGCTGGGGCTGTGGCTGGGCTTGCTGCGCTTGCTGGTTACCCGTGCCTCCTTCCGTTTTGATCTGTGGTTGTTGGGGTGGCGCGGCTGCCGCTGCCTGTTGCGCCTGTTGCGCCTGTTGCGCCTGTTGCGCCTGTTGCGCCTGCTGCGCCTGCTGCGACGGCTGCGACGGCGCCGCTTGCTGCGGTTGCGTCTGCGCCTGCGCCTGTTGCGCCATGTTCTTGTACTGGTCCTGCTTCGTTCGGAAGTCATTGATGAACCTTTGCGCATTCTGCCACTGCGTCTCCAGCGCCTGCTTCTGCTGGTGCCACTGCGGCGGCACCTCCTGCCCCGACGCCTGTCGCTCCTGCGCCATTGCCTGGATTTTCTTGACCTGAGTCGACAGCTGTTCCGATCGGGCAAGCGCCGCCGCGTAAGTCGACCTCATTTCCTTTATCTTGCTTTCCGCTTCTGGTGTTCCCGAGGCTATGTTGGGCGGCAGCGAGTAGCTGTAGCTCTGCACATGCTGCATGATCTTGGGCGCAATCTGCTGCTGCGATGTTTGCTGTCCCGAGGCCTGGCTTGCTTGCTGCGGCTGCGATGGTTGTTGCTGTTGCTGCTGCTGGCCCGGCTGTCCCTGGCTTTGTGGTCTAACGCCTCCTTGTTGTTGTGCGTTTGCCGCGCCGCCCGTCGCTTGTCGTTCTTTCCATTCTTTAACCTCTTTCCCCATCTTTTGTGTAAACTCCATCAGCTTCTGGGCTGCCGTCCTATACTCCGGACTTTCCTTGTCATGCTTCTGGAACGTATCGTACAGGTTTGCGACTCCGCGTGTATAGTTTGCCTTCTGCTGGTCGTTCAGGTGGGGAAGCGTCGCAATCTGGTTCACTCGGATTCCCGGGGGGAAATTCCTGTTGCCGGCGCCAGTGTTCCCACTCATCATGACTGGAATTGGACGAGGCGGATGGATGCGTTCTTGGTCGACCAGGCAGCGGCTGTGCTGCGTGGAATCTAGGTGGATGTCGGGCGCGACTGACGCGTATGACAGGTATCAACGCAACGTCGTCGGCGAGGCAGACGTCGAGAGACCCTAGCGAAGGCAATGCAAAGATGAAGCTGGGCAAGAGCAGTTGGACGAGGCGACTAGCTTTCTGGGCTTTGGGGTTGCAGTTGATTGAAACTTTTGGATAGGGTTGGCGGTCCGCGACCGTCGGAGATCGGTCCCGCGGATGCCCGTCCGCATCATCGCCGCTTGCTGGCCTCACCTCAACCGCTCGTTCGCGCTAACAATATCACTTCTTCATACCAAATACTTTCCCACGACAAGCTATAAATCCACCAGGGATGCTCACGAGTTGTTGTAATCATAGCTAGGAGCTTTGTTAAAGCTTTTGTCTCTAATTGCTTTTCATCCCATCATGATCAGAATCAGAGCTCTCGCTCACATGACAAGTGGTTCTATTAAACGAGGGACAGAGACGCTGGGGCTCAAAACTATTGTTTACTGTGCCACCTTGTTCATATCCTATCACACCTCATCGTTGCCGTTGCTAGCTTAGACGCTGGTGCTTTATTATCGTTCATGGATCACCCAGCATTTAACTTATTGTCGGTACCGAAACTGATTAAAAATGCAAGAATAAGGCGTAGCGGTGCACAATCGACCCCCGGTTCGACGGATCTAGCGCACTGTGCCTTAGTATTACAAGCTACGTCAAGACAAACGTCATATGCCTATGGGCTGAAGTGCGCAATATGTTCGTCCTGCTGCCGTTTGTGCTGTGCCAAATAGCGGTGGTGAAAGCTTTAGTCTCGATAAAGGAATCAATCAGTCGATGAGGTTGAAGTGAGCGTCGAGCTCGTGGAGTGGCATGAGCAGCGAGTGCAAAGCTAACAGTTTCTGCTCCAAATAAAGTAGAGCAATTTCGTCTTATCATGGTTGTACAGCATAACTAATGCATCTCCTTGATTGGATCTTCATCGGTTTTCCTCTCTTTTTCGTGGATCATGTAGGGAATGAAGGTGAGGCGAAAATAGACTGATTCTTCAAAAGGAAAAATGGTACATTGCATTTTGGCGTTTCGCAACTAACGTTGTTGCGGTGGTGACGGATAGCATGACGATCCAGTACCGTGGTTGAACAGTGACTTCTATCGATTTGAGTGTGACCTTGCGATTATACCGCACCGTGAAAAGGCATAAAGTAACCAATCGGTACGGTGTATGCAGGCAGAGTTTAGGATTATTCGGGAACCGTTAGTTATTGGCCCCGTTGGTCTTTGCTTGATAACGTGTTAGATTTGCAATGCGGCACAGACGGAGCCCCCAATGGAGGATCCTGTTGGCGTCCCTCTTTTTCTAGAATCAATAGAATTACGAGCAATATCCAGACCAGTGTCCAGGGGAAAAAAGGGTCCGCAGCGGCGGCAGCTGCTGCTCATGGCGCTCGGCTGTGTATGTAACTGTTGTATCTACGGTGAGTGCCGAGGTCTCATCCGGGCGGGAGCGAGTTAATATCGACGCCCGCACGGTTGGAGAGACTTCGTATCGGCGACGTGGAGCGCACACACAGGCACATAAAAAAAAGGTTCGGCATACGGAGCATAAGGTTCGTAAATTCGTATAGCGTTTTCTGCGAAGCACGAGCCCTCACGACTGGAGCGGCATGCCGAAGCTGATCAACGAAGAGCAGCAGAGTTAGCGCCGAGACCGATGGCGTGGGACGATGCAGTCAACGAGGGCCACGGACCGATTGATCGTCGAGAGATGCATCTGCGAAACAGGCAAAAGCAGGAGCCACGGATGGACGTAAGGTTGGCTGGAAGGAGATAAGGATAGACTTAAGGTGCGAGCCAACGAATTAAGCTTGAGATGACGACGAGACCATCTCACCGACAAGTCGATCCGGCAACGGTGCGACCAACTAAAAGCTTGCCTGGATGCATCATGGCGGATACGAGACGGTAGCTGTCGCAATGCTTTTCCGTGGGCGCACGCAAGCACGCAAGGCAGCCGGCACGCCTTGCGTCTTGGTCGGAAGGTTTTTTTCGTGTTGTGTCGCCAATGGACGGCGGGGATTCGTCTGCGGCGTCGTCCATGTGCCACCATATGGCTGGCTTGGCGGCAGAGGCTGGGCTCAGGCTAGGCCGTGGGGTCCAGCTCACTTGCGCGACCCTGCAGGGCGCCATGGAAGCCGGCGCTGGAGCGAATACGGATTACGGAGCAGGTGGTTGCGCGGCGCGGCGTCCACAGTCGTCAGCCCGTCGGATTTTTGGGTCGGAGCTCGGTATAGTGGGCGAAATCACGCGAAAGCGTTTTGCTTGGCTCCCTACCTTAATTCGCGGCCGCCCCCTTCGGCGCGACGCCGGCCTCGCTCTTGGCTCCAGCGGCATCTTCTGGTTGATGCAGATGACGATGATGATGCTGCTGATGATGATGAAGTCAGCGCGCGTGCAACACAGTCTTTCTCCCATCTGCACGTCTGACGGCAGACTATTAGTACAGTTTGTTGTTGTATCCATCCGCCCATACGAGTATTTGTACGTAGATACGAGGGTGCCGCTACTCCCGCTCGCGAGTTATGCTTAAAAGAACCCTAAGCAACCCGGCAGGCTTGGCTTGCGCCACCGGGCTGAACGGCACACATCGGATCGTATGACAAGCAAGGGAGGCGTTTTTTCGTCGACAAATTGTGGATGAGGGCCCGTAGGCTCCGTGGTTCGGCTGGAGCTTACGTGGCCCCGGCAGAGGGAGACTTCAGGAGTCGGGATTGCAATGGCTTGGCCCCAAGAAGCGAGATAATGTTGGCGGGGGCTTGGCTGCAGTCAAACTGACACTCGTCGGACCCGCGCGCCTCCCTTGCGTCGGATCTGGGCAAACTAAGCATTAAGCATAGCTGGGACACGCGAGCAAGTTATCGCGCAGCTTGGCTTGCTTGTTCGGCGCTTGGCGGGCAGGAATTAAAGTTAGTGTTAGAGCAAACGCTTAATCGGGCTGCTGCAGAGCTGACGAGAAAGCGGAGCTGAATCCTTCTTCTTCCATCCTTCCCTCGCTGCGGCTCTCTGATGACTGCCTGACCCAGCCACCGGCCCCGAGCTAAAATAAAGCTGATCCACCTCCGCTTGCGCCACTTTCAGCAAGCCAAGGCCGATCCATTCTCCAGGCAAACTAAGAAAAGACGTTCATTCCCTGACTAAGGCCTCGACCTCCCGCCGCTTTTTCCAAGGCCTCAAAACCTTCTCCCTTCTCCGCGAGCTCCACCACCGAGCTCCGAGACGCGTCACTCCGGTAAGTTGCAAGCCTGTCTCTGCGCCCGTTTCAGATCCGCCTCCTCCACCCCCAACCCGGCACTTGCACGCGTCGGCTCCATCCACCCTCCCCGGCCCGCCCGAGCTCCACGTTTGGTTTCGACGCCGGCTAACCCTCCAGCAGTCGGCCTAACCGAAACTTTATATCCTTTGTATCCCCGCCTGCCACACTCCCAATTTCGCTGCTACTTTCTCACTCTCACCCCCCCCCCCCCCCCCCCCCCCCCCCCACCTCCACCACCCACCATGGAGACCTACCATGGTCATGTCCGAACCCCGGCAGACGCCATCATCCTCTTCGAGGCCTGCCGCATCGGCCAGCTGCCCCGCGTCCAGCGCCGCCTGTCCGAGAAGGAACGCCAGCAGATCAAGTCGGGCTCCGTCTTCGTCTGGGATGAGCGCGAGGCCGGCATGCGCAGGTGGACCGACGGCAAGTCGTGGAGCGCCAGCAGGGTCTCGGGAAGCTTCTTGACCTATCGCGAGATGGAGGGCAAAAGAGGTGGAAACGGCTTTTCCGCACCTGCCTCGTCGGGTAAGAAGTCCAGCTCCAAATCCGACACCGGATCGGGCAAAGGCGACTCGGACGAAGATGGCCCCGACGGCTACAGGTATAAGCCTGACGGCCTCATGAAGCAGTCGTTCAGCATCACCACATCAAATGGCCAGCACCTTCACCTTATCAGCTACTATGCTCGCTCCAGCCCTACTTCGCAAACCCTAATGCAACCTACTCAGGACCCTAGTGAGTCCACTGGCGCCGTCGGCCCATTTTCTTTTGTGCTAACCAAAAATCCCAAGGCCTACGTCACATCCGTCCCGCCAAGGGCATGTACCCAGAGTCATCTGTCAGCGAACAGAGCAATGTCCCCGCAGTCACACGAGGCCCAATGCCTGGCTCCCCTTATGCACCAGCGCCGCATCAAATGGGTTCGCCCTATGGAAGACCCGGAGCAACGCACCCCCACGGCTACATGCCGCCTCCCGGGCCCTGGCCACCTACTCCTCTGGGTACCCCTCCCCACGTCTACTCTCCATACTACCCTACTGCAGCTTCGCCCCCGGCGGGCTACATTGCTCACTCACCTCACCACTATCCTCCACCTCCATATGCCCACCCTGGCTATCCCCAGCCGACGGTTTTTGACCGCCCGCCTCCGCACATGACTGCTCCGGGTCTCCCCCCACCGCCTCCAGCCACGACTCCGTATTCGCACCATCTCACTCCTGTTGCACACCACCCGCCGAACCTTTCTCCTCGCGTCCAGCAGGCTGCCCACGTCGGACACCCGTCAACAGCGCCCGGTCTTCCTCCGCACCCTTACGCTCATGTTGACCCTGTCCTCAACGCTGCTCAGCAACATCAGGCTCAGCAGGCTCAGGCACAGCATGCTCAAGCTCAGCAAGCCCAGGCTCAGCAAGCTCAACAGGCGCACCAAGCCCAGCAAGCTCAACAAGCCCAACAGATTCAGGCCCAGCAGGCGCACCAGGCACATCAAGCACACCAGGCGCACCAGGCATACCAAGCCTACCATGCGCAGCAGGCACAGCAGGCACACCAGTCTCCTCCCGCAGTTGGACTGCAGCTTCCTCAGATTAACGCTTCTACGACGTCACCACCAACTACCAATGGCATGCACAAGCCGCCTACTCCTCCCGCACCCGTTTTAGCACCCACTCCTTCTGTACCCGCGGACGTATCGCGGCCACACACGTCCGAAGCTCTGCCCGCTCCAGAGACTAACGGCACAGCGCCGACCAAGACTTTCCCAAGCATCCATGCGCTCGTCAACGGTGCAGCAGACAGCGACAACAAGGGTGATGTCAGCGTCAGTAGGCAAGGCAGCCGGAGCCCCAACAGCCAGCTCCAGCACGTCAAGGAGAGGAATGCCGGGTTCGGCGAAGACTCGAAGGCTCTGCGGAGTCTTGACAAGGCCTTCATGGTACGGTGAGATTGAGAGGACGTAAAAAAACAAAAAACGCACAACGGTTACGATGCGCAAGCACTTCATTCGGTCGTATAACGACACACAAAAGTCAGGACCTCCAACAAAAAGGGACCTATGCTACTTTTCGGCTTGAACATGTTTTTTCTCTGGCTTTTTCGACAACAGCACCACAGGGTCAGGCGTAGATTGGGGGTTTGGTTCTGGGTTTGGGTTTAAGGACTGCATCACCACACACAACGGTTGCATTGGGATCGGCGTTCTCTACAGAGCCCAACCAAGGAATTTGGGGGCTACACTGGGGATTGGGTTTTGTGATTTCAAGCGTATTGGCCGGGGCGAGCTCGGCTGGATTGAGCTGGCTGGGCCTGGGCTAAATGGGACAGGACGGACGGGATTGGACTGGATTGGATTGGACTGGAATGGGTTTTGGGTGAAAAAGCCGGCGGTGTGCCATGCGGACTAGGAACCTGGCACATCACTTCGCTGTGGTCTGGGTTTGAGGTTTGAGGTTTGAGGTTTGAGGTTTGGGGCCTTTTTTGCTTGTAGTATATTCGCTAGATACCATTGAGCTTTCTCAAGGGAGAAGCTCTATAGGGCGTCGGTGGTGGGATGTGCATGGGGGCTGCATGCTGCAATTGAAATATCTTGATATCGTGCTTTGGTGCATACAAAATCAATGTGTTCGTCTCTGTTCTGTTGATAGGATAGCGTCTTTCTTGTTTCTACATGATACATGGACGTCTTCTCTCTCTTTCTCTCTCTCTCGCTTCCGTCTACTATACTACTACAGGCAGACAGATACCACCGCACCACCGCACCACCACCGAGCCCAGGACAACAAAAGCAAAAAAAGCAAAAAAGCAAAACGCAAGTCCACTCCGCTTCGCTTCACAATCGCAGTCGCAGTCAAGCGCGCATTGGTCATTGGTCGTTGCTCGTCGGTCATGCAGCACGGCACGCCCTCGTACAATACTCCTACAGCTCCGGCTCCAGCTCTAGCTCTAGCTCCACTCTTCGGTCTCTCCGCTTGCTAAGCAGCAGCAACAGCGGAAGAGGGTTCGCGCCGAGTTGCCCTCCTCTCCCCCCTTCCTCCTCCTTCTCCTTTTCCTCCTTCTCCGCCGCCGCTACTGCGCTCTTTCATGCGTAGCGTAACATAACGTACGAGACAACTCTCTCTCCACTCTTTCGTCCATGCTGCCGTTGCGGCTGATACGTGGACGATACTTTTGGCGTCGGACCCTCTACACCGTACACCCTACTACCTACAAAGGCTCCTCCGCGCCTTACAGCTTCGCCTCCTCCTTCAAGCTGCCGATCTTGAACTTGGGCTGGTACTTTTTCAGCACGCTCTCGTTGTGGTACTGGTGGGGGGAGGGGTGTTAGCTTGGCTTGGCTTTGCGTTCGGGAGGGATGGGATGAGTGGGGCGTGTCTTTGTGGTTGGTGGGTTGGGTGTGGTATGCCACCCAGGAAAGCCTTTGGTTGCTAACGAAGCTTTCTTATAGCTACGCCTTCTTATCTATGCCCTTCCTACTATTTCGCGACCTTACGACGACGGTGGCGCTGCTAATGTATATGCACGCGTGTGTATGTGTATGTGTATGTACGTATGTGTGTGTGTGTGTGTGTACGTGTGTATGGGAGTAGGCCGTGCGCGCGTCCTTACCTTCCAGAACTGCTTGCTGGCGTCTTTCCCACCGACGCGCTTGAGGATCTTGGCGCCGCCGGGGTGTTCATCGACAAAGTCGGCGAGCGAGTAGACGTCGTTGTCGATGATGATGTAGAGGCCGTTGTCGACGGAGGCGTGGGCCGCGACGTCTTTGGCGGTTAGGGTCTGCGACATTGTTTGGAACTAGAGTGGAGTGGAGTGGTGTTCGGAGTGTGGGAGCAGGGATGTGTGTGTGCGTGCGAGTGAGGCAGTGATTGTTGTGTGTGGTTATGGGTGGTGGTAGGTAAGGTAGAACGAGTGCCGTCGTCGGCATCTGGAAAGCTGGGGTGGAGTGATGAGCCGAGGTCCAGATGACGAGGAGCAGATCGCAGCGCTCCCATTGGCTCATCTGGGGCGCGGGCGGGACGCGCACCGCCTACGTAGTTAAATCCTCAGCTTAATTTCATGCTTCTTCAAAGCGGCGGAGACGGGCAGCCGCTTCGGCAGCTTTTGGCGAAGAAGGGGCCGCGTGTCTCAGAAGCCGCGTACGGATACGGAGGACGAGATTCCATAGTAGCTCGGGCCTGCTCGGCGTTTGACCCTCCATCTCTCTCATCTCTCATCTCTCTCTTGTCCGGCCACCTATATTCCCGTGTTGTTCCACCCTCCGACGCGCGATCGTCCAGATAGTTACACGTCGGGCCAGATAAGCTCGCCCCGGCTTTAGCGCGCTTCAGCACATCCCATCCCTCCTCCCTGTCGATCCACGCCCCAAGGCAGATTCCGCCAAGTCATGCCGAGCGCTGTCGGATTTAGCCAGAATCGCGTCTACCTTCCCCCCGACCCTGCCGTCTGCCTTCCTCTTCTTCTTCTGCTGCCGCATAACGGGATCAGCGCCTTGAGCCAAGCCTCGGTGTCCGCGGGGCGGCGTCGAGGCGCCCGCTGATCGTCGCCCGCGCGACATTCGAGACCGCCTGGCTTAGTTATGAATGTGGACGGAGTGCTTGCGCGCCGGATGCTTGCCCGTCTGTTCCGCGATGTGACCGGGGGCCCTGTGCCGCGTTCTGCTCTCCGTGCGTATGGCTTGGTTAAGCTTTTCTGTCGTGGGACGCCTGCATTACGACCTCGTACCTAAACCCTATCTTGGGGTCTTCCGTCTCGTAGCAGAAGATCCTCTGGACAGGCGACGTTTTTGGCTCGGCTTACAGTACGCTTTTCAGTGTTCGGCTCTGTTTGGCATGGCTTTCAAATCGGATCCTAACGACCACATCCCGGGGACTACCTACTCCATGGCATTATATTACGCGCAACTGCGCAGACTCGGAACTTTCGTACAAGCTGGTTTCCCGCGTCCTGTGCAGCTCACTCACTCTGTCCGAATCACTGCTGACACGGATCATCGAAAAGGGCTCCGGACTTGCCTAAAGCGATGGGCATCTCGCTTGAGCGGCCGCGGTTACAAGTAGAAGAGCAGCAAGTACAGGAGGGTCTTGGCAATGCAAGCTCGGCTAGCTGGAGGCCTTTTTCTGATAGCCTACACGGCAAGGCTTGTCGGTACCTAGTTATACAATACCCACGCTGCTCCCGGCGTTTTTGGGCTTGGTGGTAGGGATTCTCCGATGTCGAAATCCCCGTTGTTGTCAAAGCTGGCGGCTTACCGCTTTTTACGGGGTAATCGACGCGTGTATCCCGGAGAAATGCTTGCTGCGGTCAGCTCATGCTCACGGTCTGTGGTGTGTCGGCCTCTGTTGTTGTACCCCTTTACTTTCGATATGTGGGCGGGCTATAGGGGGACTTGGACTTCACTGACGGTGACTAGATAAGCGGTATTCTCGGCTGAACACACCGCTTCGCTGAAAGTAACTGTCTTCTTTGAGCCCTTCTCTGTCTTCGTTCTGTCACGAAACTCCGTCTTTCCGCCAAAGGGTTTACTACCTATAGCACCGGCATTTCACCCACGGCCTTATTAAAGCTGCTGCGGAAAACCAACCAACCTTCGCGCTATTTACACGTCCCGAGAAGCAACGCATCATTCCCAGACGTGAAGGGACCTTGTCGCCATGTCCTCAACATGTCCATAAGCTTATGGTTTAGCGACTTAGGCAATAAAAGAGGAACACATACGGTAGCTCACGGTCGTGAGCTGACGCCGTTTACTTCCTCGACTACTCTTTATAAGTAACAGTAATAAAAAAATACAAGCACATACGACCATAGGTCACAGAATACAAGGCATCCCGTCCGCTCTGCCAAATTTAAGCTGTGAACCGGCTGATTAGTAGTTAGGTGGGTGACCACTAGCGAATCCCAGCTGTTGTATGTTTTTTGTTTTTTTAGTTTTGTTTTTTTTTTAGCGGTGGAGGTGGGAGGAGGGGGAGGGGGAGGGGGAGGGGCGCTGGTTGCGTTTTGTTTTGGTTCGGGGGTTGTAAGTTGTGTGGTGGCTAAGGTGGGTGAGAGAGGGGGGTTTCTGTAAAGCGAGATTAGGGCGAATTTGTTGTATCCTTTTTGTGCATGTATGAACTGCTCTTTGTGCGGATGTAGGGGCCTGTTGTTATGCTTATATGTAAGTGTGGGCATGAGGAGAAGCTTAACAATTATTCACTGAAGTCGATCACAGCTAATCTAACTAAACGCCTAAAGTGCTTTATTAGGAAAAATACACACCTATTGAGGGCTAACTGAAGCACACAACGTCTGCTTAGACATGCCAAAAACGAACGAACCAACGCCTGGGAGGGGGAAACAGGGCAAACGCGCTGCTCTAAATAGACCAACCCTTCATCACCCCCAGCCACCATTCCACCAACGAAAGTGAAACCACATCACCACGTATGCCTCGTCACGAAGCGCAGCCCACCGTCACCAACTCTTCCGTCCGTGACCAACAGCCGAGCAGCTCGCGCCAAGGGCGTGGGAGCCAGTGTCCCCTCGTCGCTTGCAGACGCCCATGGCTGGATGTCGCCGCCGTGCTCCGTCGCGCTGTTCCCGGTACGGGACTGTGATGGCTTTGCGTGTCGTTTCCACCAGCGCAGCGGCTGCTTTTCCGGCTGTTGTGTGTTGTTGATTTGGTGCGAGGGTGGGCTGTACAGCGGGAGAGGGTAGCGGGTTGAGTTGGCTGCTGCAGCGGCGGCCGCGCAGCCTATGCACCAGTTCTCTGTGTGGATCAGTGTTTGAGGATACTGTGGTTCAGGGCCGCGAGGATTGACGTACCTTGCGGGTCTTTCTTCTCTGCTATCAGGGTTGCGGTGAACGTGATGATGGTCCACAGTGCGCGCAGGATGACGAGGTCGGCGAGAAGAACCGCGATCATGAATGAGGATGTGGACTTGCGGGTTGGGATCTGGCAAAGATAGCCCGAGAATATCGTTGACGGCTTGATGGTTGGCCTTCCACGAATGTGCTTAAGGGCATTATAACTATCGTTTGCCAGGCTCAGGCGACCAAGAAGCTCCGTGCTGGGTCCATAAGTACCTAATTTGCGCGTGTATCTTTGTAGCAGTTGTTCGTCGGCTATAACGTTAGGCTTGTCTTTGTTTCCTAGGTCGACTAGAATAGTACTGTAGAAGGCCTTGGCTAGCATGTCGTTGACCCTCGCGGTTTCTTTCATTTCTGCCAAGGTTAGGTTGGAAACGGGTCCGCTTAGAGTCTCGGAGCTTTTCGCCCATTCATCCCACATGTATAATCTACTTTCTTTGTCGGTAAACCATATGTTGGTGTTGAAGAATCTGTCGTCCTTTAAATCTGTTACAACAGAAGACGGTTGATAGTCTACAATAATCAGTCATCGCAAGGGGTTATGCTGGGAAATCGACTAACTCAGCGTTGACTTCCCGACTTTTATAGCAGTTAAGTTTGCCATGCGGTTGGAGAGATTTGTTTGAGACGAAAAAGCGTGTATACTGTACGCGACCCTATATCCTATAAGCTTGGTAGCTTTGATACAAAACGAGTCCTTACATGAGAGACTCTGCCCACCACATCGCCGCATCGGGGCTGTTACTACGAACAAACTTGCGGTAAACTCCCACATCATTATGCTGTTCTTGTGTTAAATGTCTGCCGTATGTACCCTCGTAAAATTGTGAGACATTTATGTTGTACTCCACGGTCAAATTGAATAAAAAGTTGTTAAGTCCGTTGGATATAGAGCAAGTAACACCTCCCTACGCGGTTGTTAACCAGGGGTATTTCGGGCTTTATTCTTAGCTTACCAGTAGTTTTGGAGCGAATGGCTCTATTCCCGCACTTTCACTTTCCGAATCAAAGTTCATTTTAATGCTGTGGATATAGCAATCCTTCAGAGTGTTGTTGTGGTATGTCAAAGATGTCAAAATGGTATGGTTGGTTGTTTCTATGTTGTTCAGTGTAAGGGAAACCGAATTTGTTTGTGTAAAACGCTATTATGAGTTAGCCTCACTTCATTGAATTACTTAAAGTTTTTTACTTTGCTGTGTTCTGATTTGCTGTACTTCACAACTCGGCGACAACTTCTTCAATCTTAATTGCTTGAACTTCGGATTCGTTTGATTACACACCTTTGTGACCATAGCAAACAATGGCTTGTCGTACCACATCTTCTTCGCCATGGTACCGTTCGGATTTGTAGTATAGGTAAGACTAGAAAATTAGTTATAAGCTAGGTTTTTTTTTTTTTTTTTTTTTTTTTTTTTTTTTTTTTTTTTTTTTTTTTTTTTTTTTTTTTTTTTTTTGAAAACTGCCTTACCGGAGTTCGTAGCCATCCACCACAGCAGTGAAAAATGATAAGAACACTGTGGCAAGAATGAAGAAAATTATGAGCGAGGGAGTAAGGTAGCGCCATGGGAATGGCCGAGAGACCGAATGGGCGAAGCTGAATGCCATCGTCTTGATTTATGAAAGAAGCCTTTTGTTGAGCTTGGTAGGCAGAGCGGCAGTTTCTGCTATATAGCTATGAGACTGAGCGTTATCTACACATACGTTCTAGACCACGACAACAGAAGACTCATAGACACCTATTCGACGGACCAGGGCAGTAAGCGCTAAGTAAAGATGGGCAATCCCGGACGAGAATGCACCGGCTCTTTCCAGCTTAGTAAACAGTCCGTGGGTCGCCTTTTGGAAGCCCGTACTGCCTGTACGCCACGTCAAGGCTATGTGCATCGAACAAAAGTCCACGGCTATGTTTCATACAATTGTCACCATATCAGTATACTTTTACGAATCGCCGGGCCTGATGCCAATATTTACCAACCTCTGTTCACAGAGGTAAGAATTATACGCATCAACCAACACCGTTCACCGGCATGCACTTAAAAGAACATTTTGTGCTGGGTAACACAGACAAAAAATATTCTCATGAAATGCAGCATGGCCGATTGGCTTCTTCTCCAACATGTGAAAAAAGAAGAAGAAAAAGAAAAGCAGCAAAAGAAAAGGGAGGCGGAGGGGGTAAACAAAAAGGAACTCAGGAAAAATTTTATGAGAAAATAGTGACCAATAAAAAGAAGATACATAGACCTTTTCAGAAATAGTAACATTTGTGCGGCAAAGTCCGGGACGGATTTTACGTAGGTCAGCCCAGCCCGCCTTCCCGGACGCCATAGTGAATTCGCAATCAGTAAAAGAATGTGGAGTGTAAGCCACTTTGTCGTAGACGGCTGCTGCCGTATTTTCGCAATGGACCATAGTGCCTACAACCAAAAGGCGCCAAAAAGTACTAAACTACAAAATATAAGTAGATTATCACTCCGATAGAATGCGATATACTCAATATGATAGGCTCTTGTGACAACAACTGATGAGAAACCAGCGTTTAGATTCAGCAACAGGCGATACTTGTAACCAGGTCAACCCCAGTATCAATGTCGCGAGTGTCATCCACCAAACCCATTGTCCGAAGGGGGCGTGAGACGCCGGTCAGTCCAAAGCCGCAGCTGAGACTCAAATACCGATCCTGACGAAAATCCAGACGGCATATCAAGATCGTGGCTTCGCCAAGGCGTCATCTCGTGGAAGATTCCGGGCTCTGCGCAACCTTCCACGTGGTACTAGCTGATATAGTGCTAGGATGCTTCGGCTACTCCAATTTTGATAAGTTTTTCACTTAGCAGGCTAGCTTTCTTAAACCTTATATACACTCCCGTGCGCCCGGCTAGAGCGCTTCGTGTTGCTGTTGGTTCCTGGATGAACTGTGTCAGCTTTGTTGCGGCCTCGGTCACTGTGCGACGTGTTTCCGACCTATTTCTGTTGCAGATTCTGCAGATAGAAGTTCAACCATAAAAAAACTTAGCCCTGAACCCTTCCTTAAGACCGCCTGGACGTTCAAGAGATGTACGTTGTGGTTTGGTGTGAATTCGGCTGGAGGTTGATGTGACCGTTCGGCAGACTGTTTTAGATGACGGTTTGCGGCAAGTTATATACAATTGTGCAAAAAAGATTAAGCACATACGACCATAGGTCGAGGAGAATTGGGCATCCCGTCCGCTCTGCCATACACAAGCCTCGAACCGGCTGATTAGTAGTTAGGTGGGTGACCACTAGCGAATCCCAGCTGCCGTATGTTTTGCTTTTTGCTAGATCTGAATTCTTTCTTTTTGGTCGATCCCAGGTTCTCATGTTTTGCCATTTCGCCATCAAACATGGTGGATTGGGTGAAGGTTTATAGATGACTGATTTGAAGCGTGACTGTGAGAGGACTCCTGCTAGGCAAGCAGCAAGCCCACGACACGAGATACACGAGAAAGATATGGCTTAGGACATTATGTGAACAGGTAGTTCTCGGTTGTAGGTCTCTACTGAGGAATCTAGGACACTGCTAATCTTTTCTACTCGTCGAGACTAGTAACCTTTATAGCCAGTTTGTAACCACTCACAAATGGACCCCACTGCTTCTTCTTCCCAAGCTTTTCCAGTTTATCAATTGCATCACCCACCGCCTCCGAGTCCACCGCTTTCAGAATCTTGACAGTCAACTTGACTTTGTCCCCGTCATCTCCACGATCAGAGATTTGTATCCTCGATGCAGCATTCTGGCTTCCATTTGCAATGTTGCCCGCAGGGTAAAGCACGCCGATGACTGCTGCAACCCGGCCCAAGAACATCAGCCACCATCTGATGTCGTCTGGGAGCACTTGGATTAGCCGGTCGTAGAGCTCCAGAGTAGCTGGGTCCAGGTCTTTGCGGCCGCCGTGCCTCTCGCAGAGAGCAATGGCGAAAGCGGCACGTTCGTGGTGGTCAATCCCGTATGTCCCGGCCAACGGACCGGTGATTGTGCACTGCAGTGCTGAAGCGGCGCGGATGTCTTTCGGCAGGGAAGAGTGGAAGTACAACATTCGGGTGAGCGAGGAGAGGAACGAGTTGTTTCTGAAAATGGGATGCGAAGGTGCAGACTTTGATTGGATGGTAGCCTTCTCGAACAAGTCGACAATGTTGGATTGGTGCTCTGCGTTTTGAGGGATCTTTGACGAAATTCCAATGAGGTTAGTTGTAGCATCCTCCAATGGACTCCTTGAGCGAGTTTCGTTCGAAAGTTGAGAGAAGATGAGACCTTCTCGTACGCCTCCTTGGCAGAAAAAGACGTCTTTGATAGAAGGCAATGCTTCTGCGGCGCAAGAGACGAGGCTCGCAACGGCTGGTATTTGGGAAATCCGACGCTTTGATACGCGGTGCATCGTCAAAGGCTCGTCTTTTTCTGAAGTATCCTGCAGCACGCTCAGGATTTTATTGGTGTTGTGGAAAATGCTTGCTGGGACGCTGAACCCGTTGATTATGGGGATTGGATATGGCCGCACGGGGTGTTGGTCCATGAGCGCGAACCCCCATCCTCTGAATCCACCGCCAGACAGGTAAAGGTTGAGATTGTCCTGTTTTTGTGCCTTTTTGAGCTCTGGATGAAGCTCCAAACTCTTGTAAGCCATTTTCAAGCTCTTGATCATTTCCTCCTATTTTTCTGTTAGCTGCAAAGCTCTTTAGAGTGAGGCTCGTGGGCTCTTACTCGTGGTGGAGGGTTCTGGGTCAGAGCAGCGGCACCATATGGCATGCTGACAGCCGAAGGTGTGGTGTGGACCTCGCCGTCTTTGGTGTAGATCCAAGACAGTTGAGTACTGCCTCCGCCAAGGTCCATACACAAACCACGAACCTCCCGTAGACTGCTGGCAATGCCGTAAGCACCAATCTTCCCTTCGTCCTGCTTGGACAAAAGCTCGACAGTCCAACCAGTGGCCTTCTTGATCTCCGCCTGGAATTGCTCGGAATTTTCAGCAACGCGCGTAGCTTCCGTAGCTACCACTCTGATGCGGGTCTCGTCGACACCAAAGTCTTCGCAGGTCATCTTGAAGCGCAGAAACGCCTGAACAACCTGCTGGATTGTGTCATCCGGGATGGGCCTTCGCTCGCCGTTCTTCCATTGGGCATCATACAGAGATATTCCCACTCGCTCTTGATGCACTGTTTGGAGAAGGCGCGCGATATTTTGGCTGAGGTCAGTTATGGAAAATCGGATTCCATTGCTAAATAAAGTAATGCATCAGTAACGGACCTGTACAAGCTCCGTAAGGCTATTTTCAGACGTAGAAAGAAATTTGCCGAGCAACGGAAAAATTATATGACAATGCTCTTGCAAACAAAGGAAAAGAGAAAGAACGTTTGGGATATCGATCCTCACCTGTCGAAAACAAGGAGGATCACAGGATAGGTATCTATGAGGCTTGACAGAAAGGTAAATACCTTCCCATATCTACAATGGCTTCGTAGCCATGGCTCGGTGGTGCGCTGTCCGTCATGACGTAGGTCTTGCTTGAAATCGAAGCGTGCGCTCGCAGGTTGTCTTTTTCGATAAGCTGCGTGATGGAGGTCGTGGAGCGATGCGCTGATGCTTGAGCTTAAGAATAGCTTGTTGGATGTTTGGTGTTTGTTCCGAGGCTGATGGCGATTTAACCAGTGTTGCTGGCCAGGGTCTGCGCCACGCCCCACTACCGACTGCGCTTACCCAAACTCAAAGAGGAACTTTGTTTTCACAACGCCAACATCACTTATCCAAACCGCTCTTACTCGCCCTGTACATATCATCGAGCGCAGATGCAGGTTTTTATTGTCCTCGTCGAACAAATCTGTACAATTACTAATTTCATGGTCGGAGACCCTGCTCTATAGCTATCTTTAGCAGGTGACGTATATTAATTCTATAGATATTCTAAAACAAGCAGTCCAAGTTCAAGGATATTGTTTTATTCCTGTTTTTTGTAATGCATATTCAGGTAAAGACCGTCTGGTCAAAAGCCCTAAATATTTCTTGCAATTTCCGAGCGATGCAGTGCTTAATGGAAAAGAGCTCAGAGCCAACACTTGGTTGACAGGTCTGAGAAGTCCACGTTTGTTTGCTTTCGTATATGCGCGCATGCATGCCACGTGTACGGCGAAGGCATGCTGCATGCCTGCACACGAACCGAAAAGTGTTAAGAGCATGCGAGATTGTGGCATTACACTAACCATGTTAACACCATTTGATCACCACTTCCTAGTAATATTAAGAAAGCGCTGGAAGCTACTGGTAGAAAATAAGAATTAACAGAAGAAAGGCCACGCTAGCGAGAAGCTTTTCCAGGTTATATAAGGGCTCTCCCCCCAACAACAATTCAGTCTACGGAGAACTCGACCCGCCTGACCCCGCGGCGGAAAGATGGCGACCGACAGGGAGCGCGATTTCTTCGCTCGATTCCAAGATTTCAACCTTATCGAGTCCGCTTCTCCGCTAGACAACTTCAAGCTCCTTGCCAACAAGCACAAATGGAGCGCGGGCTCGAAGAAATGGTGCAGCAAGTGGTTTGCTTGCTTCGACTCTCTTTACAGTCCCGATCCCTCGTACAACAAGTTCTTTGACAACTTCGTCAACTTCATTCCCGATGATTCAGTTTCCGACTTGGAAAACTTCAACACTCTTGCGAAAAAGCGCAAGTGGGGAGTTGGTTCTAAGACATGGTGTCGCAACTGGAAGGCCTGCTTTGGTACTGAGTACACTCGGACACAGAACACCACTCCAACCCCAAACACCCCGACTCAGTACACTCCAACCATAACTCAATACACCCCGTCTACAACTCAGTACACCTCGACCCAGTACACTCCAACTTCATCCCAGGAGACTCCGACCCAGTGCACTCCGGCGCAGGACACCACCGATTCCCAATCTTGCGACAGCTACGATGAAGTCTTAGACTTCAAACCTGATCCTCGTGCTGCCCTTGCAGTTGATTTCGCTCGACTGGCGACCCAAACCAATCTGGCACAGGGCACTCCCATTGGTCAATCTCGCAACAGCTGCTACGATAAATTCCCTGGATTCAAGCCCGACTCTCATGCTTCTCTTGCTGATGAGTTTGCTCGACTGGCGAAGTTCAACGGCTGGAAGAAAAACTCCGATGAATGGCGTGGATACCGTGCCATGTTCTATGATGAAGAGTTCACCCTCCACTTCGGCTATTTTGCCAGCAATCTCAATAACTGGCAGAAATTTAGCAAGATACTGGATATGCCTATCGGAAGTTCCATCACTCAATGTAAAAAGGTAAGCGAAGAATCCTCTAGTACATTTGAACTGTTGCTGACATAGTACTGTATATAGAACCTCAAGGATTCTAGAGTCTACTTCAACATCGTCAACGTTGTCAATCATATGCGCAACCCTGACAAAGTCGAACTGATAAGGTTCACAGACTGGAACAAATTTGTGGCGTACACCATGAACGGACATATCTACCCACTGAAGGCAGCCAAGGGGGAGAAGTTTCTGTGCCAACTTCTGCAACGCATATTCGGTAAGCTAATTATCCAATTGCATATCCCCTTGCAACTCCAAAAGACACAAAGAAATGGTAACTGACGAATGTCAAGGCTGGTCTAATCCCAAGCGTCACCAGCGCAACTAATCCGGCTTTCCCTCAAGACTGACTAAGGAAAAGTCAAAAGAGGATATGCTGGATATTGATGGAAGAGCCACCTGTGCATGCGGTATGCTTGGGTAGGAGCACTAGGTACATGCACCGGTCGACAAAAAAGCCTCTCCTGGGATTAATGCGGTTCAGTGATAGCTGTTTAGATCGCTTAATTGACGAGACCAAAATTTTGAGTGGATATTGAAGACAAACAGACCTTAAAACAAGTGATATCCCTTGCATTGCTAGTCGAGTGCAAATCCGCATCCGCATTCCCGAGCAAACCACGCCAGGGTCCATATAGGGTATTTAGACCGCGCCTGGCCGGATAACTACACGGATCGTGACGTCATCATTGACGACGAGTCGCACATGATATGATGTCCATCAAACTCAGAACAAGGGAGGTCAATGGGTTGATGATACTTAGACCTGACATGTACCGCAGTCTCATTGTACATAAGTCGTCTCTTGTTCCCAGATTGGGATACCCAATATAGAGTTCCATTTGTTCAGATATCATAATGTCCGGATCAGGGCCGAGCTCCTGGCTCTCAGGCTGGCATTGGCGAGAGCGCATCAATAATTTTACGCCGTCATGGTTTACCATTTGTATGGGTAAGATTTTGCGTCCAATGGATTCGAGTGGTTTACAGTGCTGACATGGCCGCAGGTACTGGCACTGTCTCTCAGATACTAGTTAACTTCCCCTATCCATACACTGGAGGGACGTACTGGATGCGAAATCTGGCTTACTGTTTCTGGGTGAGTCGAGCCTTGTGTGTCCTAATAAAGAAACATTCTAAGAATCATCCAGATCCTTGACATTGTGCTCTTTGGAATCTTTACGGCCTTCCTCGTAATCAGATACATTCGGCACCCAATTCTCATGAAAAAGACGGTGATGGAGTTTCCGACTTGCTCGTACCTCGGAGCCATCCCAATCGTAAGCTGTCGTAACAAGAACCTGTCCCAAATGTCAGAATTTCCTAACTGCATGTGCACAGGCCTTGGACACGATCATCACCGGGATATCATCTTTCTACAATTACCGTGATAGCGGGCGTTGGACTGCGTACGGCTTGTGGTGGTTCAATGTTGCCTTAACATTGTTAGTCTGCGTGGGCTTGCTCATAGTCCAGATGACGAAGCAGGAAGAGCATGCGATGTCAGACGTCGCTGGTTTGTAAGGACCGAAACAAGGCTGGAAGACACACAACCGAATGGTACTGACAATATTCCAGATGGCTCATGACATGCGTTCCCATGGTCATTACAGCGGCTTTGGGAGCCACGCTTCTTCCGTACCTCAGCTGGAAAACAGGTATCGCCTGCCTTGTCGTCTCCTTCCTACTCTGGACATCCGGGCTCGTCTTGATCCACCTGATTCTTGCATGTTACTTCTGGCGCTTGATCTCGCATCATCTGCCAGCCCAGCAACTCCTAGGATCCGGGTTCTTGCCTATGGCGCCACTAAGTGAGTATTGTATAGCAATACGCTAAGTTTAAAACTTACCAGTATTTGCAGGCCAAGGTGCATTCGCCGCCCAGCAGTTCTCCATATACCTCTCCAACTATCTGTCGAAAAAGCATTACGCGCCAACCCAATCACACCCGCCACCTCTTTCTCCTCAGATACTGGAAGCAACCGGCGAAGCCATACACTGGCTTGGCATCATTGTTTCGCTGTTCCTCCTTGCACACGCCACCTTCTGGTTTATCCAGGCCACTGCCGCTATGCTCATCGGGTTGCCAAAGAAGTTCAACATCGGCCTGTGGTCTCTGGTTTTTCCTATCGGCGCGTACTGCAACGGCTGGGAGGTCCTTTCGCGGGATTTGCGCAACGACGGAATGCGCGGTTGGTCAGCAACTGTGCTGGTTTTGGTATCCATCATCTGGTTGTTCTGTGCCTTGTGCACGGTATACTTGGGCTTCTGGAAGGGCGAACTGTTCTTCGCGCCGGGGTTAGAGGATTGGCTGTACAAAGAGAAGGATGATGAGCAGCAAAACGGTGAGCAGAGTAATGGCAGGAGGATTAGCTATAACGGCACCTACAGGATGGAGAAGCCGAAACAGAAGGACGAGGAAAACGGGAACGGCAACGCAAACGGCTCGCAGAACGGTACGCAAAGCAAGGAAAGGAACGATTAATGTGTAGTGAGAATATGATCTAATGAAAAGTATACAAGCGATTGTGTTTATCCATTCCGAAACACGATGGATCTATGTACAAAGAAAAGAGGCGCCCGGCCGTGGCCATATCAAACTGGCGCTGCGATGAATGATATCTAGCTGTAAAAGCACGCTTATGTTAAACACCACCCATTTAAGCCACTTACTTACCCAACCAGTGTGCCAGTCATCCGCTTAAAATTATCCTATAACCTAGACGGCAGAGTATGTGCCGCTGGAAATTTTCTTTACCGTAGCGACTTCCTTTGTCATGATGGACGGCTCGCTCGGGGGCTGAGTCTCGTCCGTATCCGCAAACGGGTCAACGTCCGACTCTGTCTCGCCCTGGATGAGCTGGGAGACGTGCAGGCCGCTGCCTTGCGGCGCAGCGTGTTCACCAACAATCTCCCAGCGCCCCTCAATGTTACCGGGCTTGGCCTCCCCGTCGGTGTAGAAGCGAGCACGCAACTGCTGCGCAGGTTGATCGGTGCTCAAAGTTACGTCCCCAAGGCGCCAGTAGATAAGAGACTTGTCCTTGGAGAAAGTGCCAACGGGTTTGGACTGGCAGTGCGAGGATTTGGCACCCGTCGGGTCCAGGTGGATGACAATAACCACGTTGCTAAGCGTCACGCTGGTGCGACCAGCGCCGAGGCGGAACGCAGGGTTCAACGAGTAGTTGAGGATGACGGAAGATTGAGTCGGCTCAACCTTCCAGGCCGGAGTCAACGCTATCGGCGCGTAGGTCGCGACGTTGGTCTCATCGAGGTGCACCTGGTATTTGAAACCCACCTGCGTCCTGGTGATTCTCGCAAGATCAATAGTGTATTCACCGGCCTTGTCGGGAATTTGCTCGATAAAGGTCGGGTTTGGCGCAACTTTCTCCAATACGGGGAAGTTTTCGAGGCGAATCGTTTCGTGGCCAAATGGAGCGGAGATGTCGATCGGGTTGTATGCCAGTGCCAACTCTCCGATGATTACTGCTCTAACCACATTGCCATGCTCAAACCACGTGCTGACGGTCTCGACAATTGAAGAATTGAGGCCCGGCTCATGAAGTTCGGGGTGCCTGACGGTATGACTAGTTGAGCTGCTGAGCGAACGACCCGAGCGAATTGATTGAGTATCAGATGCGGGGTGGTCCTCTCCCATGCCCAAGTTCAGGCGATGACTTGCAGGCCTCAGTGGGGACTGGGGCCTCATCGACGGTGGAGAAGCAGGGATAGGTATCGGTGCCGGCGCTGCTAGAGGTAAAGGTGATTGAGCAGCGGCAGGACTAACAAAGGAGGGAAGCTCTGGAGCTTCTGACGGACTTGGCACAAACATGGTGTTGCGCACATCCCGTCTTCCTCTGGTGGTGCCGTTCTTCCGCGACGGAGCAGCTTGCTGGGTCGTTGTTAGCTTGGCGCACTGCCCACCCGAGGATCTTTAACATACCATCCGCAGCGTGTTTGCGACATTAGCCATTGCCGTTTCCGCATCATTACTATCCTCCTCTTGAATTGGGGCATTCCTAATGTCGACCTTGAACTGAGGCGGTATGCTCTCGCTACTTCGATATTAGCAGTTGATCATAGGAAATTATCTCATCACTTACGCGGCAGCGTCCTGTTCAGCCTGGGCAAAAAGGTCTGCCGTAACCGATGACGATGGAACCGAAAAACCTTCATCGTCTTTCTGAGGCTACGCAACCAGTTAGCAATAATCCGCGGCATTGGCTTGGTGAACAAACCTCCGGAGAGACACTCGCTGGGCTTGCCGGCGAGATTGGTTTCAGAGGCTCCTGAAGCGAGGGAAGGCCAGACGGCTGCCCACTATTGATCAAGTCACCCTCTGATGTCCTGTCGTCCTCCATTATAGTCGACACGCCATTGGTTCTGTCGGCCGACTGTCGTGACCTCTCAGGAGAAGCCAATGGTTCGCTAGGCTCCGGCGAGCTCGGGATTTGGCTCTCAGCGAGCCTCGAGGGCGAAGAGGGGCGATGCTCATTGACGTCTCTTGATTTGGTACCGCGACTTCCAAAGGAGCTAAAGGCAGAGCCTAAATTGGCAGAAGACTTCCGTTCTGGAGACGAGGCGCGCGCATACGGCAGGGTGCTCTTACGGCGACCGAGGACGGTGCCGAGTCGTTTGAGGCCATGGAGGCCGCCATGCTTTTGCTCATGCACTGCAGTCTTGTCAGCCATATTCTGGTTCGTTCCTGAAGCTGGCCTACCAGAGCCAGACCGCTGGCTAGATCCATCATCAGGGGTGGTCGGAGGTATAGGCGAAAGATTGGTACCGGCGACCGTTGCCTGGCCCCTGCTCCTTTGCCTCTCAATCTTAGCCTTTCCATTTGTGGCTTTCAAGGCGAACGTCTTGATCTCATCTGCCGTCTGCACTTCTAGAAGGAGACCGAGCGCCTGCTCCACCGGAGCCCGCTGTCTGTCGATCTGATCCAATTCCAGGGTCTGGAATTGAGTGAGAGCATCGCGCAGGTGGTTCACTCTGGTTTCATCCACGGACTGCATCTGTTCCAAGATGAATGGGGCCTGCGAATTCCATTGCTGGGTTGCATTCTCCACCTCCGAGCTCGCAGATGCAACCTTGCCGGCTGATGCTTTTGCGCCCTTGCCCTGCAGTTTGTCCGCTTTCTTCTGCGCGTTCTCAATTTCCTTGGCCATAGCGTTCATGTTGCCGGTGATGGTCGACATGGCTTGCATCTCACGGTTTGTTTTCTCAAAGTCGCGCAGCGGCTTCTCGACATCGGTTTCGAGCTTTTGCGCGAGCGAGTGGTGCGAATCGGCAAGGGTCTCTGTTGCGCTGATAATCTTGGACCAGGGCATCGCGAACACACTACGCGCTTCTTAGTACCATTCTCGCGGGGGCGCGGCGCAAACGGATCGCATACCCAAGATCAGCTCCCTCATCCGGCGGCTGCCTGCGGGACAGCTTGCGCAAGCCCTGGACGTAGGCATCTTCCAAGCGGCGTCGCTCCTGGGCCGTAGCCGTCAGCCTCCGGCGGGGCGGGAATGGGGCGCTCGAGGCGTTACCTGCAGAAAGTCGGCGATGTCTAAGTTGACCTTGTTGATGTGCTTGAGCCGGTCAATGAGCACGGCAGACGCTTGGCTGGGCTGGAGGGAGTCCTGCGTGGAGAGGTGAGCGCGGTGCCCGGTTCCCCGGAGCTGCTCCACTCACCAGCATGGCCGGGTAGTCTTTCCGAGAGAAGTCCATGGTGACTGACAGGTGTTACGGGAGGGGCGGCGCCAGATTGAGCTGTAGGACGATCACATAGAGCAAGCGCGGCCTTGCGCAGAGGGGCGGCGTGCGGAGGAGTAGGGTAGCAATGGTGTGGTGAGGGCGTAGTCGACTTGGGCTGACGTTGGTCGTTCACAGACCACCAAGCCATTCCTGGCCCGCGACTCGCGCTCACCGGACACTCCCAATTTGCTGCCTTTTTTGCCTTGGGTACGAGCCGACAAGCTCCACCGGTTGGTCGGAGGTAGATTGCAAGGCGCAACAGTTAAGCGTCGGCCAGCTCACATCCATCTGTCCTGCGAGCGCGCCCAACCGCTGGACGCCTGACATTCCTACCTACCTTCGCACCTTTCGATGGAGCCACTGCCCGCTTGGCGCTCACAGCTGCCCTTTTCCGACCGGCTGACGGCCGTTGTCCAGATGTAATGCCCTGATTTCCTTTTGCTTTTACTTTTTCCCTTGGGCCTCGGATTACTCCTTCTCGAATTTCCTCCTGAGGTGGCCTGGGCAACGGCAATCATCCGCCTCACCATCTCGCTTCTCGGCCCCGTTTACGCGTGCTCATAAGACTATCGATACAGAACCGCCGCCTATAGACTCGCCCATCCCGATGCGCCTTCCGCAGATGCTAGCAAGGAGGCCAGAGCGCTGGAACAGGATGCCTTCAATAGTGCCGCTTCTTTAGTGAGTGGTCACAACTCGCGCGGGCATGGACCACAAACGTCTGACGCGGATAGCCCGATTACCACCAGCGTTGCGAAGCCGTCGCTGCGGCTTTAGCACCGCCGCCTGCCCATGGCCAAGAGTCGGATTCATCTGCAGTCGACGACTTCTCTGCTGCTCACGGCATTGAATTAGGAAAGTACAAGCATGCGGTGCACCACCGTAATGGCCTCTTCTCTGAGGTATACAAGGCCAAACGGCCGGACCTTGATTTTAATCAAGCCTCCAATGATGCACCCCAGCGAGCAGAAATAGTAGCTCTGAAAGTCACTACGCCTTCTCTCATGACCGCGCCTCACGACTCGGAGAGGGAGGCGCGGATCTTGCAGGCGGCGGGCTCAGAACAGCATAGCATCATCACGCTTCTGGAGACGTTCTATCAGGCTGGGGGCAGGTTTGTCTTGGTTTTCGAATTCATGCCTCACGACTTGGACCAGCTCGTCAAACAGAATGGCCTGTCCCCAAAACAGGCCAAGAGTTGCCTTCGCGATTTGTTTACGGCTCTCGCACACATTCATTCTTTAGGTATCATTCACCGCGACGTGAAGCCGTCTAACATACTTTTAAGATCTCCCTCTGGACCTGCGTTCCTGGCAGACTTTGGGATAGCCTGGAAGGGCGACGATAAAGCTTCAGAACCGGCTGACGGGAAGATTACCGACGTCGGCACGACACATTACAGGCCGCCAGAGTTGATGTTTGGGAACACGAGTTACAACCAATCACTGGATCTCTGGGCTGCGGGGTGTGTCATTGCTGAGGTTGTGTGCTTGCATGGAGAGTCACTGTTCGACTCTGGCGAATTAGGCAGTGAGCTTGCGCTGATCCAGAGCCACTTTAAGAGCCTGGGAACACCTGGCCTTGAAGAGTGGCCTGTAAGTAATCCCTGAGAATGACGCCTTCGTCGCGCAACGTGTGTGTTGACGGAAGACCTATGCAGGAGGCGGCACAGTTCCCCGATTGGGGCAAGATGCAGTTCTACGAGTATCCCGCCAAGCCATGGGAGGAGCTGCTGCCAGGCAGCGACGAGGAGGCGCGGGAGCTGGTGAGCCGGCTGGTGGTGTACGAGAGCTCGCAGCGGCTGTCGGCATCGGAAGTAGGTGGAGAGCGGAGCGGAAGCAGATGGCGTGTCGGGGCTGACAGTGCGGCAGGCTTTACGACACCGATACTTTGGCGACATGGGAGTCTAGGCGGGCGGGCACTCGGGTGGGATCAAACGGTCTGGAACGGCGGACTGCTGTCATCTAGTTTTCTCACAAGAGCACAAGTGCCGTGCGCGTCTCCACAGGCCCACTTGATGACATCGCGTATGTGTCCCCGGGAGCGGCTCCCTATGTCCGCTGATCGAGCATGCATGGCCCCCCAGCTCGTCCCTTGATTCCTTGTTTGTCGCGCGTACCGGGCTGCCGGGTAGGAGGTGAACATGACTCGGGCTGGGAGAATGGGTCTCGCTGTCGATGATGCGCTCGGTCGTGGCTGCATCCTGCAACACCACAGCGAAAGGGCGGTATTTGAGTTTTGCTTTGCATTGGGCTGGAATGATGCGGGCGATGGCCAGCTGTCCGCCGCCGCGCCGGATCCCTGCCACTTCTCCTCGCTGCCGGCGCCGTCGCGTCGTGGCTGCAGGGACCTCAAGGTTTCCCGTCGACTCGAGCTGCCCCACGTTCTGCCTACCTACCTACCTACCTACTCTACACCTCCGCTGCAACACCTCCCTCTCCGGACTATTGTCAAACTGTTGCTGCTGCTGCTGCCCGCCCTCTCGCTTGCTGCGCCCGCTAACCCCTGCCCTTGCGCCAATCCCCTCGCAGCTCAGCCGAAGCCGCCGGATCTGCGCATGACCGCCCCCGTCTCCGGTTCAACGTGCCGCATATAGTCCTAGATCGCTGCCATGGCGTTTCTCTTCAACCGGAACAAGCAGAAGGGCAACATGGACCTGGTCCGCTCCACCAAGGACGCGCTGCTGCGACTGACCCAGGAGGAGAGGCCTCAGCCCAAGACGGAAGAGGACTTGGCGCGAAACCTGACCCAGATGAAGATCATACTGCAAGGAACACCGGGTGCGACCAAACATCCCGCAAGCAGAGCAGGCCGCTAACGATCAGCAGAAGCGGAAGTCAGCCCGGACCAAGTCTTCCAGCTCGTCAACCTCATCTGCCAAGAAGACCTCCTCCTCCACCTTGTCCAAAACATCCACAAGCTTCCCTTCGAGTCTCGCAAAGACACGCAAATCATCATATCAAATGCCTTTCGCTACCGCGTACCCAGCAACCCCATGGCCGAGCCGCCCGCCATGCACTATGTGCTGTCAAACCGACCGGAAATAATAGTTGAGCTGTGCCATGGGTACGAGCGAAGGGAGAGCGCAATGGCTTGCGGCGGTGTTCTCCGCGAGGCATTGAAGCACGATGCGGTTGCGGCATTGATCCTCTACGACGAGCCGGATAAACGGGGGAAGGAAAGCTTGACTAGCATCGATCCCACGGTCCCATCTTCGGGGCAAGGCGTGTTCTGGAAGTTCTTTGAGTGGATTGATCGGGGAGCATTCGAGGCGTGCGCCGATGCCTTCAACACATTCAGAGTATTACTCTCACGCAAAGCGGTGCCGCCGCAATTCAGGCCAAGCTGCTAACGACGCGCAGGACATTCTCACGAAGCACAAGACATTGGTGGCCGACTATTTGCAGGTCAATTTCGACCGCTTCTTCAAGACGTACAACGCGGTGCTGGTGCAGTCGGATAGCTATGTCACTAAGCGGCAGTCGATCAAGCTGCTCGGCGAACTCCTTCTGGACAGAGCCAACTACAATGTCATGACTCAATACGTTGCGTCGGGAGAGCATCTTAAGATCATCATGAAGCTGCTGCGGGATGACCGGCGGATGATCAACTACGAGGGGTTCCATGTGTTCAAGGTATGTCGATAGTTTAATGATGGTGGATGGATGACTCTAGACTGACGCAGGGCAGGTTTTTGTAGCGAACCCGAACAAGTCGCCGGCAGTGCAGAAGATCCTGATCAACAACCGGGACCGGTTGCTGCGGTTCCTGCCGACGTTCCTGGACGACCGGACGGACGACGACCAGTTCACGGATGAGAAGAGCTTTTTGATCCGGCAGATTGAGCTGCTGCCGCCAACGGCGCCGTAAGTGTAGGTAGAGGTTTAGTTTACAGTATAGACATGACATGTTGTAGATAGAAAAAAAAAAATTAAAAAAAAAAAGTAAAGCAAGCGTCATTTCGCGTCCGCGCGGGCCGTGTACGGTGGGCTGGTTTAGAATCTTGCGGGGCACGTGTTGGCTGGCCTAGGGAGCCGGCGCATCCGACCGGCAACAGAAAGGGTCCAACGCGGCGTGACTTTGCTCGCAGCCTCTGCTTGGCTCTACGTCATGCAGCAGCCGCCGCACCTAGCAATTTTCGACCGAATGGACGGCTCTTCAATTGCGCACTGCTCACCACTAGACAGGCGCCTCGATCCACGTCCACGCTGCATTGGGCCCGTCGCCCTGCTCCTGTCCAGCCCGCCGGCCTGCCTTCCTGCTTAGGCCTGCGATCTTCCCTCTCCCTACCTGTGCCTTTGCCAGCCCGTCATTGCCCTTGTCCCTCTTCCCAAGAGAGAGAGCCCCAGCCGCGCGCTGCTAGCCCGTCGCCCGTAAACTAGCCCCAGTGCCGCCTCTGCTCGCAGCTCTGCTCTGCGCGCAGCCGCTCCCTCTCCCTCTGCCCCTCAGCCTCACTTACTTTTCGCGCCCTGGCTGCTCCGTCGCTTATTCGACCCTGGATACGTCATCGTCGTCGTCGGCCAGCCCAACGCCCGTCCAGGTCTTTCACACCTTGCCTCGCTCGCGCATTCCGCCCGCCGCCATCCTTCCCGCCACCACCTGCTCGCCTTGTCACTCTGATGTGGTCACCGCGCAGCATTGGAACTCGACCAGTCTCAGCTCCAATCGTTTGGCGTCCTCAGAGCAGTGGGCGGTGGAAGGAGACGGGGACGAGATGAACGGAAAATCTCCGTTAGCATCACCGACTGCCGCTCCGTCATCAGAAGGCGCCGCAAGCTCCGACAACGACACGCCCACGCCCACGCAGCAACAGCAGCACGCCCATGCTCGGCGTCCCTCGCTGTCACGCCCGCCGCTGCAGAGATCTTCCTCTTTTGTCATCCCGGCAAGCGATGAAACGCCCACGCTAGACCCCGACCTTGGCCCAGGCCCGTCAGTCGACTCTGACGACAGCGCGACCGACGACTTGCTCGCCGCCCATGCTACACCTACTATCGCCGTCGACGACAGCGCCACCCCGTCGCCGCTTGACGAGGCTTCGACTCCCGAGCAGATACAGACGCAAGAAGAGCTGGACCGTTTGAAGCAGGCCATCCATGCGAAGATGGTCTTGAGCCAGCAGCGCGCTAAACTGAGCAACTTAGGCGCTGCCGCTCCCACAAGCCCGCCCTCGATGGGCGCGCGACGAGTCTCACCGATCAAGGAGGAAAATTCAGACGCGATTTCGCCCTCGCTAGAAGCCTCCTTCTGCAGCCCGTTCCCCACAAGCTCACTAACAACCTCCACCGAATCCACTGAATCGTCGCGAACCATACGCGGCAGTGTCCCGGCGACTCCTGCCCAAATGCCGTTGCGAACGCCTTCGTATCCTTTCCCGTATGTCCCTGGTACTCCGCGCACATGGTCCTCTTCCTTCCACCAACCCTTCACGACCCTGTCTCCGACGGTTAGCGCAATGAACATCAAGGAAGCCTCTTCGCCTTACGAGAGGCAAATGTCGAGCGTCAGCACACCAGCTGCATCGGTAGCGACCTTTATGCCGCCGGGCATGAATCCGCAGGGTGCTGAGAATTCTCAGTACCCTACGCCGAACCTTTACGATCTAACATTGCTTATCAACTCCGAGCCGGGCCTGGACGCCTGGTGGGCTGCTGTTACGAATGTCATGAGAGGATGGTTTGGTGCCGAAAGAGTTACGTTGGCGGTACCGGCAGATGCGACGGATATTGAAAACGTTCCTTGGGGTCAAAAGGCTACCTACAACGTTGCAGGTTCGCTGGGAATGAAACCGACCAAGTCTGCAGGCCTCTCCAAAGGGAACGATGTCAATCGCAAAGACTTTGCTGGAAAAGAAGTCAAGACTGAGCATGTGGATTCGCCACAGCAACCTCTCGAACTGCCAATGAGAAACGTCCGTCCACGGTTGGAAGCGCGCCATTCTTTTGGGGGATACGAACGTGGGAGGAACGAGGGGTCAGGCGATCAGAAGAACAACGGTCCAGCTCGGCCACGAGGTCCACTCCGCACTGCAAGTCATCACCCGCATGCCCTGAACCATCCTGAAGCATTTGTGCCACAGCCAGAGCCCCGACACGAGATTCCGGTACATATCCACAGGCCGCATCTCAAGGAAACGACATTCAGTGACCCGGATTTCTCGAGCGTTGGAGACGAACTGCAAGCCGGACCGTACATCGCTGTCTTCCCTGTACTTCGGGCTTTGGATCATGAGGCACATGCTCTCATTGACAACGCTGGCATCAACCGCATACTGGAAAGGGGAAAACTCGTGACTCTCACTCGTGATTACTCTAGTGCCGAGTCGTCGAGGACAACTTCTGGACATTCATCGAAGAATTCAAATAGTTCTACCGAATCTGTCACCCAACCCAGTAAAGGACAATCAGCACAGCGGAAGCCAGATCTTCGGAGTCGAGCAGGCAACCCCGGGCAGTTGAGCGGAGAGGAACTTTATCGATCCAAACTCACCACGCATTATGAAGAATACGAACAATATCCTTCGTCACCTTGGGCTCAGTCGCCCGCACCATCTCCGGCCATACAGGCCGACCCTAACGAAAACCCTTTCTTTGCAGGAGCGAACGTTGACGAAGATTCATTCAATCCTACCGGTTCTGGTCCGGATTATTCACAGTATGGTCCAGTGGAAGCCATTGGCATTGACAGAGCTAGCACCGTTACTCATTTACCCCTCATTCATCCCATATTGTCACAGGTGATGCAACCGTTTGATTCGGATTCTCCTGCTAGAACACCTGCCGAGTCCGTTTCTTCGCGACCGGACATGTCTACTGTTTCCTCGGATCACCCGAACTTCCAAAGGAAGGCCCCGATAGCCATTCTGTCGGTGCTCTCCTCTGCAGTCCCTTACCCACAGAATCTCACGCAAACCCTTAAACTTTTAGCTCCTCACCTCGCCACCTCTTTCGCCAACTCTCTCCATTACACGAATGCCCAACGACAAGCGTCCGGTTTGCGCCACCGGAGATTTGGCTCAAACCCGAACGTCGGGTTTGCCCCCACAGCTGCGGACACTGAAAGCCTGGAGGATTTGATGCGATTGGACATTGATCAGATCACCGATTCAGCAACAGGCAGCATCACTAGTCCCTCGGAATACTCTAGTCGTTCAACAGGTGGGTCCATCGCAGGTACACCTGGTTGGGATCCGTCGGCACTGGGCTTCACTAGCAAACACTCCGTTGGCAGTACTCCGGGCCATATGGTTGGCACCGAAGTGGTCGACAGCTATTTTGATGCCAAGAAGAAGACTGGTGCGAGCAGATCCAACAGCGCGGCCGCGATAAATCAACAACCAGAAGGCAGTCGAGAACCGTCTGGAGAGCAAAGGCCTGGTCGCAAGGTTGTTTCTATCATGCCTGCCGAGGAGGACGATGTGACCCCTAAGCTTGATATACCGTCGACCTCAAGGCCATCCGGGAAGGAGGGAAAACACAACGGCCCACACTCACACGGCCGTCAAGGAAGCCCATCTCGGGTTACATCGCCCCGGCGGTTCAGCCTTCGGCTCAACCAGTCGCAACAAGGGGATGGGGGCCACAATCGTTCTCACTCTTATTTGCACTCATACGGCGCCGACTTCAGCTCGTCATTCCAATCCTTACCGGCAGCCACCACGCCGTTGCGAACACCCGCTCCGACTAGCCACGGTAGAAGCAATTCCTTGTCGGAGCGCACAGACATGCCACCACCTTCGGAACGCTTGCTTAGGACCATCATTGACTCTCTTCCAGTGCAAGTCTTTACTGCCGCACCAGCCACTGGAGCTCTGACCTGGGTCAACACCAAATTTTTGGTCTATCGGGGCCAAGATTCTCGCCAAGTTCTTCAGGAGCCATGGGATGCAATCCACCCCGAGGATCGCGAGGAGTACATGAGCCTCTGGAACAGGTCTTTACGAACTGGTCAGCAATTTCAACAAAAAGCCCGCGTCCAACGATTTGATGGTCATTATCGGTGGTTCTATGTACGAGCGGCGCCTCTAAAAGACAAGCGTCAGAACATCGTGCACTGGATCGGCACTAACATGGATGTTCACGATCAGCATCTGGCGGAAATCAATGCGGCGCGGCAACAAGAGACGGCAGCTTCAGAAGCCAAATACCGTGCACTAGCGAATTCGAGTCCGCAGATTGTCTTTGCCGTAACTCAATCACGAGGCATCACGTTTTGCAACGGCCAATGGCTGTCATACACTGGCCAGACTGAGGAGGAGGCTTTGGGTCTTGGTTTCATGGACTTTGTCCATCCAGAGGATCTTGTCAAATGTCGTCTCCCCGCGTTCGACAACGATGGCAATGTTCCGAAAAACGTTCCGTTGTCTATGCCATCGGATCTGACACGTTCCGCCTCCATGGCTGACTCCTCCTCTTCCGACGATACATCTACTAATAAGACTGTAACCAGCCCTGGTGGCGAAACCGAACCGTCAGCCATACACATGCCGCAGACGAGGCTCTCTAAGCTCGCAGATACCGGCATCCTGAAGGTCACCAAGGATGCTGATGGGCGGCCGTCTTATTCAACCGAAGTCCGGCTGCGTTCCAAAGATGGCGTGTACCATTGGCATCTGGTTCGGATATTGCTTGCTGAGCCGGTCTTCAGTGAAGCACAAGAAGAGACTTGGTATGGGACGTGCACCGATATCAATGACCACAAACTGCTTGAGCAGACGCTGAAGGAAACCATGGATGCTAAATCAAGATTCCTGAGCAATATGTCTCACGAGATCAGAACTCCTCTGAATGGCATCACTGGCATGGTCAACTTCCTCATCGATAGCAATCTTACGGCAGAACAGATGGAGCATGTCAACATCATCCGCAGCAGTACCGAGGGACTACGGGACTTGATCAACGATATTCTCGATTTGTCTAAGGTCGAAGCCGGCATGATCACGCTTGCGATGGATTGGCTTCATGTCCGATCGCTTATCGAAGAAGTCAACGACCTGACTTCTGCGATGGCGATCAACAAAGGACTAGAGCTCAATTACATCGTAGAAGAAGACGTACCTTCGATGGTCAAAGGCGACCGGTTCCGAATCCGCCAGGTTTTGCTCAACGTCATTGGAAATGCAATCAAGTTTACGCAGAAGGGCGAAGTCTTCGTACGTTGCAGAATCGCTGAGGATCAAGATGCGTCTGTGGAAAGCAGAGAGTCCCTTGTGCAGTTTGATGTCATTGATACTGGTTCCGGCTTTACAGAGAAAGAAGCAGAATACTTGTTCAAACGCTTCAGTCAAATCGACGGCAGCAGCACCAGACAGCATGGTGGTACGGGCCTTGGTCTTGCCATCTCTATGCAGCTGGTTGAGCTTCATGGCGGTAAGATGAAGGCCAGCAGCGTCCCTGGCAAGGGCTCGACCTTCACTTTCACCATCAAGTTTACTCTGCCTTCTGAAAAGGAGCGCCCCCCGCAAGACTCTGCCAGTCATGGTTTTCCGATTGTACCCATTCATAGCACGTTGTCTCCTGCGCTTAGCGAAACAAGCAAATCATCGGCGCCTGCTATACCCTCGCCAAAGGATTCGGCAAAATCGCCCTCCTCGGTCTCGTCTTCTGCAAGTTCCGATCCTTCTGTCAGAACAAACCGTACGAGTTTACCCTCTACCCGGTCTTCAGCATCTTCGTTCACTTCGGACGCAAACGCTTCTGGTATGAAGCTAACACTGCCACTAGATGGGTCTAACAAGCGAACAGAATCAGACGAATCCGTTGCGGAGTCGAACACATCTGTCGACACTGCCAAGCCTAAAATCGCCGTATCGCAGACGCGGACGCCGTCTCCTCTCTCTCAACCTCCGATGTATTCGATCTTGGTGGCTTGTCCTCTGCCGTACAGTCGCGAGGCGACAGTCAAGCACATTGAGATGACGCTACCAAAAACAATTCCCGCGCAAATCACTGCCCGGGAATCTGTCGAAGAAGCCCAGAAGATGATCAGTGGTGATGATCCCGTCATCTTCACCCATGTGGTGCTTGTGTTACATGAGACGAGGGAAGTCTTGTCTTTTATCGACCAGATATTCCGCTCACAAGCACATGCCGCGACTTCTGTTGTCATCATCTCAGATCTCGTGCAGAAGCGAGAGATTATGGGCGAGGCTGCAGAGCACGACTACGATAAGCTGAGCAAGGAGCGCCGCCTGCGCTTCATCTTCAAGCCTCTGAAGCCATCGAAGTTTGCGGTTATTTTTGATCCGCAAAAGCAAAGGGAGATCAGCACGGATCGCAACGAGAATAGTGCCCAACAGGTTGCTGTCAACCAAAAAATGGTTTTCGACGCGATGAAACATAGACTGGGCAACAAGGGACACCGCGTGTTGCTTGTTGAAGATAACAAGATCAACCAGACTGTAGGTCGACTGCCAGTGTTCATCCCACGTTTGTCTAACACACCTTGTAGGTTCTCCTTAAATTGCTTGGCAAGGTTGCCATTAATGTCGATACGGTACTCGATGGCGTGGAATGCACGGACAGGGTCTTCGCCAAAGGCCATCAGTACTATTCAATCATCCTGGTAAGCTTGTGCATTTATACATACAGAATAGAGCTGTACTAATGCGCCATGGACAGTGCGATCTTCACATGCCCAACAAAGATGGATACCAGACTTGCAAGGAGATCCGCAAGTGGGAGAAGAAGAACAAATACCCACATCTGCCGATTATCGCGCTGTCGGCAAACGTCCTGGGTGACGTATACATGAAGTGCGTGGAAGCTGGCTTCAACTCGTACGTGACCAAGCCGGTGGACTTCAAAGAACTGAGCGCTGTGATGACGAGATTCTTGGATCCGGCGGATCCACTACAACCTCACGAATTCATGCGACCGCGAAAAGGCTGAGAGCTAGAGGGAAATTCACATCATGGTGGCGCTATTCATCGCTAGCGTTGCATAAGAAGGGAGACGGCGTATTGGATTCGGCAAAGTGCAGGCAGCAAGCTGGGCGAATGGGAGTCATTCCAGTCGGTCGCGATGCCTTTTACTGAGATATCTGGAATGGAAGGGTATGATTTTTTCGTTTTTTAGTCTGTTTTTTTTTTTTTTTTGTTTTTTTTTTTTTTCGGCGCTTCACGCCCGGGGTTCCTGCGGGATCGGAGGTCATGGCCTTTATGCGAAGCGCGAGTGTGCATGCGGGTGCGAGAGAGAAAGAGAGAGGGAAGGGGACCGAGAGACGAGGAGGGGAATAATGTCTACGCTGCAACATTTTCTTTCGGAAGGTGGAAGGGGGAAGTGGGGGCGAAAAAGAAGCAACCTAGTCATGTGGAAAAGGGCGTGGAGGTTCGGATCAGCAGCCGAGCGCGTAGGAAATTGAAGCATGTCGCCAGACGAGATGAGTCGAGATCAACTCCGCCGCTTGGCGGAGCATGCGGAGATCTGGGCGGCCGTGCCTTGCCCTTTGAGCCGCTGCGCCCAGAGGACCCCGCGCTCGAGCCCGCGAGGCGCCCCGACACTTCATGCCACTCGTATTGTCATCATTAGCTGTGCCCCTCTCGGCGCGTGGGAATCCCCAGGTCTCAGCTGTGCGGCCAAAAATGCTTCGAGCTACCTACACTGCCCACAGCACATAACAACACGCCAAATCCTCACCCGATTTTAGTCTCTCTCTTACAACCTGTCAACCGTTTCGCGCCGTGGTTCACTAGTCGTGTGATCGTCCGTCCAAGCGATCCAGCCCGTTTCATCGTCATCGCGAGCCTGTCCGCGCCTCCGCCATCGCGCTGCTCTCGCATCCTTCGCCTCTGCGCCCTCTCTGTTATCCCCTCGCCCCCACGCATCCTTTCCTTTTGTCGTCGACCAAGCGCACCTCCTCCAACCTCCCTAGCATCTCCACCATACCACTTGCCGCCCATGCGGCTCTTCACTGCAGCGCCCGCGCTGCTTTTCCTCGCCTCGCTCGTCACAGCCGCCAAACAAAGCGATGGATTAAATATAGAATTCACCCGAAACACAACCTGCACGCGTAAATCGCGCGCCGGAGACACCATTTCCGTCCATTATCGCGGCTCACTGAAAAGCGACGGCAGTGTCTTTGACGAGAGCTACAAGAGAGGAGAGCCTTTCCAATTTACGCTAGGCGAAGGATATGTGATAGCAGGATGGGACCTGGGATTGCAGGACATGTGTATTGGAGATGCGAGGAAGCTCATCATACCGCCTGAGCTGGGATATGGAGAGTTTGGATCGGGTCCCATTCCGCCCAAGGCAACGTTGAGTATGTCACTCGAGTCCAGAGTTAGAGACAGTGCGCTGCGACAGGCTGCTAATACTTACCCCACAGTCTTCGACACGGAGCTCATGGGCATCGACGGTGTCAAGCCCGATTCGCACCCACCGAAACCTGATCTCGAGGTTCCACCGCCGCCGCCACCATCGGCCGATGAGGCCAAGCACGGCGACGGAAATGGTCCCAAGGACGGCCATGCCAATAACGACAGCGAATGTCGCCTGCTTGGACCTTTTGCGCTCGTGGTGCAAGCTGCGCTAGGAGGATTGGCTTTGTTGGCCCTGGTCTTCAAGCGCTGGCGGGAGACACCTCGGCGTCCGCTCAAGATTTGGTTTTTTGATGTGTCCAAGCAAGTCGTTGGATCCGGGCTGCTGCACTTGGCGAACCTGTTCATGTCGATGCTCTCATCTGGACGCTTCTCTGTTACGGCGGAGGACAAGCTGAAGGCTGGCTTTTCTCACAAGGAGGAAGACATGCCTAACCCTTGTTCCTTCTACCTCCTCAATCTTGCGATCGATGTAAGCTTCTCATATTAAGTTTTAACTATTTACCGCCAGCTAACAGCGTTGCAGACTACACTCGGCATTCCAATCCTCGTGCTCCTTCTCCGCGTCCTGCATGCGCTGTTCCTCCATACCCCTATCGCCAATCCCCCCGAGTCGATCAAGTCAGGCCACTACGGAACCCCGCCTAGGGCCAACTGGTGGCTCAAGCAATCTTTCATCTATTTTATCGGTCTCTTCGGCATGAAGTTTTGTGTCTTCGTTATTTTCCAGTTATTGCCATGGATTGCGTGGGTTGGCGACTGGGCCCTACGATGGACGGAAGGAAATGAGGCATTACAAATCACTTTTGTGATGTTCATTTTTCCGGTCTGCATGAACGCTGTTCAGTACTACATCATCGACAGCTTCATCAAAGACCCTGCTGGAGGCTCCGGACACGGACCCATTCCGTCGGGTGAGCCAAGCGCAGAGGATGAAGAAAGACAGCGTCTGCGGAGGGGAAGCCTTGACGAAGATGAGGATGACGAGGATTTTACTCCCGGCGGAAACAACATTGATACGAGGGCGAAGAGCAGTGGTCACGGCGCGTTGAAGGAGGCCAACCCTCTCCCGATGCCGGAATACGACCCTGAGGTTGATGGAGCCAGTTCCAGCAGCCCAAGAAGCTCGAAGAGTGGGGCCGAGGTTAAAGAAACGGTCAGAAGATAGGGATGGGGAAAGTTCTTTTTGGGTTGGCGTTTAGGGGGTCGATTGGTACTGCTCTTCATATGAGGAACGATCGAGATTGGTTATTGGGCTTGTTAGGCTTGCGGTTTGGGCGCTTCGTTTCGGTTCAAACACCATACATACACGGAAGCGTTACATACGCGGGCTTTCTGAGGCATTCGATGCTCAAATTATCTGTTTTTCTTGTCATTCATCTGCAGTCAGGCCCATACATATATATATGTGAGGCAGTATCAAGTGTCAAATGTGGGTTGATATTGGATATCAAATACGTGCAAGCACAGTGCAAGGCCTGGACTCCGCTGTACTGAGCCATCAATGCCGTCATAAAGCGCGGGCGATCCACTAACAAAAACGGCTTTGGTTAGCGCCACAGCGCAATGGCGTTGCGGCTAAGCTCCCCGCAATGATGTACGCCGGGGACGCCCGCGTGACGTCATCGGCGATCACGAAAATGCTGCGCGTTCCTGCAGGAAAGAGAAAACTAGCTACGCCATCATTACGATCCATCTCTGCGCTGGGTGTCACACTATTATAAGTTTTGCCTTTGGCGCTCTTTCTTTCTTCTCCATTGAACCTTCCACCCACACATCGCCTCTTTCATCCCTTGCTTTAAACCTCTTTTATCCCGCCCTCCTCCCGCAAAACCTAATCTCATCTTCCACCTCAAACACATTACAATGTATACCTCAAGGGCTGCCATCCGTTCCACCCGCGCGTTACGTGCACGTCCTCTCCGCACTGTTCGCAACGCCCGCTTCCAGTCCACCTCATCGGGGCAGGCCGAGGCCGGCTTCCACCCTGCCTTCGCTGGCGCCGCGGCTGGTCTTGTTGGCGGCTTTGCCGGCGCCTACGGCTTGTACCACTTCAGCGGAACCCGGGACATTGTCAAGAAGTCGCAACAGGCAAAGTCTTACCTCGACTCCGGCATCAACAAGATCAAGGAGAACACACCCGAGCCCAACGAGGCTCTTCAGTACCTTCGCCAGACTGCCGTCTCGTACGCTGCATTCATCCCCGGTGCGAAGCAGTACGTGAATGCTGCCTTTGATGATCTGGATACGATCCGCGGCAAGCACGGTGACGAGGTGGATAAGATCGTCCGCGAGGCTTACACCGAGCTTCAGAAGGTCGCACAAGGCGGTGCCAACCTTGAGACGGCCTACAAGGCATGGGACGTCATCCAGAAGCACCTCAAGCGTGTCGGCGAGCTTGCAGGCGATGCTGCTCAAGACATCATCAACAACCACCCCGAGTTGAAGGAGAAGCTGGGCGGTCGTCTCGACCAGCTGAAGCAGATGGGTGACCAGTACGGCCCCGAGGCCAAGAAGCAGGTCGACCAGACCTGGGAACAGATCCAAGACATCGTTAAGAGCGGTATCAGCGCAGACAGCGCAGACAAGATCAGGAAGCTGGTGCAGGAGAAGGTGGAGCTTGTGAAGAAGATGGGCGACGAGGCCTGGAAGAAGGGTATGGAGCAGGCCAAGCCCTACCTCGACAAGAACCCCAAGGTCAAGGAGATCGTCGAGCAGAACGCCGATGCCCTGAAGCAGGGTGATCTTTCGGGCCTGTGGGAGCAGGTGCGCTCGGCCACCGAGTCAGGCGACACTGGCAAGCTCAAGGACTTCATCAACGAGCAGACCGACAAGGCGAAGAAGAGCGGCTTCGGTGGTCTTGACCAGTACCTCAACAAGATCCCTGGCGGTGACCAGCTCCTTCCTAAGCTTGGCCAGTTGCAGGAGATCGCCAACAAGCACGGCAAGGAGGCCGAGCAGCTGCTGAGGGATACGATCGACGAGCTGAGCCAGGTCCTCAACAAGAAGAGTGAGGATGCGAAGAAGATCGCCGAGAAGGCTAGCAAGGACGCTAAATAAGTGCCTGCTGATGGATTTTACGCTGCAATGACCGGTGTCTCGGGCATAGGGATGGAGTGATGACTACTTTATAACGATACCCGAAAATTCGGCCACATGATTTCAATGACAGTTCGATAACTTTTACTTTTTTGATGTGGCTGTTCAAGCTTGTGGAATGTGATGTTTAGGAGGACAAAAGCAACAATTGTGCAACAGATTCATGACAATAGATAAGAGTAGCACTGGCAGTTATCCTCTAGCATACCTACTTCATGCTTCGGCAGGTTGGGCACGGATGTTGGCGATATACATTGTTAATGTAGACTCATTTACTTAAAGTCTTTCGAGTAAGAAGCCGGATTCTCACGAGAAGATTGAGATCCATTAGAAAGGCACCAGAAGACAACTCATTAACCGTGACTCCATCTCCCTGCCTCAAGCGCTTTCCCTGATGGCCTTGTTCGCATTGGCGACGGCTTCCTTGGCCTTAGTGACCTCCTCAGTAGACGCAGCGCCGCCATCCTCCTTGTTTGCCTCCTACACCCCGTTAGCCATTTCCTAAAACACCTAATAGAGGGAGCCAGGGAACAAGAACTTACAAGCAGCTCCTCAAGCTGGGCGAGGGCATCCTGGATCTTTTGACGCACAGAGGGGAGCACCTTCTTAGTCTCGTCCAGGGCTTGGCGCTGTTACACAAAAACACCGGTTAGTAGAGTTGAATGCAAAAATGGCATCGTCTTCCAGGACGGCGGATTAGATGCGCACCTCCTGCTTCAGTTGGTACTCGGCATTCTCGTCACTGGTGCTGCTTTCGAGCTTCTGGATCCGCGCTTGCTGCTGCTCAAGCTCCTTGTGGTAGCTGGCTTCTTCTTTGACGAGACGCACGACGGAGGAGGTCGCTACGGCGAGCTTGGATGGGGGAGCCATGTTTGCGCGATGGGGTGGGTGGGCGGTATGATGTAGGTATGGAGGTGCAGACAGCTCTGGCGCGATGATGTCTTATTGGTGGGGCAAGGCACGAGGGGCTGGCTGGCTGCTGCAAGCACTTTACGCGGGGGCGACGCGAAAAGCGCGGCGACGGCGGGCACGCGCGTCGAGCCCGTTGCTTGGCTGGACGCTCGGACTTTGTTTGTGTCGCGGCGGGCCCGTCGAAATCTCTCGCTCAGACCCCATCTGCTCTCTCAAACACGCGGGCGCTCTCCACACAAACACTCAGCCCGCAACGCAATGTCTTCGCCAGCACCCAGGCGCTCGCAGCGCGCTTCCCAGTCGGCTACTCCCAGGCGGAGCACCCGCAACTCGCAAATTCCTGAAACCAGCCCGTCCGCTGCTGCTCAGCCGCAGATTTCGACACCCTCATCGAGGCTCCAGCACCAGAATGTCCCGGCTTCTTCGCCGCTTTTCTTTCAGTCGTCCCCTGCTAATGGCGCGGGCCCTTCTAATGGCGCCGATGCTCATACGCCCGGCAGAGAGCCGCTGAATGATGTCGACGGCGACAGGACTCCGAGAGCTTCGGCTATGAACGCTGCTGGTAAGTCTGACGTATGCACCGTCGCCGAACTTGATTGACGTTGACGATTCAATTAGAATCTTCTCCCATCCGCTACGCTTCTAGTTCTAGCCCTGGGCGCCGTGAACCCCGGAGTAGTAGCAGTGCCCTCTTTGTCGGAGCACCGAGTAGTGCCCGCAACCGCCGCAGCGACATAAACTCCGATGCGTTCGGCACCTCGAGCGCTCGTGGCCGGAGGCTTTTTGTGGACGAGAATGGCAACACCGTTGGTTCGGGCACTCCTTCTGACGTCGCGACCTTCTCGAACCTTGACCCGCAAACCTCGGATGCCGAGATCATGGGCGGCGACTCGACTAGAGTCATTTGGGGTACCAATGTCTCTATTCTGGACTCGATGAACGCTATGAAGGACTTCCTCTTCAACTTCCAGAAGAAATACCGCATGATCCAGGACGGCGACTTGCAAGAGGGAACAAACTTGCCGCAAGACCACCCCGGCAGCATAAAAGAGTACACGGAGCTGATGCGGACGATGCTTGACCTGGGTGTTACCGCACTCAACCTCGACGCGCGGAACCTCAAGGCCTACCCTCCGTCTAGGAAACTCTGGCACCAGCTGCAGGCGTTCCCGAACGAAATCATCCCGCTCATGGATGTGGCAGTCAAGGACGTCATGGCCGAGTTGGCAGAGAAGCGCATGAACGAGCTGCGACAACAGGTGCAGCAGCAAGGCCAAAGGCCGCCGAGGACTAGAGACTCTAGCTCCTTGCCTCCGGCGCCGAGCTCCGATATGGATGCCCCAACGCCTCAGGTTGATGCTGGTGCCGCTGCTGGTGCCGCTGCAGATATTCCGGACCTCCTTCGAGAAGTCGAAAGCAAAATATACAGAGTCAGACCGTTTGGTCTGGACAAGACGGTTAATCTGCGCGAGTTGAACCCCGGTGGTAAGTCAGGATTCACATGCTGCATGAACTGTACTGACGAAATTCAGATATGGACAAGCTGGTAATATAACCCTTCCTCCTCCTCCTCCTCCTCTTCTTCTTCTTTCTCTTTCTCTTCTTCTTCTTCTGTCTCTCTCTGTCCTCCCCCTTTTTTTTTCGAAATTTTTTTGACATAATAATTAGGTCTCGATCCGTGGCATGGTGTTGCGCACGACGAGTGTCATACCCGACATGCGGGATGCGTTCTTCCGCTGCTCCGTCTGCAATCATACTGTTAAGGTTGATATTGACCGTGGCAAGATTGCTGAGCCGACCGAGTGCCCGAGGCCGGTGTGCAAGTCGCCGAATTCGATGCAGATTGTGCACAACAGGTCTGGCTTCTCGGACAAGCAGGTCATCAAGCTTCAGGAGACTCCTGATATGGTGCCAGACGGGCAGACTCCTCATTCGGTCTCCCTGTGGTAAGTCTCTTTTTCATAAACTACCCCCCTCCTCCCCCTTTTTTTTTATTTTTATTTTTATTTTTTTCTTATTTATGTTATCTCTTAACTAATATAACAACAGTGCATACGATGAACTCGTCGACGTGTGTAAAGGTATGTTGCATAGTCCTCCCCCCCACCTCCCCTCTTCCCTCTCCCTGCTCGCCGCCACCTAACACTATCCATCTCGTTTTACATCATCCATTTCGAAGACTTTTAGATGCTTCAACTAACATCATTAGCTGGTGATCGCGTCGAAATTACAGGCATTTTCAAATGTAATCAGGTCCGCGTTAACCCCAGACAGCGCACAGTCAAGAATATCTTCAAGACCTATGTCGATGCCCTGCACATCCAGAAAGTGGACAAGCGCAGGATGGGTATCGACACCAGCACGATTGAAGAAGAGCTCTCTGAGCGGGTCGTCGGTGATATTGAGGAGACGCGCAAGGTCACCGAAGAGGAGGAAGCCAAGATCAAGGAGGTTGCAGCTCGTCCCGATGTCTACGATCTCTTGTCCCGTTCCCTGGCGCCCAGCATCTATGAGATGGACGACGTCAAGAAGGGTATCCTGCTACAGCTGTTTGGTGGCACTAACAAGTCGTTCGAAAAGGGTGGCAGCCCTAAGTACCGTGGCGATATCAACATTCTTCTCTGCGGTGACCCATCCACAAGCAAGTCGCAACTGCTGCAGGTAAGTTAACAGTGGCCTATTTACTTCCAAGCTCTTCACTAACTCTCTTCCTAGTATGTGGTAAGTCAGCGTTCACCCCTACCCCGGTATTCGACAGTGAATTTGCTTACGTAAGCAGCATAAACTGGCACCCAGAGGAATTTACACCAGCGGCAAAGGCAGTTCAGCTGTTGGTTTGACTGCCTCAGTTGTTCGCGACCCAGAGACTCGCCAGCTGGTCCTTGAATCTGGTGCTCTTGTTCTGTCTGACGGGGGTGTGTGCTGCATCGACGAATTTGACAAGATGAACGACTCCACTCGCTCTGTCCTACACGAAGTCATGGAACAACAAACCGTCTCCATTGCCAAGGCCGGCATCATCACGACTCTTAATGCCCGTACCTCCATCCTCGCCTCCGCCAACCCTATCGGCTCCAAATACAACCCCAATCTCCCTGTCCCGCAGAACATCGACTTGCCCCCAACGCTTCTCTCTCGTTTCGATCTCGTCTACTTGGTCCTTGACCGCATTGACGAACAGAATGACCGCCGTCTGGCCCGTCATTTGGTCAGCATGTACCTGGAAGACAATCCTGACAATGCTAGCACCAACGAAGTACTACCAGTCGAGTTTCTCACCGCTTATATAAGCTACGCACGCGCAAACGTGCAACCACGCCTCAGCCAACCTGCTTCGGAGGCGCTAGTAAACGCGTACGTCGCTATGCGCAAGCTGGGCGAGGACGTGCGCGCGGCAGAGCGCCGCATCACAGCGACGACGCGTCAACTGGAATCGATGATCCGGCTGGCGGAAGCACACGCAAAGATGCGGCTGAGCGAGACAGTCGAGGCGAGCGATGTCGAAGAGGCGGTGCGCCTGATCAAGTCGGCGCTGAAGCAGGCGGCGACGGATGCGCGGACGGGACTGATCGACATGGCGTTGTTGACGGAGGGGACGAGCGCGAGCGAGCGCCGCCGGAAGGAAGACTTGAAGAACGCGGTGTTGAGCACGTTGGATGAGATGACGAGGGCGGGCGGCGCGGTCAGGATCGCGGATGTGGTGAGGAGGGTTGGTGAGGGCGCGAGTATTCAGGTTGAGGGCCAGGAGGTTACGGAGGCGTTGAGGGCGCTGGAGGCAGAGGGCAAGGTCATGCTTTCTGGTGAGGGTGCGAGAAGGAGTGTTCGGAGGGTTACGGGAGTGGCGTAGGCTGTGTGAGAGCTGAGTTGTGTTGGGGTGGAGATGAGATGGAGATAAAATGGCTAAAGTCAGGGGACTGGATACACGAAGAAAAGATAGCATGGGTGGTGGGACGGTTGGGTTTGAAGGCTTTCGGCCTGGGTGGCTGGCTGCCTGGTTGGCTTTTGTATGGCTGGTTGCTTGCTATGACATAGTAGGGTAGGGCATGATATCCGTTGCAATGAAACGCGTTTACGAAGGGCTGTGCCTTGCCCATGTGTGTATCTCTGTGTTTGGCACAAAGAACTGAAGACTCAGAGAGGAGTGTAAAGGTTGTGTATTGCTTCGCAGCCTGCAGATAGCACTAGCTATAGATTCTCGAGTTGGTGCGAAGAGAGCGCGGGTGAGTGAAGTTGTGTGCATACGAGAAAGAGCTAGGGATAAGTGTTAAGCAGCGTCTCAGAGTTCCGCTTCTGGCTCTTTCGTGGAGGGCCCATGACTGCGTTGCGAGGCTAACTGACGAATAGGGTAATGTTGCCATTACATACCTTGGCGCGCTCGGGGGCGTTGTTGTGTCTGCCGCCGTGTATGCTTGGGTGCTGCTGGTGTGGGGGTGAGGATACTGCCCTGCCTGAACCTGCGAGCACATGGGAACTTGGTCGAGCGTGTTTGGCAATAGGCTAAGCCCACAGGACCGAAAGAGTACTTGGAGATGCTCTTACTGTAAATGTTGGCGACATAATGACAAGGAGGCTTCGGATGTTAGGTTGTTTGTGTTTGGTTGTTTGGATGCTATATGCACCGATGTGGCTGTGCATCTTTGCGAGAAGGCATACACTGACCTGCTTGGAATGTACGATGAATCGCACTTGGCTGTTGAACGGACTAGGTACGCCATGACTAACCACTGATCACGGTGCTTGCAGACTTCGAGGAGACGAGTTCTATAACTGAAGTCAAGAAAACAGAAGCATTCATCATACCATGCTACTTGTCTTCGAATCTATAAGACACCTTTGATAATTTAGTGTCCTCTCGGTTTTGGTCTTAATTAGGAGACACTGCCAGTCAAAAGTTTTACCATCACCTGCCGACAATCGAGGTGGATAAGAGCATTATCGAACTATGTTGCGATGGTGCAAAAAGCAAAAACATACGGCAGCTGGGATTCGCTAGTGGTCACCCACCTAACTACTAATCAGCCGGTTCAAGGCTTGTGTATGGCAGAGCGGACGGGATGCCCAATTCTCCTCGACCTATGGTCGTATGTGTCAATTAAAGCTGCGCGGGATGTTTATATTAAAAAAATACTTTGGCGCATAAGTGCTTGTTGACAAGACAGTAAGAAGTAACGCCATCCCTACTTACTGTAGAGGCCTCAAATGTGATAAACAAGTATTCCTATCGGCGGAGAGAGAGAACAATAGCACATACAGGTAGAACGGCCACATGGATGAAACAGAAGACACCAGGCCGCGAAGCCAAGAGCAGGGAGTGCAGAAAAGCAGGCGAAGATAAAGCGGGTTTTGAAGAGGCTAAAGGTCCGGCCCGGTTATCGTGGCCGGAGGATGCGGGGTAGAGTACTCTAGGATCAGTGCCTCCGCACGTGGGGGTCGCTGATCTCTTTCGTACTGAACGACTCCGACCAACTTCCATTAACAAAACAAAAGAAATACTCGTACGACCCCAAAGAAGAGCTGCGGCTCTCTACATTCCGGCTTATGTCTGTCTGATATTTGGTCATGGGGTTGACACGGCATAGCAGATCGCCATCCGCGATCCAGCTTTCCCCGCAATCTCGTTTCCATCATGCAGCGAACGTCACTGCGAGGCGGGCTGACGGGATTGAAGTTTAGCCACAGTTGCACGGTATGCGGTTGATAAGGAAACATCCTCGGCAAATGCGTACGACGTACATTCGACTCCGCTTTTGCCTCATTGCCCTCCATGTCAGCAGCACCTGGCCTGGTGTTCTCGTTCCTTGCTCCACTACAGCAGCATTTTGCTTTTCGATTGCAATACGTACACAATGCCTATCTTCAAGTCCCTCCACCCAGATGTTACCAGTATGTATACTGCTTTCAGCAGCCAGAGGGAATCCCCAAAACTCTTTGCTAACTGAATATCAGTTCCCACTGACCTCACCACCTGGGACTGGCTCTTCGACTCCTCCTATTCGCCTCTCTCGCATTCTTCAGGCCCCGGCCTCGCAGGCTACCAAGATGCGTTCACCGGCCAGCGTATCAATTGGGCGCAAGTCAAAACGGCGACGACGTACGTGAGCACCGCGTTGGTGAAGAAGTACAGCCTTAAGCCCGGCCAGACAGTGTCTTTGTTCAGCCGCAACACGATACAGTATCCCATAGCCATGCATGGAGCTCTGCGAGCTGGTATGTCTAGTGTCTACCGTCGTAGACATAAAGCGCAACTTTTGCGCCTCCGAACACATCTTGCTGACGGTGTGAACAGGTGCAATGGTCTCAGGGGCCTCTCCGGCTTACAATGTCGAGGAAATGGCGTACGCGCTCAAGATCGCGAAAGCAAAGTTCTTGATGACTTCGCCTGGTTCAATGGAGGTTGCTACATTGGCAGCTGAGAAAGCTGGCTTGCCTAAAGACCATTTGTTCCTGTTAGAGGGGAAGATGGAAGGCTATACCACCGTCGAGGAGCTTGTTGAGATCGGAAAGAGCTATGGCGAGCAGGGTCAAATTGCATCCTTCAAGATCCCTAAAGGACTGACGAATAAAGACCTGTGTGGATTTCTGAGTTTCAGTTCAGGAACTACCGGTCTTCCGAAAGCTGTAAGACTTACCGACGCCTCCCCACCGACCTAAGCATATCTGGAAAGTCCCTAACAGACGACTAGGTGATGATATCTCACCACAACGTAATCGCGCAGGCTCATCAAGTCCAGCCACTCACATCACCAGACAAGAAGAAAGTCCTGGCCGTCCTGCCCTTCTTCCACATCACCGGCCTCATCCACATCCTACACGTCCCGGTCCTTTTCAACGCCGAAGTCTACATGGTACCTTCCTTCACTATGGCCAGCATGCTACAAGCAGTCCAAGACCACCAAATCGATGATATGCTCGTCGTCCCGCCAATAATCATCCGTTTGGTGCGCGATCCGATCGTCAACAACTACGACCTTAGCTGCGTGAAGCGGTTCAGTTCTGGCGCAGCCCCTATGAGCCCTGAGATCATCCAGCTGCTGGAAAAGAAATTCCCTGGTACGAGCTTGACGCAGGGGTATGGGATGACGGAAAGCTCGAGCTGCATCACGGCGCATCCATCTGAGGAGGAAGGGTACCAGCATGCCCATAAAGTCGGGACTATCGTGCCAGGGACGGAAGTAAAGATCATCAAGGAAGATGGAACGGAGGGTGATGTTGGTGAGCCGGGAGAGATCTTGGCGCGCGGTCCTCAGGTGGTGATGGGGTATCTGGACAACGAGAAGGCGACTCGCGAGACTTTCGATAAAGACGGCTGGCTGCATACCGGCGACCAGGGCGTCATTGACAAAGACGGCTACATTACGATCCTTGACCGAATCAAGGAGATGATCAAAGTCAAGGGCATCGGTGTAGCGCCAACAGAGCTGGAGGACCTACTTCTCGGGCATGAGAAGGTGGAAGACTGCGCAGTGATGGGGCTGTTAGATGATTATGCGGGGGAGTTGCCGAAAGCATTCGTGGTACTTAAACCAGGCTTGACAGCGGGCGAGAGCATTGGACGAGAACTGTTGGCGTATGTGAAAGAGAAGAAAGTGAGATATAAGCATGTCAAGGAGATTGAGTTCGTGTCGGAAATACCCAAGAGCGCAAGTGGCAAGATTCTCAGAAGAGTGTTGAGGAACAGGAAGAGTGGTACTGAAGACAGTATTGTTGTTAGAGATACGCCTAAGGAGAGGGCTATGTTGTAAGCGTACAGTGTCGAGAAGACTAGAGGTTGAATCGTTAGACCTGTCATTGGCATTCTGCAGCGACATTGGGTAGTCCGGCATATGTTTCACGGAACAACTCTTTCTTAGGACGAAGAAGTTGATAAATGCGTTGGACTTACACTTTGAGGCGCATCGCCATGGCGAACACGTGCATCATATAACGCCTTTTACTCACTTCGAACTCTGAACCCTCCGAAGCCAAGATCCTTTGAGCATGCGATCAAGGGACTCTCTTCTCACTGGGCGCAATATCACCTCCGCTCATATTAAGACTAGAGCCTATATGAAATGAGACAGTCAGATTTACCCGAGGCCACCGTACTATACGCACGATGATGCATGTTGCGGGCCGGTGCTCGGAGAAAAGAGGGAACAGAGCTCTTGCTGTAGTAGGTAGCTTTATCCAACAGTGACGCAGAAAGCCCGCGGCATTGCCTGCTGAAGAATCCATGCGGGCCTTGTAACTCATAATCAGGAGAGCGCCACACGGGATCAACTTCCACGGTTACCACACCTCACGGTGTCGAACTTCGGGTGGGCTCCAGAGACTGCCCTTGCGGTCATTGGCCATGAGCGAAACGGGAATGGGAAAGGACAAGCCGCAGTCAATGACGCTCACCCGCGAAATCTTTGGTTCTCCCGGATTATCCTAGACATTGAGCCGCTTTCCTGGGGTGCTGTAGATCTGAACCCATGAACGAAGTCGATGTACGACGGCGAGGCTCACGCCCCTGGGTTGGCTAGTCCCAAGGGCTGTGGTATCGGCGCAGTGTTGACACGAGATAAGACGCCCGAAAGCGGTTATACTGTCTGTAATTTTGTCGGGAGCGTTATCGGGAGCGTTGACATCTAGGCAGTGCCAAGGAAGAGAAGTGAGGTGTCACATGTACCAAGGTAGCGGTAAAGGAAGGGGCAGTCACCTTCGACCAACCTGCTCACCACCTAGGAAGCCACATTCCCTGACCGACTGCCAGGCAGCAGGCAGCAGAGCAGTCACTCCTTCCTAAGCGATCTCGCTTCCGCTCCGCTAGCGTCCCTCCGTCGTGTATATAAACCCCCTCCCCCTCGCCCAACCTGCTCCTCTTTTTTTCTTCATACTTACCTTGTTGGAGTCGCCGTGATCAAGAAGACGGTCGACTTGCTGGTCTGCCCTGCATTGCACAACGCGGCGGCGGGCTGGTATGAATCTCCTTCGGGGGCTTCACCGGCGCAATTTTTGCTGTTCACCTTTTTCAGAAGGCTTTTCATTGTTGCTTTCGCCTGGCGCGAGACTTCGAGGAAGACCCGATTCTGGCATCACTTCAAGCTGTCCCTAAACCTCTTGCAGCAAGACGTCTCTTCTTGTTCTTAGGTGGGAGGTTGGCTGCCGACGTCTTGTTTCCCAATTACGCCTCTCGAAGGTCCGGTTGCTGAAAGGTGTTGAGGTCAAGGTGGCGGATACAGGCACAACGCGGTGCTGTAAACCACTGCCTTCTGGGAATTCGGGTATGTACTTGCAGCCTTGTGTCAATTCAGGTCAGTGGTGTACGACTCTCATGGCGAGAGAGTTAAGTAGCGTGTGTCTATCAGAGGCAGAGCTACGTCAAGCCTGCGTGTACCGTGACGCGGACAACAACTCTTTTAGAAGCGAGATGTTTTCGCTAAACAGCAACCTACATGTGCTACCAGCATCACGTTTGGATCTCCAAATCTCGCATTGAGCTGTTGCGACAAGTGGTGATGACGTGAGGTGAGCTCCCCAGGCAGTTCCCACCATTCCAAACGCGACATTGTTGCTTGCGCTCGCCTAGCAACCATCCCCCAACGTCTACTCCAGAGTACGGTCATCGCCGTATCTTTCCATGCTCTTCGGTCCTATTCAGTATTCTTCGCCGGCACACATCTATGTCGGCTCCGATCGAACCTTCGCTTACGGTGTTCTGGACGCCGAATACAGCTATGACATCTCCGACGAAGCCGCGCTTGAGCTTGGACGCCATGGCCTTCTCGCTGCCATGTACTACGTACGAAGATGCTTACTACTCCAGCGGTTGCCGTATTCTCACTTCAGGGACACCAAGGAGGATGGCTGGGTCGAGCACGGTTTCAACGACACCATCCCCATTCTTGGGAAGACGAAACTGGAGGAGGATAAGCCGACTGAGGCCGCAGTGGACATGCAGCAAGCCAGATGACGGCGGTCATACAATGAAGTCGGGAACAATAGGGGCTTCGGATGTGGCGCATAGAGCCGCCGGCTGTAATTTGTCCATGACGGTGATACTAGCTTCAATAGAGGGGTTAGCACGACAAAGTGCCTTGTGCAGCCCCTTTGTTCGGACGAGTTGCAGGAGTACAGCATTGCAAATTGACGCCCCCAAAGAAGATCACAATACCAGCATTGCGAAGGAATCTGACGTAGCAATATCCCAAAATTACTCCCGAACAGGCGAAGAGGCTCGTCCCACTAGGGCGGCTCGAGCGCGTGGCACGCGAAGTCCGAAGCGCCTGTCCCGCCGCGCTGCCCCAGCGATCTGCATCACGAGCCATACGAAAGCGCGCAGCACAGCCAACTTTCTCTCTTTCACTGCTCCACGAACTTCTGCGCGCCTGCAGGTGCAAGTCTGACACTCTCACCCACAGCCATCGGCGTCGGCATGTCTATGTGATTCGCCTGCGCCATGTCCGTCTCGCCCGAGCCCTCCAGCCCGGATGCCGCTGTACCCCAAGGCGCCGCTAGTCCTAACGTTCGGCGCTCGCACACGCTTCCCACGCGGCTCAGAAGCGCGTCGAGCGCATCCGCAGATTTCCCTGCCCCTACAGATGGAGTTGAGGCTCTGTTCACGCACGCTTTCGCAAGGGTAGTCCTGTTCACGACGCCTTCCCACTCTCGGCCCTCGTCGAGCTCCAGCAATCGTACCATCGGACGAGGCGACAACAAAGAAAACCCCGTCACCTTCCCTTGGGTTTCGCCGACGGAGACGACCGTCGCAGCAGGTTTGTACAGCTGCCCAGACTCTACCAGACAGTACTAACTGCCCCTAGGTCCGCTTCGGTTATATCGCGTCCCCGGCTCTGTGGCTTTCTTACACTCTGGATCACTGTTACACGCGATTCTTCCCAGATCGCAGTGCTGGTGCGTCGATGGAGTATCCAAGTTCGCATTGCGCATACCCCGGCCCAATTCCTACTACCGGATAGAGCTGCCTGGTGACGGAGAAGACAATCTCGCAAAGGTTGAGGATTTCAAGCGCGTCCTGGAGAAGGTGCTATTCTACGAGAAGACCATCTGCCCGTTCAGCCGTGGATTCCATGTAGATCTGCCAGAGCCGCCGCCGACACCGCCCCGTCGTAAAAGGCCAGTTACTCCAGGAAAAGCCAAGCGGTGGAGGTTTGACAAGACATGGCAGCCAGAAGAAAAAGCTCGTGCTGTAAGCCAGGGAACAGAAAGGTCGTTTGGATCGGACTCTAGCACCCTCTCTGTGTCTGAGGAATACGACAGGCGTAGCAGCGTCTACTCGGACAGTACGATCGGAGCGGATAATGTTTCCGAAGAGACGGAGAAGGTATCTCCTCGGACTGTCGCAGGTTCAAGCAGCAATAGGCGATCACTCACATCTCCCGCCCAGCTTTCGTCCGCGCCAATCACTATCCCAGGCGCGTCCGGTGATGAGCCGTCTGACACCTCTGACGACTCCGCGAGTCTTTCGTCCACCGTAAATTCTTTTTATTCCTTTGACGAAACTGTTAGGGGCCAAGGTTCGCGCCCGTCGTCGATATACTACGATTCGGCGTCAATTTACCAGGAGTCTATTTATCCCAGAGAAGAGGATACGTCGAGGGATGCAGAGAATGTCTCGAACCCTCGGCATAAGCGGGAACTCTCCGAGCTGACAATCACCGCCGACAACCCGCATCTCAGCGAAGACGAGCGGTCACCATTTACACCGCGTGTGCCAGAGATCCACTTGCCATCTTCCCCTTCAACGCCGACGTTGATGAGCGATTCCGATTCCGCTGTTGACATGTCATTGCCGGAACTGGCCACGCCCCCTGATACTATCAGAATGCGCAGACTGACCGGCACCTCTGCCAGAAGAGCTTTCTCTCCGATGCCATTAGCTGCAAACATCCACGCTCCCCCGCAGGACTCCAGCCCTAGACAGGATTTAAGCGTTGCTTTGGTACAGAAGACAATGGGCTTGCTGATTGGCCCTCCTGCTCATCTAGTTGCGTTGATGCTCCGCATTGCTGCACGCATTGCCAATGGCAACACGACCGCCGACACGTGGAGCCTCCACAAAGGCAGAAGCATTCCGGGGGCGTGGCAGTGGAGCGAAGACGAGGGAGACGAATGGGATGAGGACGATTACGGCATCCCACTCCGCACGCTAAAACGGGACTCAACCGGATCATCCGAAGTTGACTAGGAAGCACGGGGTTACGATAGACGGCGGTCTGGTGGCGAGAAGTGCTTTATATCATTGGCGTTGTTGGATACCAGCCATCCGATGGCCATCTCGGAGCAAGGCAGCTAATGGGCATCTGTTGGGGCGTTGTCGGATCTTTCTGTTTTGGGTATACCATTCCGGGGGACAGTCTGGAGGTATTGACGCCCTGAAGGTTGGCAGCTTACATATGCACCTAATAAAAAAAGTATACGTGATCATTCTCGGCTACGCCTTGCACCTACCTACATTGAAATTCAAGACAGACCATACGCCAACGAAAGAGCAGCAACTGTTTATGCTAACTCGAGTGATTGGTCCTAGATATGAGCAGGAAAGCTAAGTGTTTTGGCTTGCCGATACGAAAAGTACCCCAGCAAAGGGCGCTCACGGGCAAGGCTAATGGAGTGGTACAGATATAATCCGCATCTTACGTACTCCAGGGAGAAGAAGGCTTCCAGACGCTTTCACTCGCGCATGCATCTCGACATGCACATGCAGCGCAGCGGGCACTAAGCGGCAGCAGTGATTGGCCTCGAGGCAAGCCAAGCGCAGGCGAGCCGATCCGATCCCCGCTCGCGCACATGGCGTCGCCGCGTCGGCGTTCTCAGCAGCCCTCCCCCACCACGACACTAAGCCGCTGCACGTCATCATCATTGTCTTGTCACTGCTGCTTTCTTACTCTCACCCCCACCCTCACTCTCACTCTCACTCTTGCTTTGCCTTGGCTTGCCGTCGTCGGCTTGTCGTGAATAGGTAGGGCCACGAGACGCAGCTGCTGCCGTTGGGGAGCCGGTCAGGGCGTCGTGTGCCCCGTCCTGGTGGCAGCTGTGGGTGGGCTGCTGTGGTGATGGGACGCTGGACGGCCATGGCGGATGACGGATGACGGATGATGGCCGGCTGGGGACAGGGAGATGTGGTGGAATGATCGGATGCAACAATGGAGAGAGGTACGTGTTGTATGTACATAGCTATACACTTACATAGAAGTAGTTCCCAATCGTCTTTTTAACTCCGCCTCAATCGGGTCCCCCATGTTCCAAGGATGGCCGTTGGAAAAAAAGAGGAAAGTCGGGAAAAAACAGCACGCGTTCGTCAGGCGTCCCAGTCCGTCACGATCGTCTCCAGGTGTCACGGGCGCCTCCTCATCCTTCGGCAGCGCAGCCGCCGCACGCACGCGCGCAACGCAGCACAGCACAGCGCGTTGGGCAGCGGCCAATGGCGGCGCAGCAGCGGCTTACACACCCTCTCACCGCGCAAACCAAAGCACAGCACCGTGACATTGGTGGCTGGAAAAGGTGGCAGGCAGGGTCCAAAATGCCAGCCTCATCATTGTTGCTGCTCGCAAACCAAGGCCTGCAGGCGCCTGTACAGGCCCGCCTATTGTCTTGCTGCTTGCAGAAAAAAACAAGCTTGCGGCTGCGCCTCCGATGCTGGCGCGCCTGCTGCCTCTCCACTACACCATGTCATGGCTTGCGCAGGGAAAGCGCTGCAAAAGAGCGTGGCGGGGCAGCTGCAGTTACGTAGCCGCTGGAAGTATATCAGCGACGACCGGCCACCTACTGTGTGTTGTATGTGTGTATGCTCGCCACCCACTTACTCGCTCGCTCCCACTACCACCTGCTCTAAAAGTCGGCGCGGATCATTTGCGGCTCCTGTCGTCACTTGCCGTCCCGGGTCCCTCCCAGTACCTACCTACCTACCTACCTAGGTACCCTCCCTCTCCACCATGCCGACTTCCCACCACTACGCGGCGCTGGTGTCGCCCTCACCCTCGCCGCCCCCGCACTTCCATCCCCGGCCACGGAGCATCAACTCGTCACTGCACCGCGTCCCGAGCAGCCTGAGCAGCTACAGCCGGAGCTCAAGCAGGTGCAGCAGCAGCTCCAGCGACTCCACGCCGCGCGCCAGCGCCAGCGCCAGCGCGACGCTGTCTCCGTACCCGCGCCCGCGCCCGCTCCCAGACCTCCCGGCCCGTCCTGCCTCCACCTCTTCCTCGCTCTACTCCGACGCACCGGAGCCCATCCTCTGCATCATCCGCGAAATCGACGACCATCTGAGCGGCTTTGCGCCGCAGCAACAGCAGCACAACAACCACAGCGCCCCACTATCCGCCCGCCCAACCCTGCGCAAGAAACACTCCCCGCGCAGGGAGTCGCTGCGGGAGCTGCGCAACCGCGACTCCGAGGCTAGCCTGCAGCTGGCGTACGAGCGGCAGCTGGCGAGCTATCTGGACGGGAGCTGGTTCCGGTCGACGCGGAGGCGGGGCGTGGATGGCGAGTTGGAGGGGGTGTTGCCGCCTTGAGGTCAGAGCGTGGGGTGCTGGGATGTGTTTGTTTGTTTGTTGGGACGAGGTGAGTTGGTTTTTGTCTGTGTGTTGAGGCTCGGACTGTGCTGATTGCTGTGCTGCAGTGTGAGAACGTGTGAGTTGACATCGTCGCCGCTGAGCTTGCGGGGACTACCTACCTACCATACCTGCTGGTTGTGCGTGCCGAGCCATGGCATACCAGTCCAGACCTGCACGCCAGAGCAATCCGCCACAAGCCAGGCCGCAATCCGCCGCAGGAGCAGGCAGGCAATCAGGTAGCAGGTTTCAGCCGCGCACAGCACGCCCCTGCCCCTCTCTCCGTCACCTGAACAAGGAGAGAGAGAGAACGCCAGGCTCGAAGGCAGCAGTCTGGCACCACCACCACTACCGCCACAGCGCAAGGCGAGGCGCACTGCACTGCACAGTGCTGACGAAGAAGATGCCATCTGTTCAGCTCAGCTCAGCTCAGCTCAGCTGCGTTTGCGCTTGTAGCACACACTTGGCGGGGGTGGGGGTGGAGGTCGCAGTGGAACGGCTTGTGTGATTGTGCTACTATGGCTGTGGCTGTGGCTGTGGCTGTGACGGGCGGTGAGAGGTGTGAGTGGGAGGTGAGAGGTGAGAGGCTGCGTGGGTATAAGCATGCACGCATGTGATATGCGGGTTTTTGTGAAGGTGTGGGTGGTGGTGGTGAGTAATGCGGGATGGGGTAATGTGTGATGATGAGATGACTTACGGCTAATGGCTTATGGCTTAATGTGTTAATGTTAATGTTAATGTTAATGTTAATGTTAATGTATGACTTATAATTTTTATTTTTTGCTTTCGTCTTTGCTTTTCTTTTTTGGTGGGGGGTTGTGCTTTGTGGGTTGAGGGGCGTGGCTAGTTTGTGGTTGTTTGGGAGGGTTCTTGATAGGAGCGGATGTCTGTCTGAGAGGTTGGATTTGCTTTAGAGGAATAATACTTACTCGGCGCATATATCCCTGCTCTTGAAGCTAACTCAAGCTTGAAGAGCAGTTTAGCTCTAGGCTATAGGTGCTGATGTTTAAGTATACGTCAAAATCACATAGAAAATATCTCACCAGCAGTGGTACTAAAAATTCAATGATGACAATCGTCAAGATTGCGTGGAGCAATACCGCATATATATTTTAAGTATAACTGCTAAAAACACAAGTACTAGAAGCAGCACGTCTCCAGCTCAAAGCAACGCTCGTAAGCGGACTATATTTCAAGATCCCCCAAGCAAGCACACAACTATTGGCAGGCGACACCAACGCTCGCAGCAAATTACGAGACGGTGATGTCAGCGGAGCCGGAGCTGTGGTAGCCCTCGGTAGCGACGATCTGGTAGTTGAACTCGGTGCCGATGGTGAGGCCAGCCTTGGCCCAAGCGTCGAAGTGGTTGCCGACGGAGACGGTGCCGGAGGAGCGCTTGTTCTGGCGGACGGACCAGAACTGCTGGAAGGTCTGGGTGCCGTCGATCGAGGGGGCGTTGGTGCGCGTGCTGGTGTAGATGTCGTAGGTGGAGCCGTCGGACGTGAGCGAGCCCTTCTTGGTCGCGCCCGACGACGGGTTGTAGTCGCCGAAGTTCTCGACAATGTAGTACTCGACCAGCGGGTTGCGCGACCAGCCGTACACGGACAGGTACGCGTTGCCGTTCGGCTTGAAGCTGCCCGAGTACTTGATGTTCCTGGGGGGAGGGGCGTGCGTGAGCTTGTTGATCCTTGTTTTGGGAAGACTGTTTGGTTTGTTTGGGTCTCTCTTACCTGCGGGAGCCCGTCTGCCAGCCCTTGCCGGCGACGAAGTTGCCATTGTTGCCAGACCACTTCACGCTGTACTCGCCGGCGTTGCCGTTGTTGTACGTGACGTCGCCAGCGCCGTCAGTCCAGTACGAGTAGAAGTAGCCGTTGTTGGTGCCCTGGCCGCTGGGGACACCGGCCCTGGCGACGAGCTCGCCAGCCATGGGGGCGGGCGCCGAGAAGGCGCCAACGGCAGCCGTGGCGGCAAGGAACAGAGAAGTGAAGGAGACCATTGTTGATTAGTTGATTGTTTGAAAATGAGTGTTGAGGGTTGGCTGGTTCACCACCAGGGATGGCGGGATCCTCCTCTTTTTATATCTCTCTTTTGCTTGCCGCAGCCCACGGCACTCAGTAGGGGCTTGCTGGAGATTTCAGGCGGCCCCGTGTTTCCAAACACCAGGCAGGCCCCTTGGTCTCTCTCCGACGCTATGCAATCGGTTCATGGCGTCTGGCAACGGCTAATTAAAAAAAGGCTTGGCCGCCCTCTAAATTGCCCCTGCTCTTTATAGCTGCGGATAATCGGATATAGGCGGGTTTTAATCAACGCCAGACGCCGTTTCGCTAAGTAGTTCACATCAGCCGATCCCGCCCTCGGCTGCATCGTAGGACGGTTTCGTTTCGGCTATAGCTGGTTTCAGGCTCCCCCGCACGGCCCCCGACGCCGCTGCTGCCACGGCCGTTATGGCGCTCTGTCGTCCCCGTCTTGCGACATCCCATGTCATATCGCTGCGTCCTTTCTCAGGCCGGATGTGCGGGCGCTTTCTCCCTAGAGCAATGCCGTCCCTAATTAGGCAAAGCAGGAGGATAAATCCACCCTGCCTAGCCTTGTCCTACCGCTTGCTTCCCGCCTCTATAGGCATAAGACACCCCAATATAGGGAACCGCTGCTTTTCCTTGACATGTTCAGGGTAAATGGTCCTTGCATGGGCCCGCCTGGCTCATCCCGCCTCTCTCCAGATGCCGTGCCGGTCGTTGCACCGCCGCCAGTGCACGTTGCGGTCATAGCCCCTTGTTCCGCCAGGCCCGTCGGCGCGAGCTCTCACACCGCCGGAAACGCTTTGTGTAGAGGGTTGCATTGGCGTGCATGTTCAGCTGAAGGTGTGCAGATTTGTCGCGCGAGTTCGGACGGCGTCAGGATTGATGGCATGATGGTGGTGGAAGGGTGGTAAGGTGGTAAGGTGGTAAGTAGTTAAGGTGGGAGTCGGTCTAACAAGATGCCAGAAGATTGTCGCAGCACTGCCTCCAACATGTGGGCTGTATATAAGCAACCCAAACACCTTCAACAAGCACATACGACCATAGGTCGAGGAAAATTGGGCATCCCGTCCGCTCTGCCATACACAAGCCTCGAACCGGCTGATTAGTAGTTAGGTGGGTGACCACTAGCGAATCCCAGCTGCCGTATGTTTTTGCCTTTTGCTTAGCCTGGTAACGAGCCTGAAGTTTTGCTTGCATTTTGCCTTTTTTAATGCTAGAGATTTCTCACCTAACTAGAAAATGATGCGTGTATACGGATTCGTAGATGAGGAAACGAAATCTATTTTAGACCCTAGTTTATATACGCTCTAGAATCTCCTCACTGATATCTATAACTGATGCTTATATCTAGTCAAGGAGTACTTTATGGAATAGCTTAAAACGTTGTCTATTATGCTGGAAGATGAACATCGCTTTATGATGCTGGACATTCAACATATATATATATGCAAACGATCGATAAACGATGATAATGCCTAGCCTCATTTACAGCAACCCTAGCTATAATTTATATAAGATTTCAACAATTAGGAACGAACGAAAATCAACTAAGATTGTAGAGTAAACCGTCTTACTTTACTGAAAAACTCTTCGCGAAAAGACTCAAACTCCGACACGCTGTGAGCTGCAGCTCTCTGAAGATAAATCTTCCGCGAAAACAACATCTTTGCAACACCAACCTCAAACTGGAAAGTCATGATTGTAGGGTTCCGAGGGAATATTTGACTGTGCCGATTAGAGAGGGCATTAACAGTAACAATATAAATGTAAACGAATGCATGTGGACATTCCTCGTACTCTACTTGCATTAGCTGTAGGACATGGATATCGATATTTCTGGCTGTTGGAAACGGCAGGAATGTGTTCTCTCTAAAAAGGTGTGCCGAGCGCTCGCCATCTTCTAGCTTCTTTTAAACTAATCCCGCGAAAAGTCTGTCCTTCATTTTGAGGCTCTCCTATCTGCTGGGGAACTCGGCTGAAAAAGGAAATCCAGCGACGCTCTTCTCTGTCCTTGGAGACTACTCATTTATTGTCCTGGTTAAATAGTATGGCGTCGTAGTCCCTGAGGTCCTTTGTGATAGGCTTTTTGGTCTTCCTCAGCGAGATACCCCAATATTGGGAGTTGCCCCACAAACTTTCCTGTTTGGGAATTGACGCACTTACGTCGTCATGCGAAGGCACTTCCATGATTTCCATGTTTGATACAAGTAAGCTGTCACGTTGATCATTTGATAACGAGACGTCGTGCCTTTTGGTCTCGGAGCTCGTCAGTGGTGGAGCCGCTATGGTCGAAGAATTCAGCTCCACGGAAAGGCTGTCATGGGAATCGGAGACTTGGTCATCCAGACAGCAAATCCCACAGAAGGGTGTGTAGGGCTCAAAGTCGTTGGAGTTTTTGAGCACGGAAGCGACTTCTGCTGCCTTCGGGCGGGAGAACCGATCCTCTTCCAGCATCCATCTTGTGAGGCTTAGAGGTATGTTATCTTGGATTCTCTCAACTGCCTCCAATTCTTTGAGAAGCTGTGTTACTGCGTCTTTGTTATGGCAGGGATAAGTATCCTTTGTCCCATTATCAAGAAAATAATTTTTCATAAAGGAAACAGTTCTTCGTTTGAGTACGATGACCATCTCCAGAAATACGTAACCCAAGGACCAAATATCGGCTGAGGTATTTCGGGGATCTCCTAGAAAGACTTCAGGCGCTGTATAGCGTATAGTCTTTTCGGCAACACCAGAAGTTGTGCTGCCCGCTTTTCCGGAACAATCCTTGGACAGCCTGAAATCAGTGAAGAGAACATTACTGCCATCTACAAGGATACTCTGCGGTTTGATATCTCGGTGTCGTATAGACTGGTCGTGCAAGTATTAAAGCGCAGAAGCTAGACATCCAAAAAAGCTCCGTAGCGTTGTCAATTTCGTTGATTGTTGGTCATTAGGCAAGGTCGATATTGCTTCAAGGTACTCCGCGAGATTCATCTCCGCAACAGGTGCCATTATAAGACCAAGGTACTTGGGATCGGTAAAGCTTCCGATGTATTGGACCGTGTGCTGGTGTTTCAACGACTTCAGCAATTTCATCTCCGTGATGAACCGACCAACTTCCTCTTTTGTGTTATTCCCAAAGGCCCGACGTCGGCGGGTTCTCTTGAGCGCGTATTCATTGAAACTGATTGTGCTTTTAATCTTGTTGACCTGGCTGAACCCTCCCGTGCCCAGCAGGCTGATGATTTTGAAAGGCTGCGGTTCTTCCTTTGCAAAATGCCAGTGTCTCCCATCTTCGCCTTTCTCGAGGTCGATTGAGTTTTCACGATAGCCGTGCGGATAGATGGTTGCAGGAAGCTTGGCAAGGCTGATGCTTCAAATGGAAACCAGTGATCGGTGAAACCGAGTCCGAGAAGGCGGTGCAACTCGTTGAGGTGCCCAATAGTTCTGAGGACGATGTACATGCGGGGAACTTTGCTCCATGATGGCTCGCATTCCTCAAGCAACGACGCTACTCTTTGGATCTCAAGGTCCGTGAATCTTTGAGGCTGAGTCGAGCTTTCAGTGGGAAGAGAGTTGAAGTAAGCGGCTAGAACCTCACTGGGTTCCTGCGACATCTTCACTGAGAGCTTTATTGCTAGTAGCCCGGCGATATTATGTCGTTTAAAGATGTATCACAAAATAGTCGTACCAAGATTCGAGGGAGGTATGTTAGCGGAAGCTTGGGTTTGAGTTACGAGAAGAGGTGGGTGTTCAGCCTTGTGACTTGTCGCTCTCTAAAAATAGTCTGTCAGGTTACACGAACTTTTTTCGCCCAATGACAGGCCATGTCACAGTTACAAAAGTAGATACTTCACAGAAGTGACAGTCTGTCAAGTAGCTATGATTTAAGTAGTTCCAGAAAATACTAATAAAAATGGATCAGAGCTCGCAGATAATAAGGGCTAGCGCGATGATAAATAGCTGCCAACTAGTTACAGCAAACTCCTCTCTGGCAAGAACGCACCCATGTAACAATGGTACGTATTGGTCTGGTTATATCATATTGAAACTGTCGACTGCACAAAGTTGTAGCGGCAGAGGCGGTTCGTTGTTCCACGTGTGGTCGAAAGATCTTCAAACTTCTCAGCATATATTCTCAACAACCAATTGGTTCCGGCACATACGACCATAGGTCACAGAATACAAGGCATCCCGTCCGCTCTGCCAAATTTAAGCTGTGAACCGGCTGATTAGTAGTTAGGTGGGTGACCACTAGCGAATCCCAGCTGTTGTATGTTTTGTTTTTGGACTTAAAACTTCTTTTTTTTTTTTTTTTTGGTGGTTGTGACGTTGGTCCAGTACTGGCACCTCAGATGCACGGGCTGAGTCAATTGGATGACCTCATATTTGCGTAAGAGTGCTCACAAATTTAGTGAACTGATTTATATATTCAACATTTTTGCTTCTATTTTAATGTACTCTTTGCGTGTTGAAGCTTTCATCTGTTTTCCATATAATATCGAAAACCAAGTGGAGATTGCCCCAAAACATAAGTGGAGTTTTGTCTTGATTTTTTGTTTAAAAAGAAGCGTTCTATCATGCATGTCGCTTACGAAAAGTGTCCAGAGATGATCTTTGAAGATAGAGGAGATCACACAAGAGCATAGACTTTGCCTCTTCCGTGCTGAATGAATTCAATAAGAATCGCCGTAAATAATTCTTGCCGTCTGAAACGGCGGGAGAGAGCTTGAGCCGGCGGTAATCCGTACAACGTTTGGCATCCTCGCACCGGCAATGCGCACAACATTCGACGTCTTGGGAACAGAGTCCGGCTGCACCAGCCCCGGTAGTGGCTGCTCGGCAGACGCCAAAGCCCCCGCCGAACTTGTGGGTGCCGGAGGATCCAGCGCGGTTCCACCCTGAGACTGGCTCTGCTGCTGCGCCATACCCAGTCTCCTCAGAAGTGCGAGATGGATGCTGGCTTCGGACTGGGCAATCGGAGGCATTTGCATGTTGATACCTGGAGCTATAACCAATTGTCAGACTCTGACTCAGCGACCGAGGAAGAGGAGGAGAGTCTGCGGGCCACTCGGGCGGCTGTAGTAATAGTGCCGATCATGAGAGGAGACGGATAGACAGACTCAAGAGAGGTAGATTTACTGGATAAGACTTGTTGGCGTGCCATGGCTAGCATTTGCGCTTGGTTGAGCCCAAATTCGCGCCCGATGTAGAGGAGTCGGCCGTGTAGCCATGAGCGTTGGAGACTCGGGATTATTTCGACATTGCTGGCAACGAATACTGGCCATACGAGGAGGTAGCCGCCAAGGGCTTCAACGGCTGGGCATTGTCAGTGATCAAGGTAGCTCCATGGCCCATACATTATATCTTAATTGAATTTGGCAGGGGGATTCTTGCTGGCAGTTAACATACCTTTCCTCTTTTCATGTGACTCTATTCCCTTCCCTTGTAGTGTGAAATCCATATGATACGGTACGCTTGCACATATGTCGTCGATTTGTTGTTGAGTAATGAGGCTGGCGTCCGCACAACACATCATAGTGTCGTAATCTTCCAGTTCTGCTGCTAGGATGGATGCGCATCCTAAAATGATGGACTGTACAAAAATTCTGGCGAGACGGTAATCGTTGATGATGTTGGCAGTAAAAACATCTTCGTAAGCGTGTACAGGACCAAACCACCTGTGGGCGTTCATGATGTCGTCCGGGACGGCATGTGTGTAAGCTACCGTCTTGTATGACCAAGTCTCGGGTAAAGACTTGAACCAATTCTGGAACCGTATGTCGATTTTCTTCACGGTTTCCATCAGATCCTGTGCTTCTGCTATCTTCTCTGCCGAGCTACCACCGTCGGTTACCAATTTTCTGACGCGGGCTCTGATCTCCGGAAGATCCATAGATAAAGCAGTCAGTCGATTAGCGGCATTTTCGTTCTTAATGCTGTCCCAGCCTTCTCCTGGGAAATCCTCGACCGGAATGCATTGTTGGATGGCGCTGGTCAACTATCTCAAATAAGTAACTGAATCAAGATAAAGATCTTCAAGAGACATACAGTCATGGAGCGGACGGCCTGGAAAACTTTCCGTGAATCTTCACTCTGGAACTCCTTTGCACCACGTAGTTTTGCAATAGTTACTGCGCCGTCGACGTGCTTTGTCCAGGAATTTACGGAATCATTGGTGGAGGTGATCGCCTGGATGCCTTGGTCAGCGAAATGCACTCAAGTTATCCTTGGATGTGAGATAGAGCGACGTCCTTGGGGCTGTAGGTGCTTAAGGGCGACTATATGTATGTGGTGACATTGGGATTTGTTAATACCTCATAGAGCGCGAAAAGCATTATGGAAAGCAAAACCTCATCAGATTTGGCTTCAACTGGATCTGCAATGGCTTTGCCCACACGTCGGAGAGCGCGACCGTACGTTTTTGATGCTTCAGTTGCGATGTAGCCGCGCCCGGGGAAGTTGCCGAAGGCCGAGAGGGCGACAGCATGTGTCGCTAGTTGGACAGGTGATTGTTCGCTTGCTCTGCCGTAATATGGGACAATGAGATCCACAAAACCCCGCATGGCCTCCGACTGTTGGGGTAAGAGGATAAAGTTTCTAAAGAAGAATGCGGTTGCCTGGTTTTCTAATGACGGTCGTATTCCTCCAGGAAGCTTATCACCCTGGAGGCACATATACACCCGCAAAAGCGTCGTGTTCGGATCGGACAGCTGGACTTCATTTGAACCGGAGCTGTCAGAGCCGTACGAGGCCACAGAAGGAGCAGAAGAGGCATTTGTTGACGTCGATTCCGTTGAAAGCGTCCCTTCACTGGAAAACCATTAGCAGATAAACTATTGACGGCGAAAACAAATTGGAATGGAATTGATATCTGGGGAATAGCTGTGGTTAAAATAAACGCTACAGGGATTTCATTGTGCAGGAACCAAGCAATGATCCTTGCCGCATCATAGAGCGCTTGGGGCTTGACAGCCTTAGCACTATACAGTAACCCCACATAAGGGACTAGTCGCATGTAGATCGACATAGGCCATGTTTGGTTGTGACGTTGGAGGCAGGGAATTAGGTCATTGCTCGTGGTCAAATATACGTACCTTGCGGGGGACACGGAGTTTACTGGAACGACGATTTTTGACTCTGATCCCTTGTTCACCCTGCGGACCACAGCGACATTCTCGTTGCGGAACAGAAGGTCGAACTCATCCGGGAACCCCGGACAATGCCTCTTCGACTTTCTGCAATTACCGCACGTAGGGCGTTGTTCGTCGCACTAAACCCAATCAGCGTGGTTTCGCGGGGTGGTGAAAATGGCACAAAGCCGCCTGCCGAGAGGAGTGCAGTTTGTGGAGTGGAACATCATGCCACGCTCGCAACCATTTCCATTCAAGGACAAGACGCACCTTTATCCTGCGGCTCTTGCAGGTCTGGCATCCACGGCTCGGTTTTCCCGTGTAGACCATGATGATAATGCAGAAGCAATTTGTTGAAAAGAATGCTTTGTAAAGACAATCGAATGAGATAAATGCGCCCAACTCCACACGACGACCATAAACAGCGATGTGGATGAGTGAGCAGCACAGCCTCTCGGCGGGAATGGCAGAAATGTCTCGAAAGAAATAGGCCGGAAATTTATCACCGCCTAAAGCCGCGCTTCGGGCAAAGCCTACCCGGGGATCCGCAGTATGAGTTACCTGGAGGGCGGAGGCGCTTGTGCCTTGACAATGCACAAGTGTTGCGCGATGTTGAAGTGGGTATGCGAAGGAATTTGCTCTACGCAATCAGGGCTTCTAGGAGCGAGTCGAGCCGGGGGAGTCATTATGCTTTGCACAAGGTGTGGGAGTCAGGGCCGAGTATCCGGCCTGGTCTAGGGTGAAACGGAAATACGGGTGCAACAGTGGATGGCTGTGGTGCCATAGAACGGGGTTGCCATGAGGTTGGATGCAAGGCAGCTAAGCCTTTCGCAAGGTCTGCCGTTTTGGGTAAAATTGGCGGGCGACGCTAGCGCTTTTAGAGTATGACCAGCCAGCTGCCGAGAGGGCGGGGGCCGGAACGTCTCCCGCGGTGAGGCGCAATTGGAGCTTCTGACACGTGCTTGCTGCTTGATGAAGTGTGAGGCGTTACAAATACAAGCCGAGGCCTTGCTGCATGCAGTTGGGCCCGACGGGTCACCGTCTACTGAGGATTATGCCCGATCCTACACGTACATCTTCGCCTTGACGCTCTGCAGGAACCGAGATGGCGGTCTGCCATACTTTAACTCAGACTCCGCATCACCAATCGCTGGGTTGAGGACATGCTCATCAAACCCTAAACCCCGCAAGTGCTGTTGTTCATCACAATTACTCAGTTTTCGATGACTTGAAGTTGAACCTGACTGAGGATGCTCCACCGAATCCCAAACGAATCGGTTAGTGGGCGCTGAGCAGCTCCCAACCGTTCACCTTCGAATTCTTGGGCCGACATGTCTCACCCTCAAGCGCTCAGCTCAACTTGAGGATTTGGTTCGAAATAGGGCGAGTTCCATCACAGCCCTATGGGAATGAGGGTTGGCCAACTGCAGACGCCATGTTTCAAGCCATTACGTATTCAGCTGCTGCCTGGGGCCAAAACAACCCAGCTAAAAATGGATTGTAGATACGACTGGTGAACTCGCATGCTCGCCTCCATCTTAATCCGTAAGGCACCAATTGAACAGTCCACTGCCCAAACTGTACCTAAGCGATGGCTCTGGCGCAGCACCCCGCAGCTTCTCGACCCCGCTATTTATCCTTCCAAAGTCCAAAGTGGTTGCCTACAGACACAACAACTACTGTAGTCTCAAAGAAAATCTTGGCATACCCAATGCCCTGGCGAGCGTGCTCACTTCCCTGGCTCGAGAGATACGTGTATCGTCAGCAATGAGCTAGAAACCTTGACCATGATCAGCCGACTCCTGGTCGTCCGCATGGCTTGACATCATCTGCCCTGCGATCGGCCCAGCAATACTATTCGTGCCATTCAATAACTTGGCAATACTCCCGTGGTCGATCCTTGTCAACTTTGTTCTCACATTTCTTGATATACAAAAGACCACGTTGTCTGACAAGGATCGACCACCAGTCAACATATCTAGGTATCTACCTCACTTTGATATCAAAATTCGGAGAAGTGTATACTTGTGTGGAAGATTGTATATAAGCGGAGCAAGGACAGCACTGCGCGCATACTTGCGGTGAGCTAAAGCCCCGTTGGTTAGCTATCAATGCCCTCAACGTTGGTGGATATGTTTAGTAGTAGGTTGCTGATCCGCTCAACCGCAGCCTGCAGATCATGTGCTGGAAACATTGCAGATACGATGGAATGTCGCAGATAACTCGGGTAGCATCTAGATTTTTCTTCATGGATACTGTTCTAGGCTCTGTCGACTCTCACTTGCGCTGTCATTCCAGCACACGATGATAACTAGCCAGCATAAAATCGCTCGTACCGAGAGGCACAACTATACCAGGATGTCACTCGGTAATAAGCTATGCGACCCTCGGAAGTTACCCTTGTCAAATTGTTATTCCCGACAGTCTGGCTCGCCGCTCGTCCACTCAATTTTTCCGGCGTTGAGTGGAAATCGTTGTTGCCCAACATCAAGCCTGATGTAACATTCGTCACCGTCAAGCGGACTTCATCGCCTAACGAGAGAATGATATTTGTACGGTGGAAACGAAATCCATCTAAGATGTTGTGCGCTTAAAGTCCCTTTCACTCATATCCAAGACTAAGGCTAGTAGCTAGATAAGGAGCGTTCCATAGAGACTGCTTGTATCCTCCTCCCTTTCGCTAGACGGTGAATCACTCTTGATGAGGAAGGGCGTTAGCGGTGTTGACGACCATGCAAAGACACGGAATAATGTTTGCCGCGTATTACGAGCGCCTTTGACGTGATTGAAATCAAGACCTGGGGATCAGCAGGTGGAACGGAATGAGAGGCATGAGCCTCGGTCGAGTTAATCGCGAGCCATTTGCCACAATCGTTTCGCGATAGCATAAACGCTCTCGTGTTGGCTAGACTCCACTTCAGCATGGCTTGCTTGGACTCCCATAAAACCGGCAGACAGAGTCTCTGTGAGTCTTTATGCTCACAACTGCATCAGGAGTTCACACTCGGACTAAGTCAATCAAACCTTTCATGCCCTTGAATACCAGCTGCACCAGGTCCGTGCATGAAGTATTGTGAGTGAGAAAGTATTACTGGATGCGGCGGTTTAGGGATGATATCCAGATCGAAGCAAACTCTGCTGGAAATTGGTACGTGAAGTGTAGAATGTTCGATAAAAAGGCACGATGCGTGATATCGACGTTGTTGACGCGCAAATGCGCCGTCCGGAAGACGTGCGGATCCGGATCTCTAATGCTTTTCCGTGATTGGTTGGAGCGATTTGCTTGGCGGCGTTCGAGCATCGACGTCGAAGATGATTACGCCCGCAACACCTCCAACCAACCCCACAACAATGGCATCGAAACTCAGTCCATTCGCTTTGAGATCGAGCTTCCGGGCAGTGCGGAGGGTACAGAGGCCTCAATGGCGCTCCTTCTCCGCCACCCCGCTCGCCAGGAGCGACGCGCTCGCTGTGGTACGTATCGAACGCCGCTGGGCTACCTTTCGAGGGGATTGAGCAATTGGGTCAGGGAGCTTAGACTGACACTCTCTATAGCATAGAGACACTCCGGAAAATAACCCTTCGATACCCTTCAAGTTCAACGAGCAGAGCGAGAAGCTTGTCCAGGAGGTCCTTGCCCGCTACCCGAGCCAGTACAAGAAGGCCGCCGTCATGCCTCTCCTCGACCTCGGCCAGCGCCAGCACGGCTTCACCAGCATCAGCGTCATGAACGAGGTTGCGCGCATCCTGGAGATGCCCCCCATGCGTGTCTACGAAGTTGCGACCTTCTACACCATGTACAACCGGTCCCCTGTGGGCCGCTTCCACGTCCAGTGCTGCACTACGGTATGAAAGTCTATGAGTTGGGGAATAATTGGCAAATGGTGGACTGGCGAAATGCTGATGGATTCACAGACGCCCTGCCAGCTCCGTGACAGCGATGGCATCATGAAGGCCATTGAGGAGGAGCTCGGAATTGAGCAAGGCCACACCACCAAGGACGGACTCTTCACGTTCAGCGAGGTCGAATGCCTCGGCGCCTGCGCGAACGCTCCCATGGTTCAGATCAACGATGACTACTACGAGGACCTCACCCCCGAGACCACCAAGTCCCTTCTGAAGGCGCTGAGGGATGCGGCCAAGCAGACGGGTGCTGGCAGCGGAGCTGCAGGTCTGGCCGGCGAGGCTGGAAAGGGTGCCGTTACTGGCCAGGACAGCAGCGTCAAGGCGGGCAACGAGATCAACGAGCAGGGCAGGTCGTACAGCGCGCAAGGCGTCAAGATCCCCACCCCCGGTCCGTTGAGTGGCAGGCAGACGTGCGAGCCTGCGACGGGTCTCACCTCGCTCACGAGCGAGCCCTGGAGCACTGAGGTTTTCAGGAAGGATGGTGTTCTTGATTAAGCTTTTTGTACATGGTACTGTAGGTATTCAAAGTCTTGTTGTTAATTCCTTCGATCTCAGCACATGGGTTGGTCAACGTGATATAAACTGTCTCTGCGCGCCACTCACTTTGGCGGAGAAGGTGAGGCTCAGGTAGCGAGCGCAGATTGAGCAGATTGAGCAGATTGAGCGAGAACCATAATGGAACGCCATAGGTAGGGTTGATTCACAAATGATGCACATTGAAATCCGTTTGAAAAACTGTACCAAAAAGAGCAAGGAGATGGACAATTCAACAGCCTCTAATCAATAGTTGTACTCCCCACCTATACCATCTAGCTGAACTACACAACTACAAGTCTGCGATCAGCCTAGTACAGCCTCCCTGTCAGAGATTAACACCCGCTTACGCACGTGCGCGCGCGCGTCTCCGTCTACCAGTGTCCACCTAAGCGCTCTTCCGCGAATCACTAGCTGCCCTAGCTCACTCACGGCACCTGCTGTACCTTTACGCTTTAACAGCATGCGTTTTAAAAGAAGAGAGCCTTAAGCCAATGAGAATGTTGCACGGCGGGAAGGTGTCACGGTGCGTTCTGCGGAGGCGTACAGGTCGGTTTTTGCCAGGCACTACCCAATTAGGTAAGTGATAGGTAGGGAATGAGTGGGTGTACAAGCTCGATTAGAAAGGGCAAAAATGACAAACGCTAAAGAGCAAGGATAGGTAGAGCCTTAGGTGGTGTTTGTGGTGACTCGGAGCGGCAGCCACGAAACGCGCCTTCTGCCTTCCCGCGCAAACATAACTCCCTCCCGGGCAGTCACCACCCCGGCAGGCAGTCACCGTCCCTCCGCTCTTTCCCTCTTGTTACTGTCAACAAGAAGGCGCACCTTGGCACTCGCTAAGGCTTTCGCACGCTTTATATAAACGCCTCCTCCCTCCACCCAACCCTTCCTTCTTTTCTCCCAGAGCCTCTGACAATTTCCCTCGCACCCAACCACCGAGACTCTCTTTCCACACGTTCGCAATCTTCCAGCTGCTCACTCCTCGCTGCTTCAAAGGTTTGTCCAACCCGCCCGACTTCACCCACACCCACACCCACACTGTTCTCTCGCTGACCCGCTTTTCCCGCAGGCAACCTGACAAGATGACGGTCCTTTCCTTCGCTCCCGTCCTAGGTCTGCTCAGCGTTCTTGACGTTGCGTTCGGCGCGGTTATCCAGAGCCCTTCGATGCCCACGTCTATCTCCTACGATATTCTGAAGATGTCAATGGTTACGCCGAGCACGACTTTATGCACCCATGACATGACGATGTCTATTCTCCCCATGCCCAACTCGACTGTTGGTAAGTGCTTCCATTTGTACAGCAAACAAGAATCACACTGAACTCCGTCCAGGCTTGTCTGCCAGCGCTCCTTACATTCTGATGTACACTACCTCGACCCCGACCGTCATCATTCCTCCTCGTGCTAGGAGTGACACTCCGAAGGTGGTGGTCCCTCCTATTGGAGGTTCTCCGCAGATTCTCACCAACCTCACTCACGTCATGGGAGTGCGCATCGCCGCTCTTCAGCCTCACGACACGTCTGGCAAGTCTCAGAAGCTCTTCGAGATGTGCTCCAAGATGTCAATGGACGACTGCGCTAGACTGAAGGACACCTTCCCCGGCAGTGCTAACAACAACACCGATTTCCCTGGATTCGAGTGCCCTGTTCTCCACCAGGCTCTCTGCCAGAACGGCAACTTTTCCAACTCTGCGTCGGTGGTGTCTGAGATCCAGGCCTCGTTGTCTTACATTTTCGCTATCCAGCTCCAGGCCGGTGCTGGTCTCTGGGAGGGCCACAACGACTTCACTGGACACCCCAGTTCCGAGGGGTTTGTCAAGTTCAACGCATTCGTCTGTCAGCACCTCCGTCAGCAGAACATTGAGGCCATGGGCATGGACCCCAAGATTGTCACGGATGCGATCTGCGCCAGCGGTCAAACCGTCAATCTCTTCGAGTTTGCTTACGGTTCCATTTCCCCAGGTATGAAGGACGCCATTGACCAGGACTCGTAAGTCTACATTCACAAGCATCGCTTTGGGTCGAACTGACATCTTTGCAGGACCATCCTCTTGGGCTACGAGTACCAGCTTCTTGGCAAGGAAGATGACGTTGCCACCTTCCCCCTTCGCTGCAACTCGACTGTGTACAGCGCTCTCGATCAGCAGGGCCTCGGTAACAACCACGCGGAGTTTGACAAGTACTACTGCCAGCCTGCTTGGTCCTTCCCGCGCCTTTCAGCCGTTAAGGGTGAAGAGCTAATCACCAAGACCATGACCTCGCTTTTCATCAACCAGTCCAAGGCTGCGCTCTGGGGCGACCGGGCCGACATTAACACTTCTACCTTCAGGTTCCTTTGCGACAATGTCGATGCCGATGTGTTGAGCATTGGTAACGTCAATGGTGCTTTGGTCAAGCAGGCCTGGTGCGAAATCGCTACGGATGTTTGAGCGAAGTTTGAAATCTGACACGGTGGATATGATGGGTGTTTCTGTTCTTCTTTTGCTGGGGCCCCGGTGGCCAACCAGGCCATTTTCTCTCGATGCTGAGTTGCAAGAATCGTCTTCGCTCTGATTTCTTTTGTTTGTTCTCTAGAGTATCATGAATCAATGGCGCCAGCGAGTGCTTACTGACTGCTACCTGTTTGAAATGATGACCCCGAGCGACACTTCTGATGCAACCATGTCGATTGTGAGTAACTGTCTTGACCAGCTCCAGCTTGCAACACTAGACCTTTTGACGTTGATGAGGCGCCTGGCCGTAATCAACGAGTGCTTGACAGTTGGTCACGTCTGTAGAGCCAGCCGATGAGACGAGATCCATAAGTATTCACTTGGCAGTACCTAACTTTCGAGGACGGTGACGGGTCATGGCGGATTCATGATTATATCGGCTACGGACACAGGCGCGCCGCGCAAACGCAGCTGTCGCTTCTTCTCGTCTATGATAGATACACCTCAGCCCTTGACTAAAACGGGGCATTAGCTAACTCCCACTTCCCCCTTCTCCCCCTTTGACGGAACCACGTCGCCAGCCTACTCGAGCAAGCTAGCCTGGTTCGTGTACAAGACATCGACGACATTATGCAGCTTCTCGATAGTCGAGAGCGCGGCATCATAGCCGGAGTCGCGCTCAGACTCGTCGAAGACGATGAGGCAGCCGGCGCCCTGGTCGAGGACGCCGACAATGACCTTGTCGAGGATCATCTGGGAGAGCTTGCGCTCGACCTGGGTGGTATCGAGGCCGACCATCTTTGCGATGTGGGCGAGCTCGACGCGGGAGTAGGGCTCGATGACCTTGATGAGGTTCTGCTCGAGCATGGCGTCGTAGAGGCGACGGAGGTGGGAGGCGATGAAGCGGTCGGAGCCGAGTTCGTAGCGGAAGTCGGAAAGGGACTTTTCGTACTCCTCGAGGGAGCGGTTCGTGTGAGCGCGGGCGACGGCCTTCATGGCGTCGAGGTTCTTGCCGGCGTAGCGGAGGGCCTGCTTGGAGGCCATGAGGTTGGTCACGTCGTCGCCGAGGTTGAGCATGATTTTGCAGAGCAGCATGTACTGCAGGGCGGCGGTGGTCTTTGCGGCGTCGTCCTGCGAGTGGTAGCCCTCCATGGCCTCGATGAAGTAGGAAAAGGCCGTGTTGAAGTCCTTGTCTTCGGCGTGCAGCATGCCGCTCTGCATGTCGAGGCCGGCTTGCAGCAGCGGCGGCGTGTAGACCGAGGCGGCCGAGGTGCGGGCCGACGTCAGCGCGGCGCGGCCCTTGGGCACGTTGCCCAGCGCGTGGTAGACGCGGGATTCTAGCAGCTGGACCTCGACGAGGACGAGCTTGTCGTCGAGGCGCTTGAGCTCCTTGAGCAGGCTGTTGATCAGCGTCAGGGCGTCGTAGTACGCCTGCTTCTGCATGTACAGCGACACCAGCCGCGTCTCGAGGTTCTGGCGCAGGAAGCCCCGCTTCTCCGACACGGCCCACTCTATGCATTCCTTGGTGACGGAGATCTGGGCCTCGAGCGTGTTGGGGATGGCGGCGAAGAAGTCGAGCAGCTGGCGCACTGTTGGGATGGCGTCAGCGGGTTTGCGTGCACAACAACGACAACAACAACACGTGGATTGGGGGCAGCAGCAGCAGCAGCAGCGGCAATTGCGCAGTTACGTACCGAGCTTTGCGGTCTTTGCCCTCGCAAACGTCGACAGCACCGAGCGCGTCTGGCGGATCAGCTCCGCCAGCTCGTTCACCTTCTTGTGCTCGCGGTACAGCTCGCCCAGGCCGACGAGCGCCACCTCAAAGTTCTTGACTGCCGCATCGTTGCTGCCGGGGTCCTTGGACAGCACGTCGCGGTATAGGCTCTCTGCTTGCTTGGGATCCGTCTTGGCCAGCTTCTGCGCCTCGGCTATCCGTTTCGCGTCTTCGGGTGCTTGGGGGGCCATGGCGGGCGTCCTGGAGTGTGTGGGAGGGAACAACGACGACGACGACGACGACGACGACGACGACGACGCGGGCGAGGGCGAGAGGAGGCGCGGCGTGGAGGGGTGGTTGTGGTGGTGGCGGCGGAATGCGAGGGATGGGATGGCGTGGTGGTGATGATGGCGAAGCTAGGTTGCTCGCTGCTGCATCAGTCAGGTCCCAACTCAAGCTACCGCCCGCGCCCGCGCTAGCCCGTCTTCGGTAAGGCGTCGCGACGGCTGCTCAGCGACTGTGGGAAGCTCGACACGCCTGCGGCCAAACCTCACACCTCCGTCGCAATGGTACGCTGCCCTTCAGCATCTTACTCTCTGTCCCGAATCCCGACTAACATGCGACTAGGGAATTGAAGCTTTCTGGTCCAGCGATCACTAACCTTACCCACCATCGCGCGCCTGGAAACTGGTCCTATTCGAGTGCGCCCGCGCCTTTTACGAAAGAAATAACCACGCAAGCCCTTTCTACGCGCTATACGAGGCTTTTAAGTATCAATAAGTAGTAGATTGTCCAGCTCGCCCAGGGTCTGGCGAAACTCCATTTCTAGCCAGATTCCCCGCCGCTCGACACTGAAGACGAGCGCGACGTCAGAGCCGACCTAGGCCGGAACTTCACGAGACGAAAAACCAGACGAGGAGCTCGAGTTCCTAAGAAGTTGAGGGGTTTACATCCTTGCATGCGAAGAAAAAAAAAAAAAAAAAAAAAAAAAAGCCAGCGAGCGCAAGAGAAAAAGCAGGCTAAATATACAAATCCTAAGATTAAGAAAGACCTAAAGCAGTTGATTTAGTCCCTATAGCTCGTAACTCAGTGCCAACAAGCTCTCCATCATACGCAGCCAATTCCATCACATCCAACTTACCACAAAACGACCGCCAAGGCAACCAAATACAAGAAACGCAATATTCCTTCCTCTCACCATAAGCACCTCGCACTACACCAACACATCCTTTACAGACCTCCGCAGCAGTCACTAACCACCCACCCAACATGCACACAAGATCCTCTCCGCCGCCCTCGCAGCAGTATGACTATCAAACGATGCTACACCACCACCCCTAACGTCGATACCCACAGCCGCGCACCAACTCGGTCACTGCGTTCAGCGAACCTCGTCCTCAAGTTCTGCACCACCCCAGCGAAGAAACAACAGGCCTAAAACGCGACCCCACCTACCCCGTCCTGCGGCTAGCCATAAACCCAAGCACCTCTCTCTTTCTCTCTCGCGTCACCCCGTCTTCCCCACTGACCACGCACGCCGCAAGCCTGTTCTCGCGTACCTACCACAGCGTACCAAGGGTGTGTCAGTAACGGCTAACAGTTCCCAAACCAATCTCGTCAAAACGAAAGAAAGAACGAAAGAAAGAAAAGGAAATAACTCAGCTCCGCCAGCGCGCTCGAGCAGGTCGTAGATAGATAGACAGGTAAAAAGGAAGACCAAGTATGCGATTTACGAGATATGTACCTAGCGACAGCAGTAACAGCAGTAGTAGAGGGGGAGGGACTTACCAGCACTAAGCAAGCTGCAAAACAACACCGCCCAGCAGGCACGCAGCAAGCGCGCCAATGATGATGATGTTGTTGTTGTTGCCGTAGCTAACAGGCTAGCAGTCTTGACTTACTTTGTGAGTGCTGGTCTGGGTTAGGGTGGCTGGGCTGGCCCTATTACGTGCTATAATATAGCATAACAGGGGGTGGGCAGTAGGTAGACCGTATTACTTTCTTCACCTAAACCAGGCGTATTTTGTCTTCCGCTACTACCTACGGCTACAGCTGCGTATATATGTACAGCGTGCTAGAACGAAGCCAAATAAAACAACTACACAACTACAACCTTAACCAAAACGAACGCGCTAACCAAGCCAGTCCTGTTATCAGCCTACTACCTAACAACAAAGCCCACAAACCAAACCAAACCAAACTACGCAGACGGACTTCCGCGATACTTGATCTTGATCTTGTATTCGTGAGTGAACATACCTACTCCTAGCAACCCGTTAATTCTGAACCTGATACAATATACATATACATACATACATACATACATACATACATACATACATATATATATATAACTCACTCACGCACTTGCTCGCTCATGCACTCACGCACTCACTCACCCAATCAACCCAACCCAACTCTCGTCCTATCCCATCCATCCCATCCATCCCATCCATCCCATCCCAAATCAAATCACACAACCCACAAACCACACCAACCACCCCATCCATCCATTCCATCCACACACCCACAAAACCACCCTTAAAACCCACAGACTACCTATAAACCAAAAACCGCAAACCACAAAGAAGCAACCAACCAACCAAGCAGCCACAAGTACAAAAAGGGCAAATCTCAATCAATCAATCAATCAGTCAATCAATCAATCAGTCAATCAATCAATCAGTCAATCAATCAATCAGTCATTAACGTGATAATAATAAACCCCACCCATTCCTTGTCCACCAAGCAACAAAAAGAAAAGAAAAGAAAAGACGAAACCCAACCCAACCAACCCAAACCAAACCATACCAAGCCAGACCAGACCAGACCAGACAAGCCTATCCTGCGCCGTCCCGATTGCTTTGCTTTATGCGCTTGCATGCATGCATTCAAGCATGCTTTCTTGCTTATTTATTCGTCCTCTTGCCCGCTCGCTCGCTCAATCAATCCATCCTTCAATCGCCCAATCGCCCTAAGGTACTAAAGCGCGCTGCTGACAGCTATTACACACTACCACCACCACTACAACCAGCATCACCGCACCGCGCGCACGACGACCAACCAACACCCTACACCGCACCCAGCGCCGAGGAGCCGCCCGCCGTCGTCGCCGTACTCGTCCCCATGTCGCTGCCGGGGTAGTGGACATGGTGCTGGAGGTGGGGAGGCGGGGCGCCGCCCGCCGAACTGCCCGACGAGCTCCGATACGCCGGGTGCGAGTCGCCCGGCACCACGGCACCAAACGGCTGGACCTCGCCGCCAAAGTCGGCAGTGCCGGCCGTAGCCGTGCTGGGGGCGGAGCCAGCGCCAGCGCCAGCGCCAGCGCCAGCAGGGACGGCTGAAGAGGCGGGCATGGCGCCGGCGCCGAGGTGGCCGGCGTTGGAGGCGATGGGGGCGCACGTCGGGCGCCAGGCGCGCAGCTCGTCCTCGGCCGCGTTGAGGATGTTGCGCCCGGGCTCGACGCCCTCGTACTCGGGGTGCGACTCGCCCGGCACAATGGGCGCGTCGTCCAGCAGGTTGAGGACGGCGCGCGCGTGCTTGGCTAGCAGGGCCTGTTTCTCGGCGCGCTCGATGATGGCCGCAAAGTGCACGTCGTAGGCTTCTTTGAATTTCTGGCGCGTCTGCTCATTCGAGGGGCGCGCGCGTTAGTTACAAGCTGTTGAAGCCAAGGGTTTGGGAAGCCGGCATGAACGTACGATGTTGGTGAGCTGGGCCTCTGCGACGAGGGACTGGGCCTCGGCGCGGACGAGCTCCTGCTCGAGCTGTACGATCTTCGTGCTCTGCGGCTCCTTGTACTTCAACTTTGCGATCTCGTCGGAAACCTGAAACGCACGTCAGCGCATGAAATCCAATGTTCTAGAACACCACCACGACGCACCTTGGCTTTGTGATCGCGGCTCGGCTGCACCGAGCTCTCCGTGTTCCTGATCTGCTTCAGGATGCCCCGATAATCTTCCAGCGACTGGGCAAACAGGTCCTCCTGCTCGCCAATCTCGGACATGAGCACGCCCAGCTTGTCGCTCACGTCGCTGATGGCGTCGTCGTTGGTGGCCTCGCCCCACTCGCTCAGCTGCGTCGCGATGCTGCCGCGCTCGCGGCCCGCCAGCTCGTACGCGCCGATGGCGTGATTCTCGCTCTTGATCAGCTTGTACAACTTGCGCGACAGCTCGGGCTGCTGCATCCCGCGCAGCGACGACATGGTGAAGCGGTGCCGCGGCGTCGCCTTGGTGGCCGTCGACCCCGTCGTCGACCCGTCATCCTTCTTCGACCGGATCGAGAGCGAGCGGTTCCTGTTGCGGACGGGGAGCACGGTGAGCGAGCGTGATCGGGAGGGCGCGCGGACCGGGCCGCTGGGGTAGGGCGGGGGAGGACTCGGGGACGCCCAAATAGCCATGATTTGTGATGAAGAAAAAGCGACGGAGAGGGTGCAAAGGGAAAGAATCGGCGGGAAAGACTCGAGGAATAAGAGGAAGAAGAGGCAAAAAAAAAGTGTGAAGACCAGCTTACATTTCCACGACGGTGGCAGGGGGGGGTGTCGGAATATTTGTAGGTATGTTTTTAGGTTGTAGGGAAGCCGGGAGCCGGGCGGCTGGGCAGATTGGCAAGGGTTTTTGGGGGCGTGAAACTTGGCGTGTGGGGGACTTCTCGCGATTTAGGCGCTGCCGTCTCGGCGTCGTGGTGTTGAATGTCAGGGAAGCGCGACGAGGGCGAGAACGACTGGCTGGACGCCCGCGCCTGCCCTGTCAGCCGACGTCATCGCCCGCCCTCACTTTCACTCAACCTTCCATGCACACGCACCCTTCATTTCGCTTTTCAGTTTGTGCTACTTATATACTGTACATTCTTCTCTCACAGCTTGCTCCCCGCCGCCCCCTGCCCCTTCGGCATCTTCTTGTCCGTCCCCAAGCTTTCCAGATCCTTCTTCTTGTGGTAGTGCGGCGCCACCTCGTGCAGCCACGTCGGGTCCGTAATGGGCATCACGTTGCGCATGTACTCCTTGCTTGTCAGCACGAGCTCGTAGTAGCACACGAAGCGCTGCGGCGAGTCGCCCGTCTTGGTCAGCACCGAGCTCGGGTGTATGTACGTCGTCATGCCGTTCTTGACCGTGCGGTAGCTGTCGCCGCCGCGCTGCAGCCGCGCCGCATTGGGGAAGAAGCCCGCCGTGATGCTCTTCATGATGGGCACCAGCTCCCCGGCTCCGCACGACGTGATGGTCACCTCGACCCGGTCGCACAGCCGCGCCAGCTGGTCGCGCACGTCGCGCGCACGCGACAGCGACTTCTGCTGCAGGAAGTTCTCCTTGGCCCAAACGTAGCTGAAGTCCGAGTCGACCCACTGGTTCCAGATGTTCAGCAGTGTCAGGTGGTCGCCACCCTCCTTGACGGTGAAGCGGGCACGTGCCGAGTCGGCGTGGATCTTCTGCTGCTTGGGCCGGAAGAAGAGAGCAGACGACTCGCCGAGCATGGCCATTATGCTGAGCAGCTCCTCGACACACTGAAGCTGATCAGCCTTCAAGATTGCAGCCGAGACCATGGGATCCACGGGGAACTCGGCCATCTGCCGGCCCCGTTTCGTCAACGAGCCTTTGTCGTTCAGCGCTCCCAGAGCGTAGAGCAACTCCAATGACCTGATAAGAGTGTCGGCAGGTGGAGCATCCATGAAATCGAAGCTAACGAGATCGTTGATACCCAAACTCTTCAATAACAAAACGGTGCTGGAAAGATTGGTCCTCTGGATCTCGGGCGTAGTGTTCGGGTCCAATTCATTGTAAAACGCCCACTTGGTGTAAAGCCTGAAGCAATGTCCAGGCCCAACGCGCCCGGCACGGCCCGCTCTCTGGTTTGCTGAGGCCCTACTGCACGGCGTGACAACCAACGACTCCATGCCCGTGCGAGGATTGTACACGTTTTCCTTGACATAGCCAGGGTCAATGACGTACACAATACCATCAATGGTCAAAGACGTCTCTGCGATGTTCGTAGCCAAGACAACCTTTCTCGCCTTTGGTGGCGTGGGTTCGAAGATCTTCGCCTGCTCTTCCTGGGGAAGGTTTGCGTAGATGGGACAGATGAGCAACTCTGGAGCAGCAGAACCCAACTTTCTCGAAGTTTCCGCAAGATCTTCTGCCATCTTTTCAATTTCATCCTGTCCGGTCAAGAAGACGAGGATGTCGCCACGAGGTTGACTCATGTGGATCTGGAAGACAGTAGTGACGGCAGCAGCGAGATAGTTGGCTTCAGGCTGAGGCGTGTAGTATACGTTAACAGGGAAGCGACGGCCCGGGACATTGAAAATGGGAGCATCATCGAAGTACTCGCTGAACTTTTGAGCATCGACCGTGGCTGAAGAAATGATAAGCTTCAGATCCGGCCGCGCTCTCGCAACATCCTTGAGCAATCCAAACAAAATATCCGTAGCGAGAGTCCGCTCGTGGGCTTCGTCCAGGATGATGGCACTATAGTTCTCCAGACCCGGGTCCGTGAGGAACTCGCGCAGAAGCATACCGTCAGTCATGAACTTGACGATCGTGTTCTTCGGATCCGTGTTATCCTCGAATCGAATCGAGTAGCCGACTTCCTTGCCCAGCTTCACGCCCATTTCCTCAGCCACACGCGCAGCGACAGACATGGCGGCCACGCGACGGGGCTGCGTGCAAGCGACCATCTTCTTGGTCTTCCCGTTCTCTTCCTTGGACGTGTAGCCCGACTCGTGCAGGAACTGGGGTATCTGCGTGGTTTTTCCGGAGCCCGTCTCCGCAACCACAACCACGCACTGGTACTCCCCGATGGCCGTCATCAACTGGTCTTTCCAAGAGTAGATGGGAAGGCTTTTTCTCGTCTCTTCGATCGATTTGGCCTTTGCCTCGGCCGCAGTGATTTGTTTCTCAAACGCCTGCTGCTCCGCCGTCCCTTTTCGTTGCCCAGGAAGAGCCTGGTCCATGACGAAGTTGATTTTTTGCGTGTCGTCGAAGACGTATTCGTAGTCTCCTTCGTTGACGCGCTCAGGACGCAGGATTTGAGCCTTGGCCTTGGCCGTCTGCTCGCGCTCCCACTCTTCCTGTTCCGTCACGAACCTCTCCCTGCCATACTCGTCGCGGTCGACATAGCGTTTGTAGAGCGCCTCTTCCTTTTTCTTCCGCGAGATCTTGCCCTTCTCCGTGATATAGTCCTCGGGCAGCGCGTAGCCGTCAATATGCTCGTCGACCCGCTGACGCTCTTCCGCGAGCCTCAAGGTTTCCCTATTGCGCGCAAACTCGTCGAGTTCTACTTGACTCAACTCACCAGGAGCAGCTCTGCGCTCTTCTTCGGCTTCCTCCGCGACTTGTTTCCGAAGAAGCGCGAGTTGCTCTGTCTCACGCTTCTTCAGGTATTCTTGCCGCGACCGTAACCTCAAGTCACCTAGGGCAGCCTCTCGTGCTTGCGCATCGTCGGCTAGCGCTCGTCTCCGAGCAGCATCTTTGGCGCCAGTCCGGTCCTCTACGACCTTCTTGGAAGACTTGTCGTCCTTTTCCCGCAACCGCTTCTCGAACTCTTCGCGCTCTCTTCGATCACGCTCCGCTTCGTCAATTTCTTCTTCTTCCTCCGCAGGCCGAGGAGACGCAGAGCCGTCGTCCGTCCGAGCGCGCTTCGGCGACGGCTCTTCAAACTGCTCTTCCTCCTCGAAATAATCCTCGTCGCCCCAGCGGCCTTCAATATCATCGACATCCCGCCTCCGCAGCTTCTTCGCCCGATGCCCACCATCTCTGTCCTTCTTATCGCCACGATCACGACTGCGCTCCCTCTTCCTCTCCTTGCGCTTCTCGCTCTTCTCCGCCGCCGGCGGCGGAGGCGGGGGCGGCGGCATATCCTCCTCCATATCCAGCAAGGCGTACTTCTTGCGCGCGGGCTTTGCGCCAGCAGCCTTGCCCCCCGCGGCAGCCGGCGCGGCACCAACACCCGACGCCGGCGGCGGCTTCCCCGCGCGCGCAAACAGATCATCGCTGAAGCGGCGTATGTCGGCGGAGGAGCCGTCGAGGAAGCCGGCGAGCTTGTCATGCAGCTGGCCCGACGACTTGGAGCTGCTCGCCGTCGCGACGACAAAGTCAATGACGGTCGGGTCCGAGGCGCCCGACAGCTTGATCAGCTGGTCTGATATCCACGTCCGCATTTGCGACGACGTGGCCATGGCTGGGCGAGGGGATCGGGCGGCTTTGGCGGCGGTTGGCGGTGCTGCGCGTGCGGCGCCCGAATGCCGTGCGCTGGGTAGGTAGGTGGTTGATGCGCTCGGTGCAAGGTCCGGACGGACTGGGCGGCTGGTGTCGTCGTCTCCCGGGCGACGGCGGTTCTTGTTCTGCAAATGCGCTACGTGGGGAGTTGTCCGACTCGGCTGCAAAAGGACCAAGCAAAGCTGGGCGCGTCGACTGGTGGGGAGCTTGATCGCCTCTCTCACGTACGCCGCGGCGAGCGGGCAACGAGCATCGCGGTCCGCAGATCACGGAAAATCAGAGCTGCCGTCGCACACGTGACCGCTGTCCGCGTTTAAACCTTCGGACAGAATTCGTATGGAAGTCTGACAAGATTTTACTTGTTTCACTGAGGAAGTCAAGGTTTGTTGTGCACGCCTTGATTGGCCTTTGATCACTGCGTGTTCCATCGTTATCTCAACCAAACCCATGTACGGCATTCAATTCCCCGGCACCACCGGGTCTATCTACATCGTCCCCAAGCCTCTAACTATACTCTCTGGTATACTGCCGGCAGCGCCGCCATGCCAGGCAGTTTCTCAGCGGCACCGAGACGGTACGCCGTTCTCAAGGCCAACGCGGCATCGTCTGCCTGCTGCTCGGTCTGCGCGTGGACGACGCCAATGGGGTGACTCGCGTCCACAGCTTCGCCGGGGAACGCCAGCTTCGTGAAGCCCACGGCGGCGTCGACGAGATCCGTAGGTCGCCTGCGGCCGCCACCCAGAGCGACGACAGCAAGGCCGACATTCCGGGAATCGATTTCCTCCACAACACCTGCCTTCTCGGCATAGACGGGCTTGACGATCGGTGCGCGCGGAAGGTACTTGTCCATGTTGGAAGTGAAGTCTGCTGGGCCTTGCAGTGCCGTCACCATTTGCTCGAACTTTTGCAATGCCGCGCCGCTCTTCCACGCCTCCAGTAGCTTCTGCCGGGCAGCCTCTCTCGAGGACTCTATGCGAGCTTCGACCAAAGTCTCCTCTGCAATCGCCAACGTAATCTCCCACAGGCGCTCGCTGCGGACCTCGCCCTTTAGCAGAGCAACGGCTTCCTCGACCTCGACGGCATTGCCTGCGCTACGAGCAAGCGGTTGGTTCATGTCCGTCACCAGAGCCCTGGTGCGAACACCGGCGCCGTTGGCAACGGCCACAATACTCTCGGCCAGCTGTTGTGCCGCCTCAACCTTTGTCATGAAGGCGCCATTGCCCATCTTGACATCCATAATCAGGACATCCAGACCGGCAGCCAACTTCTTTCCCAATATGCTCGCTGTGATAAGGTCGATCGACTCCACCGTCGCCGTCACGTCACGGATGGCGTAGAGCTTCTTGTCCGCGGGGGCCAAATCGCCCGTCTGGCCGATAATGGCACAGCCGACGTCGGCGACGACCTTCTTGAAGAGGTCAGGGTCCGGCATGACGCGGTAGCCCGGGATGCTCTCCATCTTGTCGAGGGTGCCGCCCGTGTGGCCGAGGCCACGGCCCGAGATCATGGGCACGTAGCAGCCGCACGCAGCCAGCAGCGGAGCCAGGGGCAAGCTGATGAAGTCGCCGACGCCGCCGGTGCTGTGCTTGTCGACGACCGGGCCGGGCAGCTCCCACTTGAGCACCTGGCCAGAGTCCCGCATGGCCGCGGTGAAGGCGATGCGCTCCTCCAGCACCATGCCCTTGAGCCAGACGGCCATGGCGAACGCCGCTATCTGCCCCTCGCTCAGGCTCCCATCTGTAATTCCCGACACGAAGCGCTGGATGTCCGACGTGCTGAGAGCGAGGCCGTCGCGCTTATGGCGGATGACTTCCTGCGGCAACCAGGTGTCCATGGCGTCAAGGGTCGTATGTACGGAACGAAAATGTAGCGGCAGAAAGCGAACAGCCTGAGACCAGAGTCGGTTTCGGCCGCGTGGCTAGATTGCGCAAGGTAGTGGCAAACGGCCGAGTAGGCAGCGATGGAGAGGGGCAGTGGTCAGACAATGAAAGATGGTGTCGCAGACACACGAACTGACTCGAAGTACGCGTACTTGCGGGGAGGATGCTACCTCGTAACGAATTATTGTGAGACGGTGGAGCAGGCGGGCTAGCCCGCTTTCAGAAGCTGCTGCAGCCTGCGCGTGGCACGGCATTCTGCAGGGATGCGCCATTTGGGCCACAATGTCCACAAGGACGCGGTGTTGGCGGGAAGCGACGCGCAAGGGCCCGGCTCACGGTCACATGCGTGACGTCTCCGTTCGCCCTCTTTTGCGGCCCACAATAAACACCCCGCCGCCCACTCTGCACGGCCCGCCAGTGGTGAAGTCACAATGCAAAGCGTCTGAGGCCAGATTGCGTCTAATGCGTAGCTACCATTCAGCTCGTCCATGTATCTCGTCTACGGCGGCGGCTAACCGTCCGTCCTTCACCCCCCAGAAAGTGTTTTAAAAAAAAAGTTCTAATCGCCAATGTGGCACCGAGGGCAGGAAAAAAGAGAAAGAGCTCGCCTGGTGCCACAGCATTGCAATAACCCTCGAAAACAAACCCAGGCCCTTTCTAAAGTGCTGGTACTCCCGCCCCTGCTCCGTGCCAAATACCCAATTCCACATAGCAACATCCCTCGATCTTGCCGTGCGGTGCATCGTATCCACATCACTCGTGTGAGACTTCCTTAGAAGCCCTTGTTGGCGGCAATGTCGACCGGCTTCGCGTCACCGGCGGCATCGGCCTTGTCGGTGGCCCTGAAGATCTGGGCACCCTCGACCAGGCGACGCTCGCTGTTGAGGCGGCCGTTGACGAAGTCGGGGTAGTTCAGCGTCAGCTCGACGGCACCGTTGACAATGTTGTCAGCAGCCTCGACACCCAGCATGAATGAGTGGTCCTGGTTGCCGACCTCGTAGCGCCAAGAGCCGAAGCGGCCACGGGACCAGATGTCCTGGTCCTGGAGCTTGGGCAGGAGCTGCTTCAGGACACCCTCACGCTCCAGCGAAGGAGTTGGGTAACCGTGGTCGAAGCGGCGGTGGTAGGTCGAGACAATCTCGTCGGTGGGCCTGAGCATCTCGGTGTTGATGAGACCCTGGATGCACTCCTTAAGGAGGTTATCCTGGTCAACGGGCTTCATCGAAGACTCGGAAACCTCCAACATGATGGACCAGTAAGGACCCTCCTTAGCCTCGGAGCTCGACGCCTTCTCGCCGTTGGCAAGGTACATGGTGGGGAGCTTCTTGGAAGCCTCGGGCTGGTTGTAGGGGGAGTAGTTGGAGAAGATGGTGGCACGGTAGAAGGGGCAGTCGTTCTCGGGGAAGTACAGCCAGCACTTGTCACCGATGCGCTCGGGGCGCTCACCACGGATACCAACACCAATGACGTGGGTGCTGGAGTAGAAGAGACCCTTGGTCAGGTCGTTGAGCTCCTTGTTGCCCATGGTCTCGGTCAGAGCATCGACAGCCATGGTGGAGACGAGCTTCTTGTAGTTGACGGTGGTGCCGTCCTTGAGGGTGACCTTCTTGGCGGAAGCATCAACCTTGGTGACAGCGCCGTGCTCACCGAAGCGGGTCTTCTCCTTGGGGAGGGTGTTGGCAACGGCAATCCAGATACCACCGGTACCGTCGCGGGCGGGGAAGCGGAAGGTGGCGTTGGGGCCCCAGTTGCCGGCAGCCTTCTGAAGGATGACGTTCTTGGTGACAGTCTTGATGTCGGGAGCGGCGACACGCTCGCCGAGCCACTGGCACTGCATCTTGGTGGTGGGGACGGCCCACACCTTGTAGTTGTAGGGCCTCATGAAGAGGTCGGCAACGCCAACACCCATCATGCGGACGATCCACTCGTCAAAGTCCTTGGGCTTGGTGCCGGCGACACGAGCCTCAAGAGCAGCGTCGATCATGCCGTCCATGCACTTGACCTGGTCCTCCTTGGGAAGCATGGAGATGTTGTTCTGGAAGGGGTACGGGACCCAGAGGCCCTTGCAGCGGACATAGGAGATACGCTGGTGAGTGTACCAGTCAGACTCCTTGGGCAGGGCCTCGTCAATGCAGTCGTCGAAGTACTTGTAGTGGGAGAAGATGACGTGACCACCGACATCGTACAGCTGGAGAGACGATCGGTTAGCGAAGCTGTGCGGGGTGGCGAGCGGGGAGTCGAGCGGGGAGGCCCATTGGCAGTCAATTGAGGCCGGGAGTGACTTACGAAGCCCTCGGGGGTGACATCGGTCGAGGCGAGACCACCGGGAGTCTTGTTGGAGTCGACGATCAACCAAGAGGCGCTGTCCTACAGGGCGAAAAGGTCAGCTGGCGGTGGCAATGGACAGGCGGGCGGGAGGAGCGTACGATCTGGTTGAGACGCTTTGCGGCACCCAGGCCGGTAGGGCCAGCGCCAATGACGAGAACGTCGACGTTGCTGTTGTGATAGAAAGACAATGGTCAGCGGATTGAGGCCACGTTGAGTTCAATGCTTTTGTCGGGGTAAAGGCTTACATCTCTTCCTTGTTGCTCATCTTGTTGCCGGTTGCGCTCTGCAGGATCTCCTGGAAACTCGGGACTCTTTTCAGGGTGTTGCGGGCCAAGTTCAACATACGAACTGCGGGCGCTGGGTTATAAGTGAGCGGGTTAGGGGGCGGTCAGCGAGCGAGGCACTGGGGAGGATAATTTTATGGGGAGGGCGCGGTGCCAATTTGATGTGAGGTGGCCAGAGCTCCTGCATCAAGGTCGCCCGGACAGGGTCCCGGCGCTGCTAGCCTGGCCAGTTTCACACACGCCGCGCCCCGCCCGACAGGAAAAGGGGGATCGACGTGCGGCCCAGATTGCAGTGACGAGATGCGCGTCGCCGAGATGCACGCTGGCGCTGGCATCATCGCGCGCGGGCACGGGACCTGCACTCCCCCCCGGCGAGGTACCGCACTGCTTAAAGTGCGCTGCTGACGACGCCCCGGCCCACTCTCGGGCGCCCTCGTTTCTATTTTCAGGGAGCCTGGCCACAGGGCAGATGGATTCAAGCCTCTTTTTCCTCGCTTGCTTGCTTTCGGCGCTCCGGTACTACCTGATTATAAGACACCGGGAAAGGGGGCAGGGGGGGGGGGGAGGGGGGAGGGATGCGAGTTACACGCAATAGAGTTGGCTGCGAAGCTTTTCACGATTCGCCGTTCGCATTGACACGCAAAGCAAGGCCGGCCACGCTCCCCCTGTCGTTACATCCGCCGATCGCTGATATCGGTCCCGCGCCCGTTTGATTGAGAGCTGCCAGCTCGAAACGGCTGCTTGGCCTTACGCGCAAGCTTCCTCGCCGCCGCTCCCCGCCCCAGCCAATCACACGCCCCCGCCCGCGCCATATCGCCTTTCATAACTCGCCAAACGCCAACTCTCCTGAAGATTCTCCCTCTTCTCTCCCTCAGTGTCCTCACCCACCACCACACCCACACCACCGCTCGTTCGACCTTTGTGTAGCATTCCCGTCTCCCTTGCAGGTCCCCACTCGTCTTATACCCTTCTTCCCCTCACCCACCACCCGTCGCATCCCCCACGCCTCCAGCAATGGCCGACGAGAAGACGAGGGCCTCCGGCGAGAGCCCGCGCGAGGCCGCCACCCTGCCCACCGTCAACCCCGATGCCGTGCAGTCTGAGCCTCCCAAGGCCGCCTTCCCTCCGGCCGTCTACATTGCGTGAGTCGAGATGGGAAAAATCCTCCATCGGACGCCCACGCTGACCCTCTTCGCAGCACTTGGATTGCCCTGTCCTCCAGTGTCATCGTTTTCAACAAGTGGATTCTCGACACCGCCGGCTTCAGGTTCCGTATGTCTTCTCCCACACACGTCTCTGTCTGCAGACGCGTTTTCTGACGTTCGCACAGCCATCTTCCTGACGACATGGCATCTTACCTTCGCGACCATCATGACCCAGGTCCTGGCTCGTTTCACCAACGTCCTGGACTCGAGGAAGAAGGTCCCCATGAACGGTCGCGTCTACCTGCGCGCAATTGTCCCCATCGGTATCTTCTTCTCGCTGTCCTTGATCTGCGGTAACCAGGCCTACCTGTACCTGTCCGTTGCCTTCATCCAGATGCTCAAGGTTAGTCGACTCGCAAAACGCCGCTGAAATGGCTCAAATCTGACATGTGCAAAAGGCCACCACTCCCGTCGCTGTCCTGCTTGCTACCTGGTCGCTCGGTGTCGCTCCCCCGAACATGCGCACTCTTGGCAACGTCTCCCTCATCGTCATCGGTGTTGTCATCGCTTCTTTCGGTGAGATCAAGTTCAACATGACGGGTTTCCTGTACCAGGCCGGTGGTATCTGCTTCGAGGCCGTCCGTCTCGTCATGGTCCAGCGCCTGCTCAGCTCCGCCGAGTTCAAGATGGACCCGCTCGTTTCCCTGTACTACTACGCCCCTGCTTGCGCCATCATGAACGGTGTTGTCTGCCTGTTCTCTGAGCTTCCCCGCATGGGTATGGAGGACATCTACAAGGTTGGCGGTTTCACCCTGCTCTGCAACGCTACCGTTGCCTTCCTCCTCAACGTCTCCGTCGTCTTCTTGGTAAGTTTCATCCCGCCAAAACCAGAAGGGACCAAATTTCTAACAGCCCGTGTAGATTGGCAAGACTTCGTCGCTCGTCCTTACTCTGTCCGGTGTTCTCAAGGATATTCTCCTTGTCTTCGCCTCCATGCTCATCTTCCAGGACCCCGTTTCCGGTCTCCAGGCCTTCGGTTACAGCATTGCTCTTGGTGGTCTCGTCTACTACAAGCTCGGTGCCGACAAGATCAAGGAGTACATGGGCCAGGGCGGTCGTGCTTGGGCTGAGTACGGTTCCCGTCACCCCGCGATGCGCAAGATTGTCGTCTTTGCGCTCATCGTCTTCGTCGTCTTCGTCATGCTTGGTGGCCTTGCTCCCCGCTTTGCTCCTGAGTATGACCAGTACGCCAAGAACAAGCTTGGCTCGCTCCTTGGCGAGAGCACCGGCACCCTCCCCGCCAACCCCAACGGTGCTTAAACGAGAAACATGTTTGGAGCCGATCGTGCTACGATATTCGGACTTCTGAAGCGGCGCGTTTTGGCCGCTACGAAGCACAAGCCACGGTGGACTCTTCCTTTCCCCTCCTTTGAGAGATGAGTTTTTTGCCCGTGTCTTCACGACATTAGACTTCACCCCTTTTAATCAACCTCAGAGGATTACCCCTCCCTCGTTGAGGCTTCTTTCATTCGGTCCCTCTTCTACTGTCGGGAGCTCAAGGGACCTAGCGCTAGGGAAGGTCTGAACAAAATTATTATAGATGGATTAAGGCGCACACCCCGCATCAGAACAACAGCTACAAGTACAACACGAATGCTTTGCACAGGAACCAGGTTTGCTGCGTCTTGTTTGGTCTTAGTATCCAAGGAGCCGGACTTCTGGGACTTGTTAACCTGGGGAGCCGACGCACACAGACATGCTTTTTTTATTTGCTCCTGGTTCACAACTCGCACTGGCTCTTTGGTTTTCGCACTGTATAAGCATAGGTGGGAACGCGATGGTGGGAAGAGGCGAGCGAGGTGCGAGAGAGAGTGAGGCGATCATGGGACATGGTATGTGTCGTTAGATACAGAATAAAAATGCTTGTCAAACGAAAACGCAGACGGAGAAACAAAACATTGGTGCCCTGCCCTGCCATGTTCGTGTCGTGTCGTGTCTCGACTAGATGATACCTAGACATATCGACGACGGGCCCGGGTTTCACGCTGACGAAGCACCGAGCCAGAAACAAAAGAGACCCGCGCCGTCGGACGCGACGCGCACATCTCCCGTTTCGTCGCGACGGGACGACGTGCCGGCCGCCCTGGTGGCCGTGGGTGCGTGTGGGTGCGTGGCCGGGCTCCTCGTATCTCAGGTATATATATTTGTATATATATGTACATCTGCCCGGCGTACCGTATATACATATATGTATATATATAGACAGCACGTATGCACGTAGGTGCGTTTAAAGTGTGGCTCGTTCTCGGAAGAGGGGGAGGGATAGCAGCCCGGGCCCGGGAGACGCGGGCTCGGGAGACGGCGTTTCGAAACACAGATGGTGTCTCAGATGGCGGAATCCGGATAGATAGGGGCGGCAAGCACGGAGGCAGAGTGAGGGAGTGGAGTGGAGTGGAGTGGAGTGTCTAGAGTGGAGGCCCGGCACCGAGGGAGCCGGAGGGGGGGGTTGCCTACCTACCACGTACGTACTAGTTGTAGGAAGGGTTAGGGGGGGTGACGTACGCCGCGGTGGTTTATGATTAAGGTCGCTTTAGGGGGATCTGGATCGGGCTGCCTGGCACCGCGCTTGCGCAATGCGATTGCGCGTGCGATATCCGTGCGTGCGTGCTCTTGTCCTTTGCCGGTGCGCTGGATGCTGGCACGCGGTGGCACGCGGCGAGCCGAGGCGTGTTCGTGGGGTGCGTGGGTTGGTGCCCTGCTGGCTGGCCTGGGTATTCTATGTACTCCGTACGTAGTAGGCCGTCCCTACGTAGCGAGGGACGTGGTAGGTAGTTACTGTACGCAAGCCGAACGTACGCTGCTGCTGCTGTGCTGTTGCTTGCCCCTTACGTAGTAGGTAGTTACAGTAGCCTCCTCCTCTGCCCTGCCCTGCCCTGCAGCACCAGCCAGCACCGTTCCGAGGCTGGCCTTGCGTAGTCGTCGTTGGTGCTCCCCCCCTGTGCCTGCCACCCCCCTTCCCCCCCTTCTCTCTCCCTACCGTTAGGGGCGCACGTACTTCGTGCGTAGGCGGCGGTTGGGCCTGCGCGCGCGCTCCTGGGCGGCTGGGACGCCGTGTCTCGGACGGGACGGGGGGGTCGGTGCTTGCGCAATGGCTTGTTGGCGGGAGGGGGGAGCTGGGGCGGGAGGAGGGTGCGTGCGTGCGTGTGAGGGTTGCTGGCGTACGTCATGCGGTTTCGCGGGGTGGCTATTGGTTGCGTGGGGGTTTGGGGTTGAGGGTTGGGGATGCTGATGATGATGCTGGGAACGGGGGTGGTGCTGTGGTGAGCTGAGGACTTGGGGTGCTTGGGCTGGGGATTGGCGTTGAGGTCTCGTTTCGGAAGGGGGGGGGTTTGGTCTTCTCTTTGGGGGCGGGGTTAAAGGTTGTAGATAGTACGTGAGCGGGTTTTGATCGATGTTGACTGCTGTATTTATGTATGGGTGCTGCTTTGCCTATGCTGTGCCCGAGTGTACATGACTGTGGCATACAGCCTTTTTGGTATGTGATCTTACAATCCGTCTTCCTTCCTCTTCTTCCTCTTTTTCTCCACTTCTTCTGCACACAGCAGCGATCGTCCGAGACCCGGTCTGGTGGAGCAGTGGATCCCCGGCCTTATATGGTCGTCGGTGCAGAGCCATATATATCTGCTACCACAGATTTCCCCGGCGTGGTTTGTTGCCCGTCATTGCCCTCCTCTGACGTCTAATTACAACTTCTTGCCAGTAAGTTGGCCGACGGACGACTTGATGAGTTCCGGGTGGATGTGGACGCTCGGCATGATGCCGATGCCGATTGAGCGCCGGATGGCCTTCGCGACGCGGCGCTGGTTGACGGGACGCAGACCAGTGACCTTTGAATGCTTGATCCGGCCCATTTCGGTCATGTACTCGGACATGACGGAGAAGTTCTATAGGAGAAGGTGATTAGCTTTACGTTCCCATGCTCTCCCCACCATAGCTAGATGTCCGCTTCCTAGGACCATGCAGAGACAGTACCTTGTACTCCTTGAGCGGATCCAACGCCAGCGTATCAAACGCATCCAAGCTCGGCGTGGTCCTCTTGCGCCGCCACTTAGTCGACTCGACGGGAGAGATATCGTGCGGCGCGTAAACGTCACCAGCCGTCCAGCGACGCGGCATCTGCTTCTCGAGGTCCTGGCGCAGCCACGAGGCTTGTATTTCACTCTGAGTGACGGCCTTGTTTTCCTTGATCATTTGGGCACCCCACTGTGCGTTGGACATGCTTCCGCCGGCGCCTGGAGCCGCTGGGTCCCGGTCCCGGTCCCGGGACAGTTGCGGGCGGCGGGAGCTGGAGAAGTTTCCGCCCTCGGCTTCGGGGGCCGCTGGGTCGCGGTTCCGATTCCGGAACAGTTGCAGGCGGCGGTGGGCGGGGAAGTTTCCGCCCTCGGCTTCGGGGGCCATGGCGTGCAGTAGACCTGGTGGGAGTGCGTGTCAGTGGGGGGTGCTAGGTGTTGATTTGGGCGCGCGATGGAGGAATACCGGCCGTGGCATTGTTTGGCTCTTCCTTGCGCAGGCAGGCAGTGGTGGTGAAGGACCTGAAGGAAGCCATTGGCCTCGGGAAGGCCCGTAGAAGAGACATGGCGGGTTAGGAAGGGAATGTCTCTGGAGTTTGTTCGACGGAGAGCCGTGACGAGATGGCTTGGCACTGGGATTTTCGGCCGCGAGGCGGCCATGACTTGAATGACGACCACCCCTCCGCTTCAATGCGCCCAACGCGGGGAATCCTTCTGAATTTCTTCTGATCCCGCTGATTCCGCCATGAGCCATTGACCTTGACCGCCGCATCCACCACCCTCGACCCCCCTCGTCCGCACTATCCGCCGCCACCATGCCCACCCACCTCACGCGCCTCGTCATCCGCAGAATACTTTCCGATGAACCAATCGTGTACCGGGATTGCGTCTATCGCAAAGCTATTGGCGGCTTGCAATATGGCTATAGGCGCGTGCCTCGCAGTGGCTTCGCGCAGCGGCGCACCATCTTTGGCTTCTCGCGCAAGCCAGAGCGCAGCTTAAAAGAGCAGGACCTGGCCCCCGGTCTGGAGAAGATGCTCGAGCTGAACCGCACCATTGGCTTGAATGCGCGACGCCCACCCACTGCTGAGCTCGCAATTGCCTTCAACAAACTGATTCTCGCCAAGTATAACGCAAAGGAAGCTCTGTCCGACTTGGAGGCCGCCCACGCCTTGAACACTTTCAGGCACGTCTTGAACAATCCGAGACCGGATGGTACACCACGGAATCCCACCGAAAGGCTCAGTGAAGGTCTCGCTGTCCTTACAATTGCGCCGTCTACCAGAAGCTTTGAGCACGTGGAGCTCGCGGAAGCTCTGTTCACCGAGTTTGAGACGACCAGGCTCGGAGACGATTCGGTAAACAATGTCACGTTCATGAACGAGTTCTTCAAGTACATCAAGGCAATGGTTGTCAATGGCGAGGGCAAGCGTGCACGGAACGTGCTAGTGCTAAGGTTGAAGGAGCGGGATGGGAAGGCGCCGGAGAACATTTTCCCTTCCAGGCCTTGGATGGCCCTGATCGATGGCTTCATCCACGACAATAACGAGAAAGAGTTGCTGGAGACCCTGAAGCTGATGGAGCAGCACAAGGTCCCCACAGACGTCTCGATGAAGAGCAGGATATTTAGGTTTTACGCTTCCCAGGGGAACCTAGAGCTAGCCAAAAAGTGGTACAACGATGCAGTAGCACAGCTGGAAACCGGAGAGTTCATTCCTTGTGCTGCATACCGGGACCTGATCAAGGCCTGCTTGAAGCAGAACGAGCGCCAGTGGGGACAGTCCCTAATAAAGTCGATGCTCGAAATACTCGAGAAACAGTACTCTAGCCAGAACACGGCTCTCAGGCAAACGACCGCGAAGGAAATGTGGGACAATGTCTTCCTCTGGGCCGCCGGCTCCGGTAAAGGTGTCGACGAAGTCGACCGGATGATGACGGTCATGGTTCGCAGAACATTCAATGACGGGACCACGCTCAGACCTGATGTCGACACGATCAATCAATTGGTTGAATACTGCATAGCCAGAAACGACCCATACTTCGCGGAGAGATACATCACTTTGGGCCAGAAGTGGGGCATCCGCCCAAATGCTGCTACTTTCGGCCTGCAAGTAACCTATCGGTTATCTGTGGACGACCTTGACGGCGCCGTAGCCGCCTACAAGAAGCTCCAAGCCGAGGACACAACTGCGAACGAGGACATAGTGGCGGCCAACCAACTCATTCAGACAATGTGTTCATCTGAAAAGCAAGATGTCGCTGCCATCATGCCACTCGTCGACGATCTCAACGAACGAAAGGCCCGCTTTGAGGCTGCAACCGTTCGTGTCCTAACCAAGATGCACGTTCTGCGCAACGAACTCCGCGACGCCATTGATCTTCTTCAAACTCACACTTTTCACTACTCTGAGGAGGAGCGCCTTCAGATTGCCGAGACCCTTGTCTCAATTGTCCGTGACCGCAACCAAAGCAACACCCGCGCCTGGGATACGTATATCATCTTGCAGTCCATTTTCGTCGAGATATCGCGCGAGAAGCGCACGAGTATCATGAACGAGTTCTTTGCCCGAGAACGTCCGGACATGGCCTACCACGTCTTCAACCACATGCGCCAGCTCGAGCACCCCATATGCAAAGCGAACAGGGACACGTACATCGCGGTGCTGCGGGGAATTGCTGGGGCCGGTGACGAGGAGAGCCTGGAACTGGTGCACAACCAGATGAAGCTGGATCTAGACATTGATCCAAACACACGGCTCCGCAACGCGCTGATGATGGCGTACACGGGATGCGAACAGCCGCGCCGCGGACTCGAGTTCTGGGAGGACATAGTCAACTCGCGCGAGGGTCCCACCTACAACAGCATCGAGATCGCGTTCCGTGCCTGCGAGAAAATGCCGTTTGGTGAGCGCCAGGCGAAGGCGCTGTGGGCGCGGCTGCGGAAGGCGGATGTGGCCATCTCGAAGAAGATATTTGCCGGTTACGTCGGCGCTCTAGCGGGCAACCAGCTTGCGGACGAGGCGAAGGAGACGCTGGTTAAGGGTGAGAAGGAGTTTGGTTTCAAGCCAGATGTGTTTTTGTAAGTCCCTTCAGGCATTGTTGTGCTTGATATGTGACTGGCTAACGGAGTTACTTGTAGGTTGGGCACCTTGTTCAATGCTTCTTTTGGCGTCAAAAAGCAGGAGGATGTTGAGGCGTGGATTCAAGCGAAGTATCCAAAAATCTGGGTTGAACTGATGCACCTGGGCTTCAGGAAGACGGAGGAAGGCCCGAGGCTCTTCAATGTTGATAGGAGCATGGAGCCGTGATGAGAGTATGGTAAGTATGATCTTAGCAGGAAGTTGAGGTTGCATGTAACTTGCATGTACTATGTCATAGGTCTACAGGACCAGTAGTTTGTACGAGTACGATGTTGTCGGAAGTAAAGGGCTGACGATTTGAGGCCAAACTTGAGGTAGCGAACAAGCGCGACATGTGTGGAAAAGAAAAAGCTGAAATAAATGAAAATGTATTACATTGCACCTCACCCGAATGCGCGATGATCCGGTTCACATGGGATACATACCTTTGCCGGAAGTGGCTTGAGCCGGGATTCCCCTTGCAGGGCACGATCTAATGCCAAATGGTGACGGGACCGATCCGCACGGAAAACGGGGCCTTAAATCCGCTGACCAAGCAACGCAGCACCTCAACGATAATGTTTGCTTTCTAATCCACCTCTCTCTAAATATGTCAGCTCGCTATTTGTTGTGCCGAGCGCGGCTTACAAATGTAGCAAGTTAGTAAGGAGGCGGAGTGCCAATTGCTTCAATTCCGCTCCTGCATTCACCGCCTGCCACCATGGACTACCGAAAACCGCATAGTGCATAGCTTCTTCGGCAAGTCCAATGTGCGGGGAACCGCTGGAGCCTCTTCCTTTGTAATGCGCAGCAGAAACAGACACGAGAAGCTTCTTTGGCGGCGAGCTGTGGGGTGGTCCCTCCTTGAGGCCAGCATGCCTTTGTACTACCCTCACTCTGTAAGCCGTGAAGGTACTTCGTAGGTATAAAGACCACTTGCCTCAAGTCTACTGTCTCCTCCAAATCACAGCTCTTCTCAAGTCTACTGCCTCATCCAAACCACAACTCTTCTCTTCACCTTCGTCGACACCTATATCAGTCACCATGTCCAGCATCAAGCCTCTCATCCTCTACGGGCACCTCGGCGGTCCTAACCCGTGGAAGGTCGCCATCATTCTCGAGGAGTTGGAGGTTCCCTACGAACACAAGTTCCTCGAGTTCCAAGAGATGAAGCAGGAGCCCTATGAGAGCCTGAACCCCAATGGCCGCGTCCCCGCTCTCGAGGACCCCAACACTGGCATCAAGGTGTTTGAGGTGAGAGCCTGATGGAACAAGCGTATGCAAAACAGTAATTTCTGACCGATCTCCTTCTCTTCAACAGTCTGGCGCCATCATCGAGTATTTGGAGGAGGTCTACGACAAGTCCAACAAGCTGCGCTACACGGGCCTGCAGGAAAGGGCCTTGACGACCTCGTGGCTGCACTTCCAGATGTCAGGACAGGTACGGGACATCCCTCAACCCACTAATAACATCGTACTCACCAAGTTCAGGGACCCTACTTCGGACAAAAGATTTGGTTCTCGGTCTACCACTCGGAGAAGATCCAGTCGGCCATCGAGCGCTACAGCAACGAGATCAAGCGCGTCACCGGTGTGATTGACCGCCACCTCAAGAAGCAGGGCACTCCGTACCTCGTCGGCGACAAGTGCACCTATGCCGACCTCAGCTTCATCCCCTGGTACTCCAGCATGCCCCAGTGGTTCCCGGAATTCGACTACAAGACCGAACACCCGACTTTCGCGAAATGGCTCCAGGCTATTATGGAGAGGCCTGCCGCCAAGAAGGTCGCGCAGGACAAGGAGAACGCGAACAATAAGAACTGATTGGTCGGAGAGGATTGGTGGGGGCGGAAAGAAGTCGTTGAATTGGAAGGGAAGAGTAGTGGACGTTGGATACAAAACTACCCATTGCTAGATTAGTAGGCAAAACCATACTTGTTCTCTTTGGGTTTAATACTGCCGTGTTCTGTAATGGATGTTTATTCGGGTTGCCTGCAAATAGTCGCAATAGAATATTACTGACGACATGAGTCCATAACAGTGAAACCAATCTTCCTATTTACCTTTGTGATCGAACATAGCAACGAGATGATTATGGATGTTCAACATTCATGAATCTTTCGGAGTAACCAATGAGTTGCAGGAGTACTGTAGAGTCCGTCCCAAACTCCATGGATCAGCTTCGAAGTGAAATCGACGATACCATGTCCCTGCTCTTTCTGAAAGGGGATCTGGAAGAAAGGTTTGTTTTACCGGAAGCCAATATATTTAAATGAATTTCTTGAATCCTGACCCTTATCGTTGAGAGCAGGCATTGGACCTTCTAGGCTCCACAAACCCAATTGTTAAGGATCTGCGGTGCAAACTCCTGGAAGCCATCTCTAGAACACCAAGGGTTTTGCGGGCAAGATATCAACAATGCAGGGCATCGAGATGATGATGGATGCATATGGCATCATCATCACACTCCCCGAATAGCCAGCCATGTTCATGCAAAAGAGGTACCGATGGAACGAAAAAGGGAGGTCGAGACAGAGGACAAGGGGGCATGTCGGGATGAAACCGCAGTGCAGGCTTCGGCCGGGTTTGCTGCCAAGATGGTGTCGCTGCCGAGGCAACCCGACAACTCGGTGCAAAGCTCCCGCATTCCCATCTCCGCACTCCACTCCCCGAGTCTCCTCTATCTCCCACACACGCCAATTCACCCACGGCGATCACCAGCTTCGGCACGACGGAAGGCGGCACACACAGCCGATGGGGTGTGCGTTTCCCTTCTGGCTCGCTGCGAAACTAGACTCGAGTGCCGAACGAACATGCCGCGCATCCGACCCGAGTGTCGACATTATTATGATAGGAGCGGCATATCGAACGTCAGCATGGCCCGGACTTGCGAATTGTTGGTCGTTGCCAACGTCAAGCTCCGCACGGACACGCCCCTGGTCAAAGAGATAAGCGTTGGTTGATGTGGGCAGGCCGCGCCAAAGGCCGCGCGAATGGGACCGTGACGAGATACACGCGCGCTGCCTAGAGTATCCAGCGTGCCAGAAATGTGCTGCCCGCTCTTCCCCCGTCACATCGACACATCGAGAATCACACTGGGCACGGGTTTCATCTGGCGAGCGATTTTTCTGGTTGTGGAAGGCTCTGAAGAGATGGATGCCCTTGGTGCGAAAGCACCTCATCAACCGCCTCGATCACCGTTATCGGCACGCGTGTCGTAGCGACGAGCCATGATAGGGCGTTGAAAAATCTTGACCCCTTTTCGAACAGGCCGGCGCTGCTACTCATCCGGGGAGTTGATGCTACGACTCACTGCCGGCATCGATCCTTTCAGCGTTGTTCGCCCTTAACTGATAACCACTATAGCACATCATCAAAGTTTTTCGGCCACCAGCGTGCCCGTCCGTCCTTACGAGAAGGTTCACTGGGGCCAAAAAACGTGAGCGTTGCTTTCGATGATGCAAGCGGCTCTAGCGAGCAATGCCACAAAGAGGTGTTGCCGCGTCTCTGTCATACTGTCTATGTCAGTGAATCCGTCGGATCAGGTGCCCCTCGCAGCGCGTGTCGTCAGGGGACACCGAACGCTCAAGGGGCCTTCGTATCGCTTTGGTCCAGGCCCTCAGCGCGTCATCGACTTCAAGGCGCGATTTGGAATCGACAAGTCTAATTGGGTTTGCACCTACTTTAAACACGTTCGCACCGGCTGAAACCCTTGGACAACCGCGAGGAACCATCAAGGATTCCTGGGCCGTTCCGAAAGGAGGTTTACTCGTCGGACCACTTCCCGAGAATGGCGAGAGACGTCTGAACGTGCTCTCGAAAGTGGTTCTTGCTTCGCCTAAGATCGCTGATCTTAAGTTCAATGACTTGTTCCTGGTTCTCCGCTGATCTCTGAGGCCTTGATAGCTTGACCACGGTCCATGTTTAGTTCTTGATTTGCTGGCTGACTACTGTTATCTAAGGCGCATTAGAATCGGACACTCGGCAGCAAAGAAGTAGGGATGTCTACTATTATTAACATGGGCAAGCCGTGCCTTGCAGGTCCAAAGCCTTTGATCAGTGTTGATCTTATCGCATCGGCGAGCGTCGCTCGGTCCGATAGGCGCATCCGAGAAAGCTGCAGGCGAGCACGTTGAATTAAGGTTATGACAGAACGCCAACCTGGAGAAAGAAGACGGTACGTCTCGTATTCGAGCAGCAGGCGGGCATTGGAGAGGACAAAGCAGAGGTTCACCAAGACGGGGCTCCCGCAAACCCTCAGACGGAAAACTCAAAGCCCACACTGGATACGGTAAGGCTGCTGGGAAGGGGAGGGGGCCGTGCTCTGTTGACCATCACCGACTTTTCCGCCTGGCCTGCAGGGCCCTCGTTTGGGCTTTGGCGCAAAGCATGGACGATGACAGCATGGCGTGCCTATCACCGTCCGCCATGTGAGACACTGTCTTTCCCTACCATTAACCTTCTTTTTGCTTCGCTCGCTCGGCCAGTTCCTGTCAATCACCCATTTTAGGCGCCGTTGCAGCCTGCATGCATGCATGCACAGCATCTCGGGAAACGGCCCTTTGGCCCATCGAGAAGGAACATCCATCGCCAGCAGTTCGCGCGCGCGCACCGACAACGTGCGCCTCACCGGCCGCTGTTGGTCTAAACAAGCAGCGGAGCCAAGCAAACGCGGATCAACACTATCACTTGCTCCATAGGGCCCTATCCACCATCCCCGATGCCTGCGTTAAAGGCCAGGCCCGTTATCGGCCAGTGCTAATGGCTCCTCCCGACGCGTGGCCGCGCTGCTTATCCAATTAGCTTATCCGGACGAGCTCGAGACGGTCAAGACTTTTCTCGGGCACCTTTCGAAGGCGCCTCGGTGTTTAGTGGGCCTGCTGCTCTCGGGAACCACCCACGAGTCGGAGTGGAAAAAAAAAAAAAAAAAAAAAAACAAGGAGAGAGACACTGAAAAAAAAAAGTTTCCGCTGATCGGCCAGGCCGCCCGCTCCCGGCGCGCCTAGCATGGCGAGCCATCACACTCTCTCAACAGCATGAAGCTGCAAGAGGATCACCGTTCCTACGGCTTGCCCGGCACCCCGGCCAGGACGTTTGCCCGAAAGGAGCCTTGTCGGAGGAAGAAGAGAGAAAACGGGAGACCGGAGTCCAAGCGTTGGCACCTCCCACAGCTCCACCCCCATGAGCAATATTCAGGACATGTCGCTGATCCTCTCGCGTGCAAAGGCCACGACCCAGGGCTTGGGTAGGAATGGCGCCGGTATGCTGTCACGTCCCACAGTCCACCCGCTGGTGCCTTGCAGCCGCCAGCCAACGAAGGCAGGCACAGAGGCGGCACACCGGCGACGCCCTGGGTCGAGTATAAAGGTAGATCCCAATAGACCTTCTTCCCTCGTCGTCCCCGTGTGCCCGCGTCCCTTTTCTCGCCCCCCATCGACCAACCAAACGTGCTGAGTGGCTGTTGCTCCCTTCGACGAGAGGTACTTTATATTGTACGCGTCCGTTGCCCGCTTCTTCTTCCACCCAAGCCCACCGCCTACCTCCCCGCCACAGCCAAGCCGAAAGGGAAAAAAAAGAAGGGCCCTCTCTCGTCCCTCAAGAAGCCAAGCCACAAGAAGGACAACAATACTCGCCACCAGTACCAGCAGCACCACCACCCCCAAAAATGCAGCTCACCAACCTCGTCACCGTGGCGCTCGCCAGCCTCGCCACGGCGCTGCCGAACCCGCGCGTCGGCGTGCCCGCCAGCACAAACGCGACGCAGCTGTCGACGCTGCCCGTGCAGCCACTGAACGTGACGTCGCCGGCCGCACCCGTGCCCGCGACGCCCGAGCTCGCCGCCCGCAACACCAACACGACGCACATCAAGCGGGGAGCGTTCGCGCCCTTCCAGCTCGCCAACGCCACGCACGGCGTCTTCGAGCGCGGCAGCCAGATCGTCGATGGCGCGGCCGCCCCCTCGGCCGGCTCCCCCGTCCGCCGCTCCGTCGCCCTGCCTACGGGCTTTGTTGCCCGTAGGGCCGCGCGCGCCGCCGCCGCGTTCGACGACCTCTTCATGACCAAGCGCGGCGCGAACGTGTCGTCGGAGGCGCTGCTCGCGCGCGTCAGACGCAACACCCACACCCTCGCTAACGCCAACTTGACGGCGCCCGTCGCGCCTGTCTCGCCCCCGCCTTACAAGCGCTCGAATGCCACGGAGCTGCCGTCCGTGGTTGTGAAGCGCAGCGGCAGCGGCAGCGGCAGCAACAGCACCGCTACGTTCCACGCATGACTCAAGGACGCGTGGGATGCGGGCTCCATCTAGGACGGACGCGCTTGGCCTGGCCTGGCTTTTGCTGCGAGCTTGCTTGGGCTGGAGCTGACTGCGTCGTCGTCGTCGTCGTCGTCGTCATTGTCGTCGGAGTCGGAGTCGGAGTTGGAGCTTCATCCCACGCCTGTTGTTGCTGCTATCGCTGCTTAGCACCGCTTACTTGCTGCCTACCCTGCCCTTCCCTACCCTAACCTACCCCCCCGCCGAGCCGAGCCGTCGCGGCGAGGGGATGGACGAGCGAACGAACGAACCCCTGGAAACACGCTGCTGTGTGTATGTATTGGCCGTCGACGCCGTCTTCGCCCATCCTTGATAAATGAATGGGCGGACGCCGCGGTCACGCACATACAACGCTTTCTTTCCTCTAATACAAGTTCGTTTGGTCGGGACGCAAACCCCTTTTTTTACGGATCATTTTTGGGAGGGGGAATTGGAAAGGAGGGGAAGAGGAGTTCCTTTTTAATGCTGCTTGCTTGTTCTAACCGGCTTTTTTTTTGGTCTTGTTCTTTTCTTTTTTCTGTTTTCACGATTACCGATTACCCCACGTTCGCTATGACCGGGCTTTACCGCCGCAGTTGGATATACCACCTAAAGAAGGATTATGTTTTTGGGTTAATACGTAGATGATGGCACTCGAAATGCACGCTGTTGAAGAGCACTACCACCACCACTATTACTTTTGCACGAGCATGCTTTGATGAGAGACGAAGAGTTGTTGTTGTGAAACTTGGGAAATATGTTCATTGAGCCTGTCTTCGAGCAATCTGAGGTAACTGAAAGAAACGCGACAGCTCATGTGCAAGCAACGAGGAAGAACCCGCCAAATCCGCGAATTCGAAGAGACCTGGGAATAAACCCGTGAATGAAGCCCAAAGATGCCACTTGGTTCATACTCGAACCGCCTGAGCCTGAGAACCCCTCAACGCCGTCCAGGTGAACCGTGTAAAAAGCCTATGAGCGGAGTCCCAGCCAGAGCCCCGCTTTAACAGTTTCGGTCTATTATGATGATGCCCGTGGGCGCTCGGAACGTGAGGATCCCCAGAGTTCCGTCGTTTCGCCGTGGGGGAAGAAGTAGACGCTGCAGTCGGTGCCGTGGTAGAAGAAATATGGGTGACGGCCGACTTGTGGTGCTTGGATTCAGCACTTGGTCGTGGTGCTGTCCTTGATCGTGTAGTCGTGAGACCCGCGGGCGCCCGCGCAAGCTGGGCCTGGGGCGCCCCGCTTGTCGGAGAAGTGCATCCCGCGGGTCTCGCCTCGCGCTAATCGATACCGTGTTGGCGCTTGAGAGCTTCTAGGTTGGCCTGGCGCTGCTCGAGGTCCTCTTTCGACTTGACCATCTTCTCTGGCTGGTGGTATAGCACTGCGGACATGTGTCAGTCGGAACGCCTCGGTGGGTCTCGGAGATCATCGGCCTACATACCGACGAGGTAACGGTTCTGGAAGTTGAAGCCGTTGAGCTTGTCGCAGGCTGCCTTGGCGTCCATTACGTCCTCATAGACGACGAATGCGGTGCCCTTTGTGTTGTTTGCAATGCCCTGGCGGATTTGACTAATGCGAATATCAGCACCGGAACGGCATGATGGCCTCGACGAGAGCGCAATGCCATGGGCGGCACGGAAGGGTGCAACGTACCGCACTGCGCCGTACTTGCCGAATAGGTCGAAGAGCTCTTCCGGGGTGACGTTGTAGCTGCAACGCGTTTGTCAGCACGAGCCGCAAGGCAGAGGCGACGGGGAAGTGGATGAGCTCACCTCAGGTTCTTCACGAATAGAGCTCTGCGTGGAGAAGGCGGTTAGCATAGGTCGTGTGGCCTCGGGCTGGGGCGCGGCATGCGCTGGCGCCTTTGACGGGGCCTTCCTCACCGGTTGACTTCTGGGGCAAGCTTTCCGCCGCGACTCATAGCTTGGCTACGGATAAGAGAGCGAGTTGGGTTTGGGGTATCGAGTGGTTCGTGTTACTCCGGAGAGCGGGGCGTGGTGTTGCGGGAGGGTTTGGAGGCGTTCAATGGCGGAAGCGTTGTCGTAGAAGCCGCGCCAAGCCGCTAGGCCCAAAGTGGCCGGCGCGGGCAGTCCCAAAGACATGAACCTTTTGTTCTCTTGAGCGGCTTTGATCGCGTCGATGCCGTAGTAGAGGCCCTGTGCCCTTGGCGGTTTCCTGCCTGTCTTGTCCCGCTTGCCGACGCGGAGGTCGGGGGCGACTCGAGGCGCAGACAGGCAATGCTCCGCCGTGCCGCGGCCGACAGCTACTACGTATTTGTACATACTACACAAATATGCAAGCGCATGGGGGGGGGAGCTTTGCGCCCTGCCAGCCAAAGCCTTCGAGACCGTGTGCGCAAACAGTGCTGCACTGACAGCCATGGGTGCAGCGCCAGCCGGGCTGCTGTTGCTGCTGCTGCTGCTGCTGCTACTGCTGCTGGCCCCAGACGCTGCGCACAGCGCAACGAGGAAAACGAGTGCACTGCTCTATGCCTGTGTGACGAGAAAGTCTGGCCGGCAAAAAAGCGTCGTGTTGGGCCTTGTTTGCGGCGGGCGCTGAAGGTGGTGCTGCTGCTGCGCTGCCTTCTCTTCTCCGCCAGCCGCTTCATCGCTAGTGACCTACAACCACCACCTCCGACGCCTCCCCTCCGTCGCAGCGCCCGACACGACGACGCCCACCTTCACGAGTCGCTGTCGCCCCGCCCAAAGACTTCCGCTGTCGGCTCAGTAATGACCAGCAGCAACATCTTGCGCTCAGCAGCTGCGGTCGGCGCGCCCTAGCTGGTGATACCCTCTCACTTTGCGGACCTCCGAGGTTCCTTTCGCACCTACTTGACTGCAGCAATCCGCTCCTCCGCCCCGCCAGCCGCCACAATGACGCTATCCAGCTTCCGGAAGACCTCCGACGACCACTATGTCCCTCCGCGAACACCCTCGCCCATCCTCCGCTACGTCGAGCCTCTGACGCCTACCTACCCCACCGCGACCTACAAAGATGGCCCATTGTTCCCGGGCCGCCTCGCGAATGGCCCTGCCCCAGCCCGCCAGCACTATGGATGGCCTGTGAATAATGGTCAAGCTGGGGAGGAGACCGAGTCGGACAAGGAACAAACCGCCAGAGCACGAACGGCTTCGCGCTCGTCGCGTCACGCCAACCCCAACGAAGCCCGCAAGCCCTCACACGGTTCGCCCATAGACGCTCTTGCTGACGTCGCGTCATCTTTGGCGCCGAGTCCGCTCTTTGCGCCGCCCTCCGCCCATGCTCTGCCCCCTCTGGGCTCTCTTCAGCCCGCGACGCGCCCTGTCGCCCACACCACCCGACACTCTCATACGGCTTCGGACGGCCAAGGCTATCGCTACAACCAAGCTTATGGCTATGGATACGAGGGAGGCTATGGGATTGACGAAAGGCCCTCCAAACGGGCGCGTTCGGAGGTTGCGCCTTCCAACCAACTCTTCCCCGGCGCATCGCGACCTGCGACGAGCCATATCTCTCAGGGCAGATGGTCTCATGGAGTGGAACAAGTTGCTAGCGACATGTACCCTACCTATCGTGGGCGCTCTTCGCTCTCTTCGATGAACGCGAACCATGATGAGTTGGATATCGCGCAGGTCCTCCTGGGCCTGAGGGACGGTAGCATTGACAACAGTCGCAGTGCGCGGAACTCTATTAGCACCACTCAAACCCGGCACAGCAACCCACCTCCGCCAACATGGTTCGAAGGTTATTCAGCACACATGCCGATGCCGAGTGGGTCACACTATCAACCCTACACGCCGGTAGATGGGCATAACCAATCTTACACGTACGGCAACCAGCTTCCAGCCCCCAATCCCGAAACGACCAACCGTCTGCCCGATGGCACCGGCCCCAAGGCCGCCAATGACAGTTTGGCCGTGCAGACTCATACACCGCCCGAAGAGTCTTTTGACTCCTCAAACGGTCAGGGCGTAAGCGAGGATACTGGTACTGCTACTGCGTCCAAGAAAGGCAAAGGTCCTCAGGGTTGGCCCAAAGGGAAGCCGCGTGGGCCGCGGAACAAGGCTAGCAGCAGCAGGAAGTCAAGCAAGGCTGGAAAGGCCGCCGATGTGGCTCTTGCCCCCTCGAAGGAGGAGGGTCCGGATCAGCTGCAATCGCCCCAGAGCCTCCCCGCAGAGCCAAGCGATGGCGCACCTTCTGCTCCGCAACCAGTTGACGACCCGCCTCCCGTCGACTACCCACCGCCCGCCGACGACGACACGCGGCCAGAACGAGAAAGGGTGTTTGACTTTACGCAATCACAGGCTGTGGCAGGCTCGAATAAACGACGAAGGTCTTTCGCAGATCTCGCTAGGTCCGCTGCTGCACAGTCCAGAGAGCGGGAAGCACCGGCCGCGAGAGCCTTTTCCGTTCCACCTGATTTCACCATCTTAACTAGACCGACTGTCCCTCTTGACTCTGGACAACCGCCGCCACCGACTGTTCCGATAGTCCCCCCGCCGGCGGAAGAAGTGACCATATGTGCTGGGTGTAGCTTCTCTCGTGGACCTTCAACTGGCCAAAAGGATCAATGGATTGGTTGTAATGGCTGCCAGAACTGGTATCACTTCGCTTGCGCAGGGTTCAAGAACGCAAAGGAAGTTAGCGGCGTAGATAAGTTCTTTTGCCGAGCATGCAAGCCAAAGTTTGGTCCGACCACGTGTAAGCAAACCCGTTCCTGCCATTGAATATTGCTAATCCGTTCATCAGTTGTGCGGAAGTCCAAGAGGGCGCATACTGCTGTCGACTACGCTGGTTTGAACGAAGGGGTGCTCAGAACCTCCGAGGACGAGTATGAGCATCACTACATCCAAGCCATCAAGGACGGTACCTTCAAATTCCAACCGGAGACATTTCCACGGATGCGGCCTGAGTTGGTGACAGCTGAGAACTTTGAAAGGAATGGTGGTTTCAAGGAACCCATTGTCATTCCGGCTGCTTGGAATCCGCGTCCGTCGTTTCCCGGGACTGCAGAGCCAGCGAAGCCTGAGTTCTCGAGTCAAGGCGAACAAACCGATGATATACCCGATGATCTCGATTATGAGATGGTCCCCGATGACGGTCAAGATTTGATTGATATGGTGATACCCCAGGGTCTTACCGTCCGAAGGGTTGCTGAGCTCTATGGCCCTGATGAGAAGGTTGAAGTCATTGACGTCAAGTCACAGGAGGGGGAGGACAGACGGTGGAACATGGCCAAATGGGCCGATTATTATGAAGAAGAGGGTGAGAAACCAGTCCGCAACGTTATCAGCTTGGAAATCTCTCACAGCAAGCTTGGCCGACTCATCCGTCGGCCAAAACTTGTACGCGATCTGGACCTACAGGATTCCGTCTGGCCTGACGAAGAAACCGCCAAAGGGAATTTCCCCAAAGTACAGTTCTACTGTCTGATGTCCGTCGCGGACTGTTACACGGACTTTCACATTGATTTTGGTGGATCGTCAGTCTACTATCACATCATCAAAGGCAAGAAGTCCTTCTTCTTTATTCCTCCGAAGAAGCAGCACTTGAAGAAATACGAAGACTGGTGTTTGTCACAGGCCCAGAACTGGACTTTCTTGGCCGATGAGACGAAGGAATGCTACCGCGTTGATTTAACAGAGGGTGATACGATGTTGATCCCTTCTGGTTGGATCCATGCTGTTTGGACCCCTGAGAACAGTCTAGTCATCGGAGGTAACTTCCTCACCAGGATCAACTACGCCATGCAAATTCGGATTGCAGAGATTGAAAAGAACACGAAAGTGGCGAGAAAGTTCCGGTACCCTCATTTCCAAAAGGTGCTTTGGTATACTGTCATACAGTATCTGCACCTGGACCCGCTTCCCCAGTCAGTCGCCAATCTCTTTTACGACGGCAAGCAATTCCGACGAGAGAAACCAATCTACACAGAGATGAATAAGTTTGGTCACAACTCGGATCCTGGACCGGAAAACTTCAACGCGCGCTACTACGGCCGTAGCGAACTCGAAGGCTTGCCGGATCTCACCAGTTATATATTCCGTACAGTCATGATATCCCATGGACGCGTAGAAGGGATCACGGCTGAAGTGCGAAACGCTGTTACCAAGTCCATCCCCAAAACCTATGGCGATCCTTTGGATCTCATCAAAGCTTTTGCCATGTGGGCTGCATGGAAGCGTGGAAACGAGGATATTCCGCAATGGGCACATCCTGAGGCCGTTCTGCCTGAAATTGGCAGTTCCAGTGGAGACAAGAAGCTGAGCAATGCTGCACTGAAGAAACTCGAGCGCAAGTCGTTTGTTGATGCTTTCCGCATCGCTCCGGAACGGCAGTCAGCTCGCCAGCAGAAGAAGGCTCAGGAGACAGAGGCCACTGACCAAGGCTCTTCTTCCGGTCCCGTTTCTGGGGCGGCACAACCTGCTGCCAAACACACCAGCACACCAAAAACCTCTGTGTTGGGGCCCAAGCGAATCGCCTGCGATGCATGCAGGAAACGCAGGATTAGGTGTAAACACAAGGACGAGGTCGTGTCTCCGCTTGCCCATAGCACACCCAGCCGACATGAGAGGCGTCCAAGCACACAGATGATGACTGTTGTCCTGCCGTCTTTTGACAGGAGGTCCAACGGCAGTCTGGCAATGAACGGTCTGAAGCCAGATCAGCTTGGTTCAATGATCTCGGTGGGCTCGCCGGATATGCCGCTTGAAACTCCGGATAGCAAGCGCGGACGAAGTAAGGCATGCTTAGATTGCCGAAGGAGCAAGGTGAGTTTGCCGATAAACGCAGTCGTCCATGCTGCTAACAATGTTCATAGCGACGTTGCATCCACGATGAGTATGGCAACATTGACCCAGTTAAAGCGCAAGAAGCACCGATTCCTCGTGGTAATCAGAGTGCTAAGAAGCGCCGCATTAGCAGTGCTATGGAAGAGGCCGAGAGTCTCAAAAAGGCTAGGATAGAAGAACCTCATCCAAGCATCAGTTTACCCAATGGGGTATCCTTGTCTGATCAGGATGTTATTCCTGAGGGGCAAGATCATCCGGAACAAGACTTGACACCGCTGTCTCCTCATACCACCACCTTGGCGCCAGACGTCCCCATGCCTGACGCTCCTCCGGTTGAAGCTGTCAGCAATGTCATTGACCCCATGCTGGAGGCTTACGCGTCGCATGTTGGCACTATCGAAGAGGAAGTTGACCAAATCGTGGTCAACAGCATCGACCCTGCCCTGGAAAACGCACCTCCAGCCAACGACATCCCGCCGGCCAACACAAGCGACATCGCGCTGCCCACGACTGAAACAGCACATGCATCACAAGCCGTGACCACGGATGGCGAGGCTCATCTCCCAGGCACAGCCACCTCAGAACAGCCGAATGGCATTGAGCACTCGTCGCCCTTGACGGACCTGGCCGCCTCGGTCTCCCCGCAAAACCCCCGTCCAGAGAACACCAACAACCCGCTGGGCCAGGAGTCCCCTTCAGTGCGCCACTCGTCGCGGCAGAGCCGACCCGTAGAGCGATACAGCTCGACGTTTTCGCCTCGACAGTCGCAGGCGCCCAAGCCAAGCACTGCCAACAACGCCAACGCCGCCGCAACAAGACGTCGCACGGCGTCGCACACGCCAGTGCCTCGGCGCAGCGGGAGCAAGCAGCCGGTGGTGGTGACACCGGCACGGCAGCGCCGCCAGAGCAACGCGAGCGTGGAGTCGTTGCGGCAGCATAGCGCGGGCAAAATGGACAGTGGTGGCGGTGGTGGTGGTGGGAGAGCTGGCAGCGCCAAGCCGCGGGCCATGAGCCATGCGAGCGTGATTGAGGAGGACGAGGCGAGTATGCGGCTGATCCGGGAGCTGATGGGTGAGGATCGGGGATTGAGGCGGAGGGGGAGCAGGTGATGACGGCTACTAACTGTGATGATGACGATGATGATGATGGGTCGTTCGTGGGTGGGCGGTGGTGTGTGTATGATTTTGCGAAATAGTTGGTAGTGGGTGGGTGGGTTGGAGTGGTTGGAAGGCGGCAGACTGCGTGCAGGCTTGCTTGCGTGCGTGCGTGCGCGCGCGCGTGTGCGTGTGATTATCTTCTTTTTCTTCTCTTCTTCTTCTTTTTTGTCTTTCAGTGCGTGTGTACTTGGGGGGTTGCTTGCTTTTTATTTGCTGGTGTCTTGTCCTTTTTTCTATTGGTGCGGGAGCTGGAGCTGGAGCTGGAGCTAGTGCGGGTGCGAGTACGGGATGCTTCTGGCGCTTACCTAGTCGTAGGCTTGCTTGCGTTTGCAGGAGTTGAGGTGGAGCGCTGTGCGTGCGTGCGTGGATGGATGGATGGATGGACAGGAGTGTATCTAGGCAGGTAGTAGGTAGATGGGTGGCATGGCATGGTCGGGTTGGGTTGCTAAGTGGATAAGGTAGTCATCATTATTAGCAGTCTTGAGGAGTCTGACTTGTCTTGTCTTGTCTTGTCTTGCCTGGCTGGGTGGCTGAACCGAGGGAATGGTGAATGGTGAACGGTTGCTGGATGCTGAGCGGGCGAGCGGGCGGGCGGGGCGGGGTGTCTGGCGCAGTCGGAAAAGCGCAGTATACATACGGTACAAGTACACGTACAGTGGGTAGAGTACAGTATGTACGCAGGTGAGGTTTGTCTCTCTCTTTCTCTTTCTATAGGTGGGGTGGGTTGGTGGGTTGATGAATTCGATATGAGAGTATATATAGGGATAGGGGTGTGTCCTTCTTTTATCCTTTTCTTTTCTTTTCTTTTTTGTTCCTTATGTGTGTGTGCTATTGGAGGTCTAGCGAATATAACTGAAGCGTATCGTGTCTATCTTACGCGGTATATAGGTACGGTGCGGGCGTTCTTTCTATTAGTTAGTCCCTCCCTAGGTAGTAGGTACTACCTACCTAGCTAGGTAGCTTTATATTACGCACGGCTTAGGGTAGGTTGGCGTTATGCTTCCTCACCTGCATAACTATCTTGTTCTTTATTATTATTATTATTATTATTATTATTATCCTCGTCTTCTTATTTTTATTTTTTATTTTTTTTATTTTCTTTTAGCTCGCCAATATCTATCCGTCTCTTATCTGTCAGCTTGTAGCGTGCGCGCTTGCCCGCCGTGCTACTGCCGCTCTCGTCCTGTCTTTCGCTAGTGTCGCCGCCCTCTTGCTTGTTTTATTGCCGGTTAAGGCTTAGCATGCCTTGCCTACCTCAGTGATTCGCCCGCGTATAACCTCGTCGCGTTTATTATATCTCCTAATATACTTCTAAGTTACCTACCACGACGGGGTATAAGTATAGAATACTTACTTACTAACTATACCTACTAAGTAGGGTTTAGGTAGCTAAAGTTAACATAATACGTAGTCGGTAGTTACTAGGTAGTTAATAAGTATATAGAGGTAGGACGGTACGAGGTAGGAGGTAAGGCAAAGATAGGATTTATATCTATTTAAGAAGATAGTTATAGATAGTATACTATTAAAAGACTTTACTTATAGGTACCTAACTAATTAAGTCTTCTAGTAATATTATCTTATCTTCTATATAATAACCATCTATCTAAATAACTTTATACTACTATACCGCGTACGTAGAGAAGAAATATCTATCTATCTAAGACGTACGTATAGCTTTATGTAGTTATACCTTTATTTCTTTCTACCTTACTTCTCGCTTACCTACCTACCTAGGTAGATAGATACGGTGGCGCGTCTACCGCCTACGGTCGCTTCTAAATCGCTAAAATAAGTAGTACTATTAGATAGTAGACTTTCCGTCCTCTTAGCTGTGTCGTATCTATCTTAGGTATAAATATAAATATACGTACGTATATATATAAATATCTATATAGTAAGCCCTGCCTATTACTCTCTTTACTCTCTTTAACTATTTAGCCAGCTATTTACTTAGCTAGTAACTTAGCCAGCCGTAATTAATTAATCGATAGTTAAATCGATACTTGCTTGCTTATTTATTTATTTATTTATTTGTTCAGAATTTGGATTAATGGATGGATGGGATGGGATGGGATGGGTATATAGCGAGTCTTGCGCTTGAAATGCGCGCATGATGGACGATTGTGGATGGTAGAGAGAAAGAGAGAGAGGGGGAAGAAGAGGGGAAGAAGAGGGTGAGGGGAAAGCAAGCCAGGAGCCAGGCGCCACATACACCACCCCGAAACAAACAAAAACAACCCGCCGAAAAAACCAGCAAAAACAGACAGCCACCACCACAAACACCACAAACACCCGTACCTTTTCCCCTCCTCCCACAAACCCACAAACACACAAACACCGCACCCATTTTCCTCCCCCCCACCTAAAACCCCCTAAACAGATCCCCGTCCACCCCACCACCAGCACTACCACTACTGCCAACACTCCTCCCGCCCGGACTGCCCACCCCACCACCGTTCCGGCCAGACAGCGACCGCAGCGCGCTCTTCTCCCGCAAACTCGGCGGCGCGGACGCGTTCGAGTGCGTTGGGGAGGACAGACCAAAGCCAAAAGGGGACGACAGGCCCGCAGACGACGGCGCACCCCCGCCCAACCCACCCACAAACGCCTCCATGCGCATGGTGCCCATCCCCGCGCCGACGGTCGTGTTGCTCGTCGTAGCGGACAGCGCGGCCGTGCTCGCGTCGCTGGGGCGGCGCGTGCTGCTGCGTGAAGCTGATGGAGCGCCGCCTACACCTCCTCCTCCTCCTGCACTGCTACTGCCGCCGAAGATAGACGGTGCAGCTCCGCCACCCCCACCACCACCGCCCCCGAATATCGACGGCGCACTACTCAGCGACGTGAACGTGTTGCCGCGTCCCTGCCCTAGACCCTGCTGATGCCCGCGCAACGGCACACTAGGCGGGAGGGCAGCGTCGTCGTCGTCGTCGTCGTCGTCGTCCTTCTCCTCTTCCACACCACCAGCAGGAGCAGCATGCACGCTCCCTCTACGCGCACCCCCACCACCGCCCACCAAGCCCCCAAACAGCGATGCGAGCGTCCCGCCAGCACGGCCTTGGACCTGCTGCTGCTGCTGAGCTTGCTGATGCCCCCGCAACGGCACCGAAGGCGGCAGCGCGGCGTCCCCGTCCGAGAGCACGCTGTCGACGCTCGGGCGGCGGGGTCCGTAGCCATAGCTCGCGCCGCGGCGGGCAGCGGACATGGGCGGGATCGGGGGCGGCACGGCGCTGGGGCCAGTGAGGCTGCGCTTGCGGCCATGGGGCCTGCCGAGGGCGAGGGCGGGGGCCGGGGCGCCAAAGCGCGGGACCTCGGGGGGGCTGGCGGCGGGTTCGCTGAGCGCGGAGACGCTGGGGGGCGAGGTGGGCGATGTCATTGCCATGGACATGGCGGGCTCGAACTGCTCGTGCTCGTAGATGGGCTCGGCGGCGGCGCCCGGGCGGTAGTACTTTGCGCTGGCGGCGCGCGGCGAGGAGCGGTCTTTGGCCAGGCGCACCGAGTTGCGGATCGGGGCGCGGCCGAGGGCGGGCGTCGGCCTGCTGTGCGCGCTGTGTTCGTGGCGGGGGGCCTGGGGCGGCGACTGCAGGGAGGGGAGGGCCTGGGCGGAGTGGGCGAGGAAGGAGAGGGCCGTCAGCCAGATGTAGTGGCGCTCGGCGGAGACGGCGGTGAAGCGGAGGGCGCGCTCGGGGGTGAGGATGAGGATGGAGCGGGAGAAGATTTGCGAGTGCGTGGTGCCGCGCGGGAGCGGCGCGGCGTCGTCTTTGACGTCGTGGACGGCTTGCACAGTCAGCTTGCGCCCCGTCTTGCCCATCAGCGCGCTGCCTGACGTGGGCTGCTTGCCGCTCCACATGATGGCGCGCTCGTACGGCGAGATCCACACCCATCGCTTGTGCCGCACCCCGCTGCCGCCGCCGCCGTCGTCGCGCCCAATGTCGCCTGGCACCACCGCATCTGCTACGCCAAATGACCGCCGCCCCCGCACGTACTTCCACATCCACTCGCCCACCATCGTCGCCGCGATCGCGTCCACCACGCTCACTGACTGCACCGAGCTGCCCACTGCCGTGCTGTTCGACGGATGGCTCCTATGGCCCGAGCGGCGCGACGAGTGAACCTGCTGCTGCTGCTGCGGCGGCGGCGGCGGCGAGCGGTCGCGCGGGCGGGGCTTGGAGATAACGGCGGCGGAGCGCACCTTGCGCAGACTGTCCTGGCGGGCATGCGGCTGCTTAGCGCCGCTCTTCTGCCGACGGTTCGCAAACATGTTGGTGGCGCGGCGGGTCGGGCTCGTCGAGCCCTCGCTCTTGCTGAGCGGCACGCGGCGCGAGCTCGAGCGCGTCGGCACGGGGAACGGCGGCTTCTGCGACGGCGGCGCCGACTTGCTGGAGCCCTCGCCCGGGCTCGGGCTGCGCGATGCCTGCTCGTGCTGCGCAATCCCGCTCTGCACGAGGGCCGAGCGGCGCATGCTCGGCTGCTTCCTGTGCGACGCCGTGCGCACCGGCTTCTCGACTCTGGACGGCCGCTCAAACGACGACCTTGCCGACGAAGGGTGCGAGCGCGTTTCCTTTTCTTCCGGCACGGGCGTGGGCGGCTTCGCAAACGCGCGGCTGTACTTGATCGCTCGGCCCTGCGAGATGACCCGCGGCCTGTACTCTTCATCGCTCGAATCCTCCTCGGCTGCCGAATGCTCGTCGTCATTCGAGTCTGGACTGCCAAACCCAGCAAAGAGACTGCTCGTTCTAAACGGCCGCCTGATCCCGTCCGTGGTATCGCGGGCGAGCGGGCCGTTATCGTTGTTGCCGGGGTACCGATCCTCGATTGGCTTGTTGGACGCAGCCCGCATCGATTCCAGCAGCTCCTGCGTCGTAGGAAGCAAGGGATTCTTGCCCTTTTCCCTAAACGGCGTCGCCAAGCCAATTGCAATGGCCGATCTTTCGCCAAATTCTTCCTTGACAGGCGTCTCCGGCTTAGAGGAGAGAGCAGACGGGAGGAGGTGGGGCGGGATTTTGGAGGCTTTCTGGTCGATGCTGGCTGGTTCCTTTTGCATTTCCATAGACCGCAGGTACGCCAACAAATCGAAGCTTGTCTGGCAGGATGTGCTCTTCGTGTTCGGCGGAAGGATGGCTTCTTCTGGGGAGTCGGGCGGAGATCCCTTAGGCGAACTGGGCGAAGACATGGGCGGGTGGATAGCGATAGCAGGAACAGCAATGGGAGCCGGAGGTGGTGCTCTCGAAGGTGATGGTGGAACCGCGAACTCGGTATCAGGTTTAGACGGGGCCTTCGTCTCCTTTGGCGTCTCCGTATCCGTCTGCGTCGAAGCAGTGATCATTGCAGGTGTCTGTGGGGACTGTGGAGCACCAACGGTGGGGGTTTCCGGGGGACTGAGCGGCTGATTCAGCGTCTGGCTTGACGTCGAGACCATGAGCCCGGACTTTCGCTGTGGAACAGTTTCCTTTGGTTCGGGAGCGATAATAGAAACCCGCTTCTTCCTCTGGTTTGCTTCGATGTCCATAGCGCTGATGATGTGGCCACTGTTCCTTGCGGCTGCCATGACAGATGGCGCAACGCGTGGAGATGACGGGGGAGAGAACTGCACGCCTGTATCCACGTACTCCGGCTTTGGTGGAGCCTCGACCTTTGGTTCGACCTTCGGCTCCGGTACCGTGTCTATGCTCTGTCCCCGCGAGGTAGTGCCAATCGACGGTGCCGGCGATTGAATCGGCGTGGTCGAAGTGCCGTTCATCAGGCCAAGCATCTTCCTTGCTTTTCCGTCCGACTGCATTGAGTTCCGGAATTCCAAAGCGCGCCGTGCTCTCATTTCATGTTCGAATAATTCATCTGTATCCAGATCCAAATCGTCATAGTCCTCGTCATCCTCATCGAAAGCCAGTTCATCAGCGAGGTTAAACCCAGCCAGTTTGGCCTGCGCCTCGGAACCGGCAAAGCTGAGGACCGAAGCCCGCTTTCCACGGGTGACGCTCCACATGCTGCCAACGCTGGGGTCGCGCGCGTGTCTTCCGAGCTGGCTGCCTGTCCGGCTGCGTCGGATGGAACTGGTGCGCTTGAGAGAGCGGATGCTGGAGGTGTCACTGTCGTTGCCAAGGGCGGGGTCCCTGGCATTGCCGTCGTGTTCGCTCTCCACGTGATCGTGTGCTGCTGCAGTCTGCGCGGCAAGTTCCTCGAGTACGACCTTCAAGCGAGCTTCCGTGACATGGATCCGGCGTTCCAGGGTCCGTTTGTCAGAGTCCCAGGTTTCCTTGTCCCGCTCCCACAGGTCGGTCGTGCGGTCCGTGTCGTTTTCCTGGGTTCTGGCCTTTTTCTCCGTCTCTTCCAGCTTTTTCCTCAGTTCGGCATTGGCTTCCTTGACTTGGTCCCTTTCCTTGACGAGTTCCTCGAGAGCGGAAAGAGTGCCGGATTCCAGTTGCTGCAGATGACGCTTCGCGGAGCGGCCTTCCCTTAAGCTGGTGGATAGCTTGTCGGTCAACACTTCGTTTTCGGCCTTTGTGTTATGCAGAGTGCCTTCGAGATCGTCAATAGTTCTATCTTTAGACTCGAGGTCACGGCGCAAAGACAGGATTTCTGCGACGAGATTTGCTTGCAGCGAGGGCGTGAATCGCCTTGGGTCCAAGGTGGAAAATGTTTCATCATTGGAGGCATCATCGGAGTTGAAGTCGGGCGCATGTGGACCTGGTGACGACGATATGGCACCCTCGGAGGACGGGGTACCATAGTGGGACGAGCGCCGTGACAGCGAGGGCTGTGGCGTCATGTAGGACGTATCAGAAGGCGTTGGCAGCTCCGACGCAGCGTGGGCGGCCTCGTTGCCGGAGAAGTAGTCGGTCGCCATGGCGGCGAGCTGAAAGACGACGGTTGCGGCCGGGGGAGACGAGCGCTTCTACTAAAATTACCATGAACTCCCCCCCCAAAAAAAAGTCACGCACCCGCTACCCTTGTGCCTTTGTGACTGCAAATTGGACTGAGTGACAAAATCCTCTAGCGGGCCTGAAACATGGCTGCGCCCACGATTAGCGTCTCCTAACACCCACGCACCGCAAGGACTGCCCTGGTGTGACGTACTTCGGGACGGGCAATCCGATGCGCGCAAGGCCTCCCTCTCATGCACGATGAAACGCCGAACGCTGACGACACCGAGGCTCGGAAGGCGCCGAGAGGAGTCAGGGCTGAGCTCTTGGGCAATCGTGGACCCTGAAACCGAGATGCTGGGGAGATCGACTTAAGGCGCGTGGAGTGTGCTGGCGGGATGGTGGAGAGCGCGGGGTCTCAGACGTGGAGGGGAGAGAACCTTGGACCTAGAGAAAGGCCCGAGATAGTACGGGAATTAAAGAGATACAAGGCCTGCGCTGTGTCACGGCGGCACTGTCAGCTGGCTCCCAATAGCTCGAGCGACACGGCCTGGTGGTACGAGGGGGTTGAGTCGCGCGTCTCGAGAGGAATATCGCGTACATGGAAATGGCAGCCGGCCCGGGGTACGTGGGATACGAGGGCGAAGATAGCGGGTATGCTGCAGAGCTAGGAGAAGGAAAAGAAAAAAGGAATGTCAACTAGTTTAATGGGCGTGAAGGGAGCGTCGGTGCACGGTGGGGGAGGAGGGAACTTGGGACCAGAAGAAGGCTGAGCGGGTGAGGGGTCGGATGCAAGCAATGCAGGGCAAAGCAATCTGCACCGCCGATCCCGCGCTTCTGTTGCATATCGGCGGGCGAATAGGAGGCGTTGGCGAGGGGTGAAATTGCAGAGAGCGTTGAACGCGCCTCGGGGGACAACGGCCACGAGCTCCTCTGCGGGCAGTGCGCCGCCAACCCGTCTGCGAGACAAGGTCGAGATCAGGGGCGTAGACGCGCCCCCTCCCCGGGGATGGCGATGCCGCCGCCGCCGCTGCTGCTGCTGCGCAATTTGCAATTCTGGAGCGCGCGCGGGAGGATGAGGTTTGTTGATTGACCCGTCTACCGTCGGCTCCCGTCATCCTCATCTCGCATCTTCCCGCCCTGGCCGCTCTGCGCCGTCACCCAGCGATCATGCCAGCCGGCGCGCCCGCGACGGCGAAGGATTCGCGCTCCCAACCCACATCATATCACGCCGGCCCGTCATGTAGGTATAGATAGCAACGCCGGGAAATCCCAGTACCGCCATGGTACGAGACCATGACGCGATGCTGCAGCACGTCAATAATGAGGCAATCCAGCTTTTCGCCCAAGACATCCAAAACCCCGGCCGGGCATACGAGGAACAATATCAACGACATTGGACGTTGCAGGGTGCCAGGGTTGAGCCTTCTCCGCCGCTGCAGGTACGCGGCCCCCCCTGCCAATGGCAATTGCGGCAGGGTCCCGCCTAGGTACGAATTGCCTAGCGGCCGCTTGCGTCTGTTTGTCGTCAGTCCGTCTGTTGGTACGGATATACTCTCCGTGTGTACTATGTATGTCTCGGCGAGCGCGGCAACGCCCCCCAGTTTCAACCTGCGTCCCACCACCACCAACAGCGCCAATCCAATGCCGATCCCCGTCGCGTCCGCCGTCGTGAAGGGTGCCCAACGCCGCAAGATCGTCGCTAACGCAATGCATGCGAGCGAGCTACGTACATAGTAGCGAGCCAAGCAGCAGTAGCGAGCAAACGGGCTAACGAGTTAACGACCGGGTGAGGTGGATGTACGACAACGAGCAAGCCAACCGAGCAGCAGCCATACATACATGCATGCATTTTATGCCGCACGTCACCCCTCACCCCTCACCCAGGCCCAGGACTAACCAGGACGAGGACCAAGACCAAGACCAGGGCCAGGAGGACCCTGGCGCGCCTGACTGACGGGGACCTACGGATTAGCCAATAGCCACCATCGAACGGCGACGGCCGGTCCGGACGCGCGTGCCACCGGCTCGAGGCCGCCGGGGCATGCATTGGGCAGTTTGCAGTTCCATGGCAGGGAAGCCCACCCAGCCGGCCGCCTGGGGAAAGTGGGAACCCGCTTTTTGCTGCGCTGCGCGATCCTTGCTTTTTTTGTGCTGTGCTTGCTTGCTCGCTGCCGACCCGGAGGTTTTTTTTTGGCTCGCTCTGGTTTGCTTGCCTTATCGATAAGGCTTCAGGTGGTCTTGTCTTCTCTTCTTCTTGTTCGTTGACTGTAACTTACCTAGGTAGGTACTATTTTTTATTTTTATTTTTATTTTTTTTATTTTTAATTTCCGTACCTCTCTAGGTATGTACGAGTAAGTTTGTCGACCTTGTCGATCTTGGTAGTGGTATCTACCTAGTTTACCTGCTGCGCGAGCTTCGGCTACGAAACCAAAGTCACACGCATTCTGACACCTGCGTGGTGGCTTGCAGTAGCGGCAGCGTCTATGTATGAGGAGGGTGCACGTGAAGAAGATAAGAAACAAGGGCTTTAGATAGGCGCGGATAGCGCTGATTTTCTACTCGGGAGTTGCCTGTCTGGTTGTACGAAGACATGGAAGAGTCCAGGAAAGCATACTTGCATGCAGACAGACAGGCAGGCGAGGAAGTGCGCACAGCTACCCTTGCCGTGGACAGACAAGCAAACCATGCTCAAACGAACGAACCGGCGGTGTACAATCATCATCAACGACAAGACACATTGACTAGCAACTGGAAAAGCAGTATTTAGCCCACCGCCCTGGCCAGCTAAGAAGCAGCTACCAGCCAAGAAGCCAGCTGGATAATCATCTACTGCGCTTAAGTACTGCCCCTCGGGTACCGTCCCTTCAGAATTCCATAGTTCCAGACATTGCCTCCAGAGTCCCAGAGCCTGCTTCCAGAATCCCAGAGGCTGTTATGTGCTGCTGCAAGCGCCATTAAGATTTCCTTCACCTAGCCGTTATGCGTTATGCTTGTTTTGGTGCCATGTATCGTGTCATGTCGTGTCGTGTCGAGAGTTGTGATCAAGTGTTCTCGTAAACGACTTGTTGTGGATGTAATGCATGAGTGGGTATATAAGGGGATGTGGACATGCCAGAACCAGAGCCATGTGCTGTCCGTACGTGCAAAACAGACTTGGGACCGTGACTGAATCTGAGCCAAGCGCCGTCATTGGTTGTAAGTGATCATGTTCTAGACAGCTAGTTCTGACGATGTCCATTGCCGTCAATCTGTCTAGCAGATGATTGGGATCTAAAAAAATTGTACTGGGTAAGTTGTGCGTGCTAGGAGAGACAATAAGATTAAAGTCGTATGATGAGTAGAGGGTATGAGTTCGTGACTGACTGCTGCCGTTGTGCCGCCAGGTCTTCACGAGAGCAAATGGTAAGCCAGTGAAACTAGAGGCAGCCACGCTAGTCGTGCGAGTAGAGCTTCTTCGAGCGCACCATGCACTTCTTCAGTTCATTCTTGACGTCTGACTCGATCTTGTATCCGTACTGGTAGCGATTCCTGTGCTCCATGTCGACCTTGTCGACCTCGATGCTACGTAGGGCATCGATGAAGCGGTAGTCGGTACGGCCGACGATTTTGCGGCCCGCGAAGCTGAATCTGGCTTCTTTGAGTCGCCCGTTCTCTCCCAGCATGCGCAGGCAATCGATTAGGTGCTCATCATGCACAAAGCGGCGCTCCTCTGGAACAGTGTTAGCGTGCGCCTCTCAGATTTGGTTACAATCAAGCAGAACGTACCGTTAGTGATGCGAGGAGTGGCTGACGGAGCTGCGTCAGTGAAGATGACCTCGATGTCTCTAAGCAGCTGAGGTTGCTCGTTAGTGTCATTGTCAGAGTTGTTGACAGATGCATACTCACAGATATGTTGGTCGGCCCAATACTTTTCAAGAACACGCGGAAGTCCTTGAAGCCAATCTCGGTCTGCTCGGCGTCCCAGTAATTGCCGCGTCTGTTGTGGTTACGTGCGAACATGAACTTGTTCTCACTGTAGAGAACGCTTCTTCCCTCGTTGTAAACTTGCCTGTTAGCCCTGAGGAGCGCGCTCGAGCGACAGAAATTGAAAGGTCTTTCGAAGTCGACAGCATCCTTGTCCACGAACAGAAGACGGTAGATCTTGTTGCGAATCTCGGGAGGAAGGTCGACAAAACCTATCTCACCAGGACGCGGTTTGCCTGACTCTTCGAATTCGCGTGGCGCAACGTTGATGGTGTCTTCGTTGTGGTGAGAGGGCGCGCCATTACGGCGGGTACGTTGACGCTTTACCGGTCGCGGAGTTTGAGACTGCAGCTTAGAGAGCGCGGCGTCGTCCAGGTTCACGACGAACGGGCCTTTGAAGCCCGGAGGAACGTTGAAGGTGAGCGACGTAAAGTTGGTCATGCCTGACATGTGAAGGTCTGGAGTTGGCTCTCGAGAGCGAATATCCTCTGGGTTTTGTGGGAGTGGAGGCAGCGGAGGAAGAGGAGGAGAAGGCGTGCGCTTCCTCTTCTTTCTGGTCCGTAGCTGACCTTCCTCGTCTTCGGAAACCTCGTCGCCCGAGTCCTCTTCAAGCGCCTCGATCGTGTCGAGGTAGTCGACGTCAAGTGACTTGCGACCGGCGCCGTCGCGGATTGGGCGTCCGGTGAGTGGGTTGTAACGAGTTTCAGTACCTTCCCCGACGTCGCTGGACGAGGAAGTCTTGATTTGGGCGGACTTGCTCTTGCTCTTGGGCTTCGCGTTGATCTTGCGCGAGGGCGCCATGGTGTGGTGGGCAGGTGGGGTGCTGGCGAGTAAATGGGCAAGGAAACAATGAGGGAGTAGTGGGCGGGCAAGCTGAAGGGCGGTGGTGTCGAAGCCGGCGCTAGCCAGGCCGAGCAGCGACTGATGGAGGCGACTTGAGGCGATGGCAGTCCCGTAGGTTGGTGACCGCTTCCATCCCCGGCCCGGCGACGAGGGAACGGTTGATGAGGTCACAGCACCGAAGAGGTAGGTAGGTAGAGGAAAGACACCTGTTCATTGTCGATATGACTAGGTATGTCTAAATATACAATTGCCTCCTCGTATTAGCCAGCGTTCAGTCTGTCTGTCTGTCGAGGATACCCATCGCGCACACAACAATCCAATCAGAAAGTCTCAAGATTGCTCCTCGAAAGGTGGTGAGGCGGGCCCGGAGCATGTCAACAACACCCACGCCGCCCAGCTTGCGCCGGGCAGGTGAGGATGCGCTGCCGTACAGGCCATCTCATCATCTTGGATTTAGTTGTGTGAAGAAGAAAGAGCGCGACGTCGACGCGCGAAGAAAAAGGCCGGGCTCGCGTGAATTGCCGCGTCGAGCTTAGCCGAGGAGCCATCTCGGCGCCATTGCAGTCATTCAATCATCTCACCACCCGGCCAATCCAAAAGCTACCCAGACGCCAATTGCAAAGATACCCAAGTCGGCAGCCATGTCGTCTCTCCGCACCGCCTGCAGAGGCTCGAGTGCTCTGCTCGCAAAGTCCATCGCGCGCCCAATCGCCCCCTCTCTGCTGCGTCCTACCTTCGCGCGGGGATATGCCGTGTCTACCGATAGCCAGCACAGGGTACCTCGCCCGCGCCGTCGTCATGCAATAACACTGATTACTGACCCCGCCCACAGCTCCTGTCAGCCAGCCTGTCCGAAGCCGATCCGGCCGTCTTTGACATCGTGGAGAAGGTATGAGCCGTGGCGCGCCGTCGCCTTCCGTCGGCCGTGACTGACGCGCCACCCGGTCTGTAGGAGAAGAGGCGGCAGAAGCACTTTATCAACCTGATCCCCTCGGAGAACTTCACCTCGCAGGCCGTCCTCGATGCTCTGGGGAGTGTTATGCAGAGTACGTCGCGAATTGCCACCATTCTCTAGACCATTAGCTGAGTTGGCGCCACAGACAAGTACTCGGAAGGCTACCCGGGCGCAAGATACTACGGCGGCAACGAGCACATTGACGAGGCAGAGAGGTTATGTCAACAGCGTGCGCTGCAGGCTTTTGGCCTGAAGGACTCTGAATGGGGTGTTAACGTCCAACGTAAGTGATGCACTCTCCTCGTCGCGGCTCCATTAAGATGCTCACGGGAGAAACAGCTTTGTCCGGATCGCCCGCGAACCTCTACGCCTATTCTGCCCTTCTCAACACCCATGACCGTATCATGGGCCTCGACCTGCCTCACGGCGGTCACTTGTCGCACGGCTACCAGACACCCACCAGGAAGATCTCCGCCATCTCCAAGTACTTCGAGACGTTGCCCTACAGGCTCAACGAGCAGACTGGCTTGATCGATTACGACAGGCTGGAAGAGCTGGCTATGCTGTACCGCCCCAAGATCATCGTTGCCGGAACCTCGGCTTACAGCCGACTGATCGAGTACGATCGTTTCCGACAGATTGCGGATAAGGTCGGCGCGTATCTCCTTTCTGACATGGCGCACATTTCTGGTCTTGTTGCTGCTGGCGTCATTCCGTCGCCTTTCGACAAGTCTGATGTCGTCACCACGACGACGCACAAGTCTCTCCGTGGACCCCGCGGCGCCATGATCTTCTACAGGAAGGGTGTGCGCCGCGTCGATAAGAAGGGCGTCGAGGAATTGTACGACCTTGAGGGCCCTATCAACGCGTCCGTCTTCCCCGGCCACCAGGGCGGTCCCCACAACCACACCATCACGGCCCTTGCGGTTGCCCTGCAGCAAGCCCAGTCTGCCGAGTTCAAAGAGTACCAGCGCACTGTCCTCTCCAACGCCAAGGCGCTGGCCGAGCGTCTCGGAAACCCCAAGGGCAAGGGCGGTCTGGGCTACAACATCGTCTCCGGCGGCACGGACAACCACCTTGTGCTCGTTGACCTCAAGGACAAGGGCGTCGATGGCGCGCGCGTCGAGCGCGTCCTCGAGCTCGTCGGCGTTGCCTCCAACAAGAACACGGTTCCGGGCGACAAGTCGGCAATGAAGCCCGGCGGGCTGCGCATGGGCACGCCGGCCATGACGACGCGTGACTTCCAGCCCGACGACTTCAGGCGCGTGGCCGACATTGTGCACCGCGCGGTCACCATCACGCAGAAGCTGGACAAGGAGGCGCGGGAGGCAATGGAGACCAAGGGTCGCAAGAACCCCGCATCGCTCAATGCCTTCAGGGAGTTCCTCGGCGAGGGCGAGAACGTGACGGACATTATCCAGCTGCGGAAAGAGGTTGAGGACTGGGTGGGCACGTTCAGCCTGCCGTGGCAGAAGAACGGCTCGTAATGATGTGAGGGAAGAAGAGGATGTGAGGGCCGGTTTGTCTCGTCTCGAGGCTGGAAGATGGCTCCGGGTGCGGGGCGAGCCGGGAGATGCGTTCACGAGTGTATGTGTCGAGTAAGAAGAGCAAGAGCCTTCTTCTCTCTTCCTCGTACGATCAGGGCAAGGCGTTGGTGGAGAAAGTCGTGTAATGCTGGAGGCGTATATATAGCTTCTCTGTACACCACGAAGACTTGACATTTGCCAGCCCGCGTTTAGGGCACTCGCCTACTCGGGAGCCATTCACGCCATTGCGCACGTGTCGGCGCCTGTGCCTGGGACCGGGACGGACCGAGCCCGCACTCCCGCCTCCGCTAATACGCTAGGGTGAGGGCGGTGGGCTGTCCTTTGGGATGCGTGGTTGGGCACCTGGGGCTTACGTGCGCGCAGACCCTTGGAAGCTTTGGCGTCGGCCGAGGTGCCAAGCAACAGGTACGGACTCATTGGAACGTCTAACAGGAGAAAACACTGAGCTCAAGTGCTATAGAAGCCCTATAAGACATGTGGTTTACCTATACTTATTCTCAATCCATCGGGAGCAAAGGCGTAGGTGGTCGCTTAATATTCGGCAACTCGGCGAAGCCCGCACCCACCTCCACCTCATGGGACCTGATACACGGGCTACCATGGGCTGCGCGGCACCAGTGCGGTCCAGGGAAGAGCAGGCCTCGCAGGCGGACACAGGCAATTAGCTCTACCGAGCGTCACAATCACAAGAAGTTAGCAAACCCCAGGCCGAACCGGGGCCGCACGCTCGACCGCGCGGTCGTGGGGGCCGAGCAACCTGGGGCGCGCGCTGGCCGGGTCGCGCGGCGATCTTTTCTCGCGCGGGTATGGCATGCAGGCGGCGTGAGACATCTGGGTAGTTGCGGTGGGTTGGGGCGTTGGGTTTTTGTGCGTCTAGGTTCTCTTCTCCGCTTGTCGGACGGTTCTTTCTGGCTCTGTCCGCGTCGTCGACTGGCTGGGAGCTGTCTACTCCGTAACTACCTACTCCGTACTTCTCTCTCTATCTCGGCCTGTCTGTCTACCTATCGATCTACCTACTATCTTTCTCTCCGTTGTGCCGCCTTCGACCCACCGCGCACATCGTCCGCCACTGGAGCCCTCGAGGAGCAGTTCGTAACCACGGAGCAGGGGAACTCTAATCATCCTTCGACGAACGCTTCCCCCCTCTCGGGAGCTACTCTGTTCTCCTCACACACACACAGACATCGATCCCGCTGCGCTAGCCAACCGACCCATACCATACCATACCTCCGCCGCAATGAGCACCGACTCCCGCACCTGCTACTACCCGGACGAGCTCACCGAAGCCAAGGCCGACCTCCCGTGCGACCCGATGGCCGAGCACTCGGCTTGCTGCGGCGCCGGCGCTTACTGCCTCGGCAACGGCCTCTGCTATGATTCGGGCGCCGTGTCGCGCGGCTCGTGCACCGATCAGTCGTGGAATGACGCTGCGTGCCCGTCTAATTGCAAGAAAGGTACGTATATATGTGCTGCTGCCTGCTACCTGCCTACTTGGCCTACACACTGCACACACTGCATACAGCAGCATACTCACAAGCCTCCGCACCCCCACCACCCATAGCACAACCCACCAGCCACCCACCCCAACCAACCCACCCCAACCAACCCACCCCAACGCTAACGCCCCCGCCCCCCCTCACAGTGCACCCCTCAACGGGCAACGCGCTGCGCCTCTGCAGCATCGACTCGCGCCTCTTCTCCTGCTCCGACGACTGCAACAGCACCTTCGGCCTCAGCAACGACACGCTGACCTTCCGACCCTCACAAGCCGCCTCCATCTACAACATCGCGCACGCGGCAGGCCAAGTCTCTGTTTCCGCTGACGGGAGCGCCGTCGCTAGCAACAGCAGCACCAGCTCGCTTTCTTCCACCAGCACCGGTAGTGGGGGTGGGGGCAGCGCCGGGTACAGCGCGGCTGCAATGGCGGGCCTGGGCGCCGGCCTCGGCGTTCCTCTCTTCCTGGCTTTCGTGACGATGCTGGCGCTGTGGCTGCGCGAGCGCGCTGCCCTGCGCCGCTTGAAGGCCGGTATGGGGGGCGTGGGTAGCGGTGGCGCCGGCGCCGGCGCGTTCGGCCTCCCGGCGGAGTTGATGCACCACCACCAGCATGTCAAGCCCGCGGAGCTGGACCACGAGCGTATGCGCCATGAGTTGCCGCCGCAGGGAGCCGTGGGGAAGTGATGTGTGGCGGTGGTAGGGGGGAGAGGTGGATGGGACTGAGTGTTGAGAAGGAGTGGGGGTGCGCGGGGTTGGTGCCATGGTGGTGAGGGGGTGGGTGCTTTTTCTGCTTTTTGTGATTGCCACTGCTGCTGCTGTGGTGGTGGTGGTGGCTTTGATACCCTGTTGTATATGCCTTGCGTAAGTTTGTTCTATTCTGCTGATTCAGACATGTAGTCGAGTCGCTCTTACCTAATTAATGTGTAGACGTTGGATACGTTTACTTCTATATCTATATATTTGTTTGGTTTCGATGCAACCTGACCTTTAAGATATAGATGTGAAAAGGTGGGATGGCCTATTTCTTTTGGCTGTTTGATCGCTTCTTGGGTGGGTACATGCAGGATAGGCTTTATAACGTTGACAATGGTTTTTTTTGGGAAACGGTGTTGGTGGAAAAGTGGCGCACTCGCCGGTCAATGTACACGACAGGCTTCTTACATACAGAAGAAAAGACCAGGGAGTCAGATGCGGAGCAAGCGAGGGCGGAGGCATAGAGGCAGAAGTACCACGGCACCGCTATTTAAAGTAGTTTCAGCGGCCCTCCTACTGTCAGGGCTGTTCCTGACAGTGTTTGTTTTGGCACGTATCTTCTCCACACTTATTGTATGCACATTATAGAGAACATCGTATTGATAACGTTGATGAAGAGAACACCAAGAACTTATACAAAAAGAAGATAAACAAAATAAATAAATAAATGACCCAGCCAGAAATCGAACCTGCAGCAAAAAGTATGGCGCCTGGAGTGTGGCACTTACTCGTTTGGGTATAGCCCCAGCAACCCAGATCCTGGTAAACCGGAACCAGCGAACCAGTAGACCAGAAAACCAGTTGGGGAGGGAGGCATCATTCACAGGGGCTATGCTGAATGAATACTATCCCGGCCTTATATACTATATATATATAGGTGTGGTCTATAGACTTTTTAGCGATTCTGCTGCATACTTACTATCCCCTAGAGCGCGATAGGCACTACTAGGCAACAGGGTCCGTAGACTCTTCACTGTTACTCCGTAGGGTACTCTCCTACTCCTATATTTCTATACCTTTGCGTCCTCTTAGACCTATTCATGCCCTCGTAGCTTTTCCACAATTAAATACTTACACCTCTACGTCCCTTACAATCCACTCCTACCTTTATATATTTTCTAACTCTATACCTACGTAGGATACTCGAGTATCTTTATACGCCTACACCTCCATATTCTTTTAGATACCTTACCGCCTAGCACCTTCCTACCTCTACACACCTACCCAGCGACCACACGAACCTAGTATTACAACTTACCACACCTATCTTAAGACTACCCGGTGGGCACAGTAAACCTTCCTTACCATGTAGTTAAAGAGAGATTTAAATATTTCCAAAGTCACAAGCCCTCAAGCAGCCAAAGTAAACCCGTGTATATTCAGCGATACTAAGCCCGCCCGCCCGCCCGCTAGAGCTTTCTTCTTTCTCTAGAGATATTGTACATACAGATATGGACTATGCGTGGTATAGAGAGGCAAGGGAAGACGGAGAGAGGAGGAGAAGAGAGGCGAGGACGCGTGGATGTGGATGTGGATGGATGGATGGAGGAGGGGGAGAGGAGGAGCAGGAGCAGGAGCAGGAGAGGAGGGCGAAGAAAAGCGAGGAGAGGGGGGATATGAGAAGGTCAAGGGGGAAGACGATAGGGATATGTGCGGGTGCGGTGCGTGCAAGAGGAGGAAAACTGCCTTGGTGCTTTTCGTTCCTCCCTCCCTCCCTCCTCCTCCTCCTCCATCACCTCCCCGTTCCTCCCAGCGCGGCGCACAAAGCGTTTGAGTGAGGTGGTTAGACGATAGCGGTAGCGGTAGTGCTAGAGGTATGGACGGATGGAGAAGAGTCTTATTTGCTTTACTTCCTGCGCTTCATGACCTTGGTGCACATCTCCACGAGGCCGTCCTTGGCGTCGCTGGGCGGGAAGAAGGATATGGCCTGGATGGCATTGTCGACGTACTGCTGCGCGAGCGCGCGCGTCTGCTCGAGGCCAGTGCTGCTCGCCACGAGGGCGCGGGCCTACAACTCGAGTCAGCGATATGCAACCAACCCCACCAATCCCATCCTTTTCCGCTTCGCTTCGCTTCGCTTCGTGCATTTGCGGGGGATCCGCAAGAGCAGCAGCAGCAGCCACAGCATCAAATCACAATGGGGGGATCAACTTTGTTCAAAACTCACCCTCTGCACGTCGCCCGGCTCCGCAAACTTGCGCCCCACCAGCGCGCCCAGCTCCGCGTTGTCCTTCCACGCAAACAGCAGCGGCGCCGTCGCCAGCCCCAGCTCCAGGTCCGCGCCCGCCGGCTTGCCCAGCTCCGCCTCGCTGACCGTGTAGTCGAGCATGTCGTCGACCAGCTGGAACGCCAAGCCCAGGTTCTTGCCGTACGCGTACGCCGCCTCGATGACCTCGGGCGACGAGCCGCCCAGCACCGCCGCCGAGCGGCACGACTTGGAGATCAGACTGGCCGACTTCAGGTACGTCTTCTGGATGTAGTACGAGACGATTTCATCGGTCCACACGGGGTTCGCCTCGTCGCGCGCCGTGTTCTTCAGCTGCATGAACTCGCCCTCGATCAGGTTCGCAATGACGGTCGCCATCAGCTCCGTGACTTCGGGGTGGCGCAGGCGCGCCAGCGCCACCGACGCCCGCCCCAGTAAGAAGTCGCCCGCCAGCACGGCCATCTTATTGCCAAACTCGATGTTGGCCGACGCCGCCCCCCGCCGCGCCACGCTGTGGTCGATGACGTCGTCGTGCAGCAGCGACGCCGTGTGGATCAGCTCCACAATCTCGGCCAGCCGCCGCTGCGACGGCAGCACGTCCGCGTCGCCGCCCTTGGTGTCGTACGTCCCGTCAATGGCGCTGGTGCTGGTGAGCGGCGTGAACTCGGGCGCCGAGGGGTTCTCGTCGACCAGGATCTGCTCCGGCGACAGGGGCCGGTTTATTGGCGGCAGCGGCGTGCTGGGCGCCGCCTTGGGCGTCAGCGCCGTCGCGCGCGACATCAGCAGCACCAGCATCGGCCGCACGTATTTGCCCTCGGACCGCGTGTAGTACTTGGCCACCGTGTCGAGCGCGGGGTGGCCGGAGCCCAGCAGCTGCCGTATGTTGCCCGTGAGGAACTTCATCTCCTTCGCCACAGTGCGCAATGGGTCGACGATGGGGGCGTTGGGGTCGGGCTTCGCGTTGTTGAAGAGGGTCTGGGCGGCGCTGACGGTGGCGGCCCAGCTCGACTGGTGCCGCCGGCGGGAGGGGTGGTGAAGGAGTGACGAGGGCGTCCGCAGGCATCGCGACATGGAGACGCGAAAGGACCGGGAGGCCATGGCCGGGGTAGAGTCGGCGGCAATTGGGAGCGGAAAGAGGGTGGTGAGGAGCTCCGGCGGGCAATTGGGCGGTCGAGGGGCTTAAGAGTCGGAAGGGGAAGTGTTGAGGAGGAAAAAAGAAGCAAAAGCTGGAATGACGACGGACATCGGGGAAAATCAATTGCGGATGCTTTGCCGCGGCCGAGCTTCTCCCGGTCCCGACGACGATCCCGCCCGCCGTCGTGCCCTCGACCACCACGTCGTCACCTCGTCACCCACACACCAGCTTGTTACACGGCCTCCATTCTCTCACCACCCACCTATGGTCCTCCTCACCATGACGCCTGCCGTCGTGCAGGCCGTCCACGCATGGCACCGCCTCGCCGACGACCAGCAGCAGCGCGAGCTACCACAACAGCCGGAGCTAGCCGCGCCCGCACCCGGCGCGCCCATCTCGCACGCGCAGCTACTGCGCATCTCTAGCTTCCTCACAACAGCAAAAAGCAGCAGCGACGAGCCCGGCCCCCCCGCCATCCGGCTCAACGACCTCCTGCGCGGCGCGCGCATCTACGTCCCCCCACCGCCACCAAAGCCCGAGCCCGTAAGTGCGACCCCACACACAAACGTACAGAGCCATTGACCGACCTCTCCACCCCAGACGCCCGAATACAAAGCGCTCATGGCGCGTCTCCGCGCTTCACAAGAATCCCTCGCCTACTCCCTCCTCCTCACCCCCCCCACCGCGCACACACCCAGCACGCTCCCGCGCGCGACACCGCACGCGCACTCCCCCGCCACTTTGGCCGCGACGGCCGCCGCGCAAGAAGCCGACGAAGCGACCTACGCCGACGTCAACCGGCAGCTGGCACTCATTGCCAACGTGCTCATTTCCATTGTCGCGTGCAGCGTCGCGCTCTGGATCGCGGCGCGGCATTGGAGCGTCCCGCGCCGGCTGGCGCTGAGTATGGGTGGGAGTATCCTGGTGGCGGTGGCCGAGGTCGCGATTTATGCGGGGTATATTCGGAGGGTGAGGGAGGCGAAGGAGGAGGAGAAGGTGCGGGCGGGGAGGGAGCGGAGGGAGGTCGAGAGTGTGTGGGTGATTGGGAAGGGCGGGGAGACGAGGGCTGTTAAGGAGGGTGAGGGTGGAGAGGCGGTCGAGGTCGTGGGCGGCAGGGAGGTCGCGTCGGGCGTGCATGTGGATGCTGCGGGTGAGGAGGCGGTTCGGCGGAGAAAGGGCCCGCAGACGTGATGTGATTGATGATGATTGCCCACGAACCCTGAACGATGTACACGATTTCGTCTGCACACCTAGGCAGTGTCTATAAGCATATCTACAGCCGTAAGTCTACACATACATAACCATAACATTATATATCGCACCCCCTACACAACCACCTACTCCCCTCTATCCCCCTCCCCACCCAACCACAACGCATGCGCCTCGGTAGTAAAAACCCACTCATCTAGCCCCCACGCTCCCTCGTCCTCAAAAACCAACCAAAAATACTTCAACGTCTCGCCCAGCCAAAAACTCTCCATAACGTCTACCTGGCCGGCCCGACCCCTCCTGACATCACCCAAGCCCGCATGCGCAACCCCGGTCCTAGAATCCCTGACCACATTGCGGAACAGCTTCCACGCGCGGTCACGGAGCGCGCTCGCCTCAGCCCGCGACTCCGCCAGCCGCACGGCGTAGAAGACCGCCTCGACGACCTCAGGCCGCAGCTGGTAGCGGGGGTCGGGTACGCTGGCAACGCCTTCCGCGATGCGGCGATCGCGGATCAGCGCGTCGGCTGCGGCGGCGATGTCGCCGGCCGAGTCGAGCGGCGACGTCATGTCTGCGGCGAGGGCGACCGCGGCGCGCCAGTGCGTGTCGTTCCAGGCGCAGGGGGCGGACGGGTCGGCGCATGGCACTGCGTACATGATCTCGGGCATGATGCCGCGTGGCATGGCTTCTGTGGCCCAGAGGCAGCCTGCTGTCAACGCTTGGCCGGCGTCGGTGTCGCTGGGAGTGTTGTAGAGACGGCCTGCGAGCAGGAACATCCCGCCTGCGAAGCAGGAGAGGTGCTGCGTTCGGGGCTCGAGGGCGAGGGTTGGCGGGTGGGTGCCTGAGGAGAGGATGTCGCCGGGAAGGAGGATGGGGGGGTTAGGCTGTTCGGCGGAGGAGGGCGAGGGCGGGATCATGGGGTGGAAGAGGAGGTATTTCCTGAGGGGGGTGGAGGCGGCTTCCCACATTTGGCGGTAGAGGGGGTGGGCGCCGCGCAGCAGCAGGTGCTGTTTAGGGAGGTACTCGTAGAGGGAGTCGACCATGCCGCCGAGGGTGAAGACGTCGCCGGCGGAGAAGTTGAGCCCGCCGCGCGCGTCGACCGCCACGGGCCAGAGGCCTGGCAGCTTCGTGCCGGAGGCTTGGTGCGCGGCGAAGGCCTCCGCCACGCGCTGGATCGCGTCGAAGTAGCGGGCGTCGCCCGTGAGCTGGCTGAGGCGCGTGAACTCGAGGGAGAGCGAGCCCAGCTCGGCCACGAGGACGCGCTCGTCGGCCTCCTGGGGGATGCCGGCCGCGGCGGCCATGACGTCCCACCGCGTGATGGGCATGCGGTTGGGCGTGTCAAAGGCCTTGTACAGCATGCGGCCGAGCTCCTCGGCCTTGCGCAGCAGGCTGGGGTACTTCCCGCCGCTGACGTCGTAGGCGCCCAGAAGCCCGCCGAGGAAGCGGATCGTCGTCTCGAAGACATTGAGGCGCTCGAGGGTGCAGCGGCTGAAGTCAATGTGCTCGACGGCGGCGACGGCCTCGGCGAACTCGTCCCGCAGGTCCATCATCCACAGCGTGTCTGGCCGGCAAAGGGCTGTCAGCAGGAGTGCACGAGTAGAAGGGGAGACGGGAATTGGGGGGGGAAGAGGCGCATATCACAGCGCTCCCCCCGCCGACCTAGTTACCAAGCGCGTCGACCAGCGTCGCCGCCCACCCGCCATACGGGTCCGCCGCGCGTCCGCTCACAGGGCGCACCTCGTCGCGCAGCCATGCATGCTGCTTGTAGCCGTTCCACGCGTGGAGGAACTGGTCGCGCACGGCGTCGCGGCGCTCTCGGCGCGTGGCACGGTCGTCGGCGCTCTCGGACTCGGCAAAAGCGTGCTGCAGGCGGGGGATAGTCTTCTTGTCGCTGGCCGGGGCGGCCGTCGGCAGCGCGGCCAGCGACTCGACCGGCACGGGGTAGTGGTGCACAACCTGGGCCCAGTCGACGGCGGTGCCGGGCGGGAGCACTTTGGGCAATGGCGGGGAGGCGGGCGCGCCCAGTCGCGGGACGTGGTAGAGCAGGAAGACGATGGAGAAGGCGATGACGGCGGCGAGCAGCTTGCGCCGCGGCAGCGTGGGCTGCAACATTGCTGCTTCTGCTTTCGACCGAGCACGAGCAGCTAGCTTTTTTCTCTCCAGGATGGTGGGATCCAATTGTTGTTGGCGTTGGACAATTTATCGATTCGGGATGTCTCCAAAGGTCAAGGGGGGACGTTGACGTCGGCCGCTAGCGATTGGCTTGTGCTCGTTGTCGCCGAAAACCATCTCCACAACACCTTCTGACGTCTCTCCCAACTCCTCCCCGCCTTCCGCCTCGCAATGGTGTGTCAGGGAAAAAAGAAAAAAAAAAAAAAAGTCTCATCGATCAAGACACACCACTCGGCCAGAAGTGCGCGAGCGAGTCCTCAGACAAACCCATTGAAACATACCCATTGATTGATTGACTGACTGACTTACCCTCATCTCCTCTCCAGCTGACCTACCTACAGCCCTCCGTCGACGCCCGTACCCGTCGCGCAGCAGCACAAATATATTCGCAGCCACCGGCAAGCGCCCGTCACACCGTCATGCAATATGCAATATACCCGCCCGGTCGGGTCTCGCTTCTCGCGCACCGCATCCATGTCCGTCGTGCTTCAGCTCGCTCGTCGCACCGCTGCCCGCCCACTCGCTGGCGCCCCGAGTTAAAATCCACCGCCTCTCTTCTTCTTTCTGCGTGTTGCTGACCTTTGCTCGTTCGTTTGGTTGAGAAGAGGTTGTTTTCTGTCGTCGATATTGTGTGCTACTGCTGATCGCACAACTTACCTACTTATCGACACCCCAGCTGGCTACGCTTAACCACCTACCTAGCCTAGCCACTCTGCCGCTTGCCTCTGAGGCTCTTCTCCGACGACATCATCTTCCCGGCACTGTGCGCGCTTCTATCGCTCTTACTTCAAATCTCCAGCCCGTTTGCCCCACCTCCACACACGCCTCCCCCAGACCCCAGGTCTCAGCAAAAGAAAAGAAAAAAGAAACACAAACCTTAAACCTTAAACGCATCCCAACCATGGCCCCCTCCTCTTCCCCAACCTCTACCACCTCTCCCCCCTCCATCCCTACGGAACCCCCACCCTCTCATCTCCTCCCTCCCCGCACCCTCGCCGCCATAATCGTCAGCACCGCCGTCCTGGTCCTCCTCCTCGCCGCCCTCCTTGCCTACCTCGCCATAGCGCGCCGTGCCCGCCACGAGCGCCGCGCCGGTGGTTCGTCATCGTGCTGCTCGGCAAGGACGTCTACGTCCGCTTCGACGGTTTCGTCCGCGGAAGCGGCGGGGTTGAAGGGGTTAAAGGACGAGGGAGCGAAAGGGAAGGGGACAGGGGCGAAGAAAGGGAAAGAGGGAGAAAGAGAGAGGTTAGAGGGAAGGGTCAAGGAGGCAGGTGTTTAGGTGCGGATGGAGACAGGAGCTTCAGGGAGAAGTCAAGACTTATGATTTCGGCGACAAGAGAAGAGAATAAGAGAGACGAGGAACGATGAGACACCAGTAAAAGAGAAGGAGGGTAGAAACGAACGAACCAACCAACCCCTCCCACACGACCGCAACGATCCCGAAACCGATACGAAAAAAGACCAAACGCCACGCCTCCGGCTAACGAAACCGATACGCAAAACCCCCCAGACCCGCACCCCACCCTACCCCACGCCGCAACGAAGCCCGATAGGTAGGCCACCCAAAGCGAAAGCGAGCAAAAGCGAGCGAGAAAGCGAGACAGAGAGAAAGAGAGCGTCAACGCAACACCACGACCCGAACACAAGCCGAGACGGGCTCGAAACCCCTCCTCCCTCCTCCCCCCCCCCCCCCCCCCCCCCCCCCCCCCCCCCCCCCCCCCCCCCCCTGCCCCTCCCCCTACCCCTACCTACCACGCCCATCACGACGCGAAACACCCCAGCCGCGGAATTGCGAGCGGCGGGCGCACGCGGCACCGCCCTGCTCACCTGCGCCCGCAAGCGACGCGATGCACGCGCACATCACATCATGGCGCACTGCTGCGCGCGGCCTTGCCTGTTTGGGCTGCGTGGCCTATAACACGGCGGAATGGATAAGAGAGACAATGTCGAGGTATAATGCATGGAAATGACGAACACGGAAATAAACATAAACACAAGCGATAAAAAATTCAATAAAAAAAAATAATAAAAAAAAAAGCAGAGCAGAGAAACGAACGAACGGACGCAACCCAGCACGTCGACCACCCCTCGCATCGCCTCGCCAAAGATCCGCTTAGGTAGTTAGGAGATACGGTGCCTACCTTACCTGCCTAGGCAAGGAACCCCCAAAACGATCGACAATAACGTCCCACGTCCCCGGTATAACACCCAACGCCAACACCGGCTAACAGTAACACCTACCAACACGACTCGCCTCACCACACTCGACACGACTCGACTTGACGAGACGCGAACACGACCCACGCTGCTGGAACGCTTATGCATTCGGACATACCCACCAACCATAGACACGGCCCCCAACACCAGTCAGCTGCAGCCACAGCACGGCCACGGCGATGGCTACGGCTACGGCTAAGGCGCGGTACGGCGCGCCACGGCACGGCACGGCGCGGCAACGGGGCCCTTGTTGCGTGCTGCGTGCTGCGCTAAGCGGCGTGGGGGCGGAAACGCAGACACGACCAAGACAGGGACAAGGATAGGGGCTGCGCGAGGAAAGTGACTTTTCATTAAACAAACCGTCCTATCAATGTCCTGGCCTATCTAAGAACTTGCCTGGTAAGAGCAGGGAAGAAATAGAGGAGGGGAGATTGCTGGGCTGGGGTGCTTGTCCCACTTTTCTGGGGCACTTGCTGCGTATGAGGGCTTGTTACGCTTATTACGCTTACTACGGCTCCCTGCGCGCGCTCGCTACCTACCTACGCCGGGACGTCATACGGCCTCGCGCCCTCGGTGCAGAACAGCACGACGACAGACTGCGGGCCCAAGCCCAGCGGCGCCTTGTCGCGAACAAGCTTCGTCAGCGCAGCCAGCGGCATGTAGCGTCTGCACGGCGGCATGGCACTCTGCGTCGTCGACGACGATGCTGGCATCCACGCCGTCGCGCAGCGTGGGCCACGCCAGCGTCGACACGGTGCCGCAGTTCATGCCGCACATGATGGTGTCGCCGGTGCGGATGGGGGTGATGGCGCCGGCCTCGAGGCTCGTCTTCAGGCTTGCGGCGGTGGTGGGCTCGACGGCGATGACGGCCCCGTGCCCGTCCCCTGCCGCTTTGCTCTTGCAGTGCGCCGTCACTGACTGCGCCCAGGAGCCGACGCCGACGGGCGCGATGGCGTGCGTGGCGGGCTTGTTGGCAGTTAGAGGGAGGGTCTGCGAATCGGTTTCACTGATCATGGTCGTGTAGCCTTCGACTACCCACTGCGGCGCGTTAGTTGGTCTGTCTGTCTGTCTGTCTGTTCCGCTGCACAGAAGGACGGCGGCATACACCTGGGATTTCCTCATAGCCCGGCCAGGACGTATCCATGACAAGCAGGGCACCGCTCTTCTCAGCCTCCTGCATGACCGCGCGAATGGAATCATCATAGTCGCCCTGCACAACGGGGACATCGGCCCCCTCACTCTGGATGTTGCGCTGCGTCGAGGCGTCAATATTGCAAGGCACGAAGATCTTCGCCGGCACGCCCAGATACTTGGCTATGCGGGCGACGGCGCGGCCCCAGTTGCCATCGGTACAGGCGACGAGGCGCACGCCATGGGCGTTGGCAGCGGCGCCGAGGATGTTGAAGGCCGGGAGGCCGAAGCGCTGAGACTCGTCTTTGATGAGCACGTGGGCGAGGCCTGGGGACGTGTGTCAGCTCAGCTCAGCTCAGATCAGATGGGACGAGGGTGAGAGTGGAGTGGAAGGTGCCAGACCGAGCTCTTAGGCTACGCTGTCTCGGCGTACTGGGGCAGGCGGCGATGGAAGGCGTGCACGGCGGGGACAACGGCGGGCGCGGGGCAGCGCCGGTGGCGGGCCGATGGGTTGAGGTAGAGGGTGTTACGTGACTTAGTCAACGTGGATGGGGCCTCTCTTTTTTTTTTTTTTTTTTTTTTTTTTTATAAAAACAAATAAAAAAAAAATAAGCAAACAGGCCAAGGGGCAGGGGCAGGAGCGGATTTTTTTTTAATTATTTTTATGCTTAAAAGCGAAACAAGTTATTTTGGTTTTTCTAGGTCTAGATGAGCGTTGTTGTTGGTGGGTGATGGCAAGTGGCTGGATCCGGCAGTGCTTAGGGTACCAAACATGGGGAGGGTAGGCGTGAGCTTCTGGGCGTTTGTGTTGGTTGCCTCTCATTACTGTCGCTCGCAACCGAAATGGGCAGCAGAAGATAATGGAGTGAGACATAGAGTAGGTATGAAATGGATACGAGTATGTAGTATGTAGTCGACACCCAGGCATCCAACACCACGCATCTAGCATCATCCAGGCCGTTCCTGGCGCTCGGCACTAAGGCAAGCCACAGACCGGCCGTAAAAAGCTTCCAGAAGCATTCGATACCGCAGAGCCGCCCCTTTTGTTCCACGTGCGGTTTCGAGTTGCTTGAAGCGTGTCGCTGCACGGCCGTCGCGGTTTATGCGTGTTGCCAATCAGCCGTTCCCAGATTGGCTCAGTCGCCCGATTTGGCGGGCTGGGGCATCACGCGCTTTTTTCCCTGCCAGCAGATTGCTTTTCTCATCTATCGTAATTAGCGGAGCGCTGCACGGCCGCCGTCGACTATCTCCGTTTGCCAAAGCCACCAAACTTGGGCCAGACTTTCCTTGACGTCGCCGCCTGCCCACAGCCCGTCCATCTCTACCTTACCTCTCTCTCTCACACACCCTCTACTCTCCCCGACCGACCGACCTGACGCCCCTCCGCCCTTCCCACCAGCCATGAGCCCGCCGTAACTCGCAGCGCACTATGAATGACAATGGCCAAGGCTGTGCCAGCGCAGGACGCCCCCCGGTGGCCGGGGCACGCAGCAGCAAATGTCCCAGCGACGCAGAGGCCTCATAGCGCGAAACAGAGGGCCGCCAACGACGCCCGCAGGCACAACAGGCAGAACTCGCTGCGCCGCGCGAAGGACAGCACCGAACAGCTGCGCGCGCGCACTCGCCAAGGCAGCGCTTCCGAAGAGGGCGCCAGGACGCCCAGTCGCAACGGAGGCCGTTTTGCCGTCGGCAACGTGGGCAGCAACGGCATCATCTACCTCAGGTCCGTCAGCCAAAGAGAGAGAGACGTCCAAATTTGCACATGTGACGCAGCAGCGCCCCAGGCTAACCACTTGTTCGCTCCGTCAGGCCCGTCGCCCGGACTGGTACGCCCCGAGCTCGAGCGCACCCGGATTCCTTCGTCTTTCCACCGTCCACCACCCCTCCCCGGGACTGCCTGTCGCCGCTCCCTCCACGCCGCCCAAGCAATGCCTGGACCGATGCTTTTCCCTCTGCATCGCACACATCGACGCCGGCCGCTCGCTCCCCCACGCCCGTCGTGAAGGTCGAGCGCCGGAAGCCGTCGCAGTCGTCCACAACGTCGCCGCCGGCCAAGGCCTCGCTGCCCCGACACGCTCGCTCCCACTCGTTCTCTACCATCAACGAACACGCGCGCTCCCAGAGCATCGACTCGACCACCTTCAAGGTCGTCATAGACAGACCCAAGAACCAGCGGCCCAGGACCGCCGACACGTCAGCGTTCCCGACCCTGGACGTCCCCATCCCGCATTACAAGCTGGGCACCCCGCGCTTCAGCGCTCGAGGAACGGCCATCCTGCGAAGCTCCGTCTACACGCGCGCATCCGCCACCGACGACCTTCGCTCCTCGTTCATTTCCCGTGCTCCCGAGTACGACAAGCTGTTCCCCTCGCCTCCGCCCATCGTGCACCACCGATCATACCACTCGCGCCGCTTCTCCGACTCATCGGTCTCGCAGTCGCCCTTCTACAGCCGGCCGATTACCATGGGCGAATCGTCAACGCATCCATCGTCCTCGGCCCTGCTGTCTCCCCAGATTTCGACGCTACCGGTGGGTCCGCAGATCTTTGACGCTTTGACGATAAACCCAGACGACGCCTCGGTGGTCCGTCACGGTCCTGGAGGCGAAATTATCGCCGCCACTCCTGCGCGCCTTGTTGCGCACATCACGTCACCCAGCTTCCTCGATTACGAGCTCTTGTCCGACTTTTTCCTGACTTTCCGCGCATACCTTACGGCCGCCGACTTGGTGGCCTATCTGATATCTCGTTTGAGATGGGCAGTGGAGCGTGGAGACGACTTTGGGCGCATCGTGCGAGTGCGTACGTTCGTTGCTTTGCGCCATTGGATTCTCAATTACTTCACCGAGGACTTTGTGCCGTCCCACAAACTTCGGTCACATTTCTGTCAGCTCGTCAACCAACTCTACGAGGATTTGCGGAACCGGGAAGACGGCGGCGGCGGCGATCTGAAGATCATCGGGGAACTAAAAAAGTGCTGGAGGAGAACATGTGCTCTGTACTGGGAAGGGCCGGAGGTTATCGGCAGGGACGTTCCGGACGATGACATCCTTCCAGGTGGATCCGCAGACGTCGAGTTCCAGCTCGATGGCGCCGCGCTCGAGATTTCGCCATCCGCTCAGCCTCAGGAACCGATGACTCCTCCGAGAAGGCCAAGGCTTAGTGGGCTGCAGATCAACACTGGCGCCGTTACTCCTGACAAAGCTACCGAATGGCTCCGAAGCCTCCACATACCCCAGCAATCAATCACCTCCGTATCCAACGAACCACAAGAAAGCGCAGCTCCCATGTCCCCGGTTAGTGAGATGAGTTTGCACGTCATGTCTTGTTCGATCCCGCTCAAATCGATGCACAAGCACGAACCAGGCCCCGGAGCACCTCTCTACCCACACCCTGTTCCGGCTCAGCGGTCTTCCGTCGCCCATGTGTCTCCGGCCACTGGCCGAAAGCGGCGACCCTCGAACGGGCTCAAGCGCAGTGGTAGCTTTTCAGATGCTATCAAAAGCCACCGTTCTCAGTCGCCGGCGTCAAAGACTGCAGCGCAAAATGCCGATGCAAGAATCGCCATCCAGTTCCCGGGAAGTTTGGTTCGCGGCGCCGTTTTCCAGCCCGATACCCCGTACATTGACATGGCCAAGCCTGCGGGTCAACTTCGGCCAATGAAGTCGCATTTCGAATTGGTGGCCGAACTTCCTGCGACGCCGCCTGCCGCCGGAAAGCCGACGTACACTAACCCTGGCGTTAAAAGGATCCTGGGAAGCATGCGTCGTGCCCTGAGCACTAAACAGGGATATCCCAGTTCGTCGAATGCTCAGGGAGAGCAGGGTGGGGCCAGTGGCTCGCGGAGACTTCGGGACTCGTATAACCCGCCGGCGCTCTCTGCTGCGCCTCCGACGGGCGTACAGAAGAGAAGGCACACGCGCAATCGTACCCAGACTCGTATTGATGTCTTGGCCCAACAAGTTAATGAGAGCTTTCAGAAAGCGCTGGAAACCGAACTGGAGTTGGAAAAGCGCGTTTCGAGACAAAGTGGTGCCACTCAGGCGCAGCGCAGTTTGGATCAAGCTGTTCTCGAGCTTCGCAATGACAGCGCCGGTCCTGTCCAGATGCCCCCGCCCCCGGAGAGAGCCCTCAGCAAGGTGACCATGGGAAGTGGATCGATTATGATATTGGATGATACGGGGGCTCCGCCTCTTCCGTTCATGTCTGGTGCCATCCCTGCCCCCGAGTCCGTGGACAATGACCGCGCAAAAGATATCCCATCGCGCAACGCCACGGAGCCCAATGAACATGTACGGCAAACTATGATTTCGGACGCGATGTCTCGCTCCGACGCGCCGATCTCTCTGCCGCCCGTTACCATCCATCCTGATTCCCTGCCTATAACGTCTCCGACCGACTCTTCAAGACCCCCAATGTCCCAAACTAGCTCGAGTCGCCGCTCTGTCATCCGCCATTCAAGATCCATGATGACTGGCCGCCCCGTTTCGGCTTCCGTCTCACTCAGGCGGTACGCCTCGTATCACAGCGGCATGACTAGGAGCAGGCCGGGATACAGCATCGACGGTGCCACGCTTTCAGAGGTGCCTACCGATACCTCTTCTGATTTTGATCCGTTTATTCTGGACCGTCCGCATCAAGCCCCTCGTCAGCTGCGAAGACGTCCTGGTGGCGATCTTCGCGCCGTCGATAACGTGCATGACCTTGACGCCATCTCCCGGCCCATATCGACTGGCTCGCTGTCAAACCTCTCCCATTCGGTGACGAATTCTTTGGCACTGTCTCCTCGTTCTCCTCGTTCCCCTGCGGAGTGGAAGGTCACTAAGTTTGATTCTCCTGAGGAATCGGTACAAGAGACACACGTGGCTTTGAGAAAATCGTTGTCTTTGGTGCCAACGCGCTCTTCGCAGCCGCAGTTGAACCCATCTTTCGAGTTTGAGGTTGCAAGGCTTGCTGCTTTACCGGACGACGACGATGACGATGGCGGTATTGAGGCCGCGTTGCTGAAGCTTGAAGGCAAGTACGAAAAGAGGACGCCTGACCCTTCGCCGCTGCAAGACAAGTTCCTCATACCCGGAAGTGGCCCAACTTCTCTCCAGATGCTAGAAAGCAGGCATCAAAGCCGAGCCCACACACCAGTTTACCGTGAGTACAGGGAAAGCGAGATCAACTTGGAGGCATCTCCCAGGCCGTCTTATCCGCAGGAATTCCAGGAGGCTAGTTACTATCAAACCTCTCAGTCGTCTGGCCAATACACACAAGGGAACTTCGCGGTACAGCGTTCTGTCGCCGAGTCTCAGAGTTCCTATGCAAGTGTACCGCTGCTGGAGCGTGGTCTGAGCGATCTGGCCGCCATCACACGTAAGAGGCTCGAGCAGCAAGGTCACGATTCGGCTTATCCGGCGCCTCTGTCCCCAGAAAAGTTCCGTACTCAGCAGGCTCAGAGCAGGCACATATCTCCCGGTTCGTCTGTGGAGTATGTCGAGGAGACGGAGAGCATGCGGAGGATCCCAAGGGGCTCCACTATGCCCAAATCGCCGAAGCCGCCGTCCGATAACGCCCGCCAGTCGTTCCTGCTCGGGGAGGAGTTTGATGAGATTTCCTCTGATCTGTCCGCCAGCCTCCCTGAAGCTGATCACGAACACAAACATCGCGTGAGAAGCTTTTTTGACGACGAGCCTGCGCGCCTTGAGTTTAGTGATGATTTGGTGCCGCATCCGCTGCGCCATCCTCCTACTCCGCCAACCGCTCTGGACAATGTGACTGACAAGCCGTTCCACAACGCCTTTGAGAACCCGCTCATGCAGCGGGGTCTTGAGAGTGCCGGCTTGACTCCTCCACTTACCGCACCAGGCCACAGTTACTCCAAGTCTCTGCCACTCGACGCCAAGGCAATCGAGCTGCAGGAGATGCGCCCTAGCACTACCATGGAGATGAGGTCGCCTACGGAGACGCCGCCCAAGGAAACTCCTGCCCACATGCCTTTCATCCTGGCCTATGACTCTCAAACTCTGGCCGAACAGTTTACCATTATTGAAAAGGATGCTCTTGAAGAGATTGACTGGAAGGAGTTGATCGAGCTACGCTGGAAACAATCGTCTCCTGCCATCCGCGATTGGGTCGAATACCTGCGTACACAAGAACCTCGCGGAGTCGACGTCGTCATCGCGCGCTTTAACATCATGGTCAAGTGGGCGTTGTCCGAAATTGTCCTGACCAATGACCTGGAAGAGCGCGTCCGCACCATCGTCAAGTTTGTCCACATCGCCTCGCACGCACGCCGCCTCCGAAACTACGCGACAATGTACCAGCTCACGGTAGCGCTGCTGTCGACCGACTGCGCGCGGCTGACTAGAACGTGGGATCTCGTGCCAGCGGCAGAGAAGCAGACACTGCACGAGCTGGAGAACTTGGTGCAGCCGGTGCGCAACTTCCAGAACCTGCGGATGGAAATGGAGACTTCGGACCTGCAGGAGGGCTGCATCCCGTTCATCGGCATCTACACGCGCGACCTGATCTACAACGCGCAGAAGCCGGGGACGATAGGCGAGGCGCCGCCACCGGGCGTCGAGCCGCTGATCAACTTCGAACGACACCACACGGCGGCGACGATAGTGAAGAACCTGCTCCGCCTGCTGGAGGCGAGCATGCATTACGCGTTCAAGCCGGACGCGGAGGTCATCAGCAGATGTCTTTGGATGGCGGCGTTGAGCGACGATGAGATATCGCGGAGGAGCCGCGCGCTGGAGGCTTGAGAGCCTTGTCTTTCTTAAGCGTTCTCGTTTGCATGGCGCGGCGCACACGGCGCAATGTTTTATCCATATCACCTCCCTTCTTTTCTTCCTCCGTCCTCTTTCCGGCCACATAGAGGAGGGGACGTCAGGTTACGACTGATGATTCATCTATCTCTCTACACATTCATATTTCCCTCTCCGTCTCACTCTCTCTGTCTCTGTCTCTGTCTCTCTCGAGATATTCACATCCATCTCTCCCTCTATCTCCATACATCTCTTTGTCCACATACCTACCTACCTACACGTTGGGCAAGCGAGCGAGCAGCGAGCAGAAGCACAGACAGCTCAGCTCAGCATAGCTCCGCACGCTCCAGCCCAACGACGTCTTCCCGCGCCCTGAGGGCTGCGCACACATGCCCGCACGCACGCACACACGCATAGACAGCGCTGGCACGCTTTAGGTGGCGTCGGGGCGGCCCCTTGCCCGCTTCCTCTCCCTTGCCAATTACAGAGCGCCGGGGAGAAGAGAGTCGCAGGCAGGGCATGCCCCGACGCTCGCTCTACTTACTCTACCACTGAATTACTGAGTCGAGCGAACTCACTCTCACACGCGATCCGAATCTCCTTGCCTGTCATATCTCTATATCTCTATCATCTATCTATCGTATTTCCTGGTTGGCTGTTTACTTCTACTTCTACTTCTTTATTGTTTTCTTGTTTGTTTTAGTTACTGCTGTGGTGTGGTGGTGTGGGGGTGGGTGGTTGGTTGATGCTGGTATGGCATGGTATAGTATGGTATGGCTATATTATTATATATAACGCATCATCATCACGTTGAAGGAGCAGCACAAGCACGGTAAACGGGGCTGTGGTGCGGAAGAGGGGGTTGGTCTTGTGTTTGGGTTTTCTGTTCTGTGTGCGTTTGGTTCTAGATAAAGGTTTTGGCCCGAGGTGTTTTTGTTCCTTCTCCTTCTTCTTCTGTTTTCTTGGGTGGGTTGGCCGCCTTCTTCTGCTTCTTCTTCACTTCTACTTCCTCGTCTTCGTCTTCGTCTTCTTTAAGAGAGTCGCTTTGCTACCTACGTACGTCCCTCCGCGTAACCCGTCTGTCTCTTTTGTACCCCCTCGCGTCTTACCTATCTCTTCTCGCTGCGTCGCGTCTGGTCTTCTGCCCTCTGGTTCCTGCGTCGATGGCTACTTCGTCGCTTAATCGTTCGGTCTGCTCTGCTCTGCTCTGGTTTTTGGTTAGGTAGACGCGGGTGCTGGGGGTGGGAGTGCGTGGCGTGGCGTGGCGTGGCGTGTTTGGGATAGATGGGCAGAGGGCCGGGTTCACGAAGTTTGCGTTTGTTCCGCTTGTTGTTGTTGTTGAGTTCTGGGTTTGGTAGCGATGGTGCTGGTGCTGATCTGCTTTGCTTTGCTTGCTTGCTGGACGGTTAGTTGGGTTGAGTGCGGTGCGGTGCGGTGCGGTATCGTATGGTATGCGTAGACGACTCTCTCTCTCTCTGTGGGTATGGGTGTGTGTGTTGGGGGGGTGGGGTTCGGTGCTGGTGCTTGGGGATGCTTGGGGGTGCTTAGATGGGATGATAATGATGATGGTCTGGGCTGGGTTGGGTTGGGGTGGGGTTAGCGGGACGTTTTTGGGGGTTGGGGCTTGGGGATGTTTGTGTTTCGGTTTTTTTGTTTTTATTTTATGCGATATAGTAGTGGTATATTGGGGGCTGTCGCCCTTTGATTATCTCCCTCCCTCTCTCTCTCTCTCTCTCTCTCTCTCTCTCTCTTCCTCTCTTCCTCTCTTCCTATCTCTCTCTATCTCGACCTCGACCTTTCTCTCCTCTCTCTCCTATCTCTCTCTTACTCACGCACACACACTCTCTCTGACTCTCGGGTTTTCAGTACAGGTGACGAGGCAGGGTTCATCACGGTGCTTATAACTACATCTGCTGCTGTTGCTGGTGGTACGGCGTACATACCTACATACCGCACGCCAGCAACAAGGACTCCAGACGATAAGCAGCGCAGAGCGCGTTTATACATATACAAAAAAAAAAAAAAAGTTAAATATAAAAATAATTGTGACTACACTCGCTACACTATACTGCAATCGTCCACCGTGCGTGCAATGCCGTATGCGATATCGACACCTGCCCAACCCAACCCAATCCATCAACCATCTCCCCAACATCCAAACAAAGGTTGAATTAGAGTTTCAGTTTCAGTAAGAGCTTGAGCTTTGAAAATCAAAGCGCAACTAACCGATTCCCTGCGTTCGGACACCAGGCTGGCGCTAGCGCCGCTCTTGTTTCATTGTTTCATTGTTTCCATTGTTTCGGCTGATTTGTTTCATTTGTTTCATTTGTCTGAGTGCTCGGTTAGCGCTGGGTGGTTTGTGCCTTGTTTGGTTTATATATATATATATACGTTATACATAGATATGTCTATACGGCTTTGAATACGGATACGTTGGCGAGTGGAGGTGTTCGTGACTTGTTTATTGTTTATTTTTATTTTAATTTTTAATTTTTCTGGAGTGTGCTTATGGCTGCGGTCCTGGCTTTGTGGCTAATCTGAGGGGGGTTGTCTGACTGTCTGTCTATGGGGGGGCTATATACTGCTAAGCTACGCAGTTTGACTTACCTGCTCTCTGTCCCTTTTTTCTTGCCCCCCTTCCACTTACCTGCCTGCTTATCCGGCATCCTACTAGCACCGCGCGTGCACAACCACATACCACCCATCTCCATCCGGCTACGCGAGCAACTGCACCAGCCAGCCATGCCAAACCACCTGCCTTGCTCCCCTCCGCTCACACTGCAATCCCTCCTCTTCTACCAACCCGCCACCCAACTCATCCCCATCGCTCTTTCCTTCTCTTCACCTCTCCCTCTTTCCCTTTTCTTCCTCTCTCTCTTCTTCTTCCACAGCGAAGCACACACGGCTTCGGCGACATCTACGCTTTCAGTCCACAGCCCCATTCCGCTTTCTCCACTGCATTGCGCTACACTACACTGCACTGCGCCGAAGAAAATGTAGCAGGTCCCAGCAGCGCAGCGCAGCACTGCCCCGTTGGCACCACCAACGCGCGCACATGGCGCATGGAACTTGGCGCAGCGGGTCGCGTCGCAGAGAGAAGAGGAACGGTGCTGCTCGAGCAAGGACAGCGGTTCAGATTGAATGAAATAAATCGTAGGAGCGTGCGTAGCGGGCGAGCAGCGGAAAGGAGAAAGGGGGGAACGACGGCGGCGACGATGGTAGCGGTGACGTGAGGGTAACTGGCATCGGCGACGGTGGTGGAGACGAGGATGGCCGGCCGTGGATAGGGGTGAGCAGCGTCGGACGGTCAGACGGTAGGGAGGAAGAGCGTGCGCGAGATGTAGAGGTTCAGGGGCTAGTGGTGGGGCGGGCGGGCGGACGGGCATCACGCGGCGAAGAGTGGGCTTGAGCGCTGAGCCTATCGCATTAATGAGTGAATGTAGCAAAAGGAGTGAGTACACGGGTGTGGTAGTAGTTGTCGATGTTGTTTCTGCTGTTGTCGACACAGGTATTTCTCAATGCATTTCGGTTGTCTCTCTCATTCTAGCACGTACTGACTGCCAAGGGCTGTTGCTGTTAGATATCACACGCTGGCGCCCCGGGATGGAAACCGCATCGGAAGACCGCAGACCGTTATCGAAAATCGTGTAAAGTACAGGACAAAGTGAAACCGAGCCGTTCGAAGAGGACGATATCGCAAGCCGTAGAACCGCAAATGCCGTACCGAACCGTCTCGAGATCGGACTATCCCTTGATCAATTGTGATGACTCAATCCGCGCAGAGAAAGGAAAAGTCAATGGGCGCGAGAAAGCCTGAAGAGTCGATCAGGTAGAAACTTTTTTAGACCACATGAGGATCTTCGTTAGTTACCATGGCCTTGTAAAAGGCGTGTTTGCCTGCCCACGTTACTCGGCAGCGGTGTCCAAGTCGTCGTGAGCCGGAGGCGGCGACTCGACTTGAAAAGTGAAGAGTTAGCAGCAGCTCGTCTATCGCCTGGCTAAAAAGAACTTACCTTTACGAGGCTCCTCGGCGGGGGCACCGTTCTCGCGCTCACGGTCCTCCTCCTCACGGTCGCGGACATCCTTCATGTCGCGATCGCGGTCGTCAGGGCTCCGAGAGCGGTCACGGTCACGGCGGTCGTAGTCGCGCTCACGGCGGTCGTCCTTGCGAGGGGAGTAATCGCCACGACCACGGCGGGGAGGAGTGACGCTACGGCCACGGCGGGGAGAACGATCGCGTCTCGGGGGACGCTCACGACCAGAGTCGAAGCGCCACGAAGCGGAAGGGGGAGTGCGAGCCCACTGAAACTGCGTTAGTTGAAAGTACAAGATGCAATCAGTGGGACGTACCTCGATCTTCAGAAGGTCGTCGCGACCGATGCGCTTGTTGTGCATCTCGTGGTAAGCATCATCAGCATCACGGCGGCTCTCATACTCGACGAAAGCGAACCTGAGGTGCAAGGTCAGACCATGACGGGTGGCGAGAGCGGACATGGAGGGTACTTACAGACGGCTTGACGCAGAACGCGGCGCGGGGATGTCACAGCGAACAAGACGTCCATACCTTGATTTTGATGTTAGACCGGGTCTTTCATCGTTGCCGCGCAGGCAAGGAGAAACGGGAACGAGATCGAGGGTCCGCCGTCGCTGGGGTCGATCGAAGGCTATCTACATGGAGGGATGTGCGTGATCGATCGGGTGGGATCGTATGAGGGCGGGTAGGAAGGAGAGCCTAAGCGCTCGACGGGTCGATTCACGTATCGTAGTTGACGTACCGCTCGAATTCGTAGGCAAGGTCGCGGGCGCGGGTGCCGTGGCCGAAGCCCGTCACGTAGAGGGTGGTGCCGCCACGAGAGGACATGGTCGGGGGCGTATTTGCGACTCGATGGCAGGGGATCGATGCGCGAAGACGGGGGAGACGCGTTGGTGGAGAAGATGGACGTGTGGTTGGGTGGGTGGAGGACGTCGGCTGGGCAGGCTGGACGGGCGGCGGATGGGTTTGACCGGCACGCGCGCATCACGTAAGCTGAAGCTGCCACCGCTGCCATTCACCCATCCCGCTTGCAGCCTAGCCTCGCCTTGGCGCCAGGTCCAAGCAGTGAGTGAGCGGCTTTCAGTTAAGTCTTTGTGCTTGCTTTGTGACTTCACTTCCATCGCCTTTCAACCCGCCCACTCGAAGCCTGCCCTTCTCCCACTCTCCCATCCTCCCCAGGCGACTCCCGCTTTCCGTCGTCACCGACAACTTTCCCTTACTCGCCGCCACCCCATCCGCCGAGCGCCCACTCTGTCCTCCATCTCCCCGCTCGACGTCTCGGACTCGCCCAAACATGGCCGTCGAGCTCGCCGTGGGGACGCCCCTTGCCGACGCCCTCCAGAGCGTTCTTCAGCCCAAGCTGGCCGAGGTCGGCTGGAGCGGCGAGGACGAAACCACCCTCTCTGAATACATCATCCTCATGCTTGCAAACGGCAAAACGCAGGACCAGATCGCCTCGGAAATCTCAAACGACCTGTTAGGCCTGGGCCCCGGCGACCCCGCCGCTATCGAGTTCTCGCGCTGGTTGTTTGAGCAGGTTGAGGTCCTGAACGCAAGATTGAATGGCGCGCAAGCAGTTCCGCAAACGAGCGCGGCACCTCATGCCGCCGCCCCGCCGAGCGCCGTGGAAGGCACGACCCAGGACGCAGAAATGGGCGATGCCTCAGCAGCTACCATGTACGTATATGCCTTTATTCTAGAAACGCCTGGACGCTTCGGACGGTTTCCTGACAAACTTTCCAGACCTACTGGCCCGAAAGCGATGCGCAACGGCAACCAGAACGCTCGCGACAAGCGCATGCTTGGCCACCTCAACAAATCCATGGATCGCTCGAACGACTCTGCGCTGCATCGCGTAAGGGGAGGCTCGGGACGCATTAATTCACATGGTGGTCGGGACCCACCAAGAGGACCAAGGAACCAAGCAAACCGGCAACAAGCGATCATGAACGGCCTCAGCATGCCGGGAATGCCGGGCATGCCGGGTATGCCAGGAATGACTGGCATGCCTATGCCTGGCAACATGAACATGTCGGCAGAGCAGCAAATTGATTTGTACAAGACATGGGAACAGGCAGCAGCGCACATGGCAACCCTTAACAACCAGTTAGCGGCAGCGGGTGTGCCTGTTCAGCCATACATCAACCCGAACTTTCAAGGGAACCAGCGGTCCGGAGGAAAGTCATTGTTCGACCGTGTGGATCGCTCTTCACGCCGTGGCGGCAGGCCTCATCAAAACGCAAGGCCGCAGCACTCGCAACAGGATGCCGAAATGGGCGATTCTGATCAGGCTGCTGCCAATGGTGGAAACCCGGAGTTCGCGAACGAGAAGCAAGAGCCGTTCAATGTTCTCTGCAAATTCAACCTCAATTGCACAAAGCCGGAATGCCCGTATGCCCACCAGGGACCCGCTGCGTTCCCCAACACTTCTGTCGATCTCTCCGATGAATGCAATTTTGGAGCGCGTTGCAAGAACAACAAGTGCACTGGCAAGCACCCGTCGCCTGCGAAGATCACTGCGCACAATGCCGAACAAATGTGCCGGTTCTGGCCGAACTGCGCCAAGGGCGATGACTGCCCGTTCCAGCACCCTGAAAACGCTGCACCCTTGTGCCGCAACGGTGGTGATTGCACGACTCCCGATTGCAAGTTCACGCACACTTCGATCAAGTGCAGATTCAACCCGTGCAAGAACACGTGGTGCAAGTACAAGCACGAAGAGGGCCAGAAGGTTGTTCCAGAGAACAATGTTTGGCAGAAGAATGGAGGAAGCGGTGGTCACACCATGGACAGGAAGTTTGTGGACGAGAGCCTGCCTGAAGAGCTAATCCTGCCGGGTCGGGACACGCAGATGCAGGCCGAGGAGGAGGGTTCGGCTGCGGCCGCGGAGGAGGCTGCGACTGCGACGTGAAGGAATGAGACACGACGGATGGCTGGTTGAAAGGATGGGAAAAGGGTTTTATCATTGAAGCTTTGGGACGAAGATTCGAAGTTGGAGATACCGACACAAGCAAGTGGAGCCTTGTAAGATTAGGTACGGCGTTTGAGGGCAATGTCGAGGGCTGGGGAGGTCCTTTAATGGTCAGGGTAAAGATGGGTTTTGCAAATGAAACTGTTCTTTGGGATAGGGGCGCGTAGATGCTCCTTGGCCTGGCCATCAGCTTTGATTGATCGTCATGACGTGTGTGTTTGGTGAAATATTTTGAAGCATTTGAACATTGGCCAGCCATCAATCGGATTCGCGTTAAAATAGGCACAGACGCGCGTGGCATGTGTGTCAGTCGGACGCAGTCGATGATCACGTCACGGGTGACGGCAGTCGGGACTCGGAGGTGCTATGGAGGACTAGCTGTCGACGACATCATCAAAAGCTCCGCGGGCTCCAAACCCGCCGCCTTACCTCGACACCAGCGCGATGCAATTCCGCCGCCATGCGCTCCTCCGCCACAGCATGCACATCGTGCAGCAACACCCATTGAAGGCCACCGCCGCCTCGCGCGGGCTCCTCACCACATCCACACTTCTCCGCACCACCACCGCCGCCACCCCCACCACAACTACCAACAACAACAATGGCCGGCGCAATTATGCCTCGGCTACCGCGGTGAAAGATGTTGCCGTGCTGGGAGGCGGGCTCACTGGCCTCGCTAGCGCGCACTTCCTCGCGCGCGAGCTACCGCACGCTAAGATCACGGTGTATGAACGCAGTGCGCGCGTCGGGGGGTGGCTACACAGTGTGCGCAAGCCGGTGCCGGGCGGGGGAGAGGTGGTGTTTGAGCAGGGACCGAGGACGATTCGGCAAGCGAACACGGCGCTGGCTATGACGCACTTGGTAGGTTGGAGGCAGCAATGGCAGCAGCAGTAACTTTGCGCCAGGGCGGACAAGAGAAGAGCGAAAGCGAGGTGTTATTGTTTGGTTGTTCCAAAAGAATGACGGCTGATAATGCATTTTTTTGCTACAGATTCAAGATCTCGGGTTGACGAACGAGGTCATGTATACCTCGAGGAAGTCACCGGCTGCCCTGAACCGCTATATCTACTACCCGAATCACTTGGTGCTGATGCCCGGGCCTTCGCAGAACCTATACGCTAGCTTGTATCGGCTGATGACGGAGCCGATATTCAATGGATGGATGAAGGGCTTCTTCGGCGAGGTATTCCGCCAACCTCGCAGCGAGGACGTTGAGGACGAGTCGGTGGCCGAGTTCCTCAGTCGCCGCCTTGGCGGGTCAACCCTTCCGGACAACCTGGCTTCGGCGGTCATGCACGGCATCTATGCGGGCGACATCTATAAGCTCAGCGCCAAGAGCCTGTTGCCGTTTCAGTGGTGGTTGGAGAGAAAGCATGGCGGTCTGCTCAAGGGGCTGGTGGAGGTGCAGAAGGAGCCTGGTGTCCCCGTCCCGGTCAGAGACGCAGAATTCATGCAGAGCTTCGAGAACGGGCCGGCCCTGGCACCGGACTTCTGGGCGAAGCTGAAAGACGCGAGCGTCTTCTCTTTCAAGGGCGGCATCCAGACTCTCATTGACGGGCTGGAAAGCTCGCTGAGGAAGCACAAGAACGTCACCATCAAGCAAAATGTGGGCATCAAAGGGCTAGAGAAGGACGCGACCACTGAGAGAGTCAAGGCAAGTTGAAAACTCCACCGCGCAGCCACGAACCCCGCATAAACAGCATTTTAACCCTCACCACCACAGGTGTGGACGCACGACTCTGCCTCTCCCACAAAGCCCGACTCCCTGAAAACGCACGACTTCATCGTCTCAACCCTCCAGGGTGCGGCCTTCTCCGCCATCGCATCCCCACAGGGCAAGCCCTCACTCGTCCCCTCCCTCGGCGACATCCCCGCCACGACCGTCATGGTCGTGAACCTATTCTTCCCGTCGCCGGCCCTCACGCCAGTGCGCGGCTTCGGCTACCTCATCCCACGCAGCGTGCCATTCGAGCAGAACCCAGAGCGGGCGCTCGGCGTCATCTTCGACAGCGACGCGCTACCCGGGCAAGACACGGCGCAAGGGACGAAGCTGACGGTGATGCTAGGCGGCCACTGGTGGGACGGGTGGCCGAGCGAGGCCATCGACGCCGCGGCCGAGGACGGCGTCGCGGCCGCGCGCACGGTGCTCGCCCGCCACTTGGGCATCACCATGGACCCCGTCGCGAGCCATGTCGCCGTGCACAGAAACTGCATTCCGCAGTACACGGTTGGGCACTCGGCGCAGCTGCAGAGGGCGCATCAGGACCTGCGCCGCGCGTATGCGGGCCGCGTCGTCGTGGCCGGGAACTCGTATACGGGTGTCGGCGTTAATGACTGTGTCAGGGCGGCGCGGGATGTCGCGATGCATGTCGGCGCCGATGGCATCATGCCGAATCGCACTGGGCTGGAGATGTTTGCGGAGAAGCAGCAGTGGACGCGCATGAAGTCGCCTGTGAAGATTGGTGGAGGGGGCGCGTAGATGGATCTGGATGGTTTATAGAGGTGATAGAGGCCCTGCCTCGCAAAATACGCATGTGCTGTTTGGTTTGGTCTGTTGCCTGGTTTTTGCGATGATGGTGTGACTGATCGAAAGAGAAGGCATTGGAGTTGTGTTCTAGAAATTCGTGCCGCGGGACTTCGGTGCTGTTTGTCCGTTAAGTCTATGCCAATTCTATGCGGCCAGTTGACGAGGAAACTCTAACCCGCCATACTCAACTTTGCGAACTCCGAAAGACCACTGGCTTATCTAGAGCGCGCCTCAATTTGCCTTACTGTACTTACTGGCGACAATGGCTATAGCGAGAACCGAACGCAAGTTCTTGCACCGTTACCAGTGAACTTCAATCACAGAAGTACAACAGGAAGGACTGACTGGCACAACCTACACCACAGCAGCAAAAAGAACGCACGAAGTAAAAAGTCGGCGCCCAAAAGCCCCTACAAACTCGCCGGCTACGGCTAGTTTCCTCAGCACGTGTAGACGGCGCTGTGGCTCCCAGATGCAAACACGCAACGACCTTGGAACGGAACACCGAAGAACCTGCAAAGTCGCGCTGATGAGCTAACTCCCGGATTCGAACTCGAACTCAGACCGTCATAACAATGGATCACTGAACGCCTGGGCCCGAAAGTTGCAGGCTTCAATGTTATTGGTATTTGGTTGTTTTTAACTAGACTACTGTGACCCAGAGGCCGGATTGGAGATGGCGGAGCGGGTTTATATGCTGGGGTGGCGTGGAGCTTGGTATTAATTTTTTTGTAGCGGAGGGGTGGGTGATGTGATGGGGTAGGAGGGTTGGTAGCGCGGGTGTGGTAGTGCTGTATGTGAATGTGTGAACGTCGCCGTTCACTGATTGACGTTGAAAAATCGTTGCTAGATAAGATCACTATATATATGCACATGCTTTTGCATGCTCAGTGCACTCAAGTTTTAAGCGACTAGGATTGCTTTGACTCTTTCGGGGTATCTGCACGTTAGAGTTGGCCTACCGCTTCTAGGAGACACGGCTGCTTCTGCCGAACGATCCTACCTCCTACTTACTGTCGCATAACAGTATGCCGTTCAGAATGGCGTTACAATGCTTCAGTAAATAATATGGAATATCCCCCCAAAGTATTACCCAACCCGGTTGGATCTCCCTCGAGTATACTCTTAGGTGAATGATGTTGTCTAAGCAACGGCATGAATCAATGAAACATAATGTGATGGGTACGAGTATTCGGCTGGGGCAATATCAATGGTAGCTGGTCAGTGAGACACGTACTGCTAAATTTGCCTTAAAACATAATACTGGCTATGAAAATAGCGGGGAACTACACCTTCTAGTACTTTTAATGCCCTTTTTAGATTTGAGCGTCTAAATGTATATAGAATTACCTACTGGAATCGTAGAGAAACGCACTAGAGGTAGCCGTGTCGGAATAAGGTTCTATGTGTTGATTTCTTGTAGTCGGTCGATTTTCATCCCGTAAGTCTTCAACTTATACTATCTGGCTAATAGTCAATCATTATAGTCGAAGGGAGAGCTCTATTTCAAGTTTTTTGTTATAACTTAGTTACTGTGATTTTCCATAAGCTGCCTATCATAACGCTGATGGTATTTGTCATCTTGCTCGACACGCGACGAACGAAATAAAGCATTGAGAAAACGTTCTTTCTAGCAATCTAACAGTGCCGCAATATTTCAATGGAATATAATTCAGAGTCATGATGTTTCTAATTCCAGCTCTTACGAGAAAATGAAGCGTGGTAGTAAGAAGCTCAATCGCATTATACTGTTTAGAGTATAGCACCCTATTTTAGAAGCATAGTTAAACACCTAGCTTATTTCGAGATCTACTCTGATAGCAAAGACCATCTAATCCAAATACTCCACGACATAAAAAGCACAACAGACTGCTAAAGCCATATTAGCGATAAAAGCAAAGCACATGAACCAGCTCTCATACAACCATATCACAACCCGCAAAACGCCTCATCAAAGCATCAAAAACCCTACTAACAGCCACCACCACTCGCAGAAGCAAAAAACGACCATAAAAACCAAAACCAAAACCGCAGTCTCTCCCATCCGCAGCACCCGCAACAGCCGCAACACCCGCCTCCCCAACCCAGCACAACCAACCAGTCTAACCAACCCAGCCCAACCAACCCCCCCAAACCGATCACCACATTACCAATCACCCCAATCCCAACCCCAACCCCACCCCCGCAGCCTCCACACGACTTACATGGACCATCACACACTACAGCGTCCGTGCGCCTGCCCCATCGGGATCGGCGCCGCCGTCGCGCCCACGACCGGCTTAGCGCCCGATGCTCCCATGCCTTGGCTTACCGTGTTTGGATGGGCGCGTGCGGGGAGCGTGCGCGCGTGCGCTGCCGCTGCCGCTGCGCCGCTCAAGGACGATGGGCCGGCGTGCGTGCGTGCTGCGTAAGGGGTAGGGTAGGGTGAGTAGATAGGTGAATGGAAGCAGGAGGAGTGAGGCAGAGAGGAGAGGGAGAGAGGGAGAGAGAGGGAGGACGCGAGGGAGAGGAGACGGCTTGAGAGCAACAGGCGGGCGGACGTACCTACGTGTTCAGAATACGACGGCGACCTACCTGGGTCGTCTCATCCGATTCCTCATGCACTCTTCCTGCTCCAAGAATAGCAGACGCAGCCGCCCGAACGCGCGTCGCCGCGCGAGACGCGGGCCCGAGCGCGCCGGAGGAGGAGAAGAAGAAGACGGAAGGGAAGGAGTCGTCGTCCACCTCAAAAGCGCTAGATGGATGGATGGAAAGATGGGTTTCTTCTTTTCTTGCGATAAACAAAACGAGCCGGATGCGCAGCAGCGTCCGGGACTCTCTCTACAAACGGTAGATACCTATGGAAGCCATTATCCGTTCCTCTAGCGCCGCTGCCGCCCCCCAAGCCATTACTCCAGAAGCCCCCCGTATTCCCCCTCCCCCTTTCCTTGCTCCTTTGTTCCGTCGCCATTCTCCCTTTGTTTTGCTCTATGCATTGGTTCGGTTGTTGCAAATGATGATGATGATGATGATGATGTTGTTGTTGTGGCGACGACGACGATGATGTGTAATGTTATGTCAACGGCGTCGCCCAATCTTTTCCGTTGTCTTCGGCTTAGCAAGCCGTCTCTACCAGATTGAATGCTTTGTAGTGCCTTTCGGCGACTCGTCGTTTCCTCCTCCTCTTTTGCGAAGTTCGTAGTTTCTTCATGGGAAGTGCCCTCGGCGTGTAGTTCTGTGTACATTAAAGCGTACCGCTGGTGTAGACGTGTCGAAAGATACGTTTGAATACCCCGAGCGTTCTTTTTGCACATGGACACCTACGCTGGACGCTGTTCCTTCAATGCCCTGAAACGATCGTCAACCCATCATTTCCCTTTACTCAACCAGGCGGTGTTCTCTTGACGCCCCAAATGATCGAGTCCATGAGCGCATATGGGCTGGCTTCGGAATCCAGATCCGCCACCAATGGACTGTTGTGGTTTAAAGGAAATGAGCCGTCGTCTCCCATTAGCGCACCGTTGATGTCTTCGAGGGTGTAGCCAACCATTGTAGGAGTGCTCGTTGCCGTCGACGGCATGGCCTGTTGCAGCCCCAGCGATGTGGATTTGGACTCTTGAAGGTTCAAGAGCTTCCTTAGAGCGATCATCGAGCGAGTGATCGGCTGTGACAGCTCGGCAGGATCAACTTGCCGAGTAATATCCGTAAGAACGGTGATGAGTTTCTCGAGCAACATGCGAGCGCGCTCGTTGCGCTCCGGTTCCTTTAGAATGCCGAGGAGAAGCGCGCAGCTGAGGGAACGGTGCACCGCGGCCCAGGACCGCGAGGCGAAAACTGTCATGTTCTGCAGGCCAAGGAATGCCTCGACGGTATTGGCAAGACTGTCTACGCAGGCTTTCCGCATACTGCGAGTCAGTTCGTTGTTCTCCATGGTCGGGCTGATCGCGGGTCGACAGAGCTCCGACATGATGTACGACATGTGAAGATACAGCGCCCAGTGCTGGAGTTGGTCCCGCATCGATCGGCATTTGCGCGAATCGCGAAGGAAGTCGGCTGCGTCAAACATGATGTCCTGGATTTCTTGGCGCCGTTCCGCTATCCGCCGCAGATCGGGGTCTTGGTTCGATGCGCGTTCGCTGACAATGTCGAGACCGACTTTACAAAGCCGGTACATGCACTCAATGTACGGGCGGTTTCCCGGGCTTGATTCTGGGTTGATGGGAACAAGCTCGGTGGTACTCGTTGATGAAGCCCTGTCGTAGGTAATTGAGAGCAAGCTGTCTTGCCACAGAACCGCCCACCACACTTTCTTTCGCGTGAGCTTAGTTTCCTCGGTGGAGCTGGTTGGGCAGGCACGGTGCAGCCCTAAACTCTGAGCCAGACGAATAGTCAGGCCGAGCAAGGACCACGACACTCCAGCATTCATATTGTTCGACATGACGTTTCCGAGGATCAGCAACGATTGGATGGACTCCAGGCTCGAATGCGACAGGAAATTGGTGGAACGCAGACACTCGAAGCTGCAGCACACGTAAACCTGCGATGTCAGCTCCCGTTCCTTGCGCGGCAAGGCAGAGCATTGGCACCCAGAAGCAAGCACCGCGAATAGTAGTCCGACCCAATGGAGATCCTTGCCGAAGATTGACTGTTCGGTGACTCCGGTGACTCCGGTGACGCTGCCATCTTCCTCGTTGGTCCGGGAACCTCCGCGCGTGATGAGGAAGCGCAAGAGTTCCGATTCGAGCTTTTCGATGTCGGCAACGGCGGGGTAAACGACATGCGCCGTTTCTTTGTGATACTTGAGCAAGTTCCAGCAGTCCGAGTCATTCGGCAAAGCATTGCAGAGTTCGTACACCCGAGACATGGATCCGTGCGGCAGACCCCAAAGGTCCACAAACGGATATGTGGCGCTTTCGTTGTCCAAGCCAAATATTGGCAGGACATTTTTGCCCAGCAATTCTTGCACGCCGCCGCTGCTCCCAGCTTCACCCTTTCCCAAACTCATCACCAGAGCAGGCACGGAATTTCCACCAAGATGGACCGTTTGACCCGTAATACTGTTCGTCGTGTGGATCCCCTGACTACTGACGTGGCGGGTGCTCGGGTCCGCAGAGAGCTGTCTAGAGGGAGTGCTCGCGGCGGTCTCGGTATGACCGTTTGACGGCCCGACGGGTCCTTCGGAAGCGTGTCGAATGGTGCCTTTCAAGTCCAGCAATGACCGCTCGACGGCATTCAGCTTGGAGCATAGTCTCTCCCAATCCTCGCGCCCGATTGTGACTGTGCCGTTGACGTTGTAGTTGATGGAGCTATTAAGACCGTTTGATGAGTCGGCGAGGCCGTAATGGCTGGGGCCATGGCTGATGCGCTTCGCCGGCGGGTGGGACTCGGCAGGAGGATGATATGTGCAGAGCTCCGGATGTTCTCTGGCTACGCAGAAGTCAGCATCGAGTGTGCAGCGCGGGAGTCGGGGTGGCAGGGAGGGCGCAAGAGCGATTCCAGCGACGGCCCGGGAGGGATGAGCGTACCAATGCACGTCTTGCACGGCACGGCCTGGTCGCACTTGACCTTGCGCTGGCGGCACGGATAGCAGGCCTTGTACTCCCTGGCCTTTCGCTTCCGTCGCAAGATCTCGTCGACGTCAGAGCGCGAAGCTTGCTCCGGGAAGGCGGGGGCGGCGGGCGCGGAGGTGCTGGGACTGTCCATGGGCTCGGATTTCGACATTGCTTATGGGCGCGCGGCGCAAAGCATGCTGGGGTGAGTCGGGGAGCGTGGGGTTGCGTGCCGAGGGCAGATGGCAATGGAGGAGGGAAGCAAGAGTTGAGACTGCGAGGATTAGGTAAAGACGAGCTAGGTCTAGACGGGCCAGCGGGGAGCATCGACTGGGTCCGCGACCGTTTGCGAAAGCGCAGCTAGCGCACTTCCAGATTGCATGGGCGGGAGAAAACGTCAGTTTCGGCGTGCCTGAGGGCCAGCTGAAGTGCCAGCGTTGGCGAAAGCCAGCCGAGATCGCCCCCAGGGTTTGCTCGTGCCACTCGCCTGCGACGACGACAACAAATAGCGCAGGGGACTGGCGACGTCAGGCTCAGGACCACCTCGTCCTGCCCGCACAAGCCCGCCGTCTAGGGCGACAAGCCGGCTAATCTGGTCGTTGCGCGTGCGTCCTGCCAGCCCTACGGGCACCATGCCGGCTGCCTCGCTGCATCACAACAAGCCTCGAGGGAGCGGCTGCGGGAATATCGCTCCGAGCCAGGTGGCCCGTAATTCTCTCCCGCTGCAGCTGCTGGTCGATGCGCGCAATGCGGGAGGACCTCCTATGTCTGCATCAAAATCACGCATGTAACTAAACACGTATGGTTCAAGCTTTGTAAAAATTACGCATCGCTGGTGTTGATGCCTAGCCAAAGATCGCTATCTGACCCCACCTCGCAAATCTTTTTGCTGAACAGACAACGCCGCCAATGCCATCGCTATGATATCTTGAAACAATCCCCAACGCCGCTTTTTCAATGCGTCTAGCTGTCTAAGTCTAGTGTCGCCGTATTACTATGTCTCGGTCCCCGGATCCCTGTCCGCGAGCGAGGTGGTATCATGTTAAATCGATGCCAGATCGGAGGGTAACAAGATCTTGCGAAATAAGTCAAATGTGTTTTTTTTTTTTTTTTTCTTTTCTTTCTTCTTTTCTTTTTTCTTTTCCTTTTCTTGAAGTTGGAGCTTCCGCACGTAGCAGCAGCTTTTTTGGTGGACCTTTGGACATCCTTGGTGAGGCAATTTCCGAGTCGAAGGCTTAGCGAACTGTTTACTGGGGGTCCGTAGCAAGCTTGGTCTCGGGAATCATGGTCGTCTGGTTCTCCTCGTCATCGCCACTGAAGGCGTACCTGGAGTGCCTGCGGATGGCAGCACCCTTGAAGAAGAAAACGTAGGGAATTGCGCAACACGCAAGACCGATAAAGGCCAACAGCGTACTCGCCCACTCGTAACCAAGACGGTGGTACATCTGCTCGGTGAAAAGGACCACACCGGCACCCCAGAACGAACGGATGAAGGTCTTCGCAGCAAGTGCAGAAGCAGCTTGGTGCTGGTAAGAGTCGACGAGGTAGTTGTTTGCCGCGTTGTACAGGAAGATGAAACCGAAGCCGACCGACCAGCCTGCAAGACAAGGGCCGACCCAGATAAGCCAGGGGTATGAAGTCCAGGCGAAAACGAAAAGACCAATCGGAATGAACCAGCAAGAAGCCATCATTGGGTAAAGACGAACTTCTGCAGGGGGTTTGCCATTATGCTTTTCGACCATCTTCAGGTAGTGGCTGTTGACGAATGGCGCACAGGCGGCACTCATGACGACTCCGACGGCGAGGGGAATGAACATCAAACCGGTGGTGGATGCGCTGAAGCCCTTGCCCTCCTGGAAGACGATGGGGTAGGCCACGAAGAACATATATAAAAGACCATACAATACGCTCATGTAAAGCGAGATGAAGAAGACGATGGCCTCGCAAAAAAGCAGCTGGAACGGCCGAAGCAAGAAGATAGTGAGACGCTCGCTGAAGGGACGCTTGTCCAAGTCCTCTTCAGTGACATACTTGTCGTCGTTGGTCTCCTTCCTCATCTTCTTGGCTCTCTTGGATAAAAGACTAGGAGTGTAGGTCTCGGGCACGGTAAACGAGATGAGGAACCACGCAGCACCGGAGAGGATAAGCTGAATCCAATACAACCATCTCCAGCCGAGGTTGTCGGCCAAGAAGCCACCGATGAGAGGACCAATAGCTGGACCAATGAACGGAGCGGCACTGAATGCTGCCATGGGCACACCACGCTCCTCATTCTTCCACAGATCAGCCAATGTACCTCCGACCAGTGTCATGGGCGCGGAGAAGGCGATGCCATCAATGGCACGACACACGAGAAGAGTCGCCATGTTCTTGGAAACAGCTTCAGGGATGATGAAGACGACTGCGATGAAGAGAGTGGAGGCGTAGATGGGCTTCCTGCCGATGATCTCGGACAGTGGGGCGAATGCCATCGGACCTGTGTGAAGTGTCAAGGTCAGCAAGGTAAGACCACTTTGGATTGCTCAGGGGAAAGACAGTGTACGTACCCACACCGAAGCCAACGACGAAAAGGGTAATGGCCAGAAGACCGACTTCTCTCGATGAACCGAACTCATCAGCGGGGCCTTGGATATCGGCAGTGATGACAGCACTGTTCAGGGCCACGACGAAACAGGTAAAAGCAACACACATGGTGCACCACCACTTGTATGCCTTGGACCAGTTCTTGGGGTTTTCAGGATCGTTGATCTTCCAGGTAACGAGCTCGTAACGCTCAAGCTTTCCGGTCTGATGGGACTTGACCTCCTTGAGGATTTGGCCTTCGGCGGTCTCCTGGGTGTATTCCTCCAAGCGGGCATTTTGGGACAGTGTCCGGGAGGGCAGGTTCACCAGGTCGTCTCCACTCAGACGGTGCGTCTGGGTGCGAGTGAGGTTGGTAGTAATGGGAGCAAAGCCGGTGGCAAAGTCCTGATCTTGGGTTGCTTCCACATGGGTGGAGTCTGAGCTGGCGTCGTCGTCATGGACGCGAGGTTCTTGAGTTCCTGACATGGTAATGTCTGGTCAGGGTAGGAACAGAAACAAAATGTATTCACTGGGTGTTCAAAGAGCCACAGGGCTGGGGGAGGTCTACTATATATCTTGCGAGGGCCTTGGGACATTCGGGGCCAGTCCTATGCCATGGCGGGCGACTCTCGGATTTGCATTGTCTGATAACAAGTTGACGCAGCCACCAGAGCCTGAGCAATTATCGTGCAATGAGTAGGGCTGATTTTCGCAGGGCCCAATTGCTGAAAGAGGTATGAGTCGGCGTTGGAAACGCGTGACAACGAAGGTATGTCCAAGATATCCCCGAAGGATGCGTACGCCAAGTGTTCGAGCCCGAGCTGAGAGACAAAAGCGAGAAGGGCGCGCCCGCTCTGCGAGGCATAAGCAGCATGAATCCGGCCATGCGCTCCGGCTCGCGCGACTGCATCGGTAGGTTGTTTGTTGTCCACCGCCTAAACTCGACGATGGGCGCGTTGTTTGCTACACCGGTCTGCGATGCGCGCGCCCGCCCCAAGCGCCGAGTTTTTCGCGAGCACGCACCCGTGCTCCCCCGGCACGCTTGGACGTTGATCGTTTGCTCTAACAACGGCCTTGATGGTGCGTATGGCGAGGATCTTCCATCATCGGCCTAGCCGCCTGGGCCTTTGGGCAGGGAGCTGCTGGCCATCAGTGATCAATGGCTTCCATCAAGCTTCTGGCCTCTGCCCCGTCGGCTACCGGCGAGTCATGTCGCCCGTGCGGAGTGACGTACGGGACGTCAGGTTGATATCACGAAATTCTGCGGGCAGAAAGTTGACGCGCCCCCGACGACGGCATGGCGTGGCAATGGGGGATTGTCGAGCTGGCGGGCAGGGCCGGCGGCCCTTAAAGTAGGTTCGTCTACTCGTACTCCGTAACCATGTGCGGGGCCGCGGCTATGTTGCCAGCCGAGGCAGCCAAAGCGGGCGCAATGCAGTTTGGGGGGATTACGAGTCCAGTGTTGTGTGAGGGGAACGTGAGCAGCGGCTGAGATGGCTGATTAAATGCAGGCGGCCGTTTGCCGCGAGCACCGTGATGGCCCCCGCATGGCGGCGCAGCGATGGATCGCGGCCTGAGCGCGTCCTTCTCCGCACCTCTGACAACTACCCTCAAGGTGCCGCTGGCCATCCTGTTACACATCCACCTCGCTGGGACTCGGTTGAGTGCGTGAGGAGCTGCTGCACGAGTGGCTTCATTGGCGACTGCAAGGCAAAAAACTAGGCAAACGCGCGGTGCTTGGGTGCATTCTCGAGACCCGCTCGCACTTGACGTTCGAGTTGTCGGATCCGACTGGCCGCTGCTTCTCTCTGATATCCCTGTCGCACTTGGCTGCAGTTTCTCGTTGCTCTTATCCATCAATCCGCTATAATGGGTAAGTCTCATCCAAGCCTAGCCTGCCTGCGCTGCGCCTTTAGACCCCCCTCCTTCCGCCAGCACCCGCCTGCTGTCAATTCCCCATCGCATCGTGAGCAGACGGCTCCGTCATCTTGACCACCTAGACACTCACCGTCGCTGCAACAGACACGTCCAACTCATACCGCCCAGACACGGTAAGCAAGCTCCCCCCCCCTCATCCTCTCGCTCTCCGTTTCCTTGGCGCCTTCCCACCACTCCATTCCCCACCCCCATCCCATCACCGCGACCTGCATGCACCGCGACCGCGATCGCTGTCTTGCAGTGCGCCCGGCGCGCGACGAGGCGGTGGTTGATTGAGGTGGCCTTTCCTTCTCTCATCACCCACGGCCGCGCGCACGGCAGAGCCGCGGAACTTGCCCCTAGCCGACCGTTGCGCTGCGCCTGAACCACCTTCACTTTCGCGACCTTCGCGTCCTCCACCTCATTGCACCCACCACCACTTTCATCACCTTCCCTCATTCACCCGCACAACCCGTCACCCGAACACGTTGCCGAGCACGCCATAAAGTCCCGCTCTGCTCGCCGCAGCCATGGACGCTTCACCTGCTGACGACCCTTACAACAACCAGCGCGAAAGGTCCCGGTCGCCGCGTCGCCGATCTCGAAGCCCGCGTCGCAGTCGTCGATCATACTCTCCTCGCAGTCGCTCGCGCAGTCGTGACGACTTCCGCCGCGGTGATCGCCGTTCGCGTTCGCCTATGAGTGGTGCTGCTGGTGCTGCTTCAGGATATTCCAGTGCTTACGGTGCGGCTCGTGGTGCGCCGCCAGCGAGGAACGTTGAGGAACGTGCTGTCGCAAAGGAACAAATGATGGCTTCGCTGCGTGAGTCCTCTCAGCAGGACCGTCGTGTCTATGTCGGCAACTTGTCGTACGATGTCAAGTGGCATCATCTCAAGGACTTCATGAGACAGGGTAAGCTCGAGACTCGCATGCACCTTGCGGGCGCATTCTGCTAACTTTGTCCGTCCGTAGCCGGAGAGGTCCTGTTCGCCGATGTATTGCTTCTTCCGAATGGAATGTCGAAGGTGGGCTGACTGTGGCTGGTCTTTCTGGTTTCTTCTGGTATTTTTTGGACGTTGGATTGACGGGTGGGACTGGTTGTCCGTAAACGATGTAGGGATGCGGGTAAGTTGCGCCATCTCACCTTTTTTACAGCCAACATTGAAACTAACTTTCTGCAGCATTGTGGAATACGCTACAAGGGAACAAGCCCAAAACGCGGTCAACACCCTTTCGAACCAAAACCTCATGGGTCGCCTCGTCTACGTTCGCGAGGTAAGTTCCGTCATCCACTCACTCAAGCAGAAAGTATTAGAGTAACATGCTGAAATACGTGAATCAGGATCGTGAGGCCGAGCCTCGCTTCACTGCTCCTCCTTCGGTTGGCCGTGGTGGCTATGGCGGGACCATGCGTGGTGGTTTCGGTGGCTATGACGGCGGCTTCGGCGGTGTCGCCGCCGGTGGTGGTGGTGGTGGCGGTGGACGCCAGCTCTACGTCTCCAACGTTTGTGTCCTCCCCTTGGTGTTTTTTTGCTAATCTTGAAGGAACCGGCTTGTTGACTCGGTGGTCTTTAGCTCCCTTACAACGTTGGATGGCAAGACCTCAAGGACCTGTTCCGCCAGGCTGGTAAGTCACTAATTACAAATGCTCTCATAAATTTGTGTTTCTCAATGCTCATCGCTTGACCAGCTCACAACGGCGCCGTCGTCCGCGCTGATGTCCACACCACTCCTGATGGTCGCATGAAGGGTTCGGGCATTGTCGCTTTCGAGGCCCCTGAGGACGCTCGCAACGCCATTCAGCAGTTCAATGGCTATGACTGGCAGGGCCGTACCCTTGAAGTGAAGGAGGACCGCTTTGCTGGACCTGCTGGCTTCGGCCGTGGTGGATTTGGCGGTGGGTTTGGTCGTGGAGGCTTCGGTGCCCGTGGAGGAGGAGGCTTCGCTGGCCGTGGCGGCTTTGGCTATGGCGGCCGTGGCGGCTTTGGTGGTGGATTTGGCGGTGCTCCCATGGGTTACGAAGCCGGTGGATTGCCTCCCGCGCCTCCCAACCCCTTCACCGACTTCGCTACCTCCGGTGGTGAGCGTAGCTCTATCATCTACGTCCGCAACGTAAGTCTAGCCAGATGTGCTTTTTTTCTTTTAAAAAGTTCTGTCACTGACTCTATCCAGCTGCCGTGGTCCACGAGCAACGAGGACCTCGTTGAACTCTTCACCACCATTGGCAAGGTCGAACGCGCCGAAATTCAGTACGAACCCAACGGTCGCTCCCGTGGCACCGGTGTGGTCGAATTCGACAGCCCCGAGAACGCTGAGACCGCCATCTGTAAGTTCCTATTGTCACCAAATATTGTCGGATCATCTCGCTGATCATTTCTATAGCCAAGTTCACTGGATACCAATATGGTGGTCGTCCCCTCGGTCTGTCCTTCGTGAAGTACACCAACCTTGGACCTGCTCCGGATGCCATGGAGACGGAGGCTCCTGTCGGCCTCACCCAGGACCAGATCATGTAAGAGGATTGGGTGGCACGATTCAACACAATTTGCTTTCAAAAAAAAAAAAAAAAGCTACGTTGATGGGACGGCAGCGAGACTCTTCCTCTTCTGCTTTCGTGTCTTCAATTTGAGTCTAAAACTGGCTAAAGAACCTTGGCCACATTTCGGGCAAGGTGGCATGCCATTCGACACGGTTCGGCGGTTACACAAAAAAGTTTTTTCATGTAGTACAGATCAGAATGCGGACAGCCTTTCATAGCTAATACACAGCTATCTACATGACTTAACTTCCTTACTCGCTTGCTCTGGACATGTTCTTGTGAATCTTCCGTTTTATTTAACCTTATAACCTTCTGCTAGGTTTAGCTTCTCTGCATCAACCCCATCATCCATTCATATACGGCCCATTGCACAGCATTGACAATAAATGCCCGCACACTGCATATTCCAAGACCTCTAAAGAACACGGACAAGCCCTCAGTACGGTAAGCACGACGGGTGATGTCCCAAGCACCCATCTGCCTGTGCGTGCCGTCCAAGGAAATTGCACCTCCGCCGACAGAAGCCCGCAGCAAGGCCTGTTGCTCTCCGACGGCAGCGCTAACGGCACCCGCCTGATATTCCTGGGTTTGGACTCTTGTTTTGATCACGTCTGCGCATCGCAATCAGTTAGTGTACTCCACGCGCAATATAGCGGAGTCTCACTTACCGAGGGGGAAGACAGAGGCCCAAGTCGCGATGCCGGCAAGGCCACCGCATAACAACACTTTCAGAGCGGCCTGGTGCTCCGTATCGTCGGGGGAGGTTATGGCGCGCTTGGTGAGCTCGTAGCTCCAGAAGCTAAGGGCAGAGACGAGGGTAAATTAGACAAGGAAAAGAGAGGGGACGAAAGAGAGGATCAAGCAAACCAACTCACTAAAACGCATAGCCCACAGCATCCCTAATACCAGTGACAACGCCACCATGATAGAACCCTGGCAGGCCCTCGGCGCGCCAGGTATCGCGGGCAACGGTCCATGACGAGGGAGCGTGGGCGTAGACCTGGGCGCGGCACTTGACGAGCTCGGTAGGGGCTGAGACGACGAACGAAGCGAAGCCGCCGACGGCGCCAGCGACGAAGACTTTGCCGAGAGGAGTGCTGGGAGAGCTTGGGTCTGGCTCGTGGAGCAGCTTGAGCGTGCGGTTGTACGTCACGAAGAGGATGGCGTTGAGGGCGCCGTAACCGAGGACGGGCGCCGGGATGCCTGCGACGGGAGGGTTGAGGTTAGTTTGTGGGCTGGGATGATTGAGATCGATTGCGCTTTTGTGGGGGCTGGGGGTTGCTCCCAGTGGTGTGTGGTGTTGTGAGGTTGCGTGCGCTCGTCGAGCTGAGCGTGGCTGGGGAGGCGTGGCTTATCACCCGTCAACACACAAGTCTTCTCTCACGGCCGATGTTGTGGAACGTGGCACACGGATATGCCGTTCGCTTTAAGAACGCTTTTCCCTTGTTCGCTCTCAATATATATGTACATGGTGATCCATGTCATGAAGATGCCGCCTTCCGTACGCCCGAAGGAAGGCGTTCCTGAACAAAAGAAAGTCGTTCACCAAGCGACTAAAAGAGCACTCGGAGGATAAACCGGAGTAGAACCCAGAGATGATATTGTCCTCCATGGGGAAATGGCAATGACTTCAGGAATAGCGAGGACTGGACTTTGTGCTCAAGGACGCCATAGCCGTCGGCCGTGAGAGAAACTGGTATGTGAGAAAGCAGCACATAATAGGCTTTCGCCAAGGCAAGCCTGTCAAGGAAAATTGAGGCTTGGATGTATTACCTCTAACATAGGTCCCCGCATTGCGCCAGCCCTGACCAGGGGCGGCGGCTGCGGGTGAGGAAGCGGCAGTTGGGCCAGCTTGAAGGCGGGTCTTGACAAGATCAAGGGGATTGCCAATGAGGATGCCGGCCGCACCGCTCAGGTAGCCGGCCCAGAAGTCTGCGGACATTTGTGTGGATAGACGAAGGGAAGTTGGACAACTACCACATGGTGGTGGTGGAGCCTGGAGAAGATGACGGAAGGCACGTGATGATGATCGTACTCGTTCCTACCTAGAGGGATGACGGCAGTTGGTCGGAGGGCGGGGCGCCGGACTCCGGCTCCGACAACGCCAAAGCAGAGCTACTTTTTTTATATTTTCTCTCCTGTACTCCTTTCCTAGACACTGTAGGTTGTTTCCTGAAACCCTCTGCATTTTGGAGAAGAGTTCTGACTGACATGTACAATTGTAGGGCGGATTCGACCTTCGCCAGGCATCGATTTTGCTGTGGAGACACGCGCCGCTCGTACAATCGCCACTCAGCCCTATAGCTGGCCCGCAGCATCCGTTCACAGTCCAAACCTCCTAAGACGAACCGAACTGCATCAACTACCCAAACGCAAAGACTCTGGGTAAAAACATCAAGCTTTCGAGATCACCACGATAACTGGATGGGTGCAATGGCCACTAGGCCCTTTGTTTCGGAAGGCAATGCAGGCCGAGCCCCAAGACATTCTCAAGGTGTCATGAAACTTTTGCAGTCTTAGTCTGCTGTCAGTCTCAGGTTTTCATTCCTGAGCTTGAAACAGAGCATAAATTGCAGTTGTGGAAAGTATTCTTGCTGTGGGCCTCTGCTGAGAGCAACGACCTTCCCGTTTTGGAGGGTCAATCTTTCGGGTGGCAATGCTGTCGCCATTCTTAAGTCTCCCTTGTCACCGTACGAATTTTTCTGGCAGTTATGAAAGAAAAAAAGAGCTTAGAGGATCATTCGAATTATATTCGAATGTCGGAGACTGGAGCATATGGCTTGCTCAATGGCGGTAAAGGCACTGACACAGTCTACCCCTTTGGGTTTAGGGGTTTATTAAACGGTGATTATCCATTGTGGGCGCAAGAGTTACCGATCGTTTGTCAGCATGTCCTTGTTTCCCTACGGCCTATAACAGAAGTCCTTTCTGATTGGCACGCCTTTGAATGCCGTTCAATAAGCTTCCAATCGGCAGCACTCACTTGGTAGAAGGGAGTTTGTCATTACAGCCGCTCAATCGTTACCATGAATTGCGGAGTGGCTCCCAATCAAGGACCCTGGAGTTTGTCGCTTTGGATCCCCAGTCACATATGCTGGCTCTCTTGTATCAATTGGTAGTTGGTTCGACTTACATTCTTTTCACACACCATTTGCGCTGTCTTCCAACTCCTACGCGCCCGAGAACCCCCAAAAGTGAGCTGCACGTCTATCTGCCGGCCCGAGCTCAGATTCCGAAGACTTCGAGCCTAACGGAGGCGGAGCACTCCTCCCCGACGTTGAGAGAGATCGCATCAGAGACTTCCAGGGTCTCTTACTGCACCCGAGAAGAAACGCGCACAACCGACCAACCGATCAAGGGGGCGATGGCTCCGCTCAAAGCCGGCCCCAATGACTGCACCTCGCATCAGGTTATGCATGATGCCCTGAGAGGTCTTCCGGGGCTCCTTTTGCGGGTTAGATTCAGACCTGGCCTTCGTGTGCTTTGGTTTGAATGGTAACTGCGCTTGGGAGTTCCTTCCTTATTAGCCAGCACTAACCGTCAGCCTGCATCCGCCGAAAGTCATCAGTCCGCCTCCGCCTCCGAGGAACAGCAGCCCGACTCCCCGAACAAACTCAGCTCGTTCCACCGCCGAATAAACCTTTCGACTTTCACTCAACACAGTACTACACCGGGGCCAACATCGAAGCTATTCGATGCTAGCAAGACGCGTCTGCTGATCTCACAGCATCAGATAGACGTCCCTAGCTGACACCCTCTCCGGCCAACGCCATCTGGCCCTCCCTGCGCATCCGTCGTCGCCGTTCCTACGATCCACAACTCCATCGAGAGTGGCGAAGCCCTTCCAGATCAACGTCCCGACATACATCCACGCGGCAAATACACCATATCAGCATGTGCTGGATCACACATTACGTCTTTGCGTGCTGCAGTAGCACCCATCCAAACGGCTACATATCCACACTCTGCCATGACGCCAGTACAAACAATTTAGACCCGCGCAACTGTCGTGATCGTAAAGACCACGTGAGCGCTGTGGCCCAGAGCATATGTGTTACCTGTCAGGCACTCAAGGCAATCGAGTCGATGATGCAACAGAATACAACAAAGGGCAAGTCTCCACGCAAGTAGGTCCATACGGCTCGGTCACTACAGGAATACAACTTTACGAAGTCATGACCGACGCATGCTGGTCTGCAGGTGGCCAACCCAACAAGACTTTTCCCTCGTCCCGCGCTCACCTCTGGCCCATGTCTTACGGGAAACCTTGCTGGATATAAACATTCGGATACCCTTCAGTTTGCTTTTTGTTATACAACTGATACAAGGCCTGGTCCGTGAGGATTGAGCCCTGAGTCTACTGTCCTGGGACAGTCAGTCGTCACTATATTTTCTCGGTTCTCGACACGGTCGGTTATGGTTATGTGGTAGGGTTAAGGCAAGTCTTGTTGGCATATCCATCTTCGGTACGAACGAGCTCTCGTATGTGATCTACGATAGGGGCTTATGGTTTTGCAAACACGGCAGAGGTCTTGACTGTTACACTGTGCTTTTCCTACGTCCTTACCACTTCCTTTCTTTGCCACACAGTAATTTCTTTCACCTCCCCATGCATTGTTGGATTACTACTGTTATTGGATTACAACTGCTAGGATTAAAGTCTTCAAGTCTACAGCATGATATTGGTACATTCACCAACCCTCCCCGTATCCCCAACGCGTTCTATTCTGACGCCTGCGTAGTATACCGAACCTGTCTTGAGCCTCTACCGTTCATCCTAGGCGCGTTTGATATCACGGAACCGTCATCGATCAAATGACCCAGCACAGCGCTTTCACTTCTGCCGATGTCATACCAATTACCTTCTTCATAATAACACTCACAAGTTTCCTGGTCATCCAATGCACGTACCCATCGCCAAGTCTGCTTCAAATCTAACCACAACGTGGCCCAGCCATGCACGTCATTCCAGACTCCACGCTGACGATGGCTACACCGCGCGGGAGAGGGTCCGACCAACCAACCACACGGCCTCTCCCTGCCTCCCTCGTACGGACCACAGACGACTTTGACACCGCCGACTCCCACCACAAAGGTCGTGGCCATCATAGCAGACAGAACGTGTAAGGAGCACGTCTCGCCACAAGCCTGTGGCCGGTGGCGAGCTGCATGTGCCCTCAGCGCGTTCATTCGCTGGCTCGCCGGCCCGAGCTCAGGGGCCGGACCTGGCTCCGCTTACCGGGCTCGCCGAGTACTGCGGGGAGAGAGCACGTCAGAGCTGGGAAGGACCGGATCCGAGGACCATCTTTCTCTCTTCTCGTGATCACTGTGTGGCGTGGCATCAGTCATGCTGTCGCCACTGTCACTGCCTGGGCCCGCTGTCTGTCTCTCTGCCGGCCTGCTTCCGTCGCCTTCAACTCGCCTCACCATGCACGTTCGCACGCACGCACGCCTGCCTGGAACACCGCGCCTCTCGTCCTACTCGCGTACACGTTCTCTGCCCTGTCCATACGGGCCTGGCCTGCGGCCGCATCGCTGCGTTCCCGTTTCATTGCTTGTTGTGCTCCTCGCTGTCTGTCGTCTGCTCGACGGTCATGGGTGCCTGTCCACTCCTTCTCTCGTTGCCTCGGCTCGCTCTCACGCACACGCACACGTACGGCCGATCTGATCTGTGTTTGTCTGTCTGGCTGTGCTGGGGTGGGACACTTGGGAGGGACAGCGGTGTCGTCAGAGTATATGGCGATGGGCCGAGGGGCTGGGAGACGCTTCCCTGTCTCTCCGTCCATACCTCTGGTGCTGGATTGATCGTCTGGTGTCAGGTGGGCGGGTGCTATATGGTGAGTGAGTGGAGAGACAAGATTGCTGCGCATGGGTAGATAGACAGATAAGTGTGAGGTGGAGAGGCAGAGTAGTGACGAGGTAGGTTTGCTTGTGTGCAGTGCTTTCTTGCTTGCTTGCTTCCTTCCTTCCACTTGGGTTGGCAAGCCACCGCTACCACTGCCGCAGCTGTTTCCTGGAAGAGGGATACGCCTGCGGGCAAGCGTGTCTGCTTGCGTGGCTGTCGAGGGAACGAAACGGCTTACCTGCCGTCCTGAGGTTTCCTCTCCCATCCCACCACCCTTCATTTTCACTCACACTTATGCACCTCCTCCCTCACAACTTGACGCCTTCAGAGGCCCTTGCCAACTATACTTACTGTAGGACTGCTAGCTGCTATCTACTAGCTGCTATCTACTAGCTGCTATCTACTAGCTGCTATCTACTAGCAGATCTAGTGCAAAGCAGACAGGCAGGCAGGCAGACAGACAGGCAGGCAGACAGGCAGACAGACAGGCAGGCAGACAGACAGGCAGACAGACAGGCAGACAGACAGGCACATTGTGCGTAGGAGTAATACCTGCTTGCGTCTCTACGTCTCCGTGCCGTTGACCGTTGTCTGATCGGTTGGACGTCATGAGTAAGCAGGAACTCGACTGAACTAAACATTTGAGCAGAACTGGCCAAGTACGTATAAGAACTTGCTGGTGAGGTGAGGTGAGGTAGGTATAAATTTTGTTATACATATATATATATACTGTATAGACGTAGCCCAAAGCAGATGGATGATTTAACTAATCTATATTTAATCAGCTTATCTGTCTATATATATTTATTAACCTATCTATCTATCTACCTAAACATCCATCAGCTCGTCTATTAATACTACCCTATCTACTTACTAACCTATCTACCTAGTGTCTCCTCGCCTATCTGCCTCCCTATCGTCTCCGGTTAACGGCGAGAGATAAGATAGGACCTAGCAAGATATCTACCCAATAGCCCAGTGTCTGAAAACACAAGACGACTCACCTTCCCCGTACGACAGGCCACGGCAAAAAATACCTTAACACAGCATCGCGCACGCACCCCTCGAGTCCAATTTAATCCAATCCAATCTCATCAACACACACTACACAGCAAAGCGACAGAATCTCAGATTCGCTATCTAGCTAGCTACAGGAAAACAATCAGAGCGCACGGCGCCACGAGCAAAGATGGCCACGGCGCGACTCGGGATGTGTGAGGTATGTAAAGTTTGAAGAAAGAGAAAGAAGAAGCTCTCTCAGTTCAGCAGCAGCAACAACAACAGCAGCAGTAATAGCTCGGCACGGCACAGCACGGCGCGACGCGTCGCGTCCGTCCGTCGTCTCACCCGGCGTCCACGCCACCGGGCGTGCTATCTAGCCAGCCAGCTGGAGCGAATGATGGGAAAAGAAAACCAGAAAAAAGGTGAAATCTAATCAACATTTCCCCAGAGGCGCAGAGAGACTCGAGCAAAAAGAAAGTCAAGAGACGAGACGAGACGAGACGTGAGCCGGCTTGCGGGCAGAGAATTGGAAAATAGGGTATTTCCAAAAATAAAAGAGGAAAATGAAACCAAGCCAAAAAAGCTGAGCTGAGCAGAATAAAGCAGAGCAAAGCAAGCTAAATAAAAGGGGGGAAAAGAGTACTTTGAAGGACTAAGCAAGTTCTTGAAATCGTCGATACAACACATTATACAATCCGTCTGGGGCCCAGGGCCCCGGTATAGACAGAAGAAAGTAAGCTAAAAACTCAAAAAAGGGGGTTTGGTTGTCCCGGTCGTTTTGTCGTCGTTCGTCAGGAGCGAATATCCCGGTCGTGGATCATGGTCATGGTGTCCTTGGCTGAATTGAACCAATGGCCGGTCAACGTGGGAGTGAAACGAAAAAAGCAAATAAAAGAGAGAACCGAGTCGACTCCGAGACCATCACTCGTCAGAAAAAACATACAATCCACCACCACATTCGTTGTTATCGCCAATTCACCTTTACGACGCGCTATTCAAAATTTGGTCGTTGTTCCCTTACAGCGCCTGGCCGGGAAGCGGCTTACGCGGGGGGAGGGGGCCGTCAACAAGGGCTGCGGCAGCACCGTTGGGGTTCATGGGGCTGGGTCCAGGAGGCGAGACACGGGGACCCTGCATCTCGCTCATGGAGTTAGAACGGCGGCGAGCGGCAGCGGACGGGCCAGGAGACATCGTGCGAGGTGGGCGCTGGAACGCCGCATTGCTGTTAGAGCGCGCGCGACCGCCGCCTGGGGGGCCCATGGGGGACATGGGACGGCCCTGGCCGGCGAAGGAAGCGTTGGACTGAGAGCGTTGACGGCCAGCAGGGCCGGGGCCCATAGGAGACATGGCGCGAGGAACATTACGAGGACCATTGCGAGGGCCAGCAGGAGACATGGGGCGAGGCGAGTTCCTACCACCGGCAGGGGACATGGGACGAGGACCGTTGGCAGGAGACATCGAACGAGGACCGTTACCAGGAGACATAGGGCGAGGCGGTCCCTGCATGCCAGGACCCACAGGACGAAGAGGTCCGCGAGGCGGGCCCTGAGGTGAGCCTTGGGGCGAACGGCCTTGGGGAGGCGGGCCAGGACGGGGCTTGACAGGCTGCTTAGACAAGCAAGAACGCGGGACGACACCCTGTTTGGAACGGTCCATGAGAGAGCAGAGAGCCTAGAAACATTATCAGAATATGTAGTATTTTTCTTTCCAAGGAGGAACTTACCCATCCATCGTCATACTCGTGCAACATCCTGATCAGCTGGCCGACCTTGGCCTCCAACTCATCATCCATGGAAGGCGCGAAGTCCATCTGAACTCTGTGCACATTGTTAGGGGCCGGCTTGCTGGCCGCGGCGGCGATGGCGGCATCGGCGGCCGCAGCACCGGCGGCCGCAGCAGCAGCGGCAGCGGCAGCAGGGTGGACAGGAGGAAGAGCAGTCGTAGGAGCTGGGCCGGGAGAAGGAGGAACGTCATCCAGGTTCCACTGAGAGGGGCTTTGGACAGCAACCGGGCTCTCGGCAATGTTGTCGGAAACGCTCTTGGGAGCACCAATCACAGATCCCGGGCGAAGGATGTCAGGGGTTCCAGGGGCGCCAATCGTCGGGGTAGAAACGGTGATGTCTGGCAGACCAGCCTCGGTCTTCTCAATAGTAGGCGTGGGAAGTTCAACAGCATCGCGAGACGTGGTGTTTTCGTGAGTCATGGCGTGGTCGCCGAAGGGGTTGGCTGGGTCGCTGGCAGCGCCACGCTTCTCCCAAGCGCTCATGCTACCAGCAGGGGAAACAAGACCGCCAATGGTGGGAGTTCCGAGAGCGCCAGTATCCAGCGTAAGCTTGCTGGTAGCGCTCTTGCGCTTCATGTTTGTCTCAATAGCAGGCAAGAACTCGGTCATGGGGCGAAGGCTCAGGCGAGGCGCGTTCTCAGCAGTGTGGGTAGTTCTGATGCTCGGAGTCCTGGCAGCCACACCGCCATTGGCACCATTAGCCATATCAGCGGCAGCAGCGGCTTTTTCGGTCTTCTCATCATCAATCGGTTGCGCCGCCTCCTTGTTCTGCAATTTCTTGCGCTTCAGAAGAACGAGGAGAAGACAGGCAATTGCAGCGACACCAAAGATGACACCGAAAGCCACACCGGCCTTGGCACCACCGGACATGCCGCTGGATGAAGAGGAACCAGCACTTGCGGTGCTTGAAGCGCTGGCACTGGACAAGGCAGCATTAGTGGCCGAGGTCGCAGCAGCATGCTCAAGAGGAACCGTGCTCGAAAGGGCGGCGGAAGACGTAATATGCGACGAATCGGTAGCCGATTCAGACGAGATTTTCTCAGAGGTCATGGCAGCGACGGTGGTCTCGGCTGCTTTGGAAGTCTTCCTGGTCTGGGTAGCAAGGGTAGTGCCGGTGGCCTTGGCAGACTCTTGAGTGTTTTGCTGCTGAGTGTTTTGCTGAGTCTTGTGCTGAGTCTGCTCCTTGGTCGTAGCATCTTGATGGTCGGAGTCCTTGGTAGCAACGGCGGTGGCCTGGGCAACAGTTACAGCGGCGGGCTCGTCGTCGGGAGAGTCGGTGACATAAACGGCAGGGCCATCAAAAGTCTTGGGCGCGGTGTAGTAGACGACGGAAACGACAGTCTTGACGTCGGGTTCGGCTTCGGCGAGGGCGTCGCGGGCATCTAGCTGCTCCGCGCGTGGAACGTGCTGGTGCACATGGTGCGCGCGATGGTGGTAGGCGGGCATAGTGGTGGGTGGGTGAGACTGTGGTTTCGCGACGGGATATGCAAGTGACAGGGATGCGACCGAGGTTTTGTCGGAGGCAGAGCTGGCTGGGAGGAATGCCAGAAGAATTGACGGGTTGCCGGGCGGGCGACGGGAATGCTTGTCGGAGGGTTTGTGGCACGAGGAAGGAGAGAACGTATAGCCGGAAGGAGCGACGAAGGCTAGGGGCTTTGCCGACGGTAAAAGAAGGACGACGACAGCCTTGAACGAAGGTGTGTCTCTTGGGTGAGTGAGGTCGCGAGGCCTTGGCGACAAGAGGGAAGAAGCGCGCAAAGGAAAGAGCGGGAGAAGTAGATGAAGAGAGCTGGCCAGGGCAACCGCGGTGCTCGGTGCCTCATCCGCTTTGGGCAAGACCCCAGGCCCTCCAGGAAATGAACCTTCCAGCCCGACCAATCACGCCCCGCTTGCCCCCGGCTGTTCCTGGAGCTACGCCTGCCCCGGACTAGCGCCGACGCCTTCTCTCTGCCAAAAGACAATGTCACCATTCACCTCCGACTCTCCCTTCTATTTTTGTTGCGTTGCCTGCCGCCAATCCTCATACATCCTGTCTGCCTGTCTGCTACTCCCTACTCCCACCACTCTCCTGCCGCGTCCACGCCGACTCAGCTGCTCTTCGACCGCACCCACTCGCTTGATCCGCGCGCCCCCGATGTAGGAAGCTTGGCCGGCACGCTCCTAGGGAATTGCGCGCAGCACGGCTCGCGCACTGTGGTCCAGGCACTGGCCGGGGTTTGCCATCCTTCCGCACGGCCAGACGCTGCTCAGCTTTTTTGCCCGCAAAGCCCGCGTGAGATGTGAGATGCGAGATGCCTCGTTCGACCTTGTCTGTAGCTTTAGCTTTAAGTGTAGTCACATACCTAGCCATGCAAGTATGCATGTGGCTTGCTTCCTTCCACCTCTCCTGTACCCCCTTCAACGCCCAACCATGACGGCAGCCAAGATCCCCTTGATCTAGGTATTTTTGCCCGGCAAACCGACCTGGTCCGGGACCGTCTCCACTACCACAATCGTGCGGCGAGGCGGGCGTGCATGCTCTCTTTTCAGCCCTGCACCCCGCTGTGCCGCCGTCTCTTTATTTGAGACAACTCTATCGGGGGAAACACTCATGCCAGTGCGATTAAGCGCCCTCACCGCTGACGTGCCCACTTGTCGACTTCAACGCGACTGCTGCTTGATCGGCCTCAACTCGTCCGATCGGATCCTTTCATATTACTCCGGGGCCGTGCTCGGCGAGATCAACACCCTCGCTACGCCGGGGATAAGGCGGTGCGGCACTGGTTTCCAGAACAGACGTCACATGCACGGTCCCTGTCAGCGCCGATCATAGCTCACGTGAAGTTTTAATACTGATCATGCTAATCATCAAGGCATCCATGCATTCATTACCCATCAAGGGATGTTCCAGTGCACAACATGTCGATCCGTGCCCTGGTCACAGCTTCCATCCGTTTTAAGCAGTCGAACGCCCTGCGATAACGTCAGCTTTATTGCTCCTTTCCACCATCAACCGACGCCACTTACACTGCTGGATCTCCTGTTCCGAGAGGTATCTCAACTTGTTGACCTCTGGGCTCTCACCCGTCACCACGCCCTTGGCAAACTCGACGAGTCCACCCACCTGGGTCTTGTTGCTGATAGCATACTGCGCGGTGGCAGTCTTGACCCGAATGATGCCAATGCGCGGATCGTCAGGACCACCGTCGTGCGTGCCGTCGCCAAGGTCACCGATCCACGCCTTCAGGCTGGGGGAGTAGTACTTCTTGACGATGGCGCGATCGGTTTCAATGTACGCCCTACCGCTGATCGATGCCCATTCGCCAGACTGAGTCTGGAAGGCAATGTTGATGTCTTTGTCGTGAGCTAGATCATCGGTCTTGCCGGATTCGGTGTTGGTGTGGAAGAGCAGATCGACGCCGTGTGCTTCCTGCAATCCCAAAATGACAGACGCCGATGTTATAATGGAAAGAATTAGTGTGGTATGAACATACCTTGCCGGCCACAGCCATAGCCCTGCTAGCCAGCATGCCGTTCTCCATCACAGTGGTCATCATGCAGTACTTGTGCTTGTCGATGAAACCAACCAGGTCCTCGACCTTGGTCTTGAGATCGGGCTCCTGAATGTTCTTCTGGGTGTAGGGGTCGGCAGGCTTGCTACCGGTGTCCGCGTTGCTGAAAGACATGTTGGAGGATAGTCGTTTGAAGTTCAGGGATGAAGAAAATGTCTTTGATGGTGTTGTTTGTTGGTTTTGGCAGCTGTGACGTGATGTAAGCCCTACGGTTCTAAGACTTGGCAAACGTGAGAGACGCTGCAAGGCTCGACAACGGGATACAACAGATGTGTTCATGATGGATATATTGAAAAAAACAATGAGATACTTACAGAAAGATTGAGGGAGGTGAATGATGAGTACAAGCTCGCGTCCACTAGGTGCGGTTCGGGTCGGCTTTTGATCGTGAACAGATATGTCTGACGTCATTAAGCCATGCCCGCATTCTTTCCCATCCTGTCCCTGCCACAAATGCGGGCGCGACCGACCCCTCACGCGAGTTCCGCGTAGGAGTGCGAATAGGATAAGCTCGATCCTGCCTCGCGCGTCGTTGACGGAATTCTGCGGGGCAGCTCCAACTTCTTGGGGATCCTCCTTCCGAGAACGGGTGATGAGGATGAGATCCGACGTCACAGAGCACTCTAAGCATCGCCCCGCTATTTGAAGCTTGGATGAACATCCAATTTGGCGATCATCAGCAACACTCCTGGTCTTACGTGTACTACGTATATGTACTGCCACTGTGCCATCTCAATTCCAACTACTCAAAGTCTCCGTATTGTCTACGAGTAAATCGCCTGTGGGTATCCAACAAACAAACATGCAACATGCCGCCTTTCTTCTCGATCACGCACCAGCTGGGCCGGACCCAGCCGGTCTCGCCCCGCTCAAGTTGACTACCCTTGCCCCTCCGGCCTTCACTGCAGCACCACTTATATCTCTCTTCCATCCTGGGACCTCGTCGCTGCATCTCGCCGTGATGATTGCCCAAGGGTTGGGGAACCCAGCTGCCATTGCGCCCTTCTTTTTCGCTCCTTGAATAGCAAACCGCAGTTGCTTGTGCGATATGAAGCCCCCCAGAAGTCCTTGGTGAACCAAAGATGATACGATGCTTTCGATCTCGTAGCTATCTGGTAGAAGCGGATCAAGCTCGACATCGTCGACTCCATCAAAATCAGGGTCGACGTTAGATTGACGGTTGAGCGCTGTGTTCGCACTCGTCTCAAGGAGTTGAGCCAGCGCGACAACGTCCTGCAGATCGACAGTGGGGGCTCTTCTAGTGGTCGGGTCTCCTCGATCTCCGTGAAGTGTGAATGTCCTGCGCACCAAGGATCGCCAAACCATGATTTCGCAGCGACTGCGAATCTGGTAGAAAATTTTGTAGTGGATAAACCACGACGCATTTGGAGTATCCATATCTGTGAGTAGGCGAAAGTGTGTCAAATTCCCCTTTGCGATAGCAACACAGATCGGATGAAACTTCTCCATCAGGCCAGCTGCCTCTGGCTGCTGATATAGTTGCTGTGATGGGAAGCGTCCGAGGATAATGTTGCAGGTTACAAGGTATATCAAAATCAAGCGGCGTTGATTCAAACGTTGCGGAGGACATTGGTCGTACGCTGCTTGTAAAGCAAGAAGTGCGCGATAAAAGTGGTTGTTGGAGAACTGGAAACGCCCGAGGTAATATAGGTATGTGATGCGCTCTGGTCGAGGATACACTGCCAATGGAGGAGATTGGTTTTGGATGTTGTTAAAGATCGTATCCGCGCTTCGTGACTTATGGCACTGTCCGGCTGTGTTAGATGCGAAATTGCCACGTATATATATATGCGCGGACTTACTTGAAAAAGAATCTTGAGACAAAGGTTCGCAATCGTGTAGATTCCCGCCTTTTTTCCATCTGGCTTGCCATCTCTTACACCAGTCGCTGTGCCGGTTCGGTCATTCAAACAAGTCTGGAAAGCTTGTCTCAGAGTATTGGCCGCTCTTTCTGGCAATGTCTCCCTTGTTTCGCTGCCATCATCCGCCGCTTGTTGCCTGACGTTGGCAAGGAGCTCTGGCCGCTTGTCCAGAACAATCGCAAGCTTCGCAAGCATACGCGAGCATGCGATGACGGTGGGTAGAATTATAATGCCCATTGACCCATGGCTGAGCGCACTGTTGCATTTCCTGTCCAAACATCAACCTTGCTCTTGAACCTATGTCTGCCCGTATTAACTTACTGCACCAACTCACTAAGCAGGTTGTATGCTTCCAGTTGTGTTTTGTCCAAGTTCTGAACATCTATGTCCCGCAAAAAGGTCAAGTATTGTGCGATGAATCTGATGAAAGCGGTCCACGAAGAGCCGTCATCCAACTCCTGTAATTCCGGCAGAGCTCGACTACATCTATCTTCAAGCGCATCTTCTGCCCCCTTAGGGTATACTTGTCTGACTTCATTGATCATAGACGTGTATATTGCTGGATATTGTCCTCCGTGTGGCTCGAGGACGAGGTAGTCCTGCAACATAGCTCCATTCTTGCTTTTGACAATCCGACCAACCTCCGAGAGGAATTGGTCAATGGTAGGTGTTGCTCGCATGGCGTTGCGTGGGGCTGGAGGAAAGGCGCATGCGGATTCGGTGCTGTAGTGGGTTGACTTGTAACGATAAACGGCAAGGGCGATGTCCGGGCACAAGGCCTTGAGCAGGTCGTATCCGAACGGATCGTCGGGCGCGAGGTCTTCCCACACCCGTCCGAAGATGTTGGTAAGCTGGATGGAGGTCAAACGTGGAGGAGAGGTGCGGTCGACAATTCGAAGCAGGCCATCGAGGAGATCGTGATCGGAGAGGATTGGTGTTGCTGTCCGAGCTTCTGACGCGGGATCGTCGCTCAAGAGCGCTGTCGCCATAATACCGATACTCGAGTCGGCGCGCCCTGCTGCTGGTCGGTGATTGTCGCCATGACTGAAGCTTCAATTCAGTTTCAGAAGCTCGAGTTGTTCTGTCGACCTAGTTCTTTGTTAGTGAAATCCTTTGTGCTTCGTGCCGGCAGTCGAGGAACTGCCTCCCCGTACCCCCGGTTTCCATGGGCCCTGACTCGCCGTCCTTCACATGCAACGGGAGCGAGCAGGACCTCAGCCTCACGTCATAGGTTATGCGGGTGGCCTTCTTAAGGCCTTCATGCAGCCAGCTCCTTCGCATGTTCCCCCTCTCAAACTGCTTTCGTTCCGCTTGCTTGCTTGCTTGCTTGACGTGCATCCATCATGAGCGTTCGAGGCTTCTTGGAGTTTCTCTTCACCAATCCTTTTCTCTTCGTCTTCCAATTGATGCAATGGGTGCTTGACAAGCTCTTGTCTCCTACACCACCGCCCCCTAACGCGAACCTGAGCAGGCCTAAGATCGCCGTCATTGGTGCAGGTCTTACCGGTGTCTCGGCTGCTTCTCACTGTGTTGGCCATGGATTCGACTGTACTCTATTCGAAGCAGGAGGCCGGGAGGCTCTTGGGGGTATCTGGAGTGTATGTTACGCTCCTTACACGTACTGAGGTGTTTCTTGGGCCCTGGCTAATAATCCGCAGAAAGTAAACAACACCTCTGGCCTCCAGATTCATAGCGTTATGTACCGCTTCCACCCATCCATCAGATGGCGGAAGGGCTACCCCGACCGCCAGCAAATTGTCAGCCAGATCACCCAGCTGTGGGAGCGCTATGGACTCGAGGAACGTACAAAGTTCAATACCAGAGTCGAAAAAGTCTACAAAGACGACAAAGGTCGCTGGATTATCAACGACACGTCCAACGGACGCTTCGATGGTATCATTGCTGCCATCGGCACCTGCGGTGATCCGAAGATGCCACACATCCCTGGCCAGGATAAGTTCAAGGGAGAGATTTACCACTCATCGCAGCTAGACGGGAAGCCAGCCAAGGACAAGAAGGTGCTTGTCATTGGTGGCGGAGCAAGTGCTGTGGAGGCACTCGAATTCGTGGCTTCTGAGCATGCCGAGCAGACTTACGTGCTTGCAAGGAGTGAAAAGTGGATCATCCCTCGTAATCCGTTCATCGATATGCTTCTTTCTCTTAACGTCTTCGGTCAAGAGACACTGCTATCCTGGATCCCCGAAGGCCTGCTTCGTCACCTTTTCTACCGCGAATTGTCTGACCTTTCCCCACCACCTGGAAGCAAAGGCATCTTTGAGGAAACCCCTATGGTCAACGATGAAGTCCTCGATCTCGTCCGCTCTGGCAAGGCTAAGTGGTATCGTGGAGACATTGTTGGCTTTGAAGAGAATGGAATCAGGTTCAACCACCGCTCGCAGGGTGTACCTAAGGGTGGCCCTGGCCGTGAGGAGATTGTCGAAGGCGATGTGTGCATCCTCGCCACAGGCTACCAGCGACCGAGCCTCTCGTTCCTGCCTGACAAGGTGTTTGAGGATCCGTATGGACCACCGTCGTGGTACCTTCAAGTGTTCCCTCCTGGATTCCACGAGATTTGTGCCAACAATTGCACCTACGTGAATGCAATTGGTACTGTTGGCAACTATCACATCGGCATCTATACGCGCTTCCTTCTCATGTACCTTGTGGACCCGCTTACACGGCCAACGGATAAGTGGATGAAGCGCTGGATTGACATGACGCGCTTCATGAAGGCTAGGGCTCCAGGGTAAGTCAAAGATCCATTCAAATGGATAGAGAGCAACGTCTGACTGACTGGTTTAGTGGTGCATTCGATTTCTTCACCTACGGCGAGTTGCTGTACTGGTTTATGTTCACCATTGTCATCAACCCTTTCCGCTGGAAGTGGGCATTCTTCGTTCTTTTCGGTATCGGCACCGCCGTGCCAATGAACATTGTTCGCCACGAAGACAAGCTGAGGAACGGCCTTGGCGCAAAGAAGCGATAAACATGTTAAGACATGTTTGAATTCGAGTTATGAGCAGTGGCATGTGGTAAGAGACATGCATGTGCATGGTATCTGGTATTTTACAGTGAGCGTTACGATGATGACTTCTGCAATATATCCATGGACGTACACAAGAAGATTCATTATATGCTCTATTTTTGGAAGAATGATGTCAATAGCTCTTGCAGGTGATTCACAGTCTACGTGGGTGCCGGTGCATCTAATGGAAGCATTGACATAACGCAACTCTCCCTATTTCACGTCATTGCATAGATCTGAGCCTGAACCCGGAACTGGACCTGACGTCTCGCTACTCCGTACATATAGCACGGAGCCAGTTACTACGGCCAATTAATGTCTAAAGTCCCGCAATCCAAGCCTATAATAAGCACCCCATGGCACCTCGATCCGGTGCTCCACGCCCCGCAGCCTGCAGCGTATTGTAGTACGAGACAAGCCGTCGATGATGCGTTTACACGCGTCGCCGGCGGACGAGCCACCAGCAACAGACAAGAAAGCACACCGTGCCGGACTGGGCCTACGCTCTGCAGAGTCGCAGATGCGCGCCGCTCCTTGCCAAGCTAGGTATGTTGTTTTTCAACGTCCCGACTCCCCGAGGTGCCCGGCCGCCTTCCGATAGGCAACGAGGCGCCTGCCTTAGGACGCCTCACAGACTGTATGTGGCACAGAAAGCAGCCCCCCATTGTGTCGACGCGTCGTGCCCGCCGCCTTACAAGACTCCAGCGACCTCCTCCTCCTTTCCCTCGCCATTCGTTTTTTTTTTTTTTTTTTTTTTTTTTTTTTTTTTTTGAGGT